GGCGTATGCTTTGCGTGGCCAGCAGGCTCTTTGCCTCTAGAGGTTGCAAAGGCGAAAATAGTTGCATGTCTGTCACAGCCGGGATGTATGTAGTGCACAGGCAGCCTGTCTGTTGCACGACGTAGCTCTATCACGGCCACCCCCGGAGGATTTCGTTCAGGGATGCAGGAAGCCCCGATGCCTTTCCACTGGGCTTGGCCGGGGGCGCGAGCAAAGTCCGCTGCGCCGAAAGGCCTCTCTGCCGCGAGCATGGATATATCGCTGGCATCGTACAGCGATCTTGTCGTGTGAGAATTAGTAGTAGGGGCTCTTTTGCTGTGGCTGCTTTGGTGTGCCGACATTTCATTGGCGCCCTCACAGCTCTATTGATGGCTGGTGTGGTCACGAATCATGCCGATTGGTCTTTTTTCTTTTTTTTTTTTTTTTTTTTTTTTTTTTTTTTTTCTTTTTGGTTTCCCTCTTTGGCTTTGGCAGCTGCACCAAACTTACCCTGGACAATCTTAAGAAGAGAGAGAACAGATGAGAAAACACACGTTACCACGGACAAGTAGCGGTGGTTATTATTATTTTTATTCCCTTTTCTCTCTCTCTCTCTCTCTCTTTCTTTCTTTCTTTTTTCCTTAAGCGATAGATTGAGAGGGCAGGGTATGTGTAATGGTTTGCCTACCACCTTACATTTAGAATTTTGACGGATAGCTATTTCGCATAATACCGTCTCTTGCACTGCATGTATGCACCTGCGTACGAGTGATAGAGCATGGCATAGCTGGTGGGTGGTGGCCGCGTCGGCTTCAGCACACCAGATTTGCTAGGCCATCTCAACTACCTGGTTCAGCGTCCCCAGGCAAAACCAGGTAGCTGGGAACCGAGCCGCATCGGCTAGCACGGACAGTCCGGCAGACACATCCAACCTGGTTTTGCCATTAGGCGGTAAAAGCAGCTCGACAAGGGTTTGAAATCACTCATCGTCATCCAGCAAGTCAGTCGCAGAAACAGCGCCGTTCTGAGGCCAAACCTCGTTCTGGGCTGGCAGGCAGGCAAATTTCAGAGTGGGCGCGCCGAGTGGGAGGCGAAAAAAACAAAAGACCATATGTACGCGTGCATATATATTTCTTTTTTTATGTTTCTTTTTTTTCCGATTATTCTAATTTGGGATTTAATTTCGCTGGCTGGCATTTACAGCTGGTACGGACCTTTTTTTGCCGTCCCCCTACAGCTAATAGTGCTTTGCGGGCCGTTTCATGAAGCTGCATGCACACGACAACCTGCCTATTAAAAAAAAAAGAAAAAAAAAAAAAAAAAAGAGACAGAGGGGCAAACTAACCCCTTGCTGTTGTACAGCAGTAGACGCGGCATGGCGGTTGGCTGCAAAGCTACTAAGGTAGGTACATATCAGTTGACAACCACCGGGTGAGTGGTTGAGACACACATTAGAAAAGAGACATGCTTGAGAAAAAAAAAAAGAAATAAAACGAGCCCCTCAGTGACTCCAACCAACGTGTGGCCCGTGTGAGCTCTTGAGTCGGAGACTCATCCCACAATCCGGCTTATGGCCCTGCATCATCTGCTGTGCTTGAATTTTTTCGTCTATCGTATACCATAATATGCCACGACTACATTGCGCGGCACGCACTTGGGCGAGCGGTTACGAGTACCCAAAAGCAGTATAACGGAGATGAGTGCCTAACGCTCCAAGAACCTAAAAAACCCGACCTATCCGTCTCACGTGGAATTCCCCTTGCCTAGAACTACCTGCGGCGCTAGAACCACGGAGGCCGTTTTCTACGGGCTAAAAACGAGCCTGGCGGGAGTGGCTAAAGCCAAAACGCGAAGGCGTTGTTTTACCAGTGATAGTAAAAGCACCGCCAGAGCTGGGGGGACGCCACAACGCTGCTAAATAAGAGTGCAGCTGGCGGAGGACCAAGTGTGCAGATTTTGAGCACACAGCTGGAGAATTATACGCATATATCCGTATATATGCAGCCTCTGAAAGGGATGCTCGTATTGTTCGTTGTATGCACTTATTCGCTCTTTGCAGTCTCGGTTTCTCGATCCCCGCTTGGGCAGAGAAGCCGATGGAGACAACTCCTGATGTCTGCCAAAAACCATGGAAGATTTTCTTTCCTCAGCGGCCTAGTGCGCCGACCCGCCCTGCTTAGGTTCTTCTTTGTGCGAATATATACAGTAGTGGCTGCAATTGGCCGCGCTATTCGCAGAAAGGGTGCTGTGCTGCGAACCTACTACGCTCATGCTGTAATTGTACAGTAGACGAAGCTCTCCAAGGCCCTCGCCCCACGCCACCATCACGAAGCAAGCTGCTGTTTTTGACTTCGCTCTCGGAATGGTCCACTCGCTGGGTCTCCTCAGCTGGGAGGAGCTGACTCTCTCTGCCCTCTTTTTTTTTTTTTTTTTAGCAGTAGTTGCACCGAGCTAGATGGCGGTGACGAGATGGCGAGGCTTCTAAAGCAAGCCCGCCTTGGCCTAGGGAATCTTTCCGGCGCCCGGATATTACTCGTACATACATGCCTGCGACGGAGCCTCTGCCGTAGCTCGACGCAGGCTTGATCTCCGGAGTTCCCTACGAAAAGCGCGATGCTAGTGGTGCGCTATTGCCTGCTTGATTGCTTGCTTGCTGCTGGGTCCGTCGGTGTGCTACATGATCCGTCTCCACGGTGTAAGTTGGGTAGGGTCAAATGTGTAAAAAGAAGAAAAGATGCAGCATGCCATCCAGCCAACGCGAGGGCTGCCCCCCCAGCTCATTTCAGACGGACATTAGTCAGATCAAATTACTACCTGCCTTGTGCTGGCACTGCAATAGGCTAACGACGTGTCTAGCGAGATGGACCAAGAAAGGGAAAACGGCGAGAGGTGCTTATTTCGGAGAGATGAGTAGAACAGCAGTTAGAAAAAGCTACAAAGTACATGGCAGCAAGACTGCCGGAGAGTAATCCGGACATGCACAAAGCTCCGTGCTTCGTTTTTTTTTTTTTTTTTTTTTTCCAAATGTGCCAGACGGTACTAGTAGTAATAGCAGTGGCATTGCCCTCAGCGCTGCATGTACCTGGATGAGTACCGAATACCGAGTAATATCGTGGGATATCAATGCCTTGTATATACCGAGCTGCGTGTCGGTCGAGCCACTAGCCGGCGTGCGGAGCTTTGAAAGTTGGAGCTGCTGTATCACCATCTTGTCTCTTCGGGTAGTTGGAGTCCCGGGAGCGTTCTGGCGGCCAATGGCAGGCGGTCACGGTCCACGCGACTCACTTATTTGCAGGTCGGTCCCATCCAACTCAGACTCCATCCCGTGCCGCGTTCTTCTTTTCTCTTCTTTCCTTCTTTTCTTTTTATTTCTTTGCTTTTTTTTTTTTTTTTTTTTTTTTTTTTTTTTTTTTTTTTTTTTTTTTTTTTTTTTTTTTTATTTATTTATTTATATATATATTTTGTTTAATACTTGCTAACCTTTTTGACAGCTTGTCTCAGTCTGCCCGCATCCGTGCACCTCCAGTTTGTTTGTGATCGCTTGCACGTCCATGCCCTGGTCGCCTCCGAGTTCCTGGGCAACTGTTCCATTGGGTGCCGACGAAGGCCCCTGGCCCTGGCAACGTATCGTAGGCTGGCTTACTATACAAGAATGTATTACTACCCAGCAAAGACAAGACAAAAAAAAAAAAGTAACGAGAGAGACAAAACAGGGACCCCTTGCCCTGTACGGCCGACATCATCCCATCCCACAGCTCCTCGCGCTGCCCAAGAGTGAACCCTGCAATGAAAGCAAACCCTGCGCGGGCCCCACCGCACGCCGCTAGAGGTATCCAGTACCACGGCTAATGAGTGCACTAATTGCTCCCGTCTAGCGTGTCTCTGCAGTGCCTGGGAGCGTCTTTCGCAGGTGGCGTCAGCGGCCCATTATGCTCATTATGCGCGCGCCCCCCCCGGAGTGCCAAAAATACGGCGCTGAGCGTGGCCACCGACACGGCAAAAAAGGGTGCCTGACGCCTGATTAGCTTGTTCGCTGAGTCGGGGTACATGCCAGGGTTTGATTCTCGTGCTGAACATCAGCAGTATCTCTCGTCTTACCGTGGCCTGGAACACTGGGGAGCTTGTTTTTTTTTTCTGGTCTTTTTTTTCCCCTTCCCTTTTCCCTCCTCGAGATGCTGCTGCTTTGCTATCACCACCCTCTCGCTTCCCGTCTCTCTCTGGCAGAGCTCACGTTTTGACACCCCCTCCTCTCCGCCCGTTTGTGCTTGTTCGCTCGCTAGGCCGCCTTGACGATTAACTCCCCGTCAGGCAGGATTGGGGCTGCAGGGTTCTGGGTACCGGGAACTTTGTCTGTGAGCCTTGGTGTCTTGTCCATTTTCCATCGTATCCCGCCCGTCCCCACAGCCTGCCGGCTACCGGAGCGGCCTAGAGCTGCGTGGTGAAGCTTGGTGTGCTTCTGCTCTGCTCTGCTGCTCAGCACGCGCGCGCTCTCTCTCCTCTTCCTCTCGTCGTCGTCGCTCTCTCTCCTTCATCCTGCCCAACGACACGTTCTGGCTGATCGCCCCCCTTTGCCGCGTTCGCGTTACTGGGTTGGGCCTAGGCCGAGCCGTCGATAGCCCGCCGCTCACCTCGTCTATCAGAGTCTACCGAACGTCGTCGTGCTCTGCCCGGATACCTGCACCGCCCGTACCCTCTGCCTCGCAAGTACCGCGCCGCCGGTTCTGGCCTTCAGTCTCCTCCTCGACGGCGGCAACTCAGATGTCATCATAGCCGCCCTAATCGTGCGAGGCTCACCCACCCCATGTCCTCCCTGGCTCCCGGTCTCCCGCTGCCAAAGATCCAATAACCAAGCACCGTTCTTCAAACCTTCCGAGCCTTCACTCCCCCGGCGTCTGGAGTTTCGCCTCCAGCCCATGGCCAACACCCCTCTGTGGTCCTTGCTTCACCTCTTGCCTCGTTCCTGATTATGTGTCCGTGTGTCCTAGCCTGTACTTGTACTGTTTATACATCAAGCCAGCAGCATGGATCAAGGACCTCCCGACAGCAAGCGCATGCGCTTCTGGGAGCCGTCTGGTGCTACGCGGCCGCATCCTAATACTCAACCTCTTCCTCCTTCATCTCATCATCCTCTCCCTCCTCCCTCTCACGCTCCGCATGCTTCGTCGACCCAGCTGCCGCCGCCGCAGCCGCCTCCTCAAGGTCCCAACCATCACTACCACCACCACTCGGCGAGCGCCAGCCCATATCAATACCCGCCTCGTGCCTCGGAGCTGCCTCTGCCTGCGCCAACGCCAGTGTCACTTCATGGGCATGCCCAACAGCACCCAGAGATTGACCGTCGACACTCGGATCAAGAGACTCTCGCTCCCATGCAGGATCCGTACCGTCAACCACCGCCGCCGCAGCATCACCCAGGGCTTCAGCATCCGGGGTCACAGCATCCTATGTCTCCTGCACATGCGCCCTATCAGTATCCCGGTCGAGACACCATAGTAAAGCGAGAGCCTGGTGATGATCTTCGAAGGCCAAACTCGACAGGACATGCGCCAGACGCTCATCCACCGGCACCACAAGTCGTATCGACACCTCATTCTCTTCCGCCTCAGCTCCCCCCGCCTCAGCAACATCCTCAGTCACATCCTCAGCATCAGCAGCAGCCACCGCAACCGCAGCAATATCCTCCGCAACACCTTCAGCAACACCCTCAGCAGCACCCTCAGCAGCACCCTCAGCAGCACCCTCAACAGCAACAGCAGCAGCCGCCGACGCCGCAGCAGCAACATCCTCCTCCACCTCCTCCACCTCCCGCTTTTCAAGATAACCCGCCACCACCTCGACACATGAATTACGAGAATCAGCCGTCTATGCCTCCGACTCCCGGAGCCTATCGCGCCCCAAGCTTTCCTCCTGGGCCTCCTACACCGATCGCACAACAACAGCCTTACGAGCAAAACCCTAATTTCCAGCCCCAAGAGCCGTTTTACAGCGTCTACTCAACAGCGGCGAAGAAGAAGAATACAAGGGCTTCACAGGTCTGACTTGGCAACTTTCTCTTTGACGAACTTAGATGTTGGGAATTTGAAAACTGACCTTTCTTCTCCCTATTAGGCGTGTGACCAGTGTCGGCAGCTTAAAGCTAAATGCGACGAGTTGAAACCATGTAAAACATGCAGAGATAAGGGCACAGAGTGCCGATACCGTGATCCAGTACCAAAAGCGTGAGCTCTCACCAGATTTGCAGCTTCTACAACCCCCCTTTTTTTGCCATCTTTTTTAAAACATAAAGCATAATTCAACTAACATAAATTTTTACCAATACAGAACCGACAAAGCTCAGACAGACATTTTGGAGGGCATCAACAGCATGCAGTCTACGCTTCAGTTCATGTCTGAACGCTTTGGAACTATTGACGATAGACTGACCAAGATTGAGTCCGCCTTTTCAAGGATACCACAATTTTTTGAGGAATTTACGCCAAGGGCCATTCCTAAAAAGGAGCTTGAAGCTGCACCACCGCTATCCCACCCAAGCCCGCCGCCGCCACCGCCGCCGCCGCTGCAGCTGCAGCCGCAGCCACTGGAAGAGCCGCCAATCCGCCGATCTCCCGTAGCTGATATATCTCGGGATCAGCCGGTAATGTCTACCGAAACGGTACCTACAGAAGTAATGTCTAGTGATGCTGTAGCCATGGCTTTCGGCACCGAGGACGAAATAGAAGCAGAACCTGGTCCTCCCGTGCCTCCAGGAGAGCCTGCCATCCCTATTAACCATACGACTTTGGCTGGGCTTCTCTTGGATTGGGATCCGATCAGGGAATTGACACGGCACCACCTGGAGCGGGAAGGCATTAAATACGTCAGCGAGTATCCCATCAGTCTAGAGCAGAGTCGCGGAATTCTCAAGGTGTACGGGCGAGGCGAAGACTCTCACCAGCGACTTTCTAGAGAGGCGACTGCCGATCATGGAAATGCAGAGATTGGCGATGATAACCTGTCAGACATTGTAGCTTCCTCTCCCGCGGCGGACTGGGGCCAGCTTGGAGGGGGCCTGAGCCCCGGCGATCAGATCGAGTACCGCGGCGGCGTTCTCGGCCCTGATGGAAACCCAGATTTCAGCGAACACAAGGTTGCGGCCTACGTGGAAAGCTTCAAGAACAACATCTTGAACATGCACCCCATTATTCACCCACAGGTTCTCGACGAATGGGTTCACCAGTTTATCAATGAGCTCCCCACTGCGAACCCAAAAGTGAAGGCCCAGCCTCTGAAATCGACATTTGCTGTATCGCAGCCGATGGAAATGACTGGCGCCAAGAGAAAGCGAAGTCCCGATCCAGATGCGCCTGTGACGCCATCTTCCCAGCGTCTCGGCAAGCCAAGCCGTTCTATCCATAGCGCACTTATTCTCATCGTCTTGGCTCTGGGCAAAATCTGTTTGTACCAAGATGAAGTTCCTGATGTGCTTTTCCCGGTCGATCCAATCCCTCATGGAAGCCCAGTTAGTCGCAACGGAGTTCCTCCGTCGCCAATCCAGGGCTCGCCCCCGTCGTTCTCAAATCAGTCTCACTCTTCTGGCTTCCCTTCACCCAGGGACCAGGAGCGCGGCTACCAGAGCAGAAGATCATCTATCCATGGCACTTCCAGTGCGTCCGGGACCGCGGCCGTTCGCGCAGGGTATAACCTGAAGAAGAACTACGAGGTGATTCCTGGCTTGGAATATTTTGCACTGGCAACGGACATTCTTGGAAACCACCTCGGCGCGTACAACAATATGAAGAACGTCTATGCCAACATATTTGCTGGGCTGTATCATGGCCAGCTTGCGCGGCCGTTGGAGAGTTTTGCCTTTATTCACAAAGCGAGCCACAAATTGCAAGTTCTCATGAGACCGTAAGTCTTCTACCCTCTAAAATACAACGAGCAAGCAATTGAATGATGGGCTAACATTTACGATAGGAGTTTGGACAAGCTGAAGAAGATCAAGACCAACATGGAATTCATCCAGGAAGGAAAGTATAACCAGCTGGCACTCGCCTTTTGGACGTGTCTGCAGCTAGAGAGGTAAGGATATGCATAACCACGAGAGCCCTAGTAACCTCTCGCCTGCTTCAGTACTAATTTTTGCTACAGTGATTTGATTGCTGAGCTTCCGCTCCCGCCTTCTGGCCTTTTGCAGTACGAGAACGACATGCCCCAGCCCAACATGAGCCTTCTCCAGGGATTCGACCAAAGAGTTGTAGACAGCTACCCCGCTCAGCTCTATCTCCGAACGCACTTGAACAGTATCCATCGCATGTTTTACTCTCCCGACGATTCCAGCAAGCCTGAGAAACTGAAGAATGTTAGACTAGTGGCAGATGGCGTGTCTGGTATGTCCTGGGTCCCCCCCAGCTTCCGCTTTAACGAGACCGACCCCCCTGCAAACGACATTCTGTCGGCGCGCCTTAGAGCCAAGTACTGGGGAGCCCAGATGATTACCTATCGTCCGTTTGTCCGCCAAATTCTGCAGTGGTCCTATGAGTTGAAACGCCACCCTCAAAGCCCACACGCTGGCGTCTTGTCAGAGTATCGATATGGGGTCATCGCGCCCTTCATCCCTCCGAATGTTAAGAAGCCAAGCGACCTTGATCGTTCCCTCATTGAGTTGGCTCGAAAGGGTATTTATGCTCTTATTGAAAGCACAAGATCGTTCCACGGACTCGGAGAGAAACGACCTATTATTACTAACGTGTTTGGCACGGCTCATGCGTAAGTTTAATATCATGAAAACCGCGTTTAAAAAAAAGGCGTGTAACTAATATGACTATATAGCCAATGGGGTAATCTCCTCGTCCTGGCTGCCGCCTACAAGGACCCTGTTTTGCAAGAGTTTGTACCCAAGGAGTTACTGCGCGAGCTGTTTCTGAAGACGATTGCATTCCTTCGACAGTCTGCGACGCATACGAGCTCTCTGAGGATTGACATGCACATCTTGGAGGGGCTCCAGCGTGATCTGTTCCATTCGGATGGAAGAATGGCCTCGAGCTTTTCTAGCAACACTGGCCATCATACCCCCAAGCTTCCGATGGCGGCACCACCATTTAACGGCGATGCTGGTATCCAACCGCCTCTGCCGCCGCCACCGCCGCATCAATCGCCTCATCATCAGCAGTCGCCTCACCAACAGCCACTGCAGCCGCCTCGAGCGCAACAGTCGCCTCTGGCACATATGCCGCATCTGGGGATGTCTTAGGAACTAGAAGAAGAGCTCTCTTCTTAGTGTCTACTTTTTCTGTTTCTTTGGTCGGTTATCTCGATTCTTTGTTCGTTTTCTTTTTTCCCTTCTGAATCATTCTTGGCAAGTTGGCAGTGGCATTTGCTGTGTTACTCCTTGTGACTGGCGCGCCTCTGACAACTGCGAAGTGTTTTGGGACCGCGATATTTATCTATTTCAATTATTTACGTGAACCTGAGCCGGGAAAGCAATTTGATGGGCTATACAAGGATGTTTGAATGAAAGGAGCAATATGCCGAAATCACGGTTGGCGGCACAGCGATTGCATCGTACTGCGATTTTGACTCGTATTAACATTGGATATCACTTACGCGCAAAGGCATAGGCCGACCGTATTGGATGGTCTGCAGATCGCCTTGTTTATTATTTTCTGCATTATTTTCTTTTATAAACTGAGACAACCTAGAAGCTATTACTTGAGAACGTATTACTGTTGCTTCATATTCATATCCTTATATACCGAATACCTTTGTCTAGGAACTGGCGCCGTCGGAATCCTAATGCTTATTTACCCAACTTTTCTGTTTTATACACGAATCTTTTACAACTCTCAGGAGACGGATTTGGAGGAGGAGATACCACTGTGCTATGCATGCAGACTACACAACCGCGCGCCTATCACTTTATTGTTTCTTTTCCCTAAACGGAAAAAAAAAAGTTATGAAGCTAAAGATGAGAAAGGGAAGGGGGAAGGAAGGTGTGGGACTGCAGTAGGGGAAAATGCAGCTTGGGACGAAGGGAATAGCTGTATGCGTGTAACGCTGGGCTAACTGTTCCTTGGTGAGATAGGGATGCACAGCAAACAAGGATAGATATACATATATATACATGCTCTTTGTATATCATTATTGTTATCATTTTATGTATGTGGCTTTTTCTCTGTGCTCTGTGGGAGGAAGAATTGCGCGAAAATGTATCCATCTTAGCTGACGTGTACGGGCATGGATGAGGAGGATCACAGCGGCCTGTCGCCTGTAACAAAAAGAGGATCTCTCGTCAGATGCCCTGCCCTATGATATCAGTAGTATTTCTACTACTAGGTACTATTATCTATTATGTACACCTACTTGTACATCTAGATGTGTGTCAAGTATTACACGCATAAATCCATTAGTACATTGCCAGGATAAAAAGTATGCATAAAGAATCTTCCCTATCAGCGGCGGCGGCGGGCAGCCGAATCGCCGGCATTTCTCGTGTTACGCTCATATTAATGAATCTAGGTTATACTTGTTGTGGTTACTTTGTACCCAAGACTTGGGCTCTGTTTCGGCATTGAAGTTCCGAGCCTTTTCCAGAACGACCGAGTGTCATGTGCTGGGGTTATTGTGGGATTGCTTTTGATAGCATTCCTCATTTGGCCTTGGGGGCTGATCATTTTCTCCTCTTGTCTCTCTATCAGGTTGTCTACCGACTGTACTCCGTACTCGGTACCCATTATTCTAATCTACTGGTGCTACTGGACGAGTTACTTTTCCTCTTTTCCTCTTTGTCTCCTTGCTTTATCTAAATTAGTAGTGTTATGCACCATATGTATGCATGTACCCGTATCTGCCTGCCTGCCTGCCTGCCTACTAATCTATTGCATTTTCCTCGCTCGAGAGAGCTACCTGGCAGCATCGACTATTGGATGCAAGGGCAGGCAGGGTACCTGTTGGCATTTTCAAGTAAGCACACACACAACTGAACCTAGGCAACTTATGGGCCCCGCTCCGTCTTTTCGGTCTGCGGCGGGCGGAGCGACGGGCGGATTGGCGGGTAGATATGCGATGATGACAGCAGGGGAGACACAAAGACAGAGAGAGGGAGCCGAGAGAGAGAGAGAAAGTATACATGTTTTCCAAGGTAATACGTAGGAAGAAAAGAAAGTGCGGGGAAGGGATTTGGGGAAAAGCAGGGATGGTTTTTTCTTTTTTTTTTTTTGTCTTTAAAATGTGTTAAACTGCATGTCTCTCTTTGTTGTTTTTTTGTTTGTGTCGGCTAAGGGGCATTTACTAAGATAACGGGGCTCCCTGCTGGGGAATTCAGATGCGGTGCAATCTGGGGGAGAACCAGACGGGTCTGAGACTTGCATGTTGGCGGGAGGTTTAAACTGTATACCCCCTTGCGTATCTTTTTTTTTTTGGGCTCGTCGTTTGAACGAATGGCTCTGATAAGAACAAGCACTGACTAGGGGTGTGTATAAAGAAAATTGGGAAGGCACAGAAGAAAAAAAATTCAACAATAATAGAAGGGAAAAAGCCACCTACGTGATACGTGATTCATGATACTGGGCGCTGCTTGTTTCGCCATGAGCAGGTGACAGACAAGGGTGGGAAGGAAGGTTGATAAGAGTGCCTACAACGGAGCTTAGAGCTGACCCGACCGACTGGACATGGGGCAGAACAAGGGACATGGGGTGTTTAGAAAATATGGAGGAAGAAATACAGTAAGGGAATAACAAAAAAGAGGAGAATGAGCCAAGGGGGGGTGAGTGAGCCGTTTGCCGTGGCGGGGTGGCTCCGCAAATTGCTTGGTAGCAAGAAAGGTGTCGATTTTGTGATGTGCCATTAGGTAGTACTGTTATGAGCATGAGATATGGCCCTTGGCTCCTTATGCTCGGGACTTTTTTTTTTTTAATGCATCTGGGTGCTGAGGCAAGGGGCGGGAAGAAACAGGACATGGGAGAGAATCCAAAAGGATGAATGGGTGAATGGCTAATGGCAGCCAAGTTGGTGCCGTGAGAATGTGCCGAGTACGAGGTTCATGTGCCGAGCAGAGCTGGATGATGTACTCTATACATACATACATACATACATACATACATACATACATACAATGCAATGCAAGGTAGCACCGGGAGCGGCATATAGGTTGCATTATACTATGCTGCTACTAACCTAGTTGCTGTATGTATATTGTTCCTTGACAGCAGTTGAATCAGATAGTAATAGCAGTGAGTTGAGGAGGGGCGTGCGTGGCATAGATTGGATGGATGTGTGCCGATGGTGATGCTTGGCGGACGGCAGAGTCACAAGTTTTGACTCATGACATAGCATGAGAATTTGGCATGTCAGCTGTGTTTCAACAAAAGGACGTTGGCCCTTTGTCATTCATCCCGTGCACGTGAGCTTTTTTTTTTATTTGATTGGTAAGTAGTAGTATAAACTCGGCTGATGTCTTTGGGAAAGTGTTGTTTGAAAATGAGACCTTTTGGTTTCAGCCACTTTCTTTTCTTATGGCATTTTTTTGTTCATGTGAGTGCTGTGGGCTGCATGCACAGGCTGGACAATATACGTATTGTAATATGTACAAGTATATGCGGTGGCAAGGGAGTGCTTCCAACGTGATAGTACTAGTTAACACTGCCGGCACTACGAATGAAAAAAAAAAGGGCCTTTCATTGCTGGAAGCAAAAAGTTGATGCAAGGGATTCTTGTCAGATCCGGAACGTCCAGGTAGTATCCATGGACTTGGTATGTAAGTTGCGGGGTTGTGTGTCTACTGCTTTTGACGGATACTACGCTGCTTACGTTTACATCGTCGGTCTTGGCGTGAGGCGGTTTCTGTTTGAATCTCCAGCAGTGGGGAGATGTGTGATCCAGCGGCCGTGTAGATCTACAAGTCCGCAAATAGCCTGATGAAGAGACGGCTGGTGGAGGACACAACCTTGTAGTAGGGTAGAGGAGTGTAAGTCATGGGTTGGGGGCAGTGTTGCAGGTGTTTGATATTTGATGCACATATTTGGACTCTAATGCTGCTTGATCCTTTTGTAACTAAGCTTAATTTTACGTGCAATATACGATGATATTTCCATGTCTTGCAAAAGCCATACTGAGCAACTTTTTTTTTTTTTTGGCTTGGTTCGTGTTGCTTCGGCTGTCGCTATAACAAAAGCCGAAAGTTGGCACTGGGGAAATCGACCCGCGAAAGTGAGAGAACAGGGGAAAATGGAGATAGGACACCGGTGCCATTGGCTCGGGGGCATCGATAGACCTTGTAAGATGCGGAAACGGGGAATTGGCACTCTCCTTGATATGAGTCTGTGCTTTGTGCAAGTGTCGGTTAGAACACGGACAAGCGAGGCACTCTAACGCTGGACTAGGAAGTCCGTAAACGAAGAGCGATAATGGTCAGATTTTACCCTTTTTCTTAGCGCAGAGCAAGGGCCTCATCTATCTTGTTTGCTGGCCCGTCGCAAAATATGGCGGGTTGAATAGCCCAGCGCCGACGAGGCGTGAGCGATAGGGATAGAATCATTGGACCAGAGGCTTTTTCGTCTGAGGCGCAACTTTTACTATTAATGGAAAAATCCCGGGGTAGACTAAAAAAAGCCATACCACTATATATGCTAATTAGATTCGATCGGCTCCTTCTTCCAACAGCTTAGCTAGTGCTATTCAAGTTTCTTAGCAGCCAAGCGTTTAGTTCTTACATGTAACAATGAAATAAAACACAATAAAATAAAATAAAAAGCGTCGCCAACTATTGCTTGCTTAAGGCTGAAGGAATATGGCTGCTAGTCAAACAACTAGTACCCGCGGGTGTACTTTAAAAGATGCCGGCATAGTCTTTAGATTATGATAGGTGATAAACAAGGCCCTCGTACTGTAAGCGCCTCCGGGGGGTTGGAGTTGAAAAGGTTGCCAATTTTGCGCACCCTTGCCTTGCCGGCACCGAGGGTTTAGTACCTATCAAAGTTAGCGACGGGGTAACCGGCTGTCGATTTGCTCGGAGCTGGCTCCGCGTTTGCTTTGGGCTTAGACAGGAAACAACATTGAGCCTCCTCGTCTCCATTCAGCTTGCACAATTCCATGTATGCGAGGCACAGCCGTAGTCAAAGGGGTGCAAATCATGGAAGATCCCTTGGATAACGGCTCTTAGCGATGATTGTGTGAAATGAAGGCAGAAATCCCGCAGTTGCCATGGCCATGGCTCGTTGTATTGTATGGCGATGGGGGGGTGTTTGGATATCCTCCCGAGTTCCCTTTTGCCCTCGCTTCACTAATCAACCCTGAGGGCTGTGCTATCACGGCCAACTCCAACAGCCCCTGTATTGTTGAATATTGTCCTCCCGTGTTGCTGCTATCGATACATGCGAGAGCTAGCTACACTGCTTCGTAGTACCCAGTACTTGTACATGATAATACCACGGCACTGCCCAATACCACCACTGAGCAGGGCATGCTTCACCTTGTCCAAAATCAAAATGGCGTCATAAGGGCTGCGGGCCATGTTGACAAGGGATACGAGGATCAGGCTCCATCGAAGGGGGGGTGGCCTGGCTACCGGGCATTTGGATACCCAGATTCTCATTTCCCGGCTTTGCTCTTGATCGTTTGACGGGGATTGGCGCGGTCTCGAACCGCTCTTGACGAGCGCTAGCAGCCCTGAAATCACACCACTTTGCATAACTATTGGCGCGGCAATCCGGCGCTGTTGCTGTAAGTCGCCGGTTGTTCTGGGCTTGGGGGAGCCATGGATTGTGTCCGCGGAGATAGGCCGAGAAAACAAATATTCCCCGAGGGCTTAGCACAGATCAAGGCCGTGGATAGGGAGGGCCAAACCTGGCTGTCTGTAACGATGCACGATACAAGTGGCATCGGCTTCAAATCCTACAGTTCATTGTCCACCCATTTGGTAACGACCCCCCATTCGTCCCACGTAGCATTAGGCCTGTTATCTGGTCTCGCCGAACCCAAGTTGGGCTGCCCTTTCCGCACCTCCGCCCATACATCGGCCGCGTGTCGTTGAAAATGGGGGTAGTTTTCGGTGGTGGCGGGATAGACTATATGGGGGTGGACGCGGCGGTTCGGGCCTCGACTTTATGGGGGGGAGTGGAGCGGATTTGATTCGGCGAAGAGAAACAAAGTTCGGCCAATAACGTAAAGACGAAAAAAAAAAAGGTACAATCTCGGACAACTCGATTGGGCCTTGCGAGATTAGATAATCGTTTGGGAAGCAAAGTCGAGGCAGTCGAGGGGTTTGAAGATGGGATTCTGCAGCGTGTTTTGCGGAGAGCAGCGGTTTCTGTCGACTGGACAGTGCGTAAAGGAGTTTCTTTTGCCCATCGATAATTGACGGTTAGGATATTAACTGCGATCTAATCAAAACTAGCGATATGAACATTCTGCCGAGATGCCTCTTCTATTTCGCTGCTGCTTAGACATTGCCGTATGCAGTGAAAGGAGATTGCTTGTATTGGCTAAGCGGGTAATTCACCCTGGAAAGCCAGCCGCGCGCGTGTGCAAACCCTCGATTTCTTGCAATCCAGCAGACGCTGAGCTGAGCCTTTGCACTCACCCCAAACGTAAATTATCATACGACTTCGCTGCTATTTCCTATTCAGTCTCATGTCGCGAGAACGAAATACAGCCACCCGTTTTTATTTTATTTTATGATTACCTGAACCGTACAGGCATGTAGAGCAAACGGTTAATCTGTATCATTACCATGAAAATCTCCTCGATAGCGGCATTGGTTGTGATGTGTCAGACAATACCGACGGTTAAAATATCCTGGCAGACATCATACGGGAAAAAAAAAACAGGTACGACGCAAAAGGACGCAAAAATGAGCCGTTCAATGGAGCATTTTGCCTTTCTTGCGTCACTCCCCATCCGAGTGAAACATTTCAGGCGTCTATTTGCGGGCTTGATAGGGCAGCGAGTCGGATGATGCAGGTTTCAGTTAAGAAACCTGTTCGCGCGACTACATGTCTGAGTCCGGAGGAAAGGAAGTCAGGTAAGTGTGATGTGATGATGGCCAAGAGAGGGCATTTGTGCTGAGGGAGAAGGAAAAGAGGCAAAGACGAGGATTCGCAGTTGTCTGCATTGGAATGTCAACCCATAAAGATATCGTAGAGATGTTATATCGCTTTACGTTCGATGATTGAGAAGAGCCAATCTCCTCTATTTGACACGTTCGTCGTAGAACAAAGGAATCAAATCATGGGGAGTGGTGACGCTTGAATTTTCTAAGATCTATAGGAAGTAGGATGTACTAATATACATTAGTAGTAAATTCAAGGTTTGGGAGGTCGCAACCTGCCTCCCAACAGATGTAATGTTGAGAGAAGATGTCAACTATCATCTGCTTGTATGTGTATCTGATAAAGAGATTGTACATATTCTTGACTATGCATATCATAGAGCGTAAATATACAAGGCTCATTCATGAGAATTTTGATACACCATGTTGAGCGATAGCTCAAAACTTTTGCAGTCTTTTCAATTTCCTAAGATAGACCTTACAATCTCAGCTATCCGAATCGATAAATGTATGATCGACCAATCTCTAAGTAAAAGATTCTGGCATAGCCCATAGTCCTTTACGCCCACATTCTGTAGAACTTGGCATCAAACTCCTCTCTCAACATGATAAAGGCCTGAAGCACTTTATAAAGACTACCACCTTTTCGATATGCTCCAGTCGCATCGCCGTCTTTATCCCAGCCATACATGGTAAAAGAAGACGGTGGTGTCTCAGTGCTGCTGCCGCCATCAAGCTCAGAGCTGGCGTATCCATCCGAAGGCATCATTTCTGCTTCATTCTCAAAGTCTTCAAACTCTTCTTCTAGATCCATCTCACTAGCATCCATCAAGACGGTGAGACTGCTAATGATGGTAGACAAGGTGCGAGAGAATTCTTTGAGGTGATACCATACATCTCCAGGTCGAATACCATTATCCCTCGCCAAAACAAGCGCGCTACCGTGCTTGTAAAAGTCGTACAAGTGAGCGTTGAATTCCACGTCCGTATCATGCGGCCAGATAGGTATCGATGGGATGGCCGACTCTTCCAAGAATACATCTCCACGAACAGTCTGGCATAAATCATGAACTGTCTTGAAGTTGTCTGTACTTCTAGACAAGGCAACAAAGGGAGATCTTACCATCCTGGAAGCCTCGTAGTCGGCATCGAGCCAATGGACTGGCTTCTCCTGGCCTACTGCTGTCTGAGTGAACGGCAACACTCGATCCCTCGTATCTTTCAGACTATGGCTGACATATGACTGTACGTATCTCTTGAATATGGAGAGAGTTTCTTCATTATGTCGCAAAAGGAGATTTTCAGCCTTCTCCGGAAGTGGCGGGAGAAAAATGACAGACGAAGATGTTTGAGCAATCTCAACCATCCTTTTGGTACGCTTGGCTGGTACTCGAACAAATAGGTGTGACAAGACCAACATCATTTCCAAGAGCACTCTATCGCGGTTTATATAAATATCCGAGCAGAGCTCGTGGAAATAACCACCTCTCAAAAGCGAATGAAAGGCAAATACCGCATTCTCCATGAAATATAAGTGACCTATTATACTGGCAAAATTGATAGGGATGCCAGTAGCCGAAAGCAAATTCTGTCTCCGAAGGTATTCAATAGAAAATCGGACATGGTGTTTGATCGACATCTCCGATTCTGGCCCACCAAGGTACAGACGTGTCTGTGAAAGCAGTGATTGGACCATGTTCACTGCAAATGTGCAGTTCTCAGATCCGTGAAGGAGCGAGAACAATCGGAGGATAAGCGTGGTAGATATGGGAAACTGTCCATTGAGACCCGGGAGCCGCGCCGACATGATTTCATATACACGCTCTCGTGGTATTCTGTTGAACACAATGTTCCCTAGAAGGTCGAAGCCTCTGCGACCAGCACGACCCGATGCCTGCCTGAAGTTTTGGGCAGTGAGAAATACAGAGTCGCCATGGAAGACTACAGTCTTGCAGGGCATGTTGATACCGAGAGCAAGCGTGCCGGTTGCAGCAACAAGCCTCAGATACCCCTTGCGAAACATTACTTCAACCCTAACAGAGAAATATTAGCCAGGTTACCCTTTTAGAGCACTATGAATAACTTACGTTTGGCGATACTCTCGGTTCAGACCGGCATGATGTACGCCCAGACCACGTCCAAGGGCGCTTAATAGCCAATGGCTGACTCGGCCCTGCAGAGATGCCATCATTTCCAGCACTTCTGACATTTGCATCTTGGTCGTGTCTGCAAAGTTGAACTGCTCCAATGGATCATCTGGCTTGAAACTTTCCCAAGGACTAATATCAGCGTCTGCTTCCTCGCGTAACTGCTCTAGTTTGGAAGTCCTAGAGCCGTCGCTGGCATCTCCTTTGGTTCTTTGGACCGGTTTCTTTCTCTGTTGAAGGCTCTTCGCCTTTTCCCAAGCCTCAAAATCTTTTAATTTTTGAGCCCACTCGGATGATTCATTTTTCCAATTCTTCTCAGTATTGACGAGCTTGCTGAGCATCAGCCTCACAATATCCTCGCACCCATGAGTGTCATAGTGAAAAACTAGAGCAGGCAGAGCGCCTTGGTTATACAGATCGACAGCCAAGTCAAACATGCTTTCCAAATCATCAATGTATCTAGCCTCGGGCTTGGAAGGTCGTTTCTTTTCTGTAGCCAGAGGTGGTTCAAGCAGCTTTCTTACATTCTGAAAGGCCGAGTCTCGGCTCTCTATGATGCGTCGAAGAGCTCCTTTTAGCTCCATCTCCCACCGAAGGACGTCCGACTTGGATATTGTCTCGGGGAGAATGGTGGATGGATCGGGAACGCCAAACTTGACGACATCTTCGTCTGAAAGAACCTTTTTCATGCTTTCCCACAAACGTAGGCAATCTCTCGCCTCTAGAGAAAGATCATCAAGCGCAGTACGAGCCCTAAAAAAAAAAAAAAGGTTAATACGCCAGCTCGCCCAAAGGAATTACACGATACGCACCTTTCAGTCAAAGCAGCTACGGGATGGATAAACTGTACACTAGCACAACATTTTTCGCCTTCGTCTAGTCCAGGAACAGGAAGCGACTTATTGCGACGAAGCCCCTGAAACGAGTCGCGCTCTTGGCGTACATGAATAAATTTTCGGAGGTCTGAATATCTCGCCGTGTGCACCACCATGTCTAATTTCAGCCCCTTCTTTTGCTGAACCTGTGATAGCCATTCTCGAAACGGTTCAGGATTTCCAATCGTTGCCGAGAGGGCAATGACTGGGCATGGAGCCGACAGAAGCAGCTGTTCCCAGACAACGCCATCGGCATCCTGGCCGATACAATGGACCTCGTCGAAGATGATCCTCTTGATACGTCTGGACCAAGCATTTGGCCCTTTGGCATTTGTTGGCGCCAACAAGAGTATCTGCAGCATATGCGGCACAGTCACCAATATTTGACATCCGGTTGGGCTGTGTAGTCGGTAATCTCGAGTATATATTGCCCAAACCGATTTTCCCGCCTGTTTATGATAAGACTTGGTGAAGCGCGCTCCAATTTCGGCAGCAATCTGGTTCACGAGAGCTTTGGTTGGCGCAACATATACCAGAACTCCGTCGTCGCTTTCCTCAAGTATTTTCTTCATGGCATAGAATGAGATGAACGTTTTACCCGCAGACGTTGGCGCAATAACAAGGAGGCTGTTATTGGCATCAATTGAATCGAGAACTTTGACTTGCCAGCCGTCGGGGTCAAACAGCACTCTTTGGTCTTGCCGAGAGTCAAAGCTTCGATCCATATATGGGGCCGCGTATTCAAGTTGCATCTCGCGGTAGTTTGACATGATCTTTTTCATGCCCTTGATAGGGCTATAGTCAAATTTGAAAGACATTTTCTGTGTTTGGCTGCCAGCTATGAGTGCAGGGCATGGTATTTCGAGGTAATTTGTCAACTTCTGCACTGATTGATGCACTTCCTTGGAGACCTCTGTATTCCGCATTTCTTGAAGCCATCTCCAGATAATGGCAATCAGGTATGATTCTGAGGATCTATGGGTTAGCGTGATATCTCGTGACTTGGCACTTCCAAGTGATTCTTACTGGTATTAGGATCTGCATTCGCATTTTCTCGGGCCTTTGCCCACAGCTGCCCGAGAATATGGCAAAGGTAAAGGTGCACTTCGGACCCCAACGCTACTTTGTCGGCTTTGGTTCGTTCTGTAAGGAATTTCAGGGCTTTGAGGTAGCGATCTAGCAAACTATGCTCTTTTTCAAGATCCCAGCACTTCAAACCCCATAGTGTGACGGTATTATTTCGCTTGGCGGATGCCTTTTGCTCTTGAACCTCCTGGGCGGCTCTAAATGCACTCTCTTTACCACCTGGTTTGCTTGCGTTACGCCCTGGCTTCTTGGAAAGAGGCTGAGGCAGAGGCTGAGACTGAGGCCTGCCGCTATTATTCACATCAGTCTTGTTATTCTTAGGCTTCTTTGTGGCTTTCTGTTTCTTCACGATAATGATTTCGGGATCAATCAGCTTGCCCTTTGCGTTTGTCAGACTCGCAGAGTGTGCCACCATGCTAGCCAAAAGGCCTTGCTTTTTTTTCCTTGCAAAAAAGCCAAGCCTTTCGATTTTCCGAGTTGGTATGAGCAGCTTCGTATTATGCCAATGATGGAGATCTTCAAAGACAGAACTGGAGGAGGAGTCCTGTACATCTTGGCTCTCTTTCAGTTTGATGTCTTGGAGAAAGCCGTTTAGTACAGGGTGGCTAAATGGCAGAGCCGAGACCTCTTCATCATTTGAGTCTCTTGGCAAGAATTCATCCGCAGGGTTGCTAAGTTCAGGCAGGTTCTCTGAGAAATCTGCATCAGTTCCTGAACGAAAAGCCGACCAAAGATGCTGCCAGGACTGAATAATCTGATTTGGAAGCCACTCTGCAGCCCTTAGACTTTTAAGAATGAAATGAAACAAGAAACCGTCAAAGGCATCATATAGATCCCAGTTTTCATCAGTACTGTTCAAATTGGTCATCCATTTGTCATTCTCCAGCAATACCCACGAAATCTCAATGACGTGATGCAGGAATTTGTCGTCTTCAGGATGCGGATGGCGTTGCTGCGAGACGACCCAGTGCTGACGCTCAAGCAAGGTACAGTGTTTTAGTACAGCGAGATGAAGGAGGAATGCTCGAATTCTCTCTTGAATATCGAAATGTTCTTCATTCGTCAAGCCATCCTTTTGCATACGAAGTAAAGAAAGGCAGGCGGCTATGCCCAGATGCTCTCTAACGGTCAGGTTATTGGTTTCATAGACCAATGGTTGAATCCGCCCATCCTTTAGATCAAACAGCGGTTTAAATGGTGAATCAAACTCCCGTTTGACCGGAATGGGCATCAGTGGTGTAGATGACCTGCTCAATAAGGGCGCGTATGCCTAGGAAGAGATTCACGTCAGTATTCTCACTTCTCAAATAAGGGACATAGTCCTACCTTTGAACTCTTCCACTTTAAGGCATTGATAACGGCTACATTCTTACCCTTGGATATCAAGTAACGGATCATATAGCGCAATGCGATCGTATCTTTGACCTGGTATTCGACTCCATCATGACATAGGACGAAATGAATGGGCAGCCCATTCAGATAATCTGCAAATTCTTTACCAAATGGCGAGTCAAACTCCAAAACAGATGCTCTGGCGCCATTTTTTGCACACTTCTGCGCATATCTTTGGAGATGTTTGATGATAATCGTTCTTGCCAACTGATATTTATACTCCCAGCCGGAATTGTAAGGGACACAAAGATCTCGAAGATTTCGGAAGAATACGACATCGAAATCGCAGCCTCTCCTCTGTAAGTTGCTGAGAAATCTCTCAACAAAGTATACGGCATGTAATAACTGGAATCCATCTATCGGGCTGTTTGTTAGCCTATTGCTAATTTTTTTTTGCGAAGCATCAGAGGATATCTTCTTCTCCAGACTCACCCTGGAAATTAGCCGGCGATTCTTCAAGACAGTGCCGAATTAGCGACTCGCCATGGATGAGGAATGGCTCTTTACCAGCAATATCACCAATCAGGTCGACTCTGGATGGCGACAGGTGGTTGTACCAGGAGTTGAGTATGCTTTCTGGAGATTCTGTATCACCCATGGCGGCACTAAACGGACGATGTCTGTATATATCTTCTTAAACAGATAAAAAAGAAGAAGACGAAAAGAGAGGCTGGTATAAAATTGGATTTTAAAAGATTCTAGTATGTGGCAATGCGATGTCTCAGCACTTGTACATGTAGTATTGTCTAGATGGAGTTGTTGCAGCAGCATGTGTTAAGACGGGAAAAAATAAAAAGATGAATCAAGAATGAAAAGAGATGTGAAAATGAATATGAAAAGGCAAACGAAAAAAAATCCCGCAGACATTTATGAAGCATGACAAACGGAGGTAAATTTGGGTCACATCACCAAGTAGGAGGCCAACGTTTGCAAGCCCAACTTCTGGGAGGCCTACAACGTCAGATTATGCAAGCACAGGCGTTTCAGCCTCGCGGCCCAATCTCGAAAATGCGATGGGATTGGCTGGAGATATCTTGTGCCTTTTTTTGCCCAGAGGATTTTACTGGACATTTCACTGCTAAGCGAGCTTGGCTTTGGGTTCCTGTTTATTTTGCCGCCGACAAACTGGCAGTGTTGAACTGGATGGCACTGTATCTATAGAGACTTGTGGACAATTTGCTATATTAATGACATTTTTGCTATATCAATTAATTAACAAGCTGTTGGAGATTTGCCTATTCATTCATTTCTTTCGCACAAGAGATCGATGAACTAGATCAGACTGGAAGTTGTGCCTTAACCTCTAATGGTTTACAATCGCTCGCCGGTCACATGCAAAAGTCATACTCTTTTCCTTCTTCAATATCTTCGTATTGCATTAACGTATCTATAAGCTCGATAGAACAAAAAATACAACAAATAAACTTCCCAAGTTTTGATATATACGAACAGGCATTCTTCAACCTTTGAATGATGCCCCAAAAAACGCCAGACAATTACCAAAATGCTCCAACCGCCTCTTCTCCCCCTCGCCTCACACAAGCTTTTTTTTTATGTTCATACAGCACTCATCATTAAGCTCTCCAGCATACCTCCGCTCTGGCAAGCTATCTGTGCCCTCTCAACCTCGACCTTGACTCTCCTGTGCAGAGTCCTGAAACCCTGGTGCAGCTCAGCCGATGCGCCAACATATTCGGCGTACAGATCCAGCAGTTGCACACCGACCTCCACGCAGATGCTCACGTAGCGGGGGTCGCATATGTGCGCGCATACCCATTTCAGCACGGGCTCCACGCTCTGCTCGTCGCGGTTCTCCAGCGCATCACGGATGGCGCTGCGATGACGAAGCGCAAGCAGCAGAGTAAGGACGTTGAGGGGCGAGTACTCGGGTGATGAACGGTCGATGACCTGGTCCAGGGCTTTAGAATAGCGGGCGTGGCGGAGATCCGCTTGCCACGGTCTCTCCTTCTTCTTAGTAGGGCGGCCCTGATTGGCAATGACAACGTCGGCGCTCTCGCCAAGCAGGTCCAGACGCTTGGTCGCTTCGACGCGGCGCTTGCGCTTCTGCTTCTGCGCATCGAGAGACTCGATAGTGCCGGCAACGAGAGCCTGCATTTCCTTCTCTCGCTCACGCTGGCGCGCGGCCTCAGTACCAGTAAGCCGTGTGCGGATGCTGAGCACGCCGGACTGCATGCCGACTGCAAGATGGCGATCATCGTCGGAGGAATCGCTTGAGGGGATGACGCAGACTGACAGGATAGGGGCTTGGTATTTGATGCTGTTCACAACGTTCCACCCTGTCGTCTCAAACATCTTGACATGACCTTCCAAACTACCGGTGACAAGGCGGCGGCCGCCAGAGGCAAGGCTCATAGAGGTGACTGTCTTCTGGTGGTTTGTGATGAGATGTAGTGGTCGAGCAGCGACCAGATCGAGAACGCTGACAGCGTTGCCGGCGGCGGCCAAAACGGTCGTCCCCGTTGGCAGAGGAAGCACACTCTCGACAGGGGCGGCATGCTTAAACGTCATAACGGCAGAGTTGTTACCCGTTCGCGGATCCCACAGCTTGACCGTAGAGTCGTAACTTCCAGACACCACCATGTTGGCTATCGTACCCGGCATAAAGCTACCAGTCCGCACATAATCTGAATGGCCGACAAACGTGCTCGTCGGCTCGCTGCTGGGCAAGTCCCATAGCCTGACCGTCTTGTCGTCGCTCGTACTCAACAGCGTAGTCAGCTCGACGGGCGAAAACTTGGTCGTCCACACAGGCTGCTTGTGATCCAGCCACGTCCTCAGGATAGCCCTAGATCCCACGTCAAACACCTGTATCCTTCCTGTATCGTCACCCGCCACTAGAACGCGGCCGTCCCGGCGAATCTCTCCGCTTCGTGCAACATCGCTAAACCGGGTGATTGTCTTGAGCAGCTTCCGGCTGCGGGTCGAGTAGATCTGCACACGGGTGCCCGTAGTCACGGCGAATGAGTCGCTGTTGCTTGAGACGTGCGTAATGGGGAAATTGGTCGGCGAAGGGATCAGAAGAGGGTTCTTAAACGACTTCCAGTAACGCTGCTCTGCCGTCATGGGCGCGGGGCCAGACGCGAGCTTAACCCTCGGCAGGGGCGCCACTTGTGAGGCCATTGTGATTTATCTCTTCGACCGACCGAAATTTCGACGCAAACTATTTATAATGGTGTTGGTTTAGGGTCGAAAGAGTGCTGTCTTGGTGGTTGATCGCGGCCCTTTTACTCTCCAAGACTCGAGTGATGGACGATCGAAATAGCAATGCAGTGAGGTTGGCAGCTAGGCTCGATTTTTTTTTCTGCCAGCGATAAGCAAGAATTAGTAGATTAGATAAGATTTAACGGCGGAAAAGTGACCGCGGGGCGGGTAGAATTATGCCTTATATGGACTAGCTCATGCAAAAAGGCTCTAAAACAGTACGTACCTCCTACTCGAGAAGTCCTCCTCTCAGACAGCATTCCTTTCATAGCGACATCTGTATCAGTGCACATATTTTATTCATTCTGGCTGTATTCATTTCCTAAATATCTATACCAACACATGAATTCATATATAAAACCCGTATCATCAGAATACATGAAAGAAAAAAAAAAGGAAAGAAAAAGGAAAGAAAAAAGAAAACCAATTGTCATCCTGCTTCGCAGATAATTCCAAAAACGCCCTCCTAAATGTTCCTTAATACCGATTGATATGATTTCGATTTCATCCAATACTCATACAAAACAGTTAATAGATCAAAAGAATTAGTATCCACCTCGGCGTCTGGAACGCCCCGTGCCAATGTCAATCGATTGCATTTCCTGAATCAGAGCCATATCTTCTGCTCCTCCGTTAGCGCCACTCATGATGGGGAGTGGCACCTTGGCTGGAATAGGAGGTCCCTGACTACCGCCGTTATATTTGGGCGCATAATTTTCGTTTGGATAATCCCACGCGCCGGCGCGTGATCGAGATGAACCGTATTGATTTGGTCCAACCTGAAAGTTATCTGGCGCAATAGATGTGAGGGGATTCGGGGCTGACGTTGTTGGCCCCATTGAATGGCGCATAGCTTTCTTTTGTAGTCGCTGCCGTCCACCTTGCGCGGGGGGAGGGGCACGAGGCCCCTCTGTAAATCCGTAGGCGTTAGACGGCACTACCGCCTGCGAGGTTCTCGCCATGCTAATTCGTAGAGGTCTTCGACCGCTGGGAGGCATTGGCTGCGCTCCGGAGAGAGCCGGCCTCGCTCGAGCGGGCTCTTGAGAAGGCTTTGCCTCGGGCTCAGGAGCCCAAGATTCTACTGGTAGATGATCCGACGGATCGATTTCTCGGCCATCGGGCGTCAGGATTTTGGAAGGAGGGTCTGACGCATCAAGTCCTGGGGATGCATCTCTAGAAGATGCCCCAGGGTTGAAGGCGTCGTAAGAATCAGGACCAAAAGGAATATCAGAATGTCTCCTATGATCAGAACGAAGGGGGGCAGGGCTGACCGACTTGCGTCGGATTTTGTGTTGGGGGTTAGGGGAGGGATCTCGATATCCCTGAGCCTGAGTCTGAGCCTGAGCCTGAGCCTGCGACTGCGGATCCGGCCCACCGGCATAGACACCCGATCTTCGCCTATCGTATGATTCATACGCCTGCGGTGAAGTACCATACGGCGGTTCGTGTGAGGGCGGTGGCGGCTCGCTCCCATGACGACTTCGGACAGAAGCGTGTACCATTTGATTATTGTATTCGCCATCATGACGCCTTTCTTCGTATGCTCTGTTGGACAATTCTTGAGCCATGGTAGGGTCTACCCCCGGAGCCAAAGAGGGTGGCAAGGCAGGCAGCCCGTAGCTTGGAGAGCTCTGGATATAGGTAGTCTCGTACTCGCGCTGTTGACTAGGGCGTTGGCTTTGGCTGCTATAAGAATACTGTGAGATCTGTCCGGGGCTCTCGGTATAGTCTCTGGCCGACATTGGAGATACCGAATCTTGATTCCGGGGCTGCTCTTGATACGTAGGATACGCTCCAGGAGATTGGCTCATATAACCAGAAGGTCCTCCTCCCGGAGAGTGGCTCAGGTTCGTGGATACGGGGATCGGGGCGCTGTTAAACACCTCGTCCAGCGGGACGATTCTCGAACTGTTGCGGCGATCCCTGTTCCGCATGGAACCGGTTGGTGATTCTGGGACGTCCTCTACAGTGGGTTGCATGGAGCGATATTGAGCGTCGTAGGCGTCGTAGGAGTTGTGGGGCTCGTAAGCAATAGCTCTTTGAATAGGTGGCTGTGTCGCCATGGTTGGGTCGTAGGCTCGGAACTGTGGGCGGCCAGGGTAGTTTGGGGAAGAGTTTCTATGAGCCTCATTCTTCAAAACATCAGATCTCATGGAAACGGGTGGAACGCCCCTCTGAGGTGATTCGTCGCCTCTCCTTTGCATGCGTTCCTGGCTATTGCTGTGCCGTGACCGGTGAGCGGGTGGCGGGGGAGCTGCCTGTTGGGGGTCACCAAGGGGAGAATACGGCGCGGCATCATCGGCTGGAGTCATATCATAAGGCTCACTCGAAAGCGAGTAGCCGCTGCCGCGGGGATCTTGCTGCTCGTATGGTGAGACGGGTATCTTTTGGCTGTAGCCTCCTCTCTCTCTCTCATACGAGTCCTGCCGTGTCGGGCGAGGCTGGCGAGGCCCCTCAACACGGCCTGAGCCAGAATGACTGGGTGAGTGAGAAAAGTGGTCTGCATGACGGGATCGAGTGCTCCCGTGTGTTGGTGTGCCGTACTCGGCAGTTTCGTGCAGAGAGTTTGTAGAACCGTACGGTGAGTGTGAACTGATCTTGCCGTGAGGTCGGTGAGGAGACTGATAGTCTGATGGAGAGGGGACATTGGCGGTAACTTCGCCGGTAACAGGGTCGGTCGGTAGAGGGCGCCTTTTCACAGGCTCCTTGCGCTTAGGCGGCGAACCCTCGTGCTCGGCTCCCATAGACTGTCTCGTTCTGGCAGCAGGCTTCTCAGGCTTGGGGCGGGAATCGTAGTAAGTAATCTCGAGTCGAATTTCCCCCGCATACTTGCCGCGACATGTCAGGGTTTGCCATACGTCGCTCTGGCCTCCCCCAGCAATAATGATGCCCTTGAGATCGATCCATGCCTCTCCGATGAGATCCGTTTTCTTGTCGTCAGTGAAAACGGACACCTTGAGCTGATAGTAGTCGGCCGAATCATGCACTGTAAATCGCAGCTCTTGGTCCCTGCAGAGACAAAGTCAGCGCTCCGTCTCTGTCTCGCTCCATGGCCAGAGCACATCGGATAGGCTGGGAAAGCTTACCATTTGGGAGTCTGTCCGCCTCTGACATCTGTCGCCGTCTTCTTGGCCTCTTTGCCAAGCCTGGCGGCGCAATATGGGTCCTGTTTGCCTATGGTCTTGCGGTTGGGCAAGTTCTTTGCGCGGTCGACCACGGCAACGAGAGTGCCAATCACAGGCCCGTCAACACTCATGTCGGCAAAGAGCCCTGCCGTATGCGGGCCATTCACGGCAAACTGTTTGGAAGCAGCAGACATGACTATGGTGGGTTGGAGCAGGCTCGCAAGAGCGCTGCCTCGAGAGCTTCTGGAGTGCAGGTTGGAGACATCCATGTTATTTGTTTACATCGGCAGAAAGGCAGGTATGCTTAGCGTATGGCGATCAGCGACGCTTGGGATTGGACGCCACCATTAAACTTTTGTGAGAGGCTGGGTCTGATGACGACAACCAAGAGAATGCACCGGCACAGAATCAGCCTTCAACAGAGAGAAATTCAGAATAGAAAAAGAAAGAGAGAGAGAGGCGACGAGAAGAGAGGAAATAGCCTCGTGCTAGTCTCATGCGCATGGCAATGCAGAAGTTTAAAAGAAGAGGCTTGTGCCGTAGTCGGAAAGTTGTTCTAGCTAACACCTACTAGCGACTGCCAAGGGAGCTGCACAGCGCTCAGCTTTGATGCAGCCGGGCCTGCCAGGGAGCTGCAGCGGTGCTTTGCGTGCGTCCGTGGCTGGGGGCAGGAAACAAAGAGGAAAAAGGGAGACCATACGCAAGTGGTGCTTGGCGCCACAGCTGCAAGTGGGAGGTTTCAGGGCTGGAAGAAGCTCCGAAAAGAGGCTACATCCACCCTTGGGATTCGGCATGAGGGATCCCTTTGATGACGATGAAGCCCTCTCTGGGTGGCTGGTTGCTATAAAAATCGAGGTGGCTGGAGCGGCTACTGCAAGGGCCGCGCTGGACACTAGACACGCTGAAGACCTCACTGGCTCAGAGCTTGGTTGGCGCTGTGGGCTAGTGGCCCGAGTGCTGTGTCTCAGCCCCGCCCAGCGTCTCGTTAGCAGCGTGGACGGGGGGCGGTGCCCTGTCAACGGAGGCTGCTTGTGCTCTGGCTGAGACCAGTAAACAGACATGGCGATCGATCGGCAAGATCAAATGGCCTCTGGCCGCCCTGCAATGCCGGATTGCACATGGCATTGAAGGTCTGGTCTCACCAGACGAGCTTTGTTTGTGTTGCCGCTTCAGCTAATGCAGCCTCCCAGACCCGTGTGCATTCTGTAGCACTGCAGGTGCCGCACGACAGACACAGACAGGCAATGCTGCTCAATTGTAATCACCACTCCCACTCCCACTCTCGCGCCTACGCATCCCCTCCTCTCACGCACATCACCCCCCAATTATCTCTCTGCTCCATAGCCCAGCCCAGCAGCTGACGTCGCCCTGCCACCCAAGCCAAGCCGCCCAAAAAAAAAATTCCGTCTTGCAGACAAATGCGATCAAAACAGGGAACTCTTCTCCGTAACGGCCGTCAAGAGTGGACTTAGGGCACCGCATCTCCCTCGCTGTGCATCTCAGGAGGCGTCAGCAGCGGGTATAGACAGCCTTTTTGTTCTTGATTTTCGGCCCCCACATCCCTGTCATGCTCCGTGCTCAATGCTAACATCGGTTTTCTCAGATTGCGGATCGGGATATATTTTTCTTTACCTAAACGCAGCCCCTCCTTGTTGATAGACGGTGTAGTCCGACCGCATCATTGATATATAAGGGGAGATGCCAGACTAGCGGTCACACTTTCGCTTGCATTGGGTAAGGGGACTCGTGCTTCGAAAATCATATTCCCAAGTAGTACAGACCAGGGGCCATATTGCTTGTAAGACCATTGCCGGAGTGGTAAGTAGGATGCTAACCAGCAGATCCTCATCGCCAATCGTATCGATGTTAGATACGAGGTCGCACGTCACACAAACCAAAGCCTCTCCAATGCATTGAGACTCGATCGTGGCTGAGTACGCCCTTCTCACGCAAGCAGCGATTAATCGATATTCGTATGCACGTAATATTAGGGCGCAAAAACCTTTTACATTCTCTTTATAACTCTCGTCTACCAATCACAGCCCTTGGCCAGAAGCTCGGCAAGCTGCTCCAGGTTCTTCTTATCCGTCTCGTCGAACCCATTCAGGACGGCGCAGTCAACGTCAATGATTGCGACGACTTTATCGCCCGATACGATGGGAACCACAATCTCGCTCTTGCTTTCACTGTCACACGCAATATGACCGGGAAACTTCTCCACATCCTCGACTAGTTGCGTGGTCTTCGTGGCCGCAGCAGCACCGCATACTCCTCGTCCAAACGGGATCGTCTGGCAGGCAACTTTTCCCTGGAATGGTCCCAGAATGAGCTGATCCTTGGCCGTGGGATCTAGGACATAGAATCCTGGAATGAAGCAATGAGCATAAGTCCTCGGATACACAGATGGAGTGGATGAATGGTCACTTACCTGCCCAGTTTACTTCATTGCTCGGGGCGGCAAGAGACTTGTATGCATGCCATAGTAGTGAGGCTGCGTTAGACAGGTTACTAGTAGAAACCGCCTCATGTCAATACGATGAGGCTCATGTAAAAGACGCTCTGCTCTCTCTATATGATGCCGATCACCTACCAGACCTGTTACCACCAGAGGAGCCACATGTTAGCCGTCGTAGACGCGGTGAAGCGGTAGAAGAAAGGAGATTGACGAACCCAGTTGCGCTGACCGTAAAAGAGCCCTTCGGCCTGTAACAGCACCTGCTCATATGCATCATCCTTGGTGACGCCGTCGGCAAAGTTGGACGCATCGGCGTGGACCTGCAACATTCAGGTGAGCATACCAGCCTCCCTTCTCCATCGTGCTCTCGCTAGCACCGGGGCCCTGAACAAACCATGGCTCCTTTTTTTCCTGGTGTTCTCCTTTATCCCTGGCGACAATAAGAACCTTCTTTCCTTGGCGTTTGTCAAATCTCCTTTTCAATCTCACAGATCGGTAACTGCTGGTTTCGAGATCCAAAGCCGGTTTTCTCGAAGGATGTGGGAAAAGCCATGAGTTGACTGATTAGTCACCGAAAACTTCGAGATGGGGAACCCACTCAGCAAGAGTCGGCACAGCGAGTCAGTGGAGGGCAATTGACGCCATCGGAACTACCCGGTGGAGACTGGACTGTGTGTCTTGAAGAATTGGTTGTGTTTAGCGCGGATAGCGAAAGGAGGAGACCTATGTCTTGCTAACATGAAGAGCAAAAACTGTTGCATTGTACAGGCGATGTCGACGTCGTTGCCTTCAAAAGATGCCACTATCTTATCTGATAAGCTACATGCAGTCCATGAAGCAAAGAGCGCCGCCACTCTTTCGAGCTGGCTGTCGAATTCTCTTTCTGACACGTCGCTATTCCACCATGTATGGAGCCCAAAACGGATATCAACGGTGGTCAAGTCTCACTTTCTTGCGAGACAGGTGCGGTGAGCAGGCGCCCACTTCAAGCTAAAGAAGCAAGCCACATCGCTTAACAGGAAAGCCAGGAACATGAATCTATGGACCGCCATCGGGAGAAATCTGGATTCGGCGCTTAGAAGTCGATCCCGAGATTAGCATATACCTACATGTATAGCTCCCGGAGCTCTGCATCCCTATCCATCACAGGTGTATAAGCATGCCCAACGTCACACAGTAGCAGTGCAGCGGCACAATTCCAATATCAGCTCTAGAGGCAGTATTTATATGGTAGGTAACTTCATGTTACCATATATACATGGCAGTCTAGACCCCGTAACATGCCTTATACATGCCTGCACGTGAAAAATTACCGAGTACATGTAACCTCAGCAATTCTATCCAGATTAAGTCAAGATACTATACTACATGTACATATGTCTGACGTATTATAAATCTCAACCACCAGGAGCTGTAAACAGAAGATAAAAATAACACTGATGGAACAGAATTTCTTCAGATACATCAGCTATTTTTTTTTTTTTTTTTTTTTCATTGTTGTTTATATAACCATTGAATTCGACGTGCTTGCGGCGCTTTGAGTAACCGTGCCAAATCTGTGCCTGGGCAGGCGACTAATATTTTAGCAGCTGGTAAAACACCGGCATCAATATATGACACGAGCCTTCTTCTAGTCCATCTGCGTCCTGCAACCCAATTACCTTTCAGCTAGACGGTTATAGACATGATATTAGGCCCTCGTTCATTCTTTTTGTTTTATTTATGATTTGACGGCGTCGGAGGCGGTGCAGTTGCCACAATGAGTTATCGAGTCACGCAGCGATGCGGCTTAACAGCGCAAAGGACATGGCTCTTTAGCCCTCAACTCCTCGCCGCGCAGTCGCGCAGTCTACACACCAGCCGATCCGTATGTCAAACAAGAGCTGCTGCTCCTACTACTAACAAGAGCTTTCGTCCCACTACCAAGCCGCAGAGGCCTATAAACGCGGCTATTAACCCTCCTGCTTCGACTCGCCCTCCGCCGCTGGAAGCCGTTGAACCGCAGTCATCAAAGATCAAGTATTACTTCAAGCTGGGCAAAGCCTATGTAATCTTTTTCAAGGATGGCGTGAAAGCTATCATGGCGAACCGCAGGTTGGTAAACGAAAAGATCAAGGCCTTGCCAAGCGGAGAGCGGCCATCAATTTTCAAGCCGCACCACATTCCCAGCACATTCTCACGCGCAGATTGGGTGCTGCTATGGCGAACCAGGCATGATCTGATGCGATTGCCCCTCTTCGCCCTGTTTTTCATCATTGCCGAGGATCTGACACCTCTTTTGGTTGTCTTCCTGCCAGGGATCTTGCCGTATACATGCCGCTTTCCGAGACTACTAGGCATCACGCGAGAGAAGGCTGAGCAACGGCGTAAAGCTGCCTTCAACGAATTGGAGGGCCAACACCCTCATGGTGCCCTGAGTCCAGGAATTACGAAGAGTGTAGCGCACCGGCACCTCCTCAAGTCTTTAGACCTCTCAGGCAGGATGTGGGATCGCCTTGGATTCACTCCCCCCGGCATGTGGGCTATCAAAGGCAGACTACGCATGATATTCTTGGAAATCGACGATCAGCGGCTACTCCAAGATGGCGGCCCATTGGGCCTCGAAGCTGAAGAGCTTCGAATCGCTTGTTCTGATCGGGGTATCAACATTCTTGGCAAGAGTGAGACGGAGCTTAAAACGAAACTTGGCGATTGGCTACGGTTGACGGCAGCGGAAGATCTGGGAGAGCGGAGGCGACGCATGGCGACGTTGCTGCTGACAAGGTACGTGCTGCTTCTATTATACAAAGCTGGGCTCAGGCGGGCAAGATCTAACTGACGTGTAATGCATGTATGCAGACCTGAAAACTGGCCTCAGCAGCGCGATTTCCCCGTTCCCGAGTGGGAGCTGTAAATTATAATACTTCAAGTTTAGATCCAAGACAATCTTGGCGCAGGCTCGGCAGAGTGGCCTTTGGTACAACATGCCTGCCATGCTAAGGTATAGATGAGAAACCCATTATTCTCATTACTGTTGCATCAAAATTGCGCATGGAGCCTTAATTGATTCATCCGTTGGCTATTTTCGAGCTGTATATTAGATGTATTTTTATAGCGATTGGAGCTAGATCTTAGATGGCGCGATCGATCTCATCTCAACATCCGCGGTTCGCAGCATACCTACGCTTTCCCACTCAGCCAATTCTTCAGTCACATGAACTTACAATAAACAAAAGATTCGCCTGATTATCCCAATGCGCTCGGCTATGCCGTTTCTAAATCCCACGTGCAAAATCCGGGGCCCCGAGCATGCGCCACCCCGGGGTAAGCCCCCACGCAAGAGATGAGCCAGATGCAGCAATCGCAAAGCACCGCGTAACCTCGAACCAGAGCACGAGCTTCAGGGCAAAGACCCCGAGCTGCTTTCGCCTACGTAGATCTTTTTCCTCCTGGCTATTTGATCTAACCTAGCCAGTCCCGTTTGCCGGTTCATACATACAAACATGTGCCATCCAGAGGGAAAAGGACAAAACACTAAGTCCCAACAAAGTAATTGAGCTGCAGCCATCCGCATCCATGGCCCGCCGAAAATGATGATGTCAGCAACTTCGGCCGAGGCTCGCATCACATGCGCGTCCCATCAGACGCATCCATCCATTCCGGCTAATACTGAACCAACTACCTATTAAAGATTGAACCAACCTCTTCCCTCTTTTTTTTCTCTTGAATTCATTCTAAAGCGCTACTCGTATACCCTCTCCTCAGCTCTTCTCCGCCCATCATCGCATTTACCAGATTCCTCGCCGCCCACCATGTCTCTCAAGAACGGTAAGCCCATTCCCAGCCAACAATAGCAAAAGCTCAAAAGGCTAATCTGTTGCGCGCGCGTGCGCTCTCTCCCTCTCTCGCAGACGCCTTCCCTTCCTCCGAGGCCTTCGAGGCCATCAACGCCGCTCTCAGCAGCGACGATGCCGGCCGCAAGGATGCCATCAAGAACGGCAAGGCTGTCTTTGCATTCACCCTTAAGAACAAGGCGGGTGAGACTGCCGACTGGCACATCGACCTCAAGGAGAAGGGCACCGTTGGCACCGGCCTCGGCGAGAACCCCAACGGTATGAACATTCTTCAATTTAGCATTTGGGGTTTTTTTTTGTAGTGCCTGCATGCTAACTGTGGCTCTCTCTCCAGTCACACTGTCTCTTTCCGACGAGGATTTCGGCAAGCTTGTTACTGGCAAGGCCAACGCCCAGCGTCTCTTCATGTCCGGCAAGCTAAAGGTCAAGGGCGACGTCATGAAGGCCACCAAGATGGAGCCCATCCTGAAGAAGGCTCAGACCAAGGCCAAGTTGTAAAGGCTGCGGGATGGGGGGGAAAAAAGAGAAAGAAAGAAACAAGCAAAAAGAAAAACAAATTACTAAACGGCATTTTTGTTTTATTAATGTATCATACCATCATTGTTACACGCTGCAGCCCACGGCTATCCCTGAGATATGCTGTTTGTTTTCCTTTTGCCCGCTGCATGAGCTGGGAGGAAATTGATTATATATAGTGCCTTATGAATGTCGGCATAGACGAGAATACCATACTCGGCTGGATACGTAATCTAGCTTGAAATTTTTGATCATTTTTCACATTAAATGTCTTTTTTTTTTTCTTTAAACACTAGTCGCTCATCCCTTTAGAAACGAGCTGCAACTTTGCGGATAGCCTGCTTGGCTTCCTCACGTACTTCGCGCACAATCTCACCTGCAGGTTGCACTTTTGTCACCAGTCCAATGCCAGCACCTCTATAGATGTATTAAAACTCATCAGCAACAAGGTCTCTCCAAATCACAATACACCCCAACAAAGGGAGGGAATAGAGAGAGAGAGAGAGAGAAAAGAGAGGGAATGAAAACTTACGCCCAAGTATCAATCAATCGAGCGCTCTCTTCAGGAGGATAGTCTTCCTTCAAGCTCTTGTGGCAATCTTCAAACGACGCCCCGGCGAGAAACTTTTCATGTATGGGGCCGACAACGGCTCTGCCGTCATAAAGGGAGCCCCAAAGATCAGAATCGGCAATCTTGTCGTTGAAGGTGGATTTGAGCGTCGAGAGGGCGCCATCAACTGCATCGAGGACGATCTTCTTCCGGAACTCGGGTAGGATGCTTTCCTTGGCAACGATGAACTAGAGAGCTTTCTGTTAGCTTACATCGTCTCTGATGTTTTAACAAGTTTTTTTTTTAATTTCCTGTTTCAAAATGTGTGTATGCAATAGGGGGGTTTACAGACTCTTGTACCAATAACCACGCCATCAGCCTCTATTATATGCATTCGTTAGCACATCTCGTCTCATCTTATATATGTGACTTGCATGAAAACTTCAACTCACCAAGCGTCAGCATAGCCGCCACTCCCTTCCCGTTTGTAATGCCTCCCGTCGCAAAAACCGCAACGTCATAACCCCCCTCATCAACCAACTTCCTCACTTCAGACAACAACGGCACCACGCCCATCCCTCTTACATACTGATGTCCTCCCGCGTCCGTCCCCTGGGCGACAACCACATCCGCGCCATCTTCGATGGCTTCTTTCGCGGCCGTCGCGTTCCCCACCTGAATAAACACCCGTGGCGGCGTCTCAAGCCCCTTTAGCAGCCGAACAATCTCCTTCTGCGGCCGGATGCTCTCGTGAGGCGCGAAGAGCCACACCGCCGCGGGTTTGTGCTTCTGAATGATGGGCAGAGTCGTGACCTCGAAGTTGACGACGGATTTGTGGCAGGTAAGGAAGCCGGCGCCGATGCGGAGGTGGCCGGAGGGCGTGGTGGCGTCATCGCCGAGGAGCTGGCGGATCTTGATGAGCTCGGCATCAAGCCGAACGACTTGCGATGAGTTCTCGCTGAGATCTGCGATGCAGCCCAAGAAGCCTATCGAGTTTGATGTTAGTGTTTATTTTTTATCCTCTTAATTTTTTTTTTTTCCTTTATTTATCTATTCGCTTTTGTTTATTTCATCTCGCGGTGTAATGTTGTTGCTTAGCTTTTACGCATGTCTGAATTAATAAGGCTATATCATCACATACCCAAACCACCCGCCTTGGACACTTCAGCTGCGAGTTCTGGACTGACAGGCCCCGCCATAGGCGCGCTGGCAATTACCGGAGTCTGCAGCCAGGGAAACCATTTCAAAACCTGTGAGGTGGACATCTTCTTAGCAAACATACACTTACTACCTAGCAGGTAGAAAAATGAGTCTAAACGTTTGTCTTGTGAAGAGCAAGGATGGGTTTACAAACAGGCCACTTATGTGATGGAGGGGAGACGACGTATATTTATGTGTGTAAGCTTTAAGCACCGGAGATGCTGAATCTGCTGATTAAAACAATTGTGGCTTCCCAAGGTTCGGAGCTTCCCAAGGTTGATTCCTAGGGCTTAGTCAACCCATTATTATGCATAAGCTGGCGAGCAGCATACCAAAAGCTGCCACCATATACCAGTCTCGAGAAACTATTTTCACTCGAACTACACGCTATAGGATTACGAGGCTAGGATGACGTGTGCCTAAATCATCAATAAATCATCAATTCTTCATTAGATTGCGTGACTTGTTTTGCCATCTTCTAGTAAATAAAATAATCCTGACTATACTTTTACTCATATATTTTCCTACTCTCTGTCATTCAGCTGAGGCGGCTTGTTGTTCAGGATCTCGTCAATCTCGGATAAAATCTCCGGCGTCAACTTGTCCACAACATCCAATGCCTTGACATTCTCATACACCTGCTCGGGGCTGCTGGCACCGGTGATGGCAGAGCTGACATTGTCGTTCTTGAGGACCCAGGCCAGCGCCAGAGCGCTCTGCTTGACGCCCAACCGATCGGCAATGGGCTCCAACTTGTTGACACGCTGGATGATCTCCTCCCAAGCCTCCTTCTTAGTGCGCTTCCAGTAGCCAGCGATGAAGGGGACCTCGGTCTGGGCGAAGCGGGAGTCGTCCGGAATGCCGTTCTTGTACTTGCCGGACAGGATGCCCTGGTACAGGGGCGAGAAGACGGTGAGGCCCAGGCCGTGCTGGCGGTACAGGAACTGGTAGTCTCCCTCGACCTTCGTCCGGTTGAGCATGTTGTACGCGGGCTGCTCCATCAGTGGACCGATCAGGCCCAGCCTGTCTGCCACGCGCCACGCCTCCGCAATCTCCACGCCGGTCCACTCCGAGGTGCCCCAGTAAAAGGCCTTGCCGGAGTCGATGATGTGGTTGAAGGCGCGGACAGTCTCCTCCATGGGGGTCTTGCGGTCGGGACGGTGGGCGTAGATGAGGTCGACGTATTCGAGGTCCAGGCGCTTCAGGGAAGCGTTGACACCCTCAACAATGTGCTTTCGGGAGAGACCCAGGTTGTTGACAGGGTTCTTGCCAAATGCACCACCCCAGTAGATCTATCATTGAAAGAAAAGAAAAAAGCGCCGAGCGTTAGCAGCAGATCTCTCGGACTTCATCTCCTGCAGCTATTCCTATACGTGGGAAGATTCGCAGTACCTTTGTGGAAATGACCAAGTCATTGCGGTTCCAGCCGTACTTCTTGATGGCCTCGCCCATAACAATCTCGGACTCGCCTCCGGCATAGGCTTCGGCGCAGTCAAAGAAGTTGACACCAGAGTCGTACGCAGCCTTCATGCATGCGTATGTACCCTCTGATAACCCACGGTTAGTAAGTTTCCTCTTTTTGCCTCTCTTTCATCTTCTCTTGGGCTTCCTTCTACACACCTCGGTCAACGTGGCCACCGTAAGTGAGCCATCCTCCTAGTGAAATGGACGAGACCTGGAGACCGGAGCGTCCCAGGAATCGGTATGTCATAGCGGGGAGTCCTTCAGGCTTAGCCATTGTGTCTGAGTTGAGGGGGGGTATCTCGTGATGCTGAGAAAATCAATGAGCTTCGAAATCATCACAATTCGCGGGCGGCACGTCCTTGTTTAAATACCCCGATCTACAGTCCATCCTAGCTTCCCCTCCCCCTCCTCAAGAGCTCCTGAGGGGCACTTTTGGTTCTGCAAATTATGAGTGGGGGACACAAGGAAGAGGGAATTCGGAGTTGGAACTATACACACTGTGGTGAATAATACGCACACAGGACGGGATTCATTCTTCTCAGAGGCTGCTCGTATTATTCGTTTATATGTGTGCGCATCGTCAATTCGTGATCCCAGTCACCTAGTCCCCCCCCTTGCCATGATGTGCTCTCAGCGTCAAACAGGCGGGGCGCCGTTTGTCCCGTCAAAGGTCGTATGTAGGTACATACATACAGGCCCGTGTCTTACGATGAGGTGTATTCTGGCGCCCTTGCAAATAGCCGCGGCCGTTAGCTTCAGTGGCTGTTGCGTGCTCGCATTAAGCGGCCGCGAATAACATTGATATGTCCGGATTTCTAAGCACTGAGGTAGCGCCGCGCTGGGTCTGAAGACGGAGAGACTTGCAGTGATTCCCATGGCTGTGGATCAGGCTAGTTGGCCTAAATGCAAGAGGTTGTGCAACTAATAGCATCGGCGCATCGGTATATCGTCACTATGTGCGTGTCACTGCGCAGGGCACCTTGATAGGCAAAGTAATTAACAACCTACTATACCTAGTAGGTTGACAAAGAGCTCACATAGCTTGCTTGTGGCTTTCGAATAAAAATGGATCACTCTCTAAAAGCAACGTCACTTTTTTTTTTTATTAACAACGATATGGCGCATATACAGTATACTGTATGTGTATATTCGGTGTTTTGCGGGCCCCAAGGTTGCGCCCAACTAGGAATATTTCTTCGAAGCCCAGTCTCTGAAACATCACTCTTTTGATTAACAACAGGATTGCTCATAAACACATACATCGTGATTTGTAGTCCACAAGGCTGCACTCAATTAGGGATATTTCTGCGAAGTGCAGAGCCAGAAAGCCCCTCCTCTGCGACGCTGCTGTAGGGTAGCCATGTAAAGTTGCGTCACAGCCAAGCCACCCCACGCAGGGCTCAAATTCAAGTCGCTAGGGAGTCCTATAAGATCTTGGGCGTTTAGATTGTACGGGCAATTGTTCAGCATTGGTTGATCGGAAACTATCGATCGATCCTACTGCAGTAGTCTATCGGTTAATATATAAGCCATATAAGGCCATTGACTCACTCGCCGACCGAATTACATCCTATCGCCATGTAATACGCGGAGAAGCTGTTAGCGTATACCTTAAATATAGGTATGTAGCGAGCATCACCATATTTCTGTGCCTGGTAGACTTGTTCAGTCTTTCCTTTCTCGCTCTATGTACTACGGAATTTTTGAGACTCAGGCGTTGCCCGGTAGCTGGAGACTGCATACTTCGCCGTTGGTGGCCAGCACGTCTTGCTCCATGCATGCGCCCCCAAAAAGGGAGAGGAAATAGTACTAGTCGCCTTGGGGAAGAATCAATATCCTCACTCGTCGGCCCAGAGACATGTAATACGACGGTCTCGGCCGTGCCTGGTAGAAGCATGGATTCACGGGCTCCACGATATTGCAACGGGCCAGCAACGGGCCAGCAGATACGGTACTACTGTATAGTATCCTGTAGGGGACCCGACTCCTACTGCAAGGGCAATAGGCACCTGAGTGTCACTCACATACATAGTATGCAGCGGCGTTGTGACGAGGCTAGTGCACTCAGGCGCAGCGTGCTATTCACAGCGGTAGCCAGTCATTGAGTGCCTCGTAGCCGACGGCGCTGCATGCGGGGATGAGGATGCGACTCGAGGGCCGCGTTCAGTGGGTATATGAGTTGGAGGAGCTGGAGCTGGATTATTGAATACAGGCGCGCATTGGCCTCGACGTGGATAATTAACGAGGGAGCCACTTTGCGAGAGCCCCGTTGCCGCGACACGACACGACACCGCGAACGATGCACGATGCATAAAGATGGCCTCCAATACTCCATACATCGTATCGGGTTCGCTCAAATCACGGGGGACGGATCCGGCAAAATGTCTGCGGAACTCGTACGAGCCAGACGGGTTCCAGCAGCATCACTACCGCCAGTTAATAACGCAATATGGATCTTTAATAAGATGGCACTTGCTCAGATTTAAGGTAGCCAAGGTCCGGCGTAGTGTCGTCGCCCATATCCGCTTTATTACGGCATTGCCTAGGCACAGAGGCAGGTAGGTGGTAGCATTCCGTGCCTGGCCAGTCGTCCTTTGCCCGGGATTTTAGTGAGAACAATTAGCAAATAAATTTGGCGGTAAGGGGTCAGTAAAGCGTCGGTCATTAGCGACAAAGAAAGCTCGGATAACTACTAGCACCATCGATTAGCCAGGGGGAGCTTCATGAACAGCTCCGTATAGCAAACCTCTGCTATCATTGCCGTGGAGACGCGGATGGGGCCTCTCGTCTAACGGGGCTGGGACGCTGATTCTACTTGTACAGGCAGGATCAGGGACCGTTCGTTAAAGCTTGGCCGTCGCTGCTACTACTAGTACATAATAGCAGTATGGAGTAGCAATATGCACTTGGCTGGCTTCTCCACACAGTAGTTTCTGCTAGTAGCAGGTGTAGATTGTCACCATAATGCAAGCTTGGACGACACCGGAACTCAAAAGCTTGAATGCATGAAGCAAAACAATGATTGGGGTAGATGGAATGCGAGGGCGAGGCGCAGGATTTCTCTCGGCTCGACAATGGCAACACGTCTCGCTGCACTCGGCTGGACGATGGCCAATGCCAAGAAACGACTCGGATCACCATCGGCGCCGCCAGCGGAGGGGGCCAGGCTCGTGAACACGCAGACGAGGAAGCTGCTTGCTTGGAAGCGAAATGGCGAAAAGGGCGACAATGCCGATTTTTATTGCCCGCAGAGTTATTTTGATGCCTGGTAGGGCTTACGCAGGTTGCAACTACCTGGCCACAGGGCACTTTGCGGCAATATGATTTTGGATTGAGTATCTGATCCTTTTTTCGCGTTTGGCGAGATTCCAAACCGGCTGCATGTGTCCTGTGCCCGTAATCGTCGCATTCACCGCAGCGCTCTGTTCTTCGAGCTTGGTGGCCCAGCACCCAAATACCTCACCTTGTGCCCTGGCTCGCCACGCTGCGTTCAAGGATGAGCTTTCTGGATCTGAGCAAGCAAGAANAAAAAAAAAAAAAAAAAAAGGGAATACGTACTATGTAAGAGAGTGCAAAAAAGAAGCCGAAAAAGGCACTTACTTACAGCGTCGCATGGTGACCAAGGTTCTTGCAAGCTCCATCCGTAGCTTCGTTTGCATTGTATTGGATCTTCTGCAAGGCCCTGCGCTCCAGTTCGCGTTCCTGGTACGCGGTGAAGCACCGTCCACCAAAGTAACTTGGGGGTGCGCGCCGTAGCCAGCAGGTACCTCACGCGCGAGTACCCAGTCGGTGAAGCGCAGGTACCGCGATACCAGCCTAGCACCGAAATACCGCGACCAAACCCCAGCCCAACCCAGTCCGAGTCCAGCCTTGGTGAAATCCCAGCCTGGTAGCGTCCCATTTTCCCCTTCACCCTTTCTCTCCTCCTTTCCTGCGTGCTGATTTTTGTTCCCGCTCGTTTCTCGCCAGCCATTCACAGGCAATCGAGCCAGCCATCCAAAACCCGCGAGACGGAACTGAAGTGGCAAACAAACTCAGATCCAGCAGCAATCGCGTGAGTCCAACTCTGCACTACTGCACATGCTAACCGCCGAGTGCCTGGATGCGGGCGAGGCAACGGTGCGAAGAAGCGCGGCTGCCGGTGTGGGTTGCGTTGCGTGGCGCGGTGTCGCCGGTTCCATGAGGGTGGCCTTCTAGTCTGGGCCTCGACACTGGCGCTGGTCTGCTCGCAGCAGGCGCTGGTGCGCTGTTCGCTGGCCCTCCAGGCGCTGCAGTGGACAACTTTTTGTGCAGCTGCACCGCCTAGCGTGTCCGGTCCAGCGCGGCCAGGCTAGTGGACCGCCCGCCACTCAGCGCTGGACAGTACACGGGACAGCCCCCAGGTTGGCTTGACCGCCCGCCCAGCCCCTGCCGAACCCCTGCTGGTCGCCTCAGCAGACTTTGCCTGGCCCCGAAATCCAGCGCCCCAGCCCAGCGGCCGTCCACTCACTCACTCCTTCGCCCTTTTCTGTCTCGATCGCCTTCCTCTGCATCTCCATTGCCATCATCTCCAGCACCGTCAATCGCCTCCATCCCCATCGCAGCTCCGCGCCGGAATGCTTGTTTCATCACGTCGTCGCTGACTGCTTGTATCCTTTTGGCCCTTCCCACAGATACCGGCCCTCTAATTTTCCGCCCCCTGTCCAGGGGCTGCCTTCGTTGCTCCCGAGCCTCGTCTGCCGACCGTTCGCCCGACCGGAAGTAGTCGACGGTCCTCCTCTCGCCTTCAGTCCTTGATCAATCCGAACCTCCATCGACATCTTGAGGAGCCGTATCGCGCACCGCAGCCATGGCTTCCTCATCGTCCAACGTCGTCGGCGTCCACTACCGAGTCGGAAAGAAAATCGGAGAGGGCTCCTTTGGTGTCATCTTTGAGGGTACCAATCTGCTCAACAACCAGCAAGTGGCCATCAAGTTTGTGAGTAGCAGAGCCGAGTCTATGGCATGCGGGTGTAGAAAGACGGAAACAATCGCGTCTTTCTTCGCTGTGGCCTTCAATTTTGGATTCGATTTTTTTTTACTGACCTGCTTTCTCGCAGGAACCTCGGAAGAGTGATGCACCACAGCTTCGAGATGAGTACCGCACGTACAAAATTCTCGTCGGTTGCCGTAAGCTATATATGCCAATCAATTTACACTTAATTCCAGTGTCATGGGCATTTGGATACTAACGAGACGCGCGTGTTCTAGCTGGCATTCCCAATGTCTACTACTTTGGACAGGAGGGTCTGCACAACATTCTGGTCATCGACCTGCTCGGCCCTTCACTGGAAGATCTTTTCGACCACTGCGGACGCCGATTCACGATTAAGACTGTTGTCATGGTCGCCAAACAAATGCTTTCTCGAGTCCAGACGATACACGAAAAGAACCTCATCTACCGTGATATCAAACCTGACAACTTCCTGATCGGACGACCGGGTACCAAGGCATCCAATGTCATCCACGTGGTTGATTTTGGCATGGCCAAGCAATACCGAGACCCCAAGACCAAGCAGCACATCCCCTACCGCGAGAGAAAGTCGCTGTCCGGTACTGCCCGTTACATGAGTATCAATACCCATCTTGGACGCGAACAATCTCGAAGAGACGATCTCGAGGCTCTCGGCCACGTCTTCATGTATTTCCTTCGCGGTGGCCTTCCCTGGCAGGGCCTGAAGGCTGCTACTAACAAGCAGAAGTATGAGAAGATTGGTGAAAAGAAGCAGACTACTGCCATCAAGGATCTTTGCGAAGGCTTCCCAGAGGAGTTCAACAAGTACTTGACGTACGTCCGAAACCTTGGTTTCGAAGATACCCCCGATTACGACTACCTCAGAGAGCTTTTTACCCAGGCCTTGAAGAACGCTGGTGATGTCGAGGATGGCGAGTACGACTGGATGAAGATCAACAAGGATTCGGGAAAGGGGTGGGACTCGATGAAGAATCATGGCGCCGCATACTTGCACAACCCAAACGCGCGCCCCGGTCCTTCTCAAATGGAGCTGCACAGTGGTCATCGTCCTGGGAATACCACCTCTCAACAGCAGGCTCCGATCACCGTCAGCCGTTTAAACGCCGCGCAGCCACCTCCTCCATCGCCGATCAAGCAGATGGGGAGCAAGAGAGATCGACCAAACGCCCAAGGCGGGCTGCAAGCCCAGCGCATGAGTGGAACAGGCCTTCGCGAAATGGGTACCCCGACTGGCTCAACTCAGGCCCAGTTCCAGAACAGCACCCAGAACCTGCCTCAGCCGATAACGACCCAGCCGGGCCCCATGGCGGCCGCGGGCCAGCCTAGCGGACGACCTGCCGAAGCCCCCCAGCCCAGCGGCTTCCAGAAATTCATCAAGACTATTTGCTGCGGCTAAAGTGAGCGTTTTTGTTTCAGCGAGTTTTTCGGGATTTATTTACCATGCATGGCTGCGACATTGTACCCCGACAATTTTATGTCGACGCCCCTCTTAATTCTACTGGAGATTTGGTTCCTTACAATATATACCTGCCAGCATGGCGGACATTTGTTCTCTGGATCCGAGCAACCGTGTGGCTTGGCCAGAGACTACATGGCAATTGCGAGCTGCAGGGCCTTTGACTAGAGAAAGACGATGGACCGTTCGAGGCGACAACGCTCTGGTTTGGAAACAAATAGCGAATCCATGTACTCCATACATTCACCACTTCCATGTCATAAACACCTACCACTCAATAGAAGAACCGCGGCACTGATTGGAGCACCATGTCCATTATGACCAACCGAGCAGGAGTTGAGATAGAAGAAAAAACGACAGACGGATACTGGTCTTGATTTTTAGGTTGGACTTGTTTTCCTTTTTTCTTTTTCATTTTTTTCATTTCCATTTTATTATTTCCTTTTTTTTTTCTTATGTCTGACATTCCATTACGACACCATACTACACCACTTTCGATGTGCAGCGCAGCAAGGCGCAGGATGGTCACGAAGGGCAGCATTGGGTCTGGTCCAGGTGTACTTTTCTTTTTACTCTTATTTGCACCGTCTATATAATAAGTCTTGCGAGATTTGCGAATCATGGAGTGGTGGAGAATGAGATAGAGATGGGAACGGGGGAAGAGCGAAGAGCGGGCAATGGAATGTGTATAGAGACGAATTCGAGATAGCAGCAGCATATGGCGTGAAGACAGTTGAGAAGTCGGCGAAGCTTTTTGTACGGAGGCGAGAAGATGTCTTTTGAGAGTTTGGGATCCGTCATTAGGTAGGGAGTTATTCATCGGTATACCTTGTAATGGAATTAGGATTGTCCAAAAACAACCAAAGAAAAGAAAAAAGAAAAAAAAAGAAGAAGAAGCGGCAAGACGAGTAGAAAGTATCAAAAATAATTGGAGCAATTACTATCAAATTTTTTCATTTCTTTCGATTTATCGTAACTACACTTTCGCATCCCACATTAAGTCGATTGGACCACTTCAACCCTTTTTTCATCATCGTATACTTTGGCTATGCACTATGACTGAGCTGCTCCCCGATACTTGAATCAGGAATGATGTATTGGTATAATATCCTCTTTTTCACAAATTCCACCACATTGTTTTGACAAAAGAATTTTTCCTCTCTTTTTCGCTCTATGTAGTAGTAGTAGCTCTCCTTCGTATCTCCTTTGTATCCATTTAGGTAAGCTTCTGCTTAATGAAGAAAGAGCGTAGATGAGACAGTTGCCATGCGCAGGTGGCGCCGAGGATGACGAGCTGAATAATGATCCATCGAATAACACGGGCGTTGGTAGACTCGGACTGATCTCTGAATTCGGCCTCTCGCTCCTGTAGATTGCACGTTCAGATTAGTTTACGGTCAAAAAGGTATATAGGATGGATATGAAAAAAAGGGGGGAGATCACTGACTCTTTGGAAAACTTGCTCCCTGCGAATGTCGTTTAATCTAGCATTGAGATCCTTGACGCGAGTAGTAATATCCTGCAGCTTGTCCTTGTCGTCGCTCTCAATCTGGCTGGTCTCGCCAATTACCATGTCGAGGCGCAGCTTGATGCCGCCGTTGGGGTTTGTCATGGAGAGCCAGCCTGTGCGGCCGCTGCTGGATGAGGGCATGAAACAGATCTTGTGGTCGCCAGCGTCGGCGGCAGAGAAGGTGAAGCGGCCGGAGGAGGTGCCTCGCTGGGAGACGACACGGTGGTTGTTATCGAAGATTTCCTACATGGTTCGTTGCGTTAGCCGGTGACATTGACACATCGCAGGTAAACAAAGCATCTTTTATTGCCTCGTTTTATAAAGGTGGCAAAACGAAATTGGCCTTGCGTGCGCACATACCTCGACAGTGATGTAGATGCTGATGCCCTGGTGCTGCTGCCACTGGTTCGCTCTGTCATCCCACTCCTCGGCGGAGTAGTGGCCCACGACGAGGGTGTCCTTGGGGAGCTCTTCGTAGAAACACTTGGGAGTGCCTCCATCGACGTAGAAGTACAGGGCTTGCGCCGCAGCCACGAAGGTTGCGAAAGAAAACAGGGACCTCATGTTGGCGTTCGTGCAGAGGGGAGCTCTGTTGCTATGCAGGTACAATTGGGCCACCGGATTCTCCTTTGCTCCCAGGTCTTTCGCTCTATTAGACAGAGGCAAAAAGATGTAGTCCTCTGCGAGGGAATTGCAATTGAAGCCCTGTCGCCTTGTTGCGGAGGGAAAAAGATGGATGCAATTGCCGTCAAGCCTCCCTTCGAGATTGTACGGCGGTCACTTTCGACTCGAGCAGTCCCTCCACGGGAAGCTGCCACGTTCAAAGAATCCAGGGGTCTGCGGGCGCCCAGCGGAGTCACGTGCTTGCGACAAGCCGCCAAACGCGCTTTTCCAGAACCACTGGGTTAAACTATCCAACTGTAATCCATCAGCCTTGCGCTTTGACTGCTTTTTTCAACCTGTTATACTTTTCCCTCCTCTTCTTAGATCATCGCTGCATTCAATTTCAAATATTGCGCACATCCGACCCCGACGATCGCCTGCATCCCATTTAACCAAATATTCTCTTTCCGACTGGATACCATTATTTTCTCTGGATTTCCGCTTTCGAGACAATAGAGCGATGACGGCATAAATTCTCCCCCATCGCTTCTCGCATCTCATAACGACACCCCGATAATCTCCTCCATAACACAATGGCATCCTCCGACGTCCGCGACGTGCTCAACCTCCCCGAAGGCGCTGCTGGCGGTCCTCGCCCCTCCAAGAAACAGAAAGTCTCAGCGCCGCGTCCCAACCTTAAAGGCCTTGCGCGCGAGGTTCACAATCTGGGCGGTGACAACCCCATCGCCATTGTTCCAGAGGTCACGCAGTTCAAGAAACGTCGCTTCATTAGCCGTAAACCAGCCGCGCGGTGGGAGCTGAGGCCATTCCGGAATTCTGGGAGAACGGATGCAAGTCTGACGTTGAGGCATTGGAGGAGAGTTGAAGAGGGAAAACAGCCTTCTGCTACAGTGCGAGGTGAGGGACAGGCTGGAGAAGATGACGTGTCTGGATCAAAGGGCGAAGAGGAGATTGAAGATACGTTATATGCCAAGTATAACGTTCAGGTCTCTGTACCGCAGTACAGTGATGACCAGTATCATCAAGTCCTGGAGAATCCTGACTGGTCCAAGGAGGAGACGGATTACTTGATGGAACTAGTGCGCGATTTTGATATAAGGTGGCCCCTTATATGGGATCGCTATGAATGGAGTCCACCAGCTACCAACGGAGAGGCTGATGCTGATGGCGACGAGAGTAAGGCTATCGTCCCGGCTACACGATCTCGCTCAATGGAGGACCTCAAGGCGAGATACTACGAAGTGGCATCAAGAATGATGGCCGTTCAAAAGCCCGTCCAATACATGACACAGCCTGAATTTGCGCTGCACGAGCTGATGGCACATTTCAACCCACAACAGGAAAAGCTGCGTAAAGATTTCGCGCTCAATTCCTTTGGGCGATCCCGCGAGGAAGCTCGTGAAGAAGAGTCATTGCTATTGGAGATTAAACGGATATTGGCTCGAAGCGATAGATTCAACGAGGAACGGAGAGAGCTATATAACCGCCTTGATTACCCCCATGCAGAGCAGGACATCAATACCTTTAAATCATCGACCGGCTTGCAGACATTGCTTCAAAACTTGATGACTGCCGATAAATCTAAAAAGCGAAAGTCTATTATGGGTGGCGAGGCACCTACGCCTTCTGGCCAACCCACACCCCAACAGGCAGCTCCAGATAGTGCTAGACGGGATAGTGCCGCGGCTTCTACTGGTCCACGAGACTCTGCGCCGGCGGCGGCACCTACTACTGGCAACAAGAAAGCTCAACAGCAGCAGCAACAGCAACAACAGCAGCAGCAGCAAGCCCAACAAGCCTCACAACAACCGTCTCAGCCACAAGAGCGCAAGAAGCTTACTGAACAAGAGGAGATGATCTACGGTGTCACACACCATGAACGCTTAGGCTCTGGTCCTACATTCCGGACAGAAAAGATCAACAAGCTTTTCTCTCACAAATCAAACCAGCAGCAACTGCGTATCACCAATACCCTCAACGAGCTGGATGTTCCTGCTAAACTGGCTATGCCTACAGCGGCGACGACTCACGCATTCGAACAGCTTCTGGCATCCGTGAATAGTCTTCTTGACGCCCGGAAGGTAACCGATAAGATTGACGCGGAGATCAAGCTGGAACTGGCCAAGAAGGCGGAACGTGAAAAGGCTGCCGGCCTTCAAGAGGCCGAGAAATCTGAGGACGCTGATGATGGCGACGCTAAAGACGACGCGGCTGCAGCAGATGAGCCCCCCAAAGAAGAAGATAATCAGGGTGGCGCCGAAGAAGCTGATGCCGCAGACGAGGAAAAGGGCGACGATGAGGACGCCGCACCGTCTGACGAAGCGACAGCCCAGCCGTCTGTGGAACAGGACGATGACGACAACGCGGCGGACAAAGGGGAAAACGATCAGTTGGAGAGTGCGGGCCCTAAGCGAAGTGCTAGCGTGCTGAGCGATAAGAGCGACAAGACTGCGAAGAGACAGAAGAAGTGATTGATCTTTGCCTTTGGTACCTCACAAGTACCGGTACTTAGCTTTACGCGCCCAACCTGCCATCGTTGTCATTTCGGGGTTTATTAGCAACGGGAATTGATCCCTGTTTTGTTCGCTTGCTTCTGGGGGGGAGGAAAAATAAGGTGTCTGGCGTTGAAAAGCGAGATTTCATCTACGAGATGTGCGGAGTGTGAGAATCCACTTTGGCAAACAAATGCCTATGCATGCGTAACTTAGCACGCATGACGGATTCAATAAACTGTCAACAGCATTTATTTAGCGGCTATTGATGTTTACCCTTGGCTATATGACGGCGCTTGGGCGGAAATGAGCATGCACATTAAACCCGATTCGCTCCATATTGAGCGTGATATGTTGGGTGGGCGCTTCTGTTTGTTTCGAAACAACTTATTTTTTTAATTCTTACCTACGAGATTAGTTGCTCCTCTCACTTGCCTAAGCGAAGAAGCGCCCTCCCCTGAGGTCTCAGAATAGGCCTCGGGAAAGAGAGAGAGAGAGAGAGATGCTGCAGGTTCCCAACGTACGGTGACGTCTGTGTGGGCGCGTGAAAATTAGAGGGGGGTGATAAGGAGGGGGTCATCGAGGCCATTCACACATAGTGTGCGTCTGATATTGCTCCTTGCGGCGCGTACCCGCGAATTAACATGCGTATGGAGTAGAGTTATCAGAATACTAAACAAGATATGGGGCTTCGACTGGGGGGTGAAAGACCAATTGATGAAGGCAAGTCCGAAGGGAGAGAGGGAGAGAGGGATATGATAGCGTCTTTGACGGCTTCATGAATGATGTTACAATAAAGCTCATGCCCTTTTTAGACAGTTGCATTGAGGCTATATCTTAATATAGCAATCTTTAAATATAGCAACGTCGTCTTTTCTAAATATAACACCTCGCCCCTGATCTCGCGTAGAATAGAAACAGGAATCGAGATGGCTATATCTGGACTTTTACGAACTAGCATCTGGAGGACCTAGGGGGGGTAGCACAGAGATGGGCAGAGAATGATGGAGGGGCGTGGATGAAGCGAGAAGAGAGGTTCACCATGGTACCGCGAGCACGAAATGGAAATATTGGGATGCTTGCCATGGGACTCTCTCGCATGGGCATGCTGTCGGTGGGACTTTTGATACGCCTGCAGGGAACTTGACAAGACGAGACAGAAATAGAAACAAATCAATAAGAATCATTATACATCCGCTCGCTCTCTCTGCATCAAGGTGGAGAAGCAGAAGTGTTGGCGTCTCCAGTATCACGATAAATGGTTCTCATGGGCGGGTATGAGGGTTGGTCCCTTGATGGTGTGTTCACGGGATGAACCATGGAGAACGAATGGGGGCCAATATGCAAGGTCCCAAGATGATGCCGTGCATGAGCCTGATGATAAAAATAGACAGGATGCCACCCTACTCTGTTTTCATTTATTTATACATTTGCAACTGCCGCTCAGGGGTGAAGCGAATAATTGAGATTCGAGGGCCAGAGATTCGAGGGCAGAAGCGGAAACGTTCTAGAAGTTGCGTGCCTTATCGCCAGCGCTTATTAGTTAAGCGGCTATTTAGAGAGACATTATTGGGCAGAGCAAGGAACGGGTGGGGCGGGCAGAGATGGTGCTGGGAAATAATCTGATGGCCTACCACTTTGGTTTCCTCACTTCCCCTGGCATGCTGCAAGTCTCTTAATGGAGAACATATCCGATGAACCCTGTGATCAGATGGCTATTTTTGGCCGTGGCCTTCTTCGGACTCTGAGCAATGTAACCTGGAGCTCCAGCAGCATCCGCTTGTGTGTTTTGCGGAGCTTACCATTTGTAAGTTCTGTGCCGTGATACTTGGTGGGCTTTATAAAGAAAGAACTTCGGTTAGTAGTTGTCAAAGATCAACGGCAATTTCTGGCATTACAATCCCGAAATCATGTAACTTGGCAGGTTAACCAACGTGAGATATCTCCATCTATGTCGGTCTTGGAGATCCACTGCCCCCGGCGCCGTTTTAGGTAGGTGCTCATGTATATGTAGTTAGCAAGGCACCGCCAAATACCAGTCAGGGTCTCCGGCTATTTCATGGCAATAGTACCTCTCTCTGTAGCGGGTCAGCTGCTGAGGTTGGTCATCATTATCACGGCTACTCCGTAGAGCATCCCGGCGGGATTTGCCTGATCCAAGTACATCAGCAATGCAAAAGCAAAGAAACAGTTTTCCGGGCCGGCGCTCCCTTGCCCGCTGCGCGCTTGCAAAAACCGCCAGCTCAGTTTTAGCCTCGCCAAGAGCAAGCAAGCAAATCAGAGCACAGGCCCACGGAAATGAACCTTCACCCAACAACACACGCCCCAATCTCCACTTCTTTTTCTTTTTCCTTCGGTCCAGAAGCCTTTATCAGCCGGACCCGAGACTTCAAACCAACAGCATGGCCGTCGCTTTGTCCTCCCCTCCCGTGTTGCCGCTAGTAGGTGCAAACTCGCGCGCCGAGACAGGCAAAAGTTTCGCAGGCAGCGTATTCCCAGCACTCCTCCACATGGGACGTCGTCTTCGTGCCGCACCATGACTGCCAGCACAGGGCCCTGCACTGCTGGTGCTTGGCAGCAGTATAATGCTGCAGCAATAACCACAGGTTGGTCGATCTTGGCACATGGCCGGCCTTATATGCGATGTATCTGGCATCTCGCCGTGCGCAGGACCAGATGGATGGATGAACAGGTATACTAGTGACCGCATTGGGCTTGCTGGCTGTAGCTGCTCCTCCTGGAGCAAGATCCTGCTCAGTCTAGCATTTCCTAGCAGCACGCACTAATATGACTCCCAATAGCCAACAAGCCACGCTTTGATATGCGTGTGAGTATGCACTCCCTCGGGCACCTATTCCATTCTGGGGTTAGAATCTTCAGCCTGGCATCCTGCGAGCAGTTGGTTCGGAGCTGAACGAGCCCCCACAGGAAACCCAAACGACGGTTATTATCCTGTCACAGCAGTGTTACCTTGGCTATGTGGTAGCAAAGCGTTGCACTACTGCCGGCAACATATGCCTAGCGTTTTCGCTGGACGGTGGTTACGGTCTTTGTCACCTCCATGTTTGCTTGCCACGGCCTTTGACGCTCAGCCTGACGAGGGAGCGAGAAACCATAGCATCCGACACGGTGTAACAGTATGGTGATCACGTTTCTAAACGAAAAGAGAGCTGTGCTACTTGGCCCGCTGATTTGAAGCTGCCCACGTTTGTTGTGTTGCCATGCGTGCTATCTGCAAAACACGTATCCCGCTGTTGGCTAGAACAAGGCAGCTTCGGTAGGCATTGATGTGTATGACCTCAAGACATAGGCCAAGACTAGGGCCGCCATTGATAGGTATTCGTATTCTTTCTTCTCTTTGACATGGTCTTAATAACTTCAAGGGGAGTTCAACAAGTGTGCCTCTGACCATGAGGGCTCTAATAGAGCCTCTGACGTTGATCCTGTAGCACGCAATTCTGGGATTTTCTGCTAGCTGTTGGAGCTTGCGGAATCAAATAATCTATAGTAGTGGTGAAGTAAGGACTTTTTCCTTGGTCAACTGAGAACCAAGTGCCTAGCCGCGGAGGGAGTCTACTGGATGGCCATCCTGGCAGCGCCAGAGGATGTTAGCAGATTGCCTTTGATTGGCGGTTTTCTTTTTAGCTTAAGGCTTTGGCGGTGTGACATGTTTGCATGTTCGCAGGCAGGCGTTTCAAGCTGAAACAAATCACGAATTGTCTGGCCAAGCTCCCACATGCTGTGTCCGGCCATGGGTTTGCCCAAAGCCAACTTTCAAAGGATGCCCGTGGCGTTGCGGCGAACCGTACTAGCCATGGCCAAGTAATCCTTTAGGCTGGCTAGCTGTGCCATCGTTCAACAAGACGGGCGAGAAAAATGCTGTAGCGTTGTGATGAGAAGCCGTTACCAAGGACAACTCACATGCGTTGCAGCTCTGCTCCGCAGCTGTTGAACGCAAAGCAGCTTGCTTGATACTATAATTACTTGCTTGACCTCAAAACCCTGCCGTTATAAACAATAGAGGCGGCCTCGTAGAGTTCTTAACTAAAGGCATTCGATTAAATGATGATCACGTCGCCGTAAATTGGATTTGTGGCTTGAAGATTCCGAGTTTCTGATTCTTGCACGCTTCAAAATGGTATGTATTGCTTCCAAATTAGATTTGCTTCCCGTCATGGCCGTGCCATAGTCTTGGGAGGGCTGCTGGTGTACTTTGCATTGAAGCTAGGGCGAACGCTAGCAGAGCGGCAGCAGCTCACTGATTGGATGAATCAATCCTGCTGTGGTATAGCATAGTGCGGTCGGGCGTACGTGGCCTGACACAGCCGCGGACGGCGGCGATACGAGGCGGCGGCGCTAAACGCGGCGTTAATCCGTCTATGAAGATATGCAGGGTGCTAGATGGGGCACTCCGTACAGAGTAACCGTCGAGCTCCTATTGGCGTTCAGAATATGAGATCGGACAATAGCCGATGTTCTGGTTGTGGGTACGTATTCCCGGAGCCGCCATCATTGTTATGGAGGAATTGAAGCGCAACTGGGCATAGCTGATACCTACTCGTATGAGGAGCCCTTGAGAGCACATGGGTAACTAGAGGCAAGCTCTTAGACCCTGCTTAGCGGGGATGTCACTTGCTTGGGCACAGTCAGCAAGCTGATAGACTGGTCTCGTAGTCTTATAGGACGGATGCGTCTGGAGTGCAGGCAGTGACGGACTCTGCTGCAATGCAGTAAATCCATCAACTTATTCGCGAACCCCTGCCTGTTGACCTCAACTGAACATGGCCAGGGCTGCTGTCCCACTTGGGTGGTAGAGACGAGCAAAGATCTGGGACGGATGCCAGTTTTCGATCCTGGTCAGACGCCCAAGACAGATATTGCTAATACCTAGCATATATACACGTATGGGCGAAGGACAGGCTTTGACAGCCGAGCTGGTGTGACAGTGATTTGCTGGCGCCGCGTATGAAGGAGCCAGATTCCGGCTGTACGATGGTTTCGAGACGAGACGCCTTGCTATTGCGCCGATTCTTCGGACATAATTCGTCCACGGACCGATCGTTGATGCAGCAAGCAAAAGTGACTGTCACACAAGCTGCTTTTTCGATCGCGTACAGTACAGCACTGGCCGCGTGCACGCGGATAGCTGCTCGCATTGTGGCCGGTGACTGGCGGGATAGACGGCGAAAGCCCTGTGATGACTGGGTGGCGTCTGGAGCCAGAGGCACCCGAGGATTGGCCAACACCAGTTTAAGCTGGCCGCCGCGTTGCCGCATCAAGGTGCTAAATATGGGTCGTGGTTGATGGAATGGAGACTTGGCGGCGACGATGGCGGCCGCGGCTCGCCTCTTGGAGGGTGACACCCCTTGCGATGGCACCCGGATCGGTTGGGCGCGAAAGGTGGAACAGCGCTCCGTAGGAAGGGATTGAGACCCGTAGGCTAGAACTTGGCTTGGGCGCAGCGACGACGGACCTGGCACCGGGACAGGGGATCAATTGCAGAGTGCTACGAATACAGTAGCAGTTGATGCTCCCAACGGTGCACGAGAGGCAAAAGGAAAGACACGGAGTCTTCGACCCACGAATTAGTTCCCTCTGTCTTACTCGTAGAGTAGTAAGAGGAATGGAAAAGAGGGCGTCTGCGAGAAAGGTGGAAGCAGAGAGGCTCAAGAGAGGCTCAAGCGAGAGAGGAGCGATGCAGCCGGTGTTGGGGGGAAAGCCTGCACGGAAAAAAATGCTTCCTTTGTCGGCTGGTCGACGCGGCAATGAGGCGGCGGCGATGTTCTGTCCTCGCCGTTGGCCACGAAGTAGGTGGTGCTAGCATGAGCTCTCGCGCATGCATCTAACTTTAGTAACAATATTCCAGCTAGTCCCAGGCCAGCGGCACTACTGAGGCATCCTGCCTAGCAGAAGGCGCCGTGCTTCCAGGATATTTCGAGCCCTTGCCCGCCAACATCCACCACGACCACGTCCATATTCCAGCTCCCTACGTGCTTTGTGCTTGTCCAAACATGGCTCGAGTTGGCTCGTACGAGCATGTGCCTCCTTGTATAGGCATGGCGCATGCAGGCTCAGCCCGTGCGGCAAAGGCGCAATATGTTGACTGCTTGCTCTCGCGCATAGACTTGCCAGTGCGGCATCGTGCCAATCGCGTTCTCCCCGGCGCTGCTGTCGACATAAAGAACGCTAGAAGACGGGCTAAGCGGCCTGGAAGACGGCCACTCAAGCGTCGTCCAAGTTTCCGCGCGCGCGCTCACTTCTCTGCGCATGGAGGCAGCTGGGTAGTTCGTGGTCCGAGTGGGCGGAGCCGCGGCAACACCGCTTACTGCGGCCACACCTCTCTCCACCGCAGGGCGAATCGTGAGCGGTACCTGCAAGGTCTCGTCTGCGAAAGGTCTTGCTCTGCTGCTGCTACGTCAGGTTCGAATCTCTCCAGGGCCCTGCAAAGCTTAGCACTGAGAGCAGAGACATGGAGTGGGGGGGAAGAGGCCAAACGACGGACATGTCACGGCTAGACCCCCTTGCTACCCGCTGCCAGAGCTGTCTGTTGGAGCGATAATTCAGACTGGATTCTGCGCCGGCGTGCACCCAGGACGGTGCTGGGCTTTCGTGCGTGGGAGCAGGCTGAGCCACGGATGTCCGGGTATTGCGTCTTCGAGAAGACGGCTAAGAAAGCGGCGTGACTGCCTCCACGGCACCGTATGCTTTGGCGATCAAGCGACTTGGCTGGAGTATAAGCTGCCGACTGGTACAGTAGCAGGATCTCGTCTGTGCCATGATGGTGCAGCCACAGCACGGAGTCTGGAGCAGACCCCCCTCTTGGTCGTGGAACGCCGCTCCCTTCTGGCTTCCATTTCTGGCACTGAGTGCTACCGAAAACTGCCGCCTCCAGCGCTGCGTATCCGTCTCGCCGGCTTTGTCGCACGCCAGCCATCGCATCACACCCACTTACACGGATGGGCCTGGTGTTCGGAGGGCTCCTGGGGCATCCACCCACACTTGCGCCTTCGCGCGCATACACTTGTGCATTGCTCCAAGCACAGGCGCACTTGGTGTTGGGTAGCGCAGTTTGGCAGCGCAGTAGGCGAACTCTGCTGCCGTGCCTGGGCAGGCCGCTGTGGCTTTGGGCTGTTGCCACACGCGGTGGCTGCCAGGAACCAGGGAGCCAGACCCAGGGCTGCTAGGTTTGTACTAGCAGGACGGACTGCGACATGCAACGGGCGACTGTCGCTCTGGGCGAGGCGTTGGCGCACTCGGTTGGGTCCAGCGAGAAGCGCCGCCTATTAGCTTTCACGCCTCCCACGTTTCCATGGATCAAGCATTGGCTGAGATCCCTTCTCCATTCACCGCACTCTTGCTCTTGCGCGGAGAGCCTATCCGTACAACGCCGCAGGGGGGTGCCCCCTGGATTGGACGAGCGATCGGCACGGCATTGCAAAAGTATTGACTGGTCGTAGCTACAGCATGTCATTTGGCCGTCGCCATCCCCAGGCCGTGGAAGCTATCATGTGCGTCCTTTTGGTGCTCCCTCCGGGCTGCCAATACGCCATGCCTTGCACCAGTATGGGGAGCTCCATGCACGCACGCACGCCCTTGGACGGTGCTTTGCCTGTTAGTGGTTCGTCGCGGCCTGGTCACTCTGTGTATCTGTACGGGCACAGGTACTGTACATGTACATGCGTCGAAAAGAGCCGCTTTCCACAGGCGCATCTCGGGACATTTCCACGTCTCTTGTCTGAGCGTGGATGCGTGTTTCTCGCCTCGCCCTCGAATGGCCTTCTGGGTGACCCAATATCTCCAGACCCCCCCCCGCGAGTCTTTTGAGCTGATTGATCCGCGAACTTCTACTCTCCATTTCTCTTCCTTTCCTTTCCTATCCCTTCCCTCCTTTCCGTTCCCCATTCTTCGAGAGCCTGCACAGCGTTGCTTATTTGCTGCCTGCCTGCGCTCTACCCTTTGTTGCTCTGCTGCTCAGCCTTCCCGCCTGCATCGCCTATCCTCCCTCAAAGCCTTGCGTTACTCGCGATTCCGCTCCCAGTCTATCGCCGGCGATAGTTGCTGAACCACTCGAGAATCTGTGCTCATGAGCCTGTCCTGCCATTACGACTAATACGCATCGCATCGCACCCGCGCACTGCGCCGCCAAGTAATTACGAAAGTAAAATTCCCACACTTCGGGGTACAGGTACACGCCTCCAGCTGGCTTCTGCGCTGAAGCAGCCACCCCCCCTAGCCTAGCAGGCGCAGCATAATCGCGCGTGTAAAAAAAAAAAAGCTACCTAAGCCCCCCAAGCGCGACCTTGGAGCCTTCAACCAGCCCCCAGCTCTTCCGCCTCGACACATTCTCTCACCTCCCACTACAACGTCCACGCAGCAAACTCTCTGGACTCGGGCCGTCAAACGGCTTGCGCTATCTGGCCGTCTCATCGAATTTTGGCGGAGGAGGATCTGAAAGGACGAGCATCTGTTGATCGAGCTGCATTGGACTGCAGTCGGCTCGGATTCGCTCGCTCGCTCACTCGTTCGCTTTTGCGCGACTCGCGCTCTCGCTCTCAGCTACTGTGCCAGCGGCCAGTTTTGCACTCACTTCACCATCACGGTGACGACGGGCCCTCTTTATTTTTTTGGGAGCGAGAGTTTGGCAAATTCCAGACTTTTCACCGTGCGTCTTGATCGTTTGGGTTCCTCATTTGGGGTGTGGATGAATATCGCTGCATAGGTAGTGGCGCCCTTTCGGAATCCCACCCATCATAGTCTCACTTGCCCGAGATTTTCGGTAAAGCTCAGCTCAGTGCTCTTTATTGCCTGGCATCTGTGATTTGAGAGACTTGATAGTCTGCAAGTCGTTCATTCATTGGCAGTCACATTGGTGAACAACATTATCAACCCACTACCATTGGTCTTCAACGCAGGACGGCTTACTCAGACCCCAATATAACTACCGCCAATAATTGCCCAATCCAAAAACTCTCAAACCCGGCCTGGCTGAGCTCGATATATTCTTTTGTCGACAGTATTGTAGGGCCTTTCAGGGCTGTTCATTAACACCGCACCAGCATGTCTACCTTCACCGCGCTTAATGGCGCTTCATCAAAACTGACAGAACCTCCGGCGGCGCCGGGTGATAAGAGCTCTTTCACAGATGAACGCCTCGCTAGCTCAGCGTCAGCTGCTCCAACATCGGCTGCCCCCGATCCACAGGCGGCAACAGCAACGCCTCAACGGGACACTCAGCGAGACACTCAGCGAGATTCCTGGACGCCTGGAAGCGTAGAGAGGACGATACACGTTGCAACCTATCCTCCAGAACCCGAGGGCTCGCACAAGCGCAAGCGCTCGGCATCTGTCGAGATTCGGAGAGAAGTTCCAACGCAGGAGCGTACCCCGGATACTGCAACTGTTCCGCCACACGCTGATCGTGATCATTACGGGACCCCTCAGAGAGACTACCGGCCCTACGGTGACGAGCAGCGGGAGCGTGATAAGGAGGCTTGGTACTCACATCAAGCTCGGGATGATAGAAATCCCTATGACACTCAGCAGAACTCGGCAATTTCAGCGCAAGGTAGCACGGAAGAGCAGATTGGTGAAGCTTTGAGACGGGCCACGAGCCAAATGGATCACAGTGACTACACCAACACTAGTCCTGACATTGATGATCGATCAATTCTTTATGGAGGCTCATATAGCGACCACAGAGGGGACTCCATTTTGCAGCACGATCCTAAGAAGCGGAAGCGAAATTTCAGTAACCGTACGAAAACGGGTTGCCTGACGTGCCGCAGGAGAAAGAAGAAGTGTGACGAGCAGAAGCCTGAGTGTAAGTCCTGGACGAAGAGCCCTTTAATTCCATTCTGCGTGCGAGCCTTATACTGATGATTGGACAGGCATCAACTGCATTCGGGGTGGATTTATATGTGCGGGCTATCCACCACAGAGGGGGCCAGGCTGGCAAAAACCAGACAACAAGGCTGCTGCAGTTCCACTCGAATCCAAAGACCCAAGCTACGTGCCTCCTGGTGCATATGGCATGCCGCAACCTCAACCGCAACCTCAACCACAGTCTCAACCACAGTCTCAACCGCAGCCGCAGCCGCAGCCTCAACCGCAACCGCCCCCACAGCCGGCCGCAGCGCCTGGGCCTGGACCTGGACCTGCACCGGGCCAAATGCAAACCCCCTTTGGACCCCAGCCAGTAAAACGAGAGTCGTTAAACCATTACCGCGGCCAGCCTCTCAGGATAGACCCTCCGCAGAGCCGACCAATAATCATTTCGGATGATGACCGCCTAACAGCATCGACCATCCCGAGCGCATCTGTGACGAGCCCGGAAAACAAGCTCTCTGCATTACCTTATACTCCTGCCAACGTCTTCCCCACGCCTGTAAGCGCAAATACCCAGGCGCCGCCGTTTGGAGAGAGGATGGCAAAGGAATATCAACGAGTGCCTCCGCTGCACGACTTGAGCCGAGCCGAGCCTGAAACGCCTCACCCTGGCAACCATCTGCCACAGATCAACATCTTGCATCCAACAAGGACCAACAGCCCGACGCCCCGCCCTCAGCCTCCTGCAACTTCAAACGCACAGATGGCTGCGCAGCTTGCACTCTCACACTCACAGTTCCCGCCTCGACGAACCCAGAAGGAAGAGATGCTTGCTGGAAGGCACTATTATCCATTCGATAAGGAGCTCTGCCTCGAACGAGAGCGATGCGCCGCTGCCTGTTGGAGATTCAACAATCTCACGACGCCTCCTACGAATGGTATTTCTCCCGAAGAGCGGGCGCGTCTGTTCCTCGAGATTCTGCAGCCTCGCGATCCCGTCCGCGTGTCTCCCACCATCGCGTCTCCAGTTACAAACATTGGCCGGGTCGGCCGCCATTGTATTGTCGAAACGCCTTTTGTCTGTGATTATGGGTACAACATCTCCATCGGGAATGACGTTGTCATTGGACGCAATTGCACAATCAACGATGTTTGTGAAGTTAGAATTGGAGACAACTGTGTCATCGGCCCCAACGTCAGCGTCTTCACTGCCTCCCTTCCTACCGACCCGAAGAAACGTCAAGGGGGACAAGGGCCGCAGATTGGAAAGCCCATTATCATAGAGCAAGATTGCTGGATCGGTGGCGGTGCCATCATCTTGCCTGGCCGGACCATTGGCAAGGGAAGCACTGTAGGAGCCGGATCAATTGTTACAAAGGTCTGCCATAGTCCCTTTCTGCCACCATTCATTGGTTTCCCCTTCCCCTATTGTGAAAACAGAATACACGAGTGCTAACGAAAACTTATCTCATAGGATGTACCTCCCTTCACTATCGTGGCTGGAAACCCTGCACGCGTGCTTCGTGGCATTGCGTCTTAATCTCAATCGTCTGTTTTCCTTGGGGCGCATGCTTTTGCATCTAGTGTTATGATACCCAAGCGTGCGCGCGCGTTTACCGGAAATCTGTGTGCATAATTACGCAAACTTGCACCTGCTTCTCTTTTTTTCATTTGTCTCTTTTGACTTGTTTTATTACCTTGGATGGCACTTCTTTCTATTTCCCATGCGCTGCGATATTTTTTATAAGAAGAGTAAAAGTTTTTGTGTTGGCGTTTACGTTTTAATGACATGTACGTGGCACCTCGCGGGACACGTTGGCAGGTATGGAAACTTGGGAGTGGCAAACTCATAAGGGATATATATATATATATATGATAGCTTAGCTGGGCTTGGCTTTTGACGCGTTTTATACAAAGGAGAATCCTTGGTTGGGGGAATGTGATGGAAATATTTTAACTGACTTTTATTTCTTTTTATTTTGGATTAGCGTTGTGTGTACCCTTAGTTTTGTGTTGCTATTATTTTGTGCTGCTCTATCTATGTGTGTGTCTTCTGTCGAACTATGCCTCTGAGAAAGGAGAACATTAGGGATCATTTGTATTTTGTGGCTGGACTTGGATATGGATAATGTGCCTAATGGGGTCATCTAAGCAAGCTTTGCGGTTTTCACTTGACTTTTTTTATTTTGCTTTTCTCGGGAGACGCTTGTCTGCTTGAACGCCTACCACGATGGGTTTATTCTGCTTTATTCTTTTTCTTTTTTCCTCGTGGACGAGATTAAGAACCCTATATATTATTGTGAAATATACAACCCAGAGGATTATAGCTCCCTTTTATTATTGTAACGATTGATCGAGTGATAGTATGTAGTGAGCACTATAAGCTGGTACCGGAGAAGAATTGTCTCCAAGATCTAGAGTCAGACTGGATATACTGGTCGAAGGAACCCTATTTTTGGCAAAAGGAGAAGTTGAGCGTTAGATCTACCGATGGGAACATAGCAAGGGCAACAAAAGCAGGGAAAAGGAACAAAGACAGTTACGAACCCAATCAAACATATTCGTGTCGTCAAACATTTCTTCGAAACTAAGCATGGCATCACCGGCTTCAGAATCGCCAAACGGCATGTCGTCTGTGAGGCCATAAGCCGGGATATCGCTGCCATTGAGAATCAACGGCTGCTGCTGCGGCATCGCATGCTCCGACATTGTAGAAACGCTTCCGTAATTTTGGAGAAGAGAAGAAGAATTTGGGGTGTTGGTCATTTGGCCGGAAGAGCTTGCACAGGCGCCGATGCCTGGGGGATCGATCCGGTTGAGAATAGCACCGAGTATTCTGGAGGCGTGGAGGGCGTCGATGGAGGTGGTGCGGCGGGCAGACCAGATGGAATAGGCGGTGCGGAGGGTGGTTATGCGCTTGGTCCTGTCTTTGGGGCTGAAAAAGGGACAAAAAATTTAAAGATGTTTTGTTTAGCATTGTTGTCTGTCTGTCTGTACGTTATTTGGCACCCAGAGAAGGGGAGGCCAAGTTTGTATAAATGAGGGCTCGCTCACCTTATATCTGTAGACTCGCTGAGATCCAAGCACATAATCATGGCTGCGAGCAAGAAATGATGCAGCGTCAGACTCGAAACCATGAATCTGTCCTCGTACATCCTCCCCCCCGCTGCAGTCTCCATATCGAGCTCTGCCTGTATTTCCAGTATCGCGAGCGCCGACTCCCTGCAAATCCGCCTTGAGGCGTCATACTCGGCGTCATGCTTATGGAGTGTCAGATGCGGACGATGGAGGATACACAAGCTCTTGAGATACATCAGCTCAAGCATTAGGCGATGCATGATTGTGTAATTAGCATCTGTAAAGGCCGTGTTGCGGATGGTACGGATGCGCAGACAGGCCGGCACAGAATCATGCCACTCTTGAAGTTCTTGATTGAGGGCCAGTGTTTCGGCGTAAGGAGCTGGAGTGACGGCGAGGACGTGGCGAACCACACGGCGCATGACACGACAGAGCTTTGATTTCGTGATGCAAGCGATGGCGGGGATGGGATCTGTCGGTGGACGAGGAGCAGGCAGCGAGACGGTATCCTCATCGAAGTCATCGTCCGTGAGATTCGTAGGATGATCAACGTCACAGACATCCTCTGTGATAATCGGCGGCATGCCATTCTGGAACGAGAACAGCAGATCCGTTGACTGTATTACAAACCACGTCCTGCGCCGCATCTCCGCTTCAAAGGGCGTCATGGCCCTGTTGCTCGACACCTTGGCCGCATCCCGATGATACCCTTGCCTCTGCGCCAGACGCACAGCAAGGCCGTAGAGAGACCACGATGACGAGTCGGAATCCAGTTTCTGGACGTTGCGCGAGTGGGCGTGCATGAGGAGGGCCTCGACGGAGAAGCGCCTCCCCGTGAAGTACTGCCCTGCGACGAGGCACTGCGCGGCCTTTGTCATGTAGAAGCGCGAGTCGGGCCCTACCACGAAGGGCGAGGACGATGCCGATGTCGACGATGTGGAGGATTTTGTGTCTGGCTCTTTGGTGTTTGCAATCATTGTGCCGATGCTGAGGATGGAGAACAGGATGCTGATCCAGAGGAAGTCGGCCGAGGAGGGATCCGTCCAGAAAGCATCGTACCGACGCTTGAACTGGTGCGTGTGGACAAAGATGACGGCAACGAACTTTGCTCTGAAGTACGCCATGATGAGCCGATCGGCCTCCTTCCTCGACGGCAAGCTCTCCACGACTTCCTTGATGGTGATGGGCGGCACGTCTCCCAGCACGACCTCTGGTTCTGTCGCCTCTGCGCCATCATCAGCATAGTCTGGCTCTCCATCCGCCGCCAACACGTCCTGGATATCGCGGATGCCCTCCACCAGCGCAGTCCACGAAGTAGCCCCGTGGTAGTTCGTCTCCAGCTCCTCTTTGTCATATCCTCCAGGGCGTAGACCATCGCACGGAGCCGAATCCCTTTTTGCGAAGCGATTCTCAGCCAGCCCTCTCACCATCTGCTCAAGCTGGCTGAGCTTGAGCTGGACATCCTGTCTACTGCTGCTGCTACTGCCACGCCCGGCTGCCCTATTCTCAGCCGTTGACGAAGATGCCGCCGCCGCTGCTGGGCCGTACGAGCAAGCACCACCCACGCCGCGCTTCTCGCAGGCGCCGCATGGATGCTGGCGATCGCATCTAGACTTGCGTCGCTGGCAGGCCGTGCAAGAGACGGCTGGGCGGGATCGCTTCACGCGGTAGGAATCGGTGGCGCGAAAAACGGAGGTGAATTGGGAGATGCCTGGGTCGGGCATCGAAGAGGGCTTTGTCGAATAGGGTTGCGTGAGCTTGTCCTTGACGTTGGACTTGTGAAGTGAGATGAAAGATGGAAGAGATAAGAGACAACAAGATGCGACGGTGCCGGGGGCCTGTTGGTGTTCTTTTTTGTCCTTCTCTCAATTGACGTTTTATGAGAGAATAGTGGTGAGTCGGTGATTCTATTACAGTAAAGTGAGCGAGTTGTGGTGATTCAGAGAACGTTCAATCAGCCCATCGACGGCTTTGCAGAAGTATAAGGATATAAGTCCTCTTAGTCCGTATGTCCGAGGGCTTGCACTATCCGCTCTTTGCACCCCAAATACTGCACTGACGGGAGAAGAGCATAATTGATGCACATTTTAAATCTCAAAGTTGATAAACACTCTAGCTTGTTTAATTCTTTGTCTATATTCGATAGATTGGAGCATATTTTCATTCATAGCCGTCATGGTCACACTGGTATTCCAATTGCCTTCCACTCCATTGTATCTTGCAATCCCGCCGTTGAAAAGCAACAAAAAACTCCAAGGCACCTCTTAGCCTCCATTGATAATGCCGAAAAAATTGTACAGTTACATGCCACATTACTCATACAGATCCTCGCCCGCCATCTTTTGTCTATTCGTGTCGATGATACCTTCCATCATCTCTAATGCCCGACCCTGATTCTTCAGCTTCCCAAACGCCTTGAACGTAAATACGTCTGGCTTGAAGCCCGCTGCCTCCATGTCTTGCAAGGTAGATACCGTCTTGTTGATATTTTGCATCGTCGCGTATCCCTTCGTCAGGGTATTCCACGTCACAAGGTTGGGTTCGACGTTTTGTTCTTTCATCACCTGGATGACTTGTTCTGCTAGAATTCGATCACCACCGTTCAGTAGACCGCGCACAAGGATGCTGAATGTGCATAGACCTGGAGGTGGATGGACAGGAGTAGTGCGATTTTGGCCATCATTTGGCTCCGAACCGCTTCCCTCTGTGGCCTTTGACACGCTTCTTTGTACGTGATCTTTTAGCATATCTCCGAAAACTTGCAGCGCAGGCCGCGATAATCCACGCCTTTCCATCATAGTCATGATTATAGTATCATGTATCAAACTGCCTTGATCTTTGATGAGCTGAGCGGCAAAGTCTTTTTGCTCCTCAAGCCGAGCCTTGAAAAAGACATAGAAAGCCATAAGATCGTAAGGGTGCTGCAGAGTCTTAATGTAGGCCCTAAGCATAATTGCTATTGTCGTTGGATTAGGCTGTATTTTCGGGCCAACGTTTGGAGTGGAAAAGAACTTCTCAGTTAGAGGGACTATTGTATGAAGAAACTCCCACCGTCGCGGCCGGTTGCTATCAAATTTCTCGCCGTCATTGCCCGTTGTCTGCGTTAGGATCAGAGGCAAAGAGTCGGGAAGCCACCACTGCAAAGGCTCTAGTTCAAACTTGTTGGCGTACGCTCGCAGCATCGGCCCAAACAATGGATAAATCCAAGGTGCGGAGAATCCCTTCTCGCGGGATTCCATTTCTGCGAAATAGAAAACGGCGTGAAGCGCGTTGTTGAGCACATCCACATAGGGCACATTGGCTGCTTTAGCAACTTCGAGGCTCTTTGTCACATTCTCTACCTTGAGGCTCCCTTTGGCACCTCTGAAGATGGTTGACCAAGCTTTTGTATCCAGCTGAACGCCAGACTCGGAGAACAGCAAGGCAAGTCGTATGGCCTCGTCAACTTCTGCCTGCTGGCATAGAGAATCGAGGAAGGCGGTAGCATTGATGACGTTGGGTACAAAACCTTTACCCATGAAATACTCCAGGGCATCTTTGGGTGAAAAGGCCGGCTTTTCTTCTGACAAGCCGCCATGTGTTATCCGGCAATGCAACAGCGTAGTGATGGTGCTCGAAGGGCTGGGTGCATTGAGATCAACTCCGCTTTCGGCCAGCCCCTTTAGAATTTCAAACGCTGCATCTTTATGTGCCATATCTCCTGCCAACTTTCCTGCAAACTGCAATTGGGTATTTGGGTGTAGCTTGACGTTGGCCCTCTGCAACATACTGTAGAGCTCACTAGCCTGGTCACTTGGTAGCTTGCTTGCAAGCAGACCAGCTGTTCGTTGCCCAAGGGGCACATGGCCGGCAGGGGCGTCTTCGAGAATTTTCGCCACAATTTCTAGCATCTCTTCTGCCTTGATAGTTCGCTCACGAACATTCCTAATACTGCTAATGTGCAAGCGTTGCGCAATGAACAGAAGCACGTCGTTGATAGCATATCCAGGCGGTAAAGGGTCCAGAGTAGCCTCCAGCACCATATGTGCCTTTTCAGGGCAGCGGTCCAACGTTGAAATCATAACCACAGGCCACTGCTTGCCACGACTTTCCATGTCGAGACTCTTCCATGCCTGCTGCATACTGCGGGCATCATTAAGTTCAAAGAGCCACTTTGCATTGTCTCGCCATGGCCACGGCACCTTTGGCACTTCTGGCTTGTCTGGTCTCGAGACTTTCCAAAACTTGGTCTTCCAAAAAGTAAAAGTTTTCCGGGCAGACTGGAGCTCAGAAGCAGGATGCCGATGTCGAATGTAGCCCCATTGCGAATGCATGCCTCGCAAATTCTGCAACTCTCTATATGCCGCCCGTGATTTTTCGTCTACAGGAGAGAGCTGTTCGGTATGCTGCGCATTAGACCTGGAAAAGTGATTTATTCTGTTATTGGTGATCATATAACGCCTCTTTCTGACAAAATAAGGTTTCTCTGGAGCATCAAGGGACTCGGATTTGGGCATTCGCTTGCGAGGTCTAGATTTGTTCGATGCCGGTCGATTTTGCTGAATGTTTTTTCCAGCTAGTCGACTAGTCCGGTGCTTCGACTGTGACATGTCCGAAACAGCACGACTCTTCGTTCCATCACTGACTGCTGCAGGATTGGCAGATATGTCGATAGTTTCTTGCGGGCTTAGATAGGAGGTGAGATATTGCGGCCTGAGAGGCGCATTGTCGTTTTCGAATGGACGGACATTATTGAGCGGTACGGTTTGCGCTACAGAACTCAGTTGTCGTAATGAGGGTCTTGCGGCGAATTGGGAGATTGGTCGAAGAAGAGTAGCAGACGAGGAGGGTATCCTTAAGCACCTGCATTTCAGGAAGCCGGCGCGAACCATGGGTGCCGCTGGCATTTTGAAGAATTAGTGGCCGGTACACGGCCAGCAGTCCGCATCGTGCACTGCTGCGAGTTGCGGTTTTGCTGACTTGACGATCTCAGCAAGCTGAGCTGGATTGTGTCGATGAAAGTTGTTCGCTGGAGGCTATCGCAAAGAATATTTTAGCACGACCCTGGTTGACTTGGCCGCTAAAATCCGGCATGTGGCCCTGGCTGCACCTCAAGCAACGCCGCCCCACCAAGCTTCAATTCGCTTTTCCACGGCCAATCGCTGGAAGGACCTCGACTCTTTGAATTGATGTTGGCATTCCGCGCGTTATAACAACGGCGTCACAATATGAATTCGCACAACAGCCTTAGCGCCGCTGCAGATGAGCGAAAAGCGCGTCTTGCAAAGCTCAAAAGCCTCAAAAGAAAACAGCCTACCGACGAGGTCGCCACTCCAGAAGGTGATCGCGATGCATCGCAGCCAGAGGAGCCTGACGTTACGACACTACATCTCTCTGGCCGAAACTATGATCCAGAGACAAGAGGCCCTAAACTTGGTTTTGATGCGCCGCCGACTCTCGCCCTAGAAAAGCCTACATTGGAAGAGCAAGCTGCAGAGGTGGAAGCCGATGTTCGAGAACGAGCGGCCAAAGAGGCAGAAGACGACAAGGGCTTGGATCTCTTCAAATTGCAACCCAAGAAGCCGAATTGGGATCTGAAACGAAATTTGGACCAAAAGATGGAACTGCTGAACACGCGGACGGATAATGCAATTGCAAAATTGGTCAGAGAAAGAGTTATGGGTGCGCAGAAGGCAGCCCAGAAGACTGCAGGTGTCGACAGTGGAAATCTAGATGGAGACGCTGCTGGGGTCGACGGCATCGCTCTCGTCGAGGGACTTAGGGTCCGTGAACAAGAAGAGCAGGAAGAAGAACAGAGAGAACGTGAGGAGGAAGAGTCGATGGGCTTATAAAGGATACCAAAAAAGAACTGGAGGCACTGTATGTAATTACTTATGTTTATTCCTGCTATGGCATGGGCCGGAGTTTGTTTTGTTTTTGGGCATTACGGCTATTATTTACTCCTGGACAATAAATAAAGATACCCTGCTATCTTCCTCCCGTGTTCATAGACTGGGTTAACGCTAACCGCTTGCTGAAGGGGCTCAGACTTCGCTCTCGGGGCGTTTCTCTAGGAGGCATCCTCCCTTGTCCTTGATGACGGCCACCACGGCGTCCGCCACGCGGTTGGTGGTCATCATCTCGCCTTCGATACGGCCGGTCATCTCGCTGTGGCGACCTTGATCGCGAGTTTGAATCACCCCGCCGTCTGCCATGGCGTCTCTCTGGCCCCGGGTCGTACCGTTGCCGAGGGGGCGAGACGTCATCTCTCCGAGCATGAGAGGGCTGCCGGTATCGATTTCTATCACTTCCCTGAGTATCCTCACGCGAAGGGGATCTGCTATCGCGTGATACTGAACTCCTTTGTCGTCGCGGAGGTGACGGGCTTCGGCTATAACTGCGATCGCTAGCGGAGTCTGCGCTGTAACTGCGATTGGTGGCAGACTTGGGGCTATGATCTCGTCGCTTGGCGGCAGGAGACCTAGTTCTCCGTCCAGGTGGTGGAGAACGAGAATCTCTTGAGGCGTCTGTTGAGATGGTTGAGACTGAGTGAGATGAGACGGACCTTTGGCGCCTAGAACTTGCATCTAGCAGTTCATCCTCGCGATCCTCGAGCTCTCGCTTTCTTTCCCGCTCAGCCTCTAATTTGGCAAGCTCCTCATCCGCAACACCTTTCCTGTGGTAATGTTAGTGATCTGGTCATCTTGATATAAAGGAGCACATGTATAATTTAGAGGCTGTAAATATACCCACTTCTTTTCTAGGGGGTTGGGAGTATCACTTGTCAGTTTAGGAACAAGCTTAGGATTGCGAAGCTGCTGTGAACGCGAAGGACGAGAAACGTATGGTCGTTCCTGTGTTGATGACTTGCATTCGTATGAATAGTGCCGTGCTGAGTGTGTTAGCTAGGCAACGTCATCTCATGAGTGATGCATGGTACATATCTCGCTTTAAGCATTTTTGGCACTGAACATTGGCCGGAGTTGACCTGCTGGGTCCTCCGCGTCCTCTGTACGCGAACATCAAGAAAAATCGTATAAATGCCTTGTGTGAAAATGAATGGATGGCTGTGATTGGGGTGATGCAGATCAGGGCGTTTCAAGTTGAATGAGGAGGGACTTGAATCTTGTCCAGGATCGTCTGGTTTTACTATGGGAGTATGCCTAGGGAGTTCTACAGTGGCCTTTGCTTTGGCTCAGCGCGCACGCGAGTCCTACTAAGCGCTGAGGGAGCTGGTCTCAGACCGCAGCGAAGCACGTGATCCCGGCTATGTGCCAATACTGTGCAGAGTGCCAAGCACTTGGAAGAGAAAGCAGCCGCTGAGATCCTAAATCTATACAGTAAAACACCGTGCAGCACAGAATTTTTCGGCGGCTTGTTCCTGTCTCGTCCCAAGACACTCGCCTTAGTCAGCAGCACAGATACACATTATTGTTCCGTAGCAGGCTGGGTGGAATCTGCCGGCGCTAGGACAATCTGAGCTCTCCTCTGAGATTTGTAACTGCAGATTCTCCAGTGTCCTCTCCAGAGCCTTGTCGTCCTCACCCCGATGACATCGGCCTGAACTGCGACTTTGGCGCTCACATCTGCTTGCTGCTCGTCAGAGTCTGTCCCGTAGGCGCTGGGGGAGCCACTAAGCAACCTGTCGCTGTAAGTCCGCCTTCCGAAGCCAAACCCATAAATTTCACCCCTCTCAGGGATAACTTCGTTTTTTTGGGAACACCCCTCCACAAGAAAGTCCTGCCATCCGCCTGGCTCGCACGGCCATTACTCCATTTTGCTCTTCGCGCGCAGCGGCCTTGTTGACTGAATATCCTTCCAGGCTGCCAGGTGAATCCGAGCCCGCGATTACGCCTCTCCGGGCCCTTGAACCGACCGCTGCGAAAAAAAATCTTGATTCGCCTTGCTCGTTTCGCCAAGACATGACCAGCTAGACGAACAATGTACTTCCTGTTACGACAATGAGCACCTGCACTCTGTTCTCGATCTCCTGGCTCGTTCCCATTGATTCTGCTTCTTGATCTTGTCTTGTCTACTGTCTTTCTCACCCGCTTTCGCTCGATTTCGGCGCACTTGGTCGGGTGCCTTTTGGATTGCGGCGCCCACGATCGATTAAAAAACGTTCCTTCTCCGCCTTGCGTTCTGCCTTGTTATATACCAACCATTGGGCTTCGAATAAGTCGTTTCGAGCCGTGAATACCTACTGATATGGCGACAATTCCTTCCGACTTACCTAAACGCTCCTTTGCAAATGTAAGTGTGCCTCAAGCCGGCCATTTTGCGCCGTACATCTTTAGATACTCTGTCATTGGGGGAAGCCTAGAGGGACTGACCAATAATCTTCCACTTGCAGATAGCTGCGTCTGCAGCACTAGAAAACCCCTCAGATTCGTCTCCTAGCCGATCGAAGATGTCGCCAAAGGATCAAGCAGGTGTCAATACGCTGTCTCCTGCTGGCGAGCCCACCCAGTCTCCGCCGCCGGCTCTCTCGTCGCCCCAGTCGGCGAACCCATTACCAACTGATATTCCTGGGGCCATGGAGAAGGTGGCGGCATCGCTTAACAACCTTAGTCTTGGGTCAAATATTCCCAGCTTGGTTGTTGATGGTAGCAACTCATCTGCTGCCGCTCGATCTCAAGCTGTATTCAGCAGAGCTAGTGGATCTGATGATTCCCAGAAGGCTGATTCCAGCTCAGAATTGGGTACTAAGCCTCCTAGCCTGGATGGGAAAAGCATCACTTCTGGAACCACGTTTGCCCTTGACGAAAAAGAATCTCTCCGCCCGGATGACAGTGCCAGCGTTAAAGCTGCCGCCGAGGATGACGATTCTTTCTCGATCCGGGGATCTCTGATTGCTGGCTCACGCATGAGTTCAGACCTTGCTGCCAGAGCTAGAGGCATACAGCTGGGAGATATGCCGGATCGGCGACTAGCGCAGCCAGTAGCTGGAGGTCACGGACATGGCATCCTGACCCCCCAGAGCACATCGTCAGAACAACCAGCACAGAACGCATTGAGAAGCGTGAGCGGGTCATCGGACGCCCTGAATGTTATTTACAGACAAGCCCCCGATGATAAACTCCTCGAAGCGTTAGCGGCTCCAAGAGACAGGCTTTTCCTCCTGCGATTGGAAAAAGATGTCATCGATTTCGTCCAGGATTCAAAGCAAGTTCCCCTCTCCTCCCCCTAAAGCGAAACAACTCTACTAACCGATACTACAGAGAGCCATACATGGATCTTCCCCCGTCGAATTCGTTTTGTAGGATGTTGACCCATAAGCTAGCCGACTACTACCATATGACGCACTCGTTTGAGCCCCATATCGGCTCTGTTCGCATCTTCAGAACGCCTTTCTGTCGAGTGCCGCCGTCTCTGGCAACAATGATACCCCAAACGACTGTTTCAACTAGTAGCACTCCCCCGCCAGCAGTTTTGCCAAGGAAGATCATGCGTCGAGGGCAAGATGAGGAGGGTGGCAGCGGCAGCGCTGGAGCTTCCAAGACTACTTCGGAGAATGGCAGCGATTCCAAAGATAAACAGCCGCTCATCAGTCAAAAGTATGTCATTGTTGTCGAATATTGCATGCGGCAGGCCATTAACTCGTTTATAGGTTGTCTCGAGAAGAGCGAGAAGAGATGTACAAACTCGCTAGACAGCGAATTTTCGGAAACTCTGAAGAGACACCATCTGGTTAGTATAGCCCCGAATGCCTGAATAAGTCGGAACTCAACAACTAACCCTTTTCATCAGAAGCAGATGGCGAATATGGAGTGTCCCGAGCAAGCTCCGTTTCTGCTAACAATAGGTCTACTGCCAGTAAAAAGGCAAAGCCTGTCAAACAGCGGCGTGATGATACAGATGGCTTTGATTCTAGGCGCCAGTACGCGCCTTATTGGGGGCCTCAACAACAGACATGGGTGTCTCAGCCACCTAATCAGTTTGTCCCTCCCGCGAACGGACAGTTTAACTCGCAGCCTGTTCCATCTTACCCTGCCCAGGTGGCCACTGCGTACAACCAGCAGCCTCCTGGCTACCCTGCGGCGCAAGGAATGGCGCCAAATGCGCCTTATCCAACTCCGCCCCAGGTATGTGATACATTTTGTTGCTTTCACGCAAAACCAAGTTTCAGTTACTGACTTATTCCAGCCGTATGCGCCGCAGCCTGTGCAGCAACGGTACCCTCCAAATGGGAGCCCGATGACAGCATATGGCTCGCCCATCTTGCCTGGTGCTCCTCCACCTAACTGGCAACCTGGGTTCAGTCCCGCACCTTATCCGCCTCGAGGACCTACTCCGAGCGGCCCTCCTGCGCAGGGTGGAATTCCGTACGCATTTGGGCAACTGCCGGCAAATATAAACCCTCATGATCCCAAGAGCCAGCATCCAATCCCTGGAAGCTACAATAGGAATCACGCTTTCAACCCCAAGACACAGTCTTTTGTGCCGGGGTCGAACGGGATGCCACCACCTATGCAGCCGCTCCAGCCGCCCTTTACGGCGCCGGGATCTCACCACGGCAGTCCACAAATCGGGACTCCTCATCTAGCCTACGGCGGATACCCATCCGCGATGCCACCTCATCCATATGCTGGTGGATATAACATGGCTCGACAAGGCTCGAACAATTCCATTGCTGCATACCATACCCCACCCCCTCTTGTCGCTCCGCCTCATGTCCAGCATATGCCGGCAATGCAAAGCCTGCAACATATCCCACAACCCCAGCATATACCCCAGAACCAGCAGGTGCATGTTTCGGGTCGAGCAAATATCCCTCAGGGACCGAATCAAATGTTTAGTACTAGTAGTCATTTACCTGCTTACGGTAATCCAGCAACGCTGCCACAGAAGCCAGCTACTGGAATTTAATGAGCATCTTCAGGTGTTCGGGGCCTGCTGGAGGCCCCCGGCGCATATGGCATATTTAGAGCAAAAAATACTTTGGCGTTTTAACGGTGGGAAGGAAGATTGGTTTCTACTTTGTCTATTTCTCCTTTTTTTTTTTTTTTTTTCATTTTTGGACCCTTCTCCTTTCTACTCACTCTTTTCTTTCAATACTTGCAGCGGATGAAGAGCGAGTTGGAGGCTATAAAACAAGTGCTAGACATTACATCACATTAAGAATAAATCATGTCTCTATGTAGGACCAGATAGAGAATTGCGTGACGAATCAATATTCATATCTAATATCTCAAGTGCCAAAATTATGTTTGGCATACCACAACGCCAAGATGATACTGCGTTCGCGTGTAGGTGTATTGTTGGGACAATGTCGCAATGCACGTCCAAATTCGCTCCCACCCATCCATCCCGAGACGCCTCAGGCATGCTTCCTATTCCCCCCTTCAACATTTCCGCTTTTTTTATAGGACCTTTTTTCCTTATAGGGCCCAATTGCCCAGATGCAAAGGGAAAATTATAAACCAAACGACAGTTACACAGCTATTGATAACCGCCCCTCTATCCTTCTTTTCTTCCCTTTTCGTCTTACTCGGTGGGCTCCCGAGGCTCTCGGGGCTCTCGGGGCTCTCGTTGTTGACCGCCGCTTCTACCGCCACCACGTCCGCCGCGCTTGTTTCCGCGCTGGGCACCCTTCTCGCCGTCATTCTTACCCTCTTCCTTTTCATTGCTGACCAAGTTGGCAGTTGCCAATCGCTGGGAAAGATCGATCTGAGTTCGGATAGTGTTGGCCAGGTAGCTGACCATGAGGACGTCCTGGATGTGGTTGTTGAAGTCGTGCTCGATCTGAGAAGCATCGACCTTGGGGGCCAGAGACAGGGCGCCCATGAGGTACTGTGCGAGGGCGTTGTTGGGCTCCTCGTCCTCATCTAATACGCCGTTGGCCCACTCGCTGACACGGTCCAGAAGGCTGATGGTCTGCTCGATAGATCGGCCCAGGCTCTCGATATCTGATACCAGGGGAGCGTTCCGTGACTCGAGGTCGCGGGCGCTGGCGACAGCCTCGAGGGCGCTCTTGTCGGCGTCTCCATAGAGCATCTTGTGGGGGACCTGGATGAAGAGGCAGCTCTCGGCAGCTCGCTCGGCGTTGACGGCGACGGGGGCGCTGATGTAGCATCTCGTCTCGATGTCCTGGCCGGGCTCTGTGGAGATGGTGAGGTGGATGGCGGGGTGGGGGAAGGTGCCGGTGTCCGGGGCGGCGAAGAAGTTCTGGATCAGGGCGCTGAAGCTGTTGAGCTCGTGCGAGGTGGTGTACCAGCCGAGTAGCGACTCGCGGGGCGCAGCCTTGAGGACCAGGGCCAGCATGTTCTTCTGGTATTCGACGTCGACCTCAACCTGGTCCTCCTCCTCGGTATGGGGGATGGCGAAGCAGGATCGAACTTCGACCTCGGTTCCATCTTCGGAACGGGTGCCTACCAGGGCGCCAATGACCCGGGTGGACTGCGAGTTTTCGCGGATGTCGCGTCGGACGGCATGGTCGAGGATGGAGAGGACAGCCTAGAAGCCGGAAGAGCGATATATCAGCCATTGAACTTGTCTTGTGAGTTTCCCTTTGCCCCCCTCAACTCCCTCCTCTTTGCATCCTCCCGGGAATCTCTCTTCCGCGGACGCTCCATCGTGACAGGATCATATATACCTGGGGCTGGATATGGACGGTAAGCGGGGCAATGTTCGTCTGGAGCCCGACGTTGGTGTGAGCCAGCGGGCGAGCGAGGTGCAAAAACCGTTCCGTTGCGGCAGCCATACTGGGCGAAAAGAAAAATGTCTCGACAACGCAAAGAGATGTCGAAGGACTAGTTTTTCTTTTTCTTCTAAGATGTAAAAGGTCGAAGAGTGGGGGGTGGGAAGGGGGAGGGGGGGAGAAGGAAAAAAAAGAGTGGCTCCGGCGTGGAAGTTTTGGCGTGTGTCCTCGCCTCTTTTTTTTTCACTCGTCGACGATAGTCCTCTAAATTTCGCCGATTTTGTGATTTACGGTTTTGGCGGGCGGTGCTGGGGTTGTGCGCACTAAAATTGGCAAAATGCGCTGCTTTGCGATAAGGCTGCGTGGCGCAGAGCAGCTTTACCCCACCATGGTGTGGCTGGTGAAACAGACCCGTAATTTCATGCAAGGCTGATAGCTTCAATCCAACTTTTTTTTCCTACCTTGCCTCGTGGTGCAGTTCGCTTCCTTGAGAGAGCGTTTGTGCATTGGTTTGGCTTTACAGTCGGGTTTATTTCTCTGCGATATATTGCCATGGCAGGCCCAAGAGGAGGCGGAAACTTTAGAGGCCGTGGTTCAAGAGGTGGCCCAAGAGGTGGAAGTTTCAGAGGTCGCGGATCAAGAGGTGGAGCAAGAGGCAGAGGCAGAGGAGGAAGAGGCAGACAGTTCAGTCAATGGGGCCCCGACAGAAAATTTGACGCTGCTCGGCTGGCTGAAAATGCCGAGGAAGATGAGTATGTCATTCTTGGCTCTACTACTTGAATCTGCTAGACATGTAACTGACAAGACTTTTTTTTTTTTTGGCCATAGTGAGAGCGGATCTGGATCCGACGCCTCAGACTTGGAAGACGAAACGCTCAACGATGTAGCCTCAGATGACGACGAGCAACAAGCTACCGCACGGCCATATATGGCACTGATGCAGAAATTCCACGATTCGAGCGCATCAAGTGCGCCAAGCGCTAAACGGAGAAAGATTACACATGCCGAACCCTCGAGCCGGAGCCCAAGCCCCACGCAAGAGCAATCAGAAGATGAGGAAGAGGAAGAATCCGATCCTAAGCGAGAGGACATTGACGAAGCTGATGAAGAGGGGGAAGAAGGGGAAGACGAGACTGGAGGCGTTGAAGATGATGCAAACGACTCAGAAGACGAGATTGATGCCACGGATCCGTTTGATGCCCATTTCGCAAATCCAGACCAACAAACAAGCGCGCCAGCAGTAACCGCGGCGAAGAAGGGAGAATGGACTACAAGTCGGGCTATGATACAACCTTGGAGAGCAGTTGTTGTCTCTCCTGACACCAACAGCACTGAGCCAATCCCCCAGCCCATATCGGGACTTGGGGGGCTGAAGCTGAAGCAGAAACTGCGAGAAACAGCAAAGGAGAAGATGAGCAGTCTTGATGCAGCACAAAAGGCATTTGCGCCTTTGCTATTCGGTTACAAAGACATTTTGTTTTGCGACCGGTCTGTAGAGAACTCGCACAAAATGCGACAGACCGTCTGCCTCCATGCGCTGAACCACATATTCAAGTAAGATTAGTCCAGGCGGATTGAGAGAGACTATAACGCTAATTCTGTTACAGGACTCGAGATAGGGTAATTAAGAACAACTATAAGCTTTCAAAAGCTGGCGATGATTCGGAACTTGAGCTTCGAGACCAAGGCTTCACAAGGCCCAAGGTCCTGTTTCTTTTACCAACTCGAAACTCATGCGCCCAGATTATGAAGGTGATTCAAGACTTGATTGAACCCGATCAACAAGAGAACTTTAAGCGTTTCAACGAGTCCTACACTGAGAGCGACGAAACCTTTGGTGCTGATCGGCCTGCCGATTTCAAGGACCTGTTTGGTGGTAACGACGACGACATGTTCCGTATCGGCATCAAGTTTACACGCAAGACAATCAAGTACTTTGCGCAGTTCTATAGCTCTGATATTCTCTTCGCTAGCCCTCTCGGCCTTCGTATGGCTATGGGATCCGAGGAAGAGAAGAAGAAGCCAGATTTTGACTTCCTCAGTTCCATTGAGATGGTTGTCATGGACCAAGCTGATGCTCTGTTGATGCAGAACTGGGAGCACGTTGAGCACATCTTTGAGCACCTCAACCTTCAGCCCAAGGATGCCCACGACTGTGACTTTAGTCGTGTCCGCAACTGGTATCTGGAAGATGAGGCAAAATACTACCGGCAGACAGTCATTCTATCTGCCTTCAACACCCCCGAGCTGGCAGAGCTTCAGAGAGTATACTGCCATAACTGGGCTGGAAGAGTTCGACTACAGCCAGAGTACCCTGGCGTTCTTGGTCAACTGGGTGTCAAGATCAAGCAGACGTTTACCCGATTCCAATCAAATACCGTGGAGAAGGATCCCGAAGCCAGGTTTGAATACTTTACTTCAACTATTATTCCATCTCTGGTGAAGCGGTCCAAAGATACCAGCGGGACTCTCATATTTATCCCCTCCTATCTTGACTTTGTCCGTGTGAGGAACTATTTCGCTACTGCCGATGAAGTGTCTAGCCTCACCTTTGGCGTGATATCTGAGTACACTGAAATTCGAGAAGCTTCTCGAGCCCGATCTCACTTCTTGACCGGTCGACATAAGGTCTTGCTCTACACGGAGAGAGCTCACCACTTCCGACGATACCAGTTCAGCGGGGTGCAGAGAGTCGTCTTCTACGGGCTACCAGACAATCCCATCTTCTACAAGGAGATTGCGGGCGGATACCTGGCTAAGAGCGAGAGGGACATGAAGATAGAGCCTGGGCAGGGGACCGTGCGGGCAATCTTTTCAAAGTACGATGTGATGAAGCTGGAGAGGGTGGCTGGGTCGAAGAGAGTAGGAAAGATGATCCAGGACCGCGGCGATACCTTTGATTTCGTATAGAATGCGCTCTTTGGCGGCAAACATGATAGAAAATGGCTGGCGTAATACCACATAACTCGGCGTGTTGAATTTTACTCTATACATGTTCAATCTGAGGTGGTCATTCCATTATTGGTAGACATAAATTGTACATTGATATATGCTGTATTGTACATGGTGCTTTTATCCTTCAACGGAAGGCTGCTGCACCGAAAATTCTAGAGATTTTTTTCTTCCTTTACTTTTCCCCTGCCATAGCTTATATCCATCATGTTTCATGCATCATATAATCGTCTTCACCTCTTTGCTTCCTCATCTATCTTGGCAGACTTTGCGCTTTCAGGAACAATATCTCCCGCCATGGCTTCCGCAGCAGCACCCTCCTTCTCAGCGAATCTGGCGGAGTCGGCGCTCTCGCCCTGGGCCTCCAGCGCACCCTCGCCCTCGGTGCTCAAGATCATAAACTTGTGCACCATCTCCTCCAGCTCCTTCTCGTCCCGGAACTTGGTCACCTTCTTCACGTTCTGGAGAGTCACCGACGTGGAGGGCCGCCCCAGCATGCGGTCCCGCGCGAGGGTCTTGGCCGTCATCATGAACCGGGAGTCCTTCTTGCCGTCGACGAATTCGAGGATTGCGCTCTCGCCCTGGTCGTATGTGTTCTTGGGCTCTGTGCGGACGACTCGCGTGTAGCCGCCCTCGCGTGATAGGTATCGGTTTCGTAGTTCGCCAAAGAGCTTGGGTAGAAGCTTATTGGGTGTCTGATTTTAATCTCATTTTGTTAGCTAAATTGATCTGACTTGTCATTTGGAAATGAAGAAAATGCAAGCCCAACAGCGATTTTGTATTGAGAGAGCAAAGAGAGGAATTTTTGACTGACATAAAGAATACCCTGCGCTGATCTCCTGCACGGCTCATTGTTCCTCTTGGCCAGCGTTATTAGCTTGTCTGCCAGGCGCTGCGTCTCCTTGGCCTTTGCGTATGTGGTCTGGATGTGTTCATATTGGACGAGTTGCGTGACGAGGCCGCGCAGCAGAGCTTGTCTGGCGGACGATTTGCGGCTCAGATGCCGGTATTTGACGAGACCACCCGCCATGGCAAAGGTGGGATATCTAATGCAGCAATTGAGAGCTGTGAAGCCGCAAGAGCAGATAAAATTAAAGTGGCCGTTGTTATTTCTTCGGCTGTTCTCTTCGGCTTGTGGTTGTTGCTGTTTGCTTGGCTGGGCAAGGCTTTGGAATGTCTCACTGCAAGTTTGAAGCCTTTCGTGGTGGGCTGCGATCTGGTTGGCTGTAATTTTTTTGCGGTAGTGTGAATTTTTGGTGGCGGCGAATCTCGGGCCATTTTTGGACTTCCTGCGCTGGCAGCGGCCGGAGCTACGTCAATTCTCTCGCCAGAGCTTTGCAGCATCGTCACTCTTTTTTTCCTTGTTTTCACCAGAAAAATTACCAGTAACTTGGTCCTGGGCAAAGCTACACAGCTTTTGCTTCTGCGGAGAACTGTGCGGAGGCTCAATTGCAGTATGCGAAGCTGCGCATAGGGTCCTTTTTACGGAAAGCTCACACCCTTGGCTCGAAAAAACGCCTCTGGGGAATAATATCTCTCTTCCTGCAACAAAGCGTATCATTCCAACTTTGCCAACATGGGCTTCGCAACCGGCTTTGTAAGTTGCCTCTGCCATTTTTCTATTCTCTGGGCATTCTTTTACGCTCAATTCTACGATGCCGGGCTGACAGATTTTCTCTAGACCGGTGGCGTGACGCTCACCCTTTCTCTCGCATACCTCTCCGTCCTCGCGCACCAGCGCAATCGCGAAGCTCAAAGCAGATCCATTCGCACGCAGACGCTGATGATCCAGCATCTCATCGATCCGATCCCGCAGCCGCTTCCCCCCACCAGATCCGAAGTCGCCGCTGCCCAACGAGAAGCCGCCGTCGAGGTCGCCAAGAACCGATGGAACTCGGAGGTTGAGAACGCCGTGCGCTGGGTGCAGCACACTGACTGGGACGAGGTGCGAGAGGGCATGGAGAGCAGGATTGCATACCTATACGCCAAGGCGACGGGCCAGTCTGTGGAGGAGGTGCTAAAGGCAAGACGCTCTCTCGAGCCTGTCAAGAGGACGCAGAACAAGGCGGGTGGTGAGATTGCGGCTGCTACAAGAGGAGTTTTCAATCATTCCAAGGAGACAGCAGAGGTCGTGGAGATGAATGCCGAGAACAGGGCTCTGGATGCAAGGCTGAGGAGTAAAAAGTTCATCGAGGAGACTGCGACCGAGGCCAAGGACATTGTTAGCACAACCCTGGAGAAGGGTCGGGAAAAGGCAAAGGAGGTCGTGGACAAGGCCAAGACGGCTGTTGGCCTGGCTGAAGCGCAGGTGGAGGAGATGACAGGCGACAAGGCGAAGTCACAGCTGAGCCCTGTGCAACAGGCTCTGAAGCAACGATACGAGAAGCCTTCAAAAGACACACGGACAACGGCAGAAATTCTCAAGGAGAGATACATTCCTATGGACCAACGGGATAACACCATCTTGCGAGGATTATAAGAGGGTCTAAGGGAGGTCTAAAGGGAGAATTTTGAGAGCGAAGAAACCAACAATGACAAAAAGGTGAACCTGAACATGGCCATCCAACGGACGCTTGATCAGGCTGAGAGCATCCGTGCATCTTCATGCGTGGCGCGCAGATAGACGTTATAATGTATTACTATTACATCCTCTACTGTTATGAGCATCTGAAAGAGTAAAAAAAAAAAAAAAAAACACTACTGTTCTGTTGTTCGTAGCGACATTGCTGTGAGTGGGTGAGATAGGCGCTGTATCTATACGAAAACGAATACCTTGATAATACGCATGTGGCCCTGCATCGTCAGATGGCGTATATAGCGTATATGTACGAATAATACGCCCGTGTCGTTGATTGGGCCTCGCAGCGAATTACTCATCTCCTCGTGCCAGAGCACATGGTATGATTTTCCCCAGCAAAAGCCGCTACCCACAAAAAAGAGAGACAGAGAATGAGCCTAGGCTGCTAAATGTGGAGCGAGGAATTACCTAGGTTGCAGCTGGTGAAAAAGGCAGCGCAGGGCGTATTGAGGGCGGCAGATGCGCAGAAAGGGAGATGCCGAGCGATTGGTATTACGGTTACATCACTTTGCATTCTAATAATATGCATTACCATTATGATGCATGCCTGTATTAGGTACTTGTAGCGTTCTTCCACTTGATTCTCTTTTTGCCCTGTTTGGGACTGGCCACCCGCGGGAGTGACGACAAAGAATCGATCCGGCGGGCCGCTGATGCGCCGTATCATGTACATGCTGCAGCACCACCCTGCGCAGAAGCTGAGCGGCGCTGGGTTTCCTCGGCGGATGGCGACAGCAGCATGCCGAGCGAATCCCGGCAGCTGAGCCCGGCAGCATGGCGCCCGCTGGCCTTGGCTACGAGTATTCCCGCAGGACGGTGGGGGAATTGAGTGCACCGGCAACCGGAGCTGGCCTGGGTTTTTGCAGAGCCCGGCGTGCCGGTAAGAGTTTCAGTGTGTCAGTGGCGGTCCGCTATTTGGGAGCGCTAGAGCTGGGAGGGAGGGATGGTGCCGAAGCGTTTTGCGTGCGTTTTGGAATCCTCCGGTTTTGCGCACCAGAGGCTGCACGGCTGGGTTCGTTGTACTGAGCGAAAACACACGGGCACCTCCATCTCTTTAATGATAGGAAGACGACATGGAGCTGCTGCAATTATGTAGGAACAACAGCCAGCGGCAGATCCTTCTGTGGGATTCAATCGATTCCTGCGGGACGAGCCCCCCCCCCAACGCAGCGGCAAGCCCCTAAGCAGGTACTAACAAATAGCGCTAAAACGGCCTCGGCGCAGGTAATTGTAAAACGCTTCTCGCTGATTGGCGCGCCATCCGAGGCTGTTCCAGAAGTTTTTGGTTCTCTCCTCCGCGGAGCACGCCGCTGCACACGACAAAAATCTGACTACATCCCCCAAAAGTTTCTCGTCTTGCGTTTTTCCGCCTCGCCTCTTAGTTTCTCTTTCTTCCTTCTTCCTCACTACAAGACGCGACTTGTGTTTTCGTGCCGCAGTTTTCCTGCATTTGTGTACTTCTGGCATTGGGGATATTGCCTCAAATAAGATTCTTTATCCCTCCTTTGGGGTTTTTGCAGAATCGACTCTTTAATCTTGCCGTTAAACGCAATTCACATCTCGAATTCCTCGGGTCCCACCTCTGGCCATCACGACCCGCCGCCTTTTCCCCTCAAATAGACATCCCGCCGTTCAATTGACGCCAATCCCATCGCCCATCATGTCCTTCTCCAGCCTCGTGCAAGAACTCAGCCTTCGGGACCCCAACGCCGCCCGCCGTCCGGGCCCTCCTCCCTCAGTCTCGACCTTCGACGACCGCGCATCACATGTCTCTCGCACCATGTCTGGATACGCCAGCACGGCGGCCACCAGCGTGAGCATTTCTGGCGACATTGGCAGCCAGCTGCACGGAGGATATTTCCACCCTCTGGCTCGGTCCTGGCAGGCCGAACGCCAGCTGACAAAGGTAAGCTTACATGGCGAATACTAATTAATACCTGTAGCCGCCTGCCTTTTACTGACTGGGTGACATTTGCAGTCCATGCTCATTTACCCCATCTTCGTCACCGATGGCGAGGACGACATGATCCATGTGCCCTCTCTTCCTGGCCAGTACCAGGTCAGCATCGACAGGCTGACGGCTTTCCTCGAGCCTCTTGTCCACAAGGGACTGCGATCTGTCATGCTGTTTGGTGTTCCCCAGAAGCCTGGCACCAAGGACATTCTGGGCAGCGCAGCTGATGATCCCGAGGGCCCTGTTATCAAGGCCATTCAACTCATCCTCCGTCGTTTCCCTCAAATCTTCATCTGCGCCGATGTCTGCCTCTGCGAGTATACCTCGCACGGCCACTGCGGTATCCTGCGGGACGACAGCAGCCTGAACAACCAGATGTCTGTTGATCGCATTTCTGATGTTGCGCTTGCCTATGCCAAGGCCGGAGCTCACTGTGTTGCGCCTTCTGACATGAACGATGGCCGTATCCGTGCTATCAAGCTCAAGTTGATCGAGGAGGGAATTGCTCACAAGACCCTGCTCATGTCGTACTCTGCCAAGTTCTCTGGCTGTCTGTACGGACCCTTCCGAGACGCTGCCGGCTCTGCTCCGTCTTTTGGTGACCGCAGATGCTACCAGCTTCCCCCCGGAGGCCGCGGCCTTGCTCGCCGAGCCATCATTCGTGATATGAACGAGGGTGCCGACATCATCATGGTCAAGCCTGCCGGCCAGTACCTCGACGTTATTAGCGATGCCAAGGAGCTCGGCAAGGATCTGCCCATCGCTGCCTACCAGGTCAGCGGCGAGTACTCCATGATCCACGCCGCTGCCAAGGCCGGTGTCTTTGATCTCAAGACCATGGCTTTCGAGTCAACAGAGAGCATCCTCCGAGCTGGCGCGACCATTGTCATCAGCTATTTCACCCCCAACTTCCTCGACTGGCTAGACAACTAAATAATGGACGCGAGAGAGAAAAAAAAAAGGGACAGTTCATTACGGATTTTAATGTGGAAAAAGACAAAATAAATACCAGGGTAGAAAGAGCAGGCGGGCGTTTTCTTGTGTTGACATCTTAAAAAAACGGGATTTGTAACATTTTTGTATGCATTTTGCTTCTTCTGTTTGCAACTTTTTAGAGCGAGGACATAATATATGTCGAGGACAAATAAATTCATGTATAATTATACTGTTTTCTTATATTCTCTTAAATAATAGTAGTCTATATTTGCACTTGTGGCAACTTTGGACCTGACTGTGTCTCTATTGGAAGAAACGTGATGTTGTATTTCAACGATACAAGTGCATATTTTCGTAATCAGTTATAGCATTTGATTGGAAGCGACAGTTTCTCTTGTGTTAGGAATTTAGCACATTTATGATTCTATCGATAATCTCGCATAAACCTAGAATACGCCGGGCGTGTAATCCACAATGCAAAGTTGCTGGATATAGGGAAGCGCGCCGTCTACCAAGCTTCGGTGAGCAGCGTCCTGCTTAACGTAGTAGTCTCTATCCTCGGCAGAGTTGAACTCGACAACAAAGCCGTAAGTATAGCCATTCTTTAGATGCAATTGAGTTGAGTTGTTAGCTTTCTCTTTCTGTCTCTCTCTCTATCATGTTTCCATGCTACTTTGTTTACGGAGATTTGAAGACGCACAGTGAATCCTTCGGGAGAGCTGTTGATTCCACCAGTTATAGACTTGATGTAGGGAGTTTTGGTGTCTGCGGTGAGGCAGTTGTCCTTGAGAGCCAGCACGCCTGAGCAGACCTACGGAGGGTTTCTCAATTAGCATTTGATCTTGCTATAACTATCAAGAATATTTCCTCCAGAGCTGGCGCTAGTGGTAGTTTTTCCATTTGCGAACCTTTTTGACGGCCTCGGCGTCGGCATCGGGCTTGAAAGCGACGAGAATAAGGTGAGTGATACTCATGTTGGTGGATAGTACTGTGAAATATGTATAGCAAATAATAAAAATAGACGGATTCTGTGATAACTAGAAGCCTTTTTTAATACTACTACATATGTATGTCTATATATACCAAAATGCAAAGCGGAGAGCTTGTTCGGCTCTCGACTCATGCTACACACGCTAAGTAGGTGAATAGCGGTGATGCGGATCTCGAAACCTATCCCCCTATAATTACTATTAGAAAAGTCTCCACTTGCTCCTCGGTGTATTTACCCAGAACATTTTGCTTGCATATGCTCCTTGGGATTTTGGGGCGGAAAAGAGGGTTGCCGAGGCTTATAGAGAGAGCGGCTGTTGCTTTTATGAAACCTTCCGAGGTTTGGAGAGTGCTGGGGTGTACCTATATTCGCTCATCAGTCTGTATATGCGGCAGCGTCTGCACAATAGTTGGGGCTAGAATATGAGACAATTTGAGTTTTGTTTTACTATATAGACTGACAGGATTTCCAAGCAGCTCAACACGGCTACGAGCTCTTTATCACTGCCGATAACTGGCAAAAGAGTCTTAGTTCAAATCATCTCTAATAGGTAGTCAACTACTGCTTGGACTAAATAACAGCTACTGGCGGGCCTAAAGTTTATCAAAAACAATTCTGAAATTGCTAGTTGCTAAACTAATACCAACACTGGAGTAGACCGTTTTTGTGAGGTGGAAGAGACTAAATATCCGCTTAGGTCTTGAAATGATACATTAGCTACCTCTATATCCTATCCATTTCATTCGCTCATGGCACTCTGCCTAACCTGTCTGTTGCTGAGTTTGCGAAATGTACGTATATAAGATTTGTAAATACTATTCGTACAATTACTTGTAGTCCAAAGAAAATTGCCTGTCTTCCAGAATCTCGTAATTTACCCATACGTCTAATTAGTTGACTACCTAGCATGTACTGCGCGAAACCCCCTCGTGCCAATCATAGCAGCTAAGATCGCGCATCGTGCATACGGCCTACCACTAAGCGGAGCATCGCCAAAAGAGGCAACAATTTATATTACACGTAGCTGCGCAGCAAAGTACTTCGTACCCATGTATATGTACGGTAATTGCCGAGAATTCAGTCGTGCGGACGGCACTTATACCAACGCGGGGGAGGGTCCTTGGAAGGATTCGCCGAATGAGTCAAAAACTGCACTAATCGTGAACCAGATACTTTTGCATGCCATGATTCTCATGAAACATGACGCTTGTCCCCTCTCTCCATGATTTAAAACATCACGCTTATAAACGCCTATTCCATATTAAAGAATAGATTCTAGTAAAACATGGAAGTCGAATATACTGCAGATACTCCCATCCAACTGAAAGAGTCCAAGGTGAGCTTCTACGAAGACGTTCTTACGCGATTTACCCTCTTGAAGCTACGCTCATTTTTGTTTAAATGCTAAATTGACATTTTGTTGCTCGCCTAGCACGCTCTTCAGCTTCTAACAGAGAACACACCAAATGGCAAAAAAGTGCAGATTCTCTTGGAAGAGCTCCATGACGTTTACGGAACTTCATGGGCTACACACCTAATCGACCTCGAGACAGATGAGCAGAAGAAGGGTTGGTTTCTTCGTCTGAATCCAAATGGTAGCATTCCACACAACCTTTCTTAACTCCTAATACAAAATTTCAAGAGAGCCCACAAGGTTTTAACCCTGTTTTATAGGCAGGATTCCAGTCCTTCTGGATAGCTCCCAGACAGCATCAGCCATCTCCATCATGGAGAGCCAAGCAATCCTCACGTACCTTCAGGAAAACTACGACCAGAGCAATGTATTTGGATTTATTTCTGCATCCGAGCGAAGCCAAGTAATGCAGTGGCTGTTCTTCTGGCACTCGTCTGCTCCAGTGCAAGGACACGGTAGACATTTTATCAAGGGAGTCAAAGAGCCTATACCATGTAAGCCTTGCTACCTTTCTAGGTAGATCCATGTATTGGTATCTACAAAGGGCCTCATGCTGAAAAATGGTGACTTGTAGATGCGGCAGAATACTTCCAAAAGGCCATGCTCCGCATATATTCCGTGCTCGAAGCTCATCTCAGCGGACAGCATCGGGCAAGTTCCGCAACGCCTCGCGAATATCTAGCTGGTGACGGTATCGGCAAGTACACGATAGCTGATATGGGCACTTGGCCCCATGTTCGCGGTTACCGCTCCCTAGGCTTCTCAGAGGATGAGATGCGGCCAAAGTTTCCCCATCTTCTACGGTGGATTGAAAGGATAGAGGCGAGACCGGCGGTGCAGAGAGGCATTGATGCTGGGAAGTATGATAGTGAGGAGAACTCGGGACTTTTGGTACGGGCTGAGCTGTAAGATGGGTATAGGATGGTCTGAAAAATGTGAGAGATGCTTGACGTCGTTTGCAAGACGGATTGCTTATGATTTATATATAGGTATTATTTTAATTGCAAAGAAGAGAGAGAGATTTGCATAGTATCGTAATTTAACCCATCTGTGTTATTCAAGCCAAAGGGCTTTTGCGAAGTGTTCACGAATTGGGAGCCAAGGAGGTGGCAAACAATCCAGCAACTCATCCCGTAGTACGCGACGATTCTCAAAATAAGAAATAAAATAAAAAATGGTGATGTGTAGCGCGAGAGTCACGATGTCTACTTGGTGGTTTCCTTTTATTCTTTATTCTTTATTCTTCTTCTTCTTTTTTTTTTTTTTTTTTTTTTCGTTTAAATTTATATTGGTCAACCGTTCATAATATAAAGTGCTGTGAGAAGTCTATGAATTCGAATAGTGTTTTTTTTTTTTTGTTCTCATCATCAGTCAATTATTTATATCATGTCCATCTCATATACAGATTTGCTCACTTGACAATATCACCATCTACCAAGTAAGAGGCTCTCTAATCATTTGCTCAAACTTTACTCTCAACCACTATCATTGCTAACCCCCGCGCATAGCAAATCACTCAAAGTTCATCGTGATGTTTGCCAACTTCAACGTCTTGGGAGTCGCCGCTTGCGCTGCTACCCTTCTGGCCATGCCGGTTGCTGCCCGCACTTAGACCAATAGCGTCGACATGGAGCAAGACTGCAGCTAGCAGTACGGCGGTGGATAGACGGCCAAGCTTAATGGGAGCGGTGTGCCAATAACTGGAACTGCGTCGATGCCAGCGACAACACCAAGTCCATCAACGTGGACGTCATACTGCTCTCAGACGTATGGCAATGCTGCCTACGCGGACCCCTAGGGAGGCGGCGCTTATGACTGGGGCTGCCACTGGCGATAGATGCCGGTGAGGCTGCTGAAATAGTCTTGTTAACTGGGGTCGGCTGTGTTTGATGAGTACAGCTAGGGGGCTTCAGAGGACTGAGAATGATTGGGAAATGTGTGAGATTGTGGGTGTTTATTGTTTTTCTTCGCATTTATAAGAGCTGCCACTCGTTGAATGAATATATATATATATATATATTTCTTTTTTGCTTCTTAGTACTCGACTTAAGAGAATTGCGGTTTATATACTGGGTGCCAACCATATAGTGTTGTTGTGACCCTGGACTCGAACATCACTTAGACACTTTATGTATGTGGCGTATGCATGAAGTCCTTGATTGGTTTCTACAAGATTTTGATTACATCTCCACGCTTACTTGTAACGATGCTTACAATGCGTTATTGTCGACAGCCTTGGGTTAGTTGCGTCTCTAGTCTGTTTCCCTCCCCCAGATGAAATATCCCTTACTATATTTATACGGGTGAGTTAGTGCCTACTAGGTTAACCATTCAGTATGAGGTTGGTAGCTGGGATAAGTGGACGCCGATATGTTCAAGCGCCTGCTGCTCCAAGCTCCTTCATTCGGCAACAGAACCTTCTTCACAGTCAGCTCAATCCATCACGTCACAGCGACAGGCTGAGAAAGATGATGATGCAGCATAAGACGTGTACCCAAGTACCAAATATAGGGATAGAGATTTGTATAGATAGTAGGTAGTAGACAGGTCAAATATGGGAATAAAATGTTGCGCCGACTAGATACAGTAAGACGATACTGTACGGAGAAAGCCGTAATCAGCCGGCGTTTAAGTCAGACGACGGACTGTTGGCTCGTCGACGTGAAGGGGTTGGCCAACGCGATCGGCCGTGGGTCCAGGGGTTTTTCCCAGGGACAGCAGCTTCAAGCGTGCTGGCAGCGCGTCTATGGGGGAGTGTAACGGGGGAGTTTGTTAGTGCCGGTGGCAGGGTGTGAGGCCATGGAGAGGTTCTCGCTAGCGCATGCCCGTGAGCCAATCATTGCAGGAGTCCGGCAGCTATATTCGGATCCGGCCAGGTTGACCAAACAAGCTTTTTGGCCCAGCGGCGTGGATGGAGTAGCGGAAGAATGGATGTTTTACAGTTTGGGTGCATGTCGAACAGAGCATTTGCTGCTTCTCGGTGAGAGGCTGCAACAGAGATGCCGTGCCGGAGACTCGCCGCACTGCCTGGCGAGCGGTCTGGCATTAAGAAAGTACAGTAGCGAACGGCGAAAAGGGGGAACCAATGGCAACCGTCTCTGGAGGCTCCAGCTCCCTCAGTCCAGGATGTTTGTTCCAAGGTTTCCATTTAGGAAGGGAATAGCGCGGCGAAAACACGAGCAGAGCTCCGTGGAGCACAGATCTTCGCCATATAGGCCGGCTGGGTGGAGAGCCAGCATTGATGCTACAAGCAGTAATTGCTCTGGCGCCACCACCCACTCACCTCCCCAATTTTTGGGCGTTGCCAATGTGCAGATGAGGCAGTCCGGGTATTGCATCGGTGAGCTGAGACAGCGCTGGCTACGAGTTGGAGTTTGAACATGGCGATGGAATGGAGGGGAAGCGGTTATACTACCCGCTCTGTGCCAACGGTGGGACAATGACGCTGTGCTGCACTGCTCAAGCCCACTGGCGGCAAGGAATCCGTCTTGGCAAAGATGCGAGGCGTAGATCTTGATTTCTCGCTTGGACCCTTTTCGGATGCCACCCAGAGAACAAGCCATCACACGATGCAGTACGATGGTAAGTTGTACCTCCTCGATGTCTTTGTGTGGTTTGCATTTTGGCATCACCCCCAATGCTCCCTAGCTCTTTTGTCTCGTTTGTACATAACTATATGTATTTTTTTTTCTTCTCTACCTACCTTATCTTTAATATCATCTTGTAGATCCAGAGATGGCGGCATGCACGGACACGGCCCTGGCGGACATAAGATTTAAACGTAACTTTGCGCCTAATGGCGATCGACGGCCGCTTCCTCGACGCCGGTGACGACTATCTCGTAGGTTCCTGCCACTTTCCCTGCCTTGGTAGAAACCTTCCTTTGGTCCTTCCCATGCCCCTTCTCCATCCACCACCGGCCTACTGTGGAAGGTGGAAACTGGGGTGCCCATGCCTCAGCTATTGCTGTAAGCTTGACATAATTGTGGAAATCCGAAACCAGCGTGTGGAAGGCGTACCTCACACGGATCTACAGGAAAAGATGCTCATTTGCTCTGGAGCCCAGTACGGATCTTTCCCCTTTCTGTCGTTATCATTCAGTCTTCTCATTTCTCATCTGTGCTGCAGCATCTTCGCTTCTTCTTTCTCCTTTCCTGTCCCGTCCTGTCTTTCTTTCTTTCTTTCTTTCTTTCTTTCCATCTCCATCCTGCTTTGTCCATCTCTCCTTCTCGTCCATTCTATGGGAGAAATCGACGGCAAACAGAGAGATTGAATCCCCTCTCTCTTCCTGCATAGCCGCTTGCCTTACTTCTCCCACCGGTCGCCGTCTTTCCTTTTGTTGACTCTGTTTTTTTTTCTGTTTGCCTTTCGGTGTACCTTCGTTCTACAATCTTGTACGAGTATACACGTACGAATTAATGAGTCGAGGAAAGATCGCACGACTCGCTCCATCAACCACTCATTCTCTCCAGATCCAGCGTCTCTGAATTTCCGCCAACTTGATCCCCTCTTGGGTTTACTTCCTTGCTTCATCACGCACAAAGAGCAAAAGGCTCTGGTTGCCTTCATTGCTGAGCAATGAACGAACGCAGTTCATCCAATTATTCACTGTCAAAAGAAGAGAAGATGGGCTTGCTGGATGAGCGACGGGCCTCAGATGCTGCAACTGATAGTAGTGAAAGTAGCTCGGGCACCGTAACTGGCGCCGGTATCGCCACCGCTCCATCCCATATCGACAGTCGTTTTCAACTTGGTATTCTTAGCCCTTCTGCCGATACCCTCAAGGCACCATTTGGATATATTCAATCGACCCCGTGGCGAATTCTCGTCGTTCGCTTTCTTACTTTCCTGATACCCAGTTTTTTGCAAGGCCGCCATGCTCGAGAGCAGATATGTCCGGCCAAGCTTGCTCCGACGGCTTATCTAGACGGTATGCGTGGTCTGGCAGCGTTAGTCGTGTACTTTTGTCATTACTTTTACCAAGCATTCACTATTGCCGAGGGATGGGGCTGCGGTGAGACCAACTACCATATCCTCAAGCTGCCATTCCTTCGTCTCTGGTACCAGGGACCTCCAGCTGTCTGCGTCTTCTTTGTCATTTCTGGATATGCGTTATCATACCGGCCGATCAAATTGATCCGAAATGGAGCCTGGCCCGACTTTTCCAATACCATGAGCTCCTTAATCTTTCGACGCGGCATCCGTTTGTATGTACCCACGGCCATCTCGACCTTTATGATCATTTGCCTCTTGCGAATCGGCGCATACGAGTGGACTCGTGGCTTTGCCAACGATAAAAAGTATATGAAAAATATTGTAGAGCCTCATCCGGCTCGCATGGAGCACGCCTTTGCTCAGTACAAGGACTGGCTCTTGCACATGTTTAGGTTTATTCAGGTGTTTAGCTGGGATAAATTCGGCGGAAGTACTTGTAAGTCATGGCTAGTCGTCAATTGCCATATACAATCGCAAGATGGGCACTAACACGCTTCTATTACTTAGCTTACGATGTTCATTTGTGGACTATTCCCGTTGAGTTTCGATGCTCGCTTTACCTCTTTCTCACCATCATCGGCACGGCCCGCCTACGCACGTCTGTCCGCTGGCTCACGGTTGCTTTGGTCATGTGGATTTCATACCGCAATAGCCGGTGGGAACTGGTGCTGTTCTTTTGCGGCATGCTCATTGCCGAGAACGATCACATTCGTGGTGCGCATGTTCCAACACCCAATCCGGCCCTACCAGTTGACGAAAAGTCACGGACAACCAAGGCTAAGCTTTGGCCAATTTTCTGGGCTCTCTTCAGCATTCTTGGCTTGTACTTGATGTGCCAGCCGGATGGCCGAGGTGAAATAACTCCTGGATGGATATGGCTCTCATCCCTCATTCCAAAGTGGTGGAAGGAGGAAAGATACCGCTACTGGCAATCGACGGGCGCAGTCATTTTCATCATTGCGGCAAGCCACTCGCCTCGATGGCAGCGCTTCTTCAACTTGCCAGTGGTCCAATACTTTGGCAAGATCTCATACGCCCTTTACCTCATGCACGGACCTGCCATGCACGTTGTTGGCTACCATTTCGAGAAGTGGGCATACGGCCTGACCGGAGTGGAAGGATACTGGTATAATGCTGGATTCGTCCTGGGAGCGTGCTTCTGTATCCCAACCGTGGTGTGGTGGGCAGATGTGTTTTGGAGGGCAGTTGACATCCCCACAGTCAAATTCGCCAAATGGTTTGAGAGCAAGGTGATTGTCAAGGCATGAGAGGCGGAAGATGCGGATATTTACCGAAGGGGGAAAACGGCTTCTTTGATTAGTATGCATGAACTAAGGATTGGCAACTTAGATGGCGTTTTATAGCGGTGTTTGTTTTCTCTCTTTCAATCTTTTCTCTTTCTCTCTTTTGGTCGTTATGGGCAAAATCAAAATCTAAATTCTCGAATCCATATTGCCTGTATATGTAGCCGTTTGAGCGTCAATAGTTTCTAATCCGTATAAATGCACCATTTTGTTAGATATACAAGGACATGAAATGAAGAAAAAGCCGATGCATTCTTTGGCAGTTAAGCTTCTTCATCCCGTGAATACACCCTTCTGCCCCCCACCCAGGTCTCCCTTACTTTGAGGGTCCTAATCTTCTCGACGTTCATGTCTTCCAGCGGCTCATCAAGCACAACCCAGTCCGCAAACGAGCCTCTCCTGATGATGCCTGCGCTATGCTCCAAGAAGGCTCCGTAGGCAACATTTCGCGTGAACCCCAGAAGAGCTTCATCCAAGCTGAGAGCCTCTTCTGTGTGCCATCCCTTAGAAGGGGTTTCCGGGTCTGGTCCGAGTCCAGTGTGTGGACTTTTCCTCGTCACGGCTGCGTAGATTCCTTGGAACGGGTTGGGCGGCTCGACGGGGAAATCACTGCCAAGGACAGGGTTGGTGTCGAGGAGAGATTTCATGCGATAGGCCTCGCTGCGGGTGCGCTCAGGACCGAGTCTCTGCTCGGCGTACTTCATGTCGGAGGTTGCGTGCGTGGGCTGGATGGAGGGGATGATGCCCATTGCGTGGATGCGTTTCTGGTCGTCGGGATGGATGATCTGGGAGTGCTCGATGCGGAAGCGGTGTCTGGACTGGCACTCGGCGAGGTGGTGGTGGTCCCCGTCTCGTCCGCATTGCTGCTCGAGGGCCGCTTGGAAGGCGTCGATGGCGTTGCGGTTGGCGAGATCGCCGATGGCGTGGATGTTGACTTGGAAGCCTTTGCTGGCCCAGGACTTTGTGACTTGGGTGAGGGCGGAGGCGTTGATGAGGAGGGAGCCGGAGGTCCAGGGGTGGTCGGTGTAGGGCTCGAGCATGGCGCTTCCCCAGCTTCCTAGGGCTCCGTCTTGAAGTTGGGATAGAAAAGTAAATTAGCATGAGATGTTTTTTATATAATAAGTTTGTGTGTTCTTTTGCCGTTCAAGTCAGCTTACCGGCAAACAGTTTGACGCTCCTCAGTGTGAATTTGGCGTCTTGGTGAGACATCACGGGGGCGTCCTCGGGGCAAAAGGTGTTTCTCTTTGCACACTCCAACATGCCGTAGACCCGAACCGTCCAGTCCGGAGACGAAGAGGCCAGTTCCGAGTACAGCCTGGCGTTTTCTGCAGTCACGCCGGCGTCGTGCATGCCCACCAAGCCGACCTTGTTGAGCTCTCTCATGGCGGAGAGGACGGCCTGGGTTTTTTGCTGAGCGCCGGGCTTGGGCCACAGATCCATGATCATGTCCATGGCGTTGTCACAGAAGACGCCGGGGCCGGGATCGCGGATGATCTCACCTCCGGGGACGTTGGGGATTTCGTCTGGGAGGAGGTTGAGGACTGACTGGGAGACCCAGGCGCAGTGGACGTCGATTCTGTCGAGCATCATGAAGATGCCCTTGAGCTGATCGTCTTGCTCAATGTCGTCCTAGAGAGTTCGATGATTAAGAGACATAAGTTCTACAAGAGTCATGGACAACTTACAGCTGTAGGCATTCTCCCAAACGCAGATTGGTCCCATCCCACGCCCCGAAGCCAATGTTTCTCGGTGCCCGCCTCCGGGTTTGCAGCAAGATACGCCTTGATCCGATGCCTCACCTCGTCCAGCGACTGCGACCCAAAGAGATCCACCGAGTGAAGAAACTCGCCGTACTGCAGCAGATGGCCATGGCCGTCCCACAGCCCCGGGATGACATGCCCGTCCGAGACGGTGACATGGGCCTCTTTCACTCCAAGCGGCGCCTGGTCGCTGTCCCGGGCCCAGACGCCGGCAAAGGCCCCGTCCTGGACCGAGAAGCAGTCCGCCGATGGCTGCTGTCCGTCATGTGTCCTGACGCTGCTGTAGCAGTACACGGAGAGGGCATGGCCGACGTCGGAGAAAAGAAACGGGTGCTGCTGCTGGTACGAATAAGCCAGAACGACGGCGACAATGGCCGAGATGAGGGAGCCCCAGCGTACGAGNGGCGATGGAGCCATTTTTTTTTTTTTTTTTGCTTCTCTTCTAATCACAGCAGCGGCAGCAGTGAATCAGATCAAAGAGAAAAGCAAAGATTTATACTACTCCAGGAGATTGGGCGTATATATATATATATGATCTGATTCACTTTGCCATGTTTGGCCATGCTTGATGCAAGGAGGATTTAGATGAAGGCAAAAAAAAAAAAAAAACTGTCTTGACATTAGATTTACATGACAGGGCACGAAAAGTGGTTCCTGTAAATGCTGATAGTGCGCCTTTTGCGTCAAGTTTTCCCTTTTTTTTTTGGTCCTGTCCAATGCTTTCAATATCCTTATCCTTATCTATTGATTAGAATGAAAGATTATAGTTTTTGGGGTTTCACTGGTCCAATTTTAATTTGCTAAGAACGAATCGGTTGCTTCTCATAGGCTGCTTTGCGTTTGAATCAGGAACTGGCCAGCCATGCGGGCGCTAGTTGGAAAGCGGGATTGAAAATGGCGGGGTTGAAGAAGGGCAAAAATGGAATAAAGGAGGGGCAGAGGGAGCGAAAGCCGTTGAAGAAACCCCCCCGCCCTTTCAATGCTCTTGAAACTCGGTGGATAATGTTAATGTTTGGCCGATAAGTTGGGGGGGCTGGCTGCTGTGCAATTCATTCTGTCATTGGCATGTTCAAAGTGAAGCTCTACGTTTGTATATTAGCACGTGTTTGTACTTTGTATAAGAGACTGGCGCTGAATCATCAGTAGAGTGACAAGGAGAGAAAAAAAAACAAGTAAACTTCACGAGCAAGCGGAGCCAGGGATTCGTCAGCTCTCATCACTTTCCGTTTGTCGTCGTAACGGCACTTCGGGGGGGGCGGGTCATCAAAAAGCGTCAGCCTCGGACCCTTTGTGCCCTCTTTCTCTTTATCCTTCGTTTTCCTGTCCCACAACCACTTCTGAGAAAAAAAAGAAGAAAAAAAGACAAGAGATATCTCACAAGACCCCCCCTTGATCAAAGCCGCACAAATCGCCGCCATGCCTTCCACCGCCGAGCTCGACGCCCTCGTCAAGACCCGCGTCACCGACCCCATCCCGCCCGAGACGCTCTTCCCCATCCTCTCCGCGGCGCCCTTCGTGCCGTCCAAGTCGCTCATCAACGCCCGCGACATCGGCGCCGTGCCCGGCAGCAACATCCCCGCCGGCCGCATCTTCCGCTGCGGCACCCTGCAGTACGCCAGCCAGGACCCCGACGCCCTGGCCTGGATCGCGGCCAACGTGCGCCGCATCTTCGACCTGCGCAAGCCCGACGAGGTGGCGCGCGGGCCCGACCCGGAGATTGCTGGCGTCGACAACGTGTGGCGGGCCGCCGCGAGAGACTACCAGACGCCGAGCCTGGCCGAGTTCGCAAAGGGCGACGGCAGCGACGCCTGGAGGGACCAGTACATGGCCGTCGCGCTGAGCTATGCGCCGACGTACAAGGCCGTGCTCGAGCACATCCGGGACACGCCCGCCGAGCCGTTCCTCTTCCACTGCACAGGTGAGGGCAGCCAATGATACATGTATAGTTATATTTCTATACATGGTTATTCCCATCCATCTGGCGTAGCGATACAGTCAACTAACATGTACAAAAAATCACAACGACCAGCCGGCCGCGATCGTACTGGCGTTCTCGCCGGTCTGCTCCACCACCTCGCCGGCACGGCCACCGACGACGCCGTCCGCGACTACATGCTCTCCCGCATCGGCACCGAAGTAGCCCGCGACAAGCTCATCCACTTTGCCCAGGAGAGCGTCGGCACCACCGACATGGAGACGCCCGGCTTCTACAACCTCGTCGAGCTGCGGCCGCAGTACTGGAGCGCGTTTGTCCAAGGCATTACGGAGCGCTATGGCGGCTGGGACGGCTACGTCACCAAGGAGCTGGGGCTGTCGGAGGAGGACCTCAACACTGTGAAGAAGAACATTCGCTCCTAGTTTGGGGGAGGAAAATGGTCTTGTTGTTGTTGTTGTTGTTGTCTTATGCATTGCTGCTGCTGTTGTTGTTGTTACTGTTGCTCTTCGTGATACCATAATAGACGCTGGATACCTAGGATACAGTTTAAGAGGGACTTGTTGGACTCAATCATGATTCACACGAACCTAGACATCTGATTCTATCTAGAACAGCTATAGAGCTAGACCCAAAAAAGAAATTTTTACTTTTGCAATATGCATACAAAGAAATAATTAAAAAAAAAATTGACGTTAATAATAAAACAAACGAAATAAAGCGAACAACAAAGAATCATCAAGTTCAATGACACCAAAAAAGCATCGCTTGAATCTCGATTTCCCACCCCTCCAGTGACGCACCGCCAGCCACACCAACAGCCACAAATGACGTTACCAGCCACAGGGTCCAACGCCCACTAACCCACCCCTTGCGCTCTGATTGAGCCTCCAAAACAAGCTTGTTGCAAAGTGACGTAAAATGACGGGCCTTGAGCACACCTAAATTAGATCACCGTTGCCCACAACCACAAAACCCGCGAATAGCAGCCAGCAGCTTATACAGGCCAATGCAACACGCAAAGTCTCCATCGTACAAGGCTAGATCTGCCCTGTTTCTTGCATTTGCAGCTCCTATCCATTACGTTTGATCGTCGCTTCCTCCCATCCCATTGTCATGCAGGGTATCGATCGTATCCCCTTCAACTTACATCACCCAACCTAAAAATCATTCATTAAGAAATAAAAGTAAAAGTATATAAATCTGCCTCTTTCCCCCCCCTTCCTAGATGCTTTTCCTCCAATCTTACATATCGTATCCCATATACAATACAACGCTTACATCACACATCTACATTCCACCAAGGAAATTAAAACAAAATACAAATAATAAATCCATCCTATACCAAAAGATACCATAAACCATCCAAAATGCCGTTGACCCGTCGCCACCACCACACAACAACCACAACCACCTCGCGGCCCTATCGCCGCAGCATCTTCTCTCGCCGCGCTCCCCGCGTGCATCACCAGCGCAAACCGACTCTCAAGGACAAAGTCAGCGGCGCACTTACAAGGCTAAAGGGAAGCCTGACTCACCGTCCTGGAGTAAAGGTAATACAATAGTCAATCAAAAAATCAAAAAAAAAAAAAAAAAAAGGTCAAATGGCTAATCATGTGAAATACAGGCTGCCGGAACTCGCAGAATGCGAGGCACAGATGGACGTGGATCGCACCGCTCTAGACGCTTTTGGTAGAGGCTTGCAGCAGGTGTGATGGCACCGAATGATGATACCCATACATGATGATATGATGATATTTGCAACACATCTTACAATCAATTTTTTTCTTAAATACTACCTTTGGATTAATAATATCTATTGAATAATTACTTTGATATCTCTGCCTGCATCAAATTCCTGCCGACCATCTTTTCTTCTTAAAACGTCCCGTGTATTATACTCTGTCAAAGCCAAACTGTAGATGTGTCTCGCGTGTCAGCACCATTTTAAGTGCACAATGTCCAGACGAGCTTATGTGTAGAAAACCTCCCGGAAACTCCATGGCCTAATCAGGTCAACTGTAGCTCTTGATTACCTTCGTCTCAATCCGTTTTTTTTTCCTTTTCTCTTTTTATGTTGTTTCAGCTCTATTCCCACGTACAAATGAGCTTTATGATTCCAGTGTGACTTTCAAAACCCCTGGAAGTTTCCGGTCTCACAGAAGGTTTATAACAGCTCGTCAGTCTCGTCAGACTGTGGAATCATCGGCCGATAAGGGGGGGCAAGACGAATGTGATGGCCTCTCAGGTCGTCAATTGGGCGCCGTGCTTGAGCTCTGGCAGGGGATTGATCTGCCCAGGCAGACACAGGCTTTGTGCCCTCTTCACGGACTACCATCATTCTGTTCGTGTCCCTAGGGGATAAATATCGGGAAGAGGGTGAATAGTGCGCGGCAAGCTCATCTGCTTCTTCGCCTATTCCACGCTTCTTGAGCTCGCTATAGCATCGAAAAGCTATTTCAAGCTCTTCCAAATCTCGCTTGCTAGGGGATGGGTGTTTCTTTGTCCACTTTGTGGCGCATGCATCCAAAGAAGGCTTGTCTCGCATCAATCCAACCTTGACGCGGTCAGTATTTGGCAGAGGCCGCATATGCCCACTTTGGCTTGGAGTTTTCTTGAGCGACACAACTTCTTGGGATTGATATACAGTCGTCAAGTCTGTCGTCATTTTCTCTAGGCTCGTCTGAGTCGGCAGCTTCGAGCATTGTTCATCGAGGCTATCATCCATCGTAGGCGTTTGAACTCGATGAAGATGAATCCGAGGCGTTGATGCGCAGACCGGGGAAGAGCTCAAAATCCCGTCTTCGAGGTTACTGTCAAATCCCCTCTCAGCCTCGAATGGATCAATGATGAGCAGAGAAGTTCTGTTGGATCCAATCATAACCTTCAGATTCGCATGATTTTCAATCATCTTTGGGCTGTGTAGCAGAGCAGGTTCGGCAAAAGGGTCATCTATGGATCGGCCACTCCTGAGAGCCTTTCCGTCATTGGCGACAGGTTTGCGAGGCACGCAGCCACCCACCATTTGCTGGACCTTCTTTCTGTTGAGGTTGTCACCCTCGTTGAGACGAATTTCAATAGCATCAATCAGAGGTGTCCTGCGTATGACGGGAGAGGAAAACACAGGATGTGAAGTTAAAGGACCATCAATATCTTCCTGAATTGGCTGCTTCGTGAGCTTGGAACGCGGTTTGGATCCCGAACTAGACGACTTGACCTGCAACCGGTCCCATGCACTTGATACCTTGGCCAACATTCGCGAGGGAGTCATACGAGACATCTTGGAAATAGGTGACTTGCGTGGCTGAGAAGACGACGGCTTCAGAGCATCTGTGGCCGCCAACATGGCACATATCTTTTCCTGAATATCATCGGGATTGGTTACCATCGCACACTTCTCATCGGCCATCTCGCCTTGAAGGAGGATTCTCGGAGCTCCATCCATAACGTTGTGCGGAAGAAGGCAAATTGCCTCTGAGTCTTTCACGATGATATATGAGGAACGGCTAGCCGAGTTTCTCAAGGGGCTCGTCAGGGGTCGGATCAAACTGCAGTCTTTTCGTTTAGGAGACGAAGTTGAGCTTCGTCGTGGCCTGGAAGACTTCGCAAATCTGTTGTTGGGGGAAGGTTTCTGAATTCGCGGAGCGCCGGGTCGATAGCCTCGACTGCTGCTAGATGCCCTATCTTTGGATGAAGTTGGTGAATGAGAGCAGATGCGTTGTTCTCCAACTTCTGACGTAATGTCCTCAAGAACCGGAGGAGTAGAAGTTGAAGCGTCCAGAAGGTCTTTCTCCGTTTGTTGTATGGCCTCTTCTTCTGGCAGCTCTGAACTGCTGTCGTCGAGTAAAGCACTTGCAATTCTCTCGATGCTGGTTGGCTGGCTATTATCTTGACTCTGAGTAGTTTGCGTCATGGTCTCGCAGCAGGCGTTTACAGACGGCGAAGGAGGATCTGACATAGTTAGCTCTGATTCTTACCTGTGCTCGGTAAACCAAAGCAACTCACCTGATTTCTTAGCTGGCGACAGATCAGTCGAAGTCTTGGGTCGACTGCGTGAACCCAAGGGACCAATCGCACTTCTCTTCTTTCCATAAGTACGGATTGGAGGTGTCATTTCAACGGCCGCGAATAAAACGAGAAAAACAAGAAAAGGGGTGAATAAGCAAGTGAATAAAAGGCAGAGATGCATAAAAAGACAGAGACAAAGGAAAAATGAGTGACGAAAGGAACGACAAGTGTCAAAACGAGTGAATTGCAGTCGGTCAGTTAAACGAGTGGAAGGGGAACAATATGGAGAATGGCGTGATGCGCAGCCAAAATTTACCAGGACACCAGGTGAAATTTGGATGGCAAAGGACACTTCATGAAGCCAACTTCGCAACAAGGAAGCAGCCCCAAGGAGTCCTAAAGTTGGCCGCCAGGATCATACATATGGTCTGGATGATCGGCGAGGAAGCTGGGGGATTTCATATCCCAAAGGCAAGCAGTAAGCGAAGTCCAGTCTTTCTTGCGGAGCGGATGAAGCCAAGTGCAACCCGGAGAAGGGAAAAGTGCCAGGCGACTGGGGATGGCTGTTGGAGAGGAGGAGGGGGAGGAGGAGGAGGAGGAAGAAGAAGAACAGAAGAAGTAAAGAACAGGTGCCGATGTCGGTAGAAAAATAAATAAATTTAGGCACCCTTATGGCACGAAGCCTGGCAGAGTTACTGGGTAGAAGCTTTTAGGGAGCAACTGGCCTGCTGGCATGGGACTTGGCAGCTGTTGAACAGATGTTCAGAGGAGTGGAAGGAACAGCTAGCAGTGCGTCACTGAATGACTGCATGTACAGACGCAGCCGATGAAGAAAGGAAACAGAAGGCATTTACACAGTTTCTAAAATAAATTAACTTGTTTATATCAAGAAGAGTGATTCTCGTCGACGAGGAAGCTGGTACTGGATTTCCAGGCATTACTGAGTGCAAGATAGTCCAAGTAGATCCAACATCATAGGCAGCGTAGCACGTAATATTGAGCACATAGTTTGATAAGTTTTACAGATTACAAAACCATTGATGGTAGATATTATATGCTGCAAGCATATATCGCCAAAAGCATCCTTGGCACGAGAAGATAGATCGAAGCGCCAGGACACACGACTTTGGAGCTTGATACACACATGCGTAAATCACTTAACCAAGAATGCGATAACAAATCAAAATAGCTGGAAGAAAACCCTCTAAAAATCTATGATGAGTTGTTCTGCCTAGAAAGCGTTATTCTTACCTTTCCACGCAATATTCCCAGTATAGGAAATAAATGGATAGCTTTGCTACGAGTGTCACTACGTTCAAGTCAAGCAATTTAGCTCGAGGTGTCGCCATAACACTGGTATATTAGCCTTCCTAAACTAGTATTGTATCAAATATCTTTCAAAAAATAGTTTCCAACATTAAATCCTATCTCAACCTCCCCCATCAGCCAATATCCCGCTCAAAGTTGGACCGAATCCCTTATACAGCCAGCGTCGTTGCATCGCTCAGCACGTGATACGCATCATCAGCCCTGCTAGCGCCTCTCATCCTTGCTCAATATACACGAGCCGGGACCGGCGAGAGCCGTTTTTACATCATCGTGAACTAGCAGCTGAAGAGAAGAAAAAAAAGTCAAAATAAAAAAAAAACCATACGAAAAAAATCGGACAATACGACCTGGCCGATCCTGACAGCAAAAATAGAAAACAAAAAAAAAAAGTAAAACACAACACAAATTCCAGCTCACAGACTATCTATCTGCATTGGCATTGGGTCACCCCACCAGGCCTAGCATATCAAACCACCAATTTTTTTTTTCCCTCTCTTTAGGTTGGCCGAAGGGGCGCTTTGCGAACTAAATTTTCTCTTTACCTTTTCAGCGTCTACGCTCTTTTTCAGGTTACAACTTCTGTATCGTCGTCGATACGTCTACGCGATTCTACGGCAATCCCTTCTCGCGCTACGTGGGATTCCAATTGCTTGCCTCAACGCGGACTCTCAGAGCTCCGAAGCTCCGCTATCTCCATCACCGAGCTTCGCCGGGAATACCGCCACTCCGTTTTGTTTACTTGCCTGCGAACCAACCCGAAACTTTTTTTTTTTATAGGATTTACGTATTAAAGAAGAGGCGGAGGATTTTCAAGGGAGGACTTGCATACAGGCGCAGCAGCAATATACGCAATGATCCGAGCGGCGCTTCAATCGAGAATGCCTTTTCGGCAGGCCAAGGCCGCGCCGGTACAAAACGGCACGCTGAAGGACGTCTGGACAAGGCTATTCTCGTCACAACCGGTGACAAAGTCTCAGAGTGGCAACAGCGTCGGCAACACATCATGGAGGAGACTACAGTCATTTCAACCCTTGGGAGGAGCGATGCGCCACGGCGCTCCAATGCGACCAACTGCCAGGATAGCTGACAGCTTCGCGAGAGGAACACCGAAGCGGAACTTTGTATTCTCGGCGTGGAGGCGCAATACTGCGCAGGGGGCCAAGAAGAGTCTATCGATTAGGGAGAGATTCAAGAAGCTCTCCAGAGAGTATGGGTGGTCGGCCGTAGGCGTCTACTTTGCGCTCAGTGTGCTGGATTTCCCGTTCTGCTTCCTCTTCGTGAGGTTGGTCGGAACAGAAAGGATAGGTACGTTCGCTTTGCTCTCACACTTTTTTTTGTGTTATCGGTTGTAAGTTTTACGATGGGAGGTTAACGTGAGAATGGATGGGATTCAGGCCAACTCGAGCATTATGTTGTATCGGCTGTCGCAAAGGTCATCCCGGAATCAGTTCGGATGAAGTGGAATGAATGGAGACACTCTCTCAAAAACGAAGAGAAAAGCCATCTAGGCAGCAACGACATCAGCGAAAGTGTGGAAATGGCAGGCTGGGGCGTTGAGCATGCGCAGGAACGCAACAAAGAAGAAGCCAGTGAGTTTGAACGAAACCTTTCGTCCCCTTTTGGTACCCTTCCCGATATGGCTCTCTCATTTCGTCGAAATGTCTTAGACAGCTCCACGTCATGAAAGGGGGGAAACAGTCTTGTCTGTTTCCGCATATGGCATCCACGGACAGTTACCGAGCAGGGTGTTACTATAACTTGGGACAGTCAAGGGAGAGAGACTAACATCCTTTCCCCCAGGCCTGGCAACGCAGCTAGCGCTCGCATATGCTATCCACAAGAGCTTCATCTTCCTCCGAGTACCGTTAACCGCGGCGGTAACGCCCAAGGTAGTGAAGGTGCTTCGAGGCTGGGGCTGGGATATTGGAAAAAGGACCCCACGACCATGAAATATCTAACCCTGGCGAAGCCTAGGATAAATCCATTGCGGGATATGCATGTAAGCACGGTTTAATCCGTGGCAGCGTGTGAAAAAAATTTTCTTGTAACATTATTGTCCATTCCGTTTGGGAGGATGCATGCAGTGCCTTGACCGGGCGTACAGAATCAACGTACGGGATGACATTGACAGGTGTAGTATATACAGGATCTTTTGTTTCGTTGTATGTTTTTTTTTTTTGTGTTATTGTTTAATGATGGCGTGCGCGCGCTGGCAAATAGACTAGAATAGAGAAGGCGCAGAGACACTCCCAAGCCGCGAATTACAAAGCTCGCAGCATTACAAGCTGCATGAAAAAAAAAAGGAGACGATTAGAAAAGACAACGCATTGATCCCTCGAGGTGGCCCCCCCGTTGGAAACACATACGCAAGAAACTCCAAACCTAGCTCCGCTTGTATGTGTGTCTCTCTCGCCAATCCAAGGCGGCACTTTCACCGTCAAAAGTTCTGAACAGGGCAAGACTATGCGTCAAACTACGAAAACAACCCGGGGGAGCTTACTCCATCAAAACGGCTATTGCGGCTTCCCTCGTATCTCCCATCTTGTCTTGGTCCCCGAGGAGAAAAAAAAAAAAAGGCAGCCCAACTCCCAACTCCAACACCCAAAAGGACAAAAAAAAAAGTCCGTAGCGTCAAACCAAGCAAGATGAAAGCTGCAGTAGTGTAGTTCCCAACGGATAAAAGCCGAAACCAAACAAAGACGACTGGTTTGCTAAGTGAGGGAGTGAGTAAGAGAGAGAGAGAGAGAGATGAAAAAAAAAGTCGCAGGCCAAAACAGGAAGAGTAAAGCCGATGAATTATCCAAGATTAAACTCTGGAAAACCCCGAACAAGAACAGACGACAGCCACAGTTGACCTTTTTAGCGCCATTATTTTTCTCTCTTGCTGGCGCGGGAAACTAACCAAGACCAGTTAAATTGCTGTCTGTCACTGAGAAAGTTCATTCTTTGGGGGGGGGGGGCTTGATTGTGGCTTCATGACGTATCATGCAACCCTCACAAGGGGGCAGAGAGGGAGAGTGTTGGAGAAGAGGGAGGGAGTGAAGTGAAACCCATCTTCTCTATCCCAGAGACTTGGGTCACGCGCTGTGGAAATGCTAGGACGAACCAGAAAGGCCCACGTAAAGATGGTTCAATCGAAACGTCAATGAAGGGAGTGATACAAGCAAGATGGGTCAATCAGACGTGGCCAATTTGGAAGATGTTTGGCCACAGGGGGCGGATACTCTGACGCTGCCTCCGTTTGTCTCTCTAGCTACTCTTTCAATGCAGTGGTAACAGGTACGACGACGTCTTCTACACGGGGGTTCCGTTTCTTTGTAATGGAGGGATCCGTCACTCTCATCCAAAAGGGGTAAACCGTGAATCTGCCCTTTCTGACAAACGCCGACCCGCCTTGCAGGGAATAAAATGCGAATACTGCAGAGCGTTAAAATTTTTGAGAACAAAAACTCTCGGGCCGAGTGCGCAAAAACAAGCCCATGTCATGTCAGTTTCGTAACAACCCCATATGAAGTGCGAAATGCGACTTGCGAAATGCACTCGGTCGTATGAGACCGATGTACGTGTATATACATACATCAATCAGATGTCTTTATCCTGAGTGCTAATCTAGTTGGGCTGAGAGGGTGTGCAGGGAAAAGAAATTAACCTGGCAGAAAGTGAAACAAGAATCAGACGCCTTCAGCCTTCTTTATTCCTGCTCTTGTTTCTTAGTCGTCTCCTCTACTCCGTAGGCTGGGGTAGAAAAGAGAAACGCCTCCTTTCGTGCCCCCAACTTGCTAAGAAATGACCCTTTTTCCCAGTTTCAGAGTCGTGCTTGACAGTCACAGCAAACCCCCCGCCTTCCTATCCTTAACTCCGTGCAACTTCATGAGATGCGCTGTAACGTATAGTAATCAGGAAAAAAAAATGAAGTGATGGGTTAGGCAGAAAAAGGGGGGCCAAGGCGTTTTCCTCCAAGGAATAAACGGCCCGTAATAAAAGGCAATAGTGGAAAAGCAAAGCTGAGGGAGAAGTCTTCTAGAACAAAGTCAAATCTCAAGACATGAGTCGTGCAAGTTTACATTGCTTTTCGCGGGGATACACGGAGTTCTGCCAGGTATCCCATAGACCCAGTCCGGCAAAGACGGGTAGCACAGTGGATTACGATCGATGGCCTGCGTGTTTCTAAAACGAAAATGGAGAAAAAAGAGAGAAAGAAGGACGAGTTTGACACAGAGGCCCAGTAGGGTGGCGCCATAACTCTAACGGCAGGCCCAGAAAAGTTCTTTTGCCTTTCCCAGAACTCCTGGCCGAATTATTCAGGCCAAATGGAGCTGGCAGTGCGAGGACTCGCCGATATCTGTGACTATGGAGCAAATCATGACTGATAGGTACTTGCTTTCCCCCCAATAAACATTGAAAACCACAAAGAGTGACATGCTGTCTTGCGTATGTGGTTGATTGAGCCCACAAGCCACGTTGTTCTGACGGCTCGCACAGATCGCTGCGGAGGCTAGGCGCCCTGCTGTCTTCTCATTGCACATGCCAACGAAATGAGGCTTTTATTTCCTCATCATTCTTAGGGAATATAGCTTCTAATCTCCCGTAGGGGATGACAAAGACGCCGGCAATAGGCCCGGGCAAAAAAAAAGAAAAGAAAGAAAAGAAAACAAGATTGTCCACGGATGCAGCCTTCCGGCGGTTATCCATTGGGAGGGGGAGTGAACTGGGGGCCAAAACGAAGACGAAGGGACCAACAAACGTACATGCATGTAGCTAACAAAGGAAAAGCAAAGCGTGTGTTCGCTTGGCTCGCCCTTTTTCGAGGCCGTGGCCGGGAAGTCGAGCTAGGCTTGCCCAGGGCAGCGTGTATGTCATCCCAGATACATACAAGCAAAAGGACAAAAACAACGGAAGTTAAAGCTCAGCAATGGTCCCACGCTCATTGCGTAACTGGAGCCACGTTGATGGCGCGCCAGAGAAAAGAGTGGGTTCCCTCCCCCTGGAAAGCCCATTAAATAGAGTTTTCAGGGAATCTGTTCGGCGGAGTGGAGCCGAAAGATGTCTGAGCGGGCGGTTTTTGTGCTAGGCCCTCATTGGGCTTGTTGGGGGGGGGGGTCTTGTTCTGCAACGGGCATGGGATGGCGGGAATTTGGGATTGGGATGGCAGGATTGCCGTGTTTTGCTTTTGTTTTGCTTTTTGGCCTGCTCGTCCTTTGATTTCACGTGTTTCATTTGTTCAGCATGCTTTCCCTGGCCTTGCCGTGCCTGCCAGCCAATCAATAGCCCAAGCCAGAAGCTGCTTCTTTCCAATTGGCACGGCGCTTATATGTTCATGCGCAATTTCCCAATCAAACTCTATTTTGCAGCGTGTGCGAACTAAGGCGGCAGGCAGCAAAGCTACTGCTGCGTCTAGGCCTAGCAGCGTCGCTCGAGCCCTTTTGGAGAAAGAGCCAGAGTTGCACTGCGTTGTTTTTGCATTGATGCGGCAAGAGAGGCCGACAGGTAGATGCAAGTGCGTGCGCATGAATATTGGGGGTGGAGGTGGAGGAAGAGAAGAAGGAGGAGGAGCAAACAAACAAACAAACCAGAAAAGAAAAAAAAAATCATAGACAAGGGTGTCGGGTGCTTTGAGATGGCTAGCCCGTTTTAATTCCCATCCCGCTAGATGGGCGGGATACTGGGGAAAAACCCGCTTTAGCACCGGCATCCCGCCTTGCCCATTGGTTTTGCCCAGCAAGGGGCCCGCATGCTCGCGTGGACGATATGCGGACGACAACGCATTGCATGGCATGGCAGCGCATATGCGGGCGATTTGGAGGTCGCAGTGTAGGATTTGCCGAGGCGTCGATATGTACGGAAATCTGCTTCCGGAATAGCTGTCGCCGCGGGAGGATTGGGGCGGGAAGGGAGATTCCTACAGCAAACGTACTATTTGCATGCTGCAGCACAACCTCCGGGCTCCAGCCAGGGATCTGGGCCGACGGCAGCCACTCATTCGTGGGCATCTCGATCTCCAGCGCCTTTGCGCGGATGCTAGGCACGGAGCATTGGCAGTAGCTGCGGTTGCAGCGGCAGAGCCAACGTCGACCATCGCCAACCAGCAAAGTCCGCAATCTTCCAAGGGGGTTGCCGTCATCCTGCCTGGGAATTAGAGAAGCGGAAGCCAACTCGGCTCTGCGCAGCGACGTGAAGCGAGACATGCGGAGTGGCGTCCAGGCCAGAGCGCCGAACAGAGAAAGGGGATGAAAACCAGGGACCGGTCTAAAAGGGTCACGCCTCGTTCATTTAGAGTTACGGTTTGCATATGCCTATTCTTCGCGGGCAATTGGGGTCGGTGGTGTGTGCATCGTATGCTTTGCTCTGGCATGGGATGTTTGCTTCTCGCAAAACTTACCACCGAAAGCGGCACCCATGGCCGCATGTGTCCGCCAAGCAAGGAACTTTTTCATTTGCTCTGCTTTCTTGTCTTCTGCTTGCATTGTTGCGGCATTTGTAGCCAGACCAACCAGATCGCCTCGTCACAATTGTTTTGCTCGTGCATAATCTTCACCCATGCCCCCAGCTTTGAGCTGCGATAGGGCAGAACAGCCGAGCTATTGCGTCGTACGCTGCATGCCCAATGCTTCGGCATATTCAGCATTTGCCCATCGCCTCAATACGGCGTAGGCACTTGCTGCTAAAGGATCTGCGCTTGCCTTAGTGTGTGATGGACGCGAACTGCTTGTCTCGGCACTATCTGGTGCTTGCATTGTCCTTGGGGGACTCCCGCTCATGCTGGCATTGGGCCAGTAACGTAGGATGCAATGGTAGTGCGAGCAGGTAAGTAGCATGCATTCAACGCCATCCTAGCGTATGAAGGAAACAGGTCATTTTTACTTGGTCGATTCGCTTGTAAGCAGCCACACACTGGCATTGTACTTCACGAAGACATGTATGTAAATATATTGCACAATTGATAAATTTGCCCGGTTGGTCGTCTTCCAACAGGTTTGTCTCAGAGCTGGCAAGACCTGCACAGAACCGCAGGCCGGCTCGAGTACCCAGAAACTCGGTTTCCGGGTCCGGAGGGGTCTCAACGGGGCGTCTTGATATGAGCCCAGCTGTGCGGGCCTGTCCTTTGCAGAGCAAGCCATGTTTCGGTTCTGACACGCATTGCCAGTGCTCTAGCGCCGCTAGCTTTACCACCTTGGGAAGTAAATGCTAGTGGAGCTGCAGACCAGTCTGTGAGTAAAAATGAATGCGAATAATAAAGAACGGGATTAGGTAGTACTTACTTGAATGTGCATGTGGTATTGGAGACTTGCGGCGTTGCGGCCTCGCCTTGGGATGCTGGGGTGTCATGCAGCGCAAAGAAAACCCTGCTGCCTTGGGTGCTAAGAGAGAGACTCCAACAACCGCTCTCCTGTATCATGAATCGTTGCGCGCGCACATCATAGTGCCCACTGAATATGTCGGCCTCTCTCAATAGTCTCTCGCAGCAGTGGAGCCAGCAAACGTGGAAAGAGATAGTCCAAGTATATTCACGTTGGGCGTTGACTCGGCAAAACTTGTAGTGCCTGCGTACCCCAGACTCTGCCCAGGCATAATAGATACCATGTGCCGAGCCAATCAAAGTCGGGTTTATTTTCCCAAAGCAGCTTTGCAGCTTCCCTTTTCCCCTTCTGCCTCTTCCCCTTTTCCCTAGTTTGCGGCGTCATGCAGCTCTTAGCGCCAAACAGGGCATCCGGGCGACATCCGGGCTTCGGTTAAGGGACGATGATGAGCAACGAGGACCGGAAAAGATGAGCCTGGCCGGAAAATCGAGCCATGGTGAGAATGAGAATGTCATTGTCGTGGTCCATAGGAGCCGCTGTCAAATTGCCGCCTTTTACCGCTACTTTCGTGCCGTTATACGCCGTCTCGGCGAAGCGCAAAGCATAATCAATAGAAGCGCCGCAGGCCAACAACGGCCGGCTTCAATACCACGCTGCGGAACGGCTCCGCGACGTGGACACAGGCGGCTGCTCTGCGAGTATCGTTTGCGGTCGATCTCGTCAATGATTGCCGGCGCGGTCAAGTTCGTCCTGCTGTCAAAAGGCGCTATATCCATTTTCGCCGTGGGTCGGCCGTATTAGGCAATTCGAATCACTCTTTGGCGCGGCGGCTGCTTAATCTAACGAGGCGCAACATCGAATCTAGCCCACTAGTATCTCCAAGGGTGGGCCCTCTAGTGCATGGAAAACTCAAAGAACAAGCATGTTATTGTCCAACCTGGCAATCTATTACTCATAAGCCATTGTTGATGGCTCCACGACGATCGTGGGGGAGGAGTGGTCACGACATGTTGATCAGCCAGGGCGTAGGGGTAGTAGCATCTGGATACGACTCTGACCGTCGATGCCTGCTATTGTTCTTAATTCTTTCTGGACTTTAATAAATTACATTTGTTGGACACTCGAGACAATGCATCTCCGTTTAAGTTATTGGTAGCATCACTTGGTCAATTACCAACGAATCATTGGGCAAGAAACAGGGCCCTTAGGAGGCATACCAGCAGGCGCGAGAATAGGTCACTGCACACCGATTGTCTCCGACCGACTGTTACCGTCTGCCAAAAAGAAGTTATTGGATGCCACGATTTTGGTGATGGACACTTGCAACGCTCATCGAGACGTTAGAGGCGCTAGAGCGTGGAACTTGACTCTCAACGACGCGCCGGTGGAAGCAATAGTAGCAATATACCACCAACTATTACTTTAGCTGTGGGGCATTGTCAATCAACAGGAGCGACTGCCGGTAAGGAACGAGGAACGAGGATTGATCGAGGATTTGCATCATACAGTATTAAATTAAGGCGTTAGAGTGCATGCAGGCCCGTTGGCTCTGGGAGATTGGCAAGTGCCGAAACCTATCTTCGAGGCCCAAACCTCCGCTGATTCATAATTGCCTTTACCCGATTTATTGTTATTCGGCTGTCGTCTGAATGTAGGCGAGGCGCTATGATGCTGAGGGACATTGTTGGTGGAGTTCAGCCTCCTGGCAGACACCAAGTAACTGGGTCATTTTCTATTTTCGGGGTTTAAAAAAAAAGTTTTTTAATGGAAAAAAAAAAGACAAAAATAATATCTCCCCAAAGAAACAAGTATGATGATGAGCTGATAGAAAAAAGAGAAAAAAAGGAAAAGAGAAAGAAAAAAAAACATCCAGACTCCCCGATGGGGTCCGTGACGAGTGTGACGAGCATTTAAGAATCTGATAATGGCTTCCAAAACCACGTTTTACACTTCAGCTGGCTGAGATTATGGGCCATTGAGGCGCCTGTCATGTCAAGTGGAGAGTACAAGATACCTGAGCACGCGAGACTCTGTGGAACAGCTAGAGTGTACTACTTACTGTATGAGCGAGTATCCGCCATGACAGAGCACGCACGCAGGGCAGACGGACTTGAGCTGGCATTCCTCGAGATGGGCCAAGGTTTCTCCCAAAATAGTAGCGCGTTTCACCATGTCTGGCTGTATTTCTCGCTCCTGCGGTGCTGTTTGCAGAGGCTGCATGTGCATTACTCGGACAGAGGCACTTGTCGAAGTATATTGTTGGCAAGGGCAACCAAAAAAAGAAACGTCGAGCAAAACACGCACCTGGTAATCCGCACTGCCCTCGCCATGACGTGCCCTCTTTAGCTCGCCGGGCCCGTTGGGCCTTCACCGCTTCACTGCACCGAGCTGTACCACGTTGAGGCTGGGCTGGACGCAGGACCCAGATGGTGCCAAAGTCAGTTTGCGTGGGTGGGGGTTTTTCCAGATGGTCAAAGTCAAGAGCAGGCACAAGACTGAGCCCAGCGTGGTGTTCTGGCTCTAGCTTTGGAACCCCCCCTCTAAAATTTCATGCGAGGAAGAGGGAAAAAAAAACTTTTACCCTGGTTTGCCTCTGGCGAATCGAGATTTGGCGTGGGACCTCAATGGCCCTGCAAAAAGGTTCAACCATCTTACTCGTACGCGGCACAACGCGCTCACAAAGTAACACGCGCATATAGTTGCAATCCATCGTCGTACGAAATGGATCGCTTGTGTGCCACCCAAAGCCTGGCTAGCATCAGAACAAAGGCGGTGTAGGCCCAAGGCGTAGAAAGACTCGAACATTCGAACTAGCAACAAGGCTGCTTCTACCCCAATTTCAATTTCCTTTGGCGCGTTGTGGTCTCCAGTCTGGCTGGCTCTTCGTATTGTATCGTCAGTCTCCGGCCTGGCGCTTGCGGATTATCGCCGAAGTCCACCTGGACCACCGGCAAAAGACACCCCAAAACGCTGGACGGAGCACAGGGCCTTGGGTTGCCGCCACCTTGTCATGGTGCCAGGCGCTAAGACATCGAGCTTCTGCGGTGGAGATGGGGGCTGCATGCGCCTGTATGTGCAGACGCAGCGGCTTTTCAGACTTTCGGCCTCTCAAAGTATGTAGATGGTCACTGTGTGTGCATAATTCCGCTGCGTGGATGACGGAGTGAGCATGGCTGTGGTTGGCAGCACGGATGGATGGGCACAGCAGCTTCTCCTGCCCGCCTCTCGCGCATGGTCGGACGGAAGTCGTGGAATCCTTGTGGACTGACTGGCTGTCGAGAGTTGAGACCCTTTTCCTGCTTCGTACAAGTATGCATGCCTTGGTACCTCTGCAGGCCACTGACAGAGAGAATGTACTCCACGGGGCTACGTACCTTCGCTACCGACCTGACTAACCGTAGTGCCGGACTTGTCATCCGAGTCCACAGAAACAGAGGCCGCAGGCTATTTCTCGCCGTTTCGTTGTACCCCATACTTCGTATCGCTTTAACTTTTGCGTCGGCGTTCGGACCCGATGCTTTGGGACCCAGCCATCTGCTGCTTACCAATGAAGGGTGTTTGTTCTCCGAAGTTTGTTCTTTGTTCTGCCACGCGCGCGAACAAACCGTCTATGCGTCTCCTGCTTCGGAGGCGTTTTAGCCTGGGCGGCAAACGGGTAGGCGCACGACATACTCGATTGGGAAACAACTCCCTAGCAGAATGTCTCAGCTCCGTATTTTCGCCTTTTCGTGGGCGCTAGCCGAAGCTTTTGTTGTTTGCTGGGAAAAATCCCCAAAAACGTTGTTTCAATTGCGAGGCATCCGAACTCCAAGATGCCGGGTCGCTGGGCCGCGCGTATAACTATAACTACCTACCTGCCTATCCAACGCTGCCGGCCTGACTTGCACCTCACAAGCCCGCAGCACGTGCCCGCTCCTTTTGACTTTTCGACTGAATAATTCAAACTCTTTCTGATACAGTCCGGTTGCCCTCCAACGTCGACACTAGCCCCGACCCCAACCTGACACTGACACGGCCGACCCGCGCCTGGCCAGTTCCCCTTGATACCGCGACCTTCTCGCCGGCAAGGAGCCCCCTGGCAACGGCACAGCGTCAGATTGCCTAGACAGGCCAAGAGCAGCGGCTGCATCTCGCTGGCAAACCCCTCTGGGACACCCTAGACGCACGAGAGAAACTCTCAAAGAGTCCAGCCCACACCCGCCTCTTCGCCCCCACACACGGACCGTACGCCAAGCCGTCAAGTTGCGCTGGGTGTGGTGTGCAAAACAGGCAGGGATCCCCCTCCCTGGCAGAGTCTGATCGTGGATCGATACTCCCGCCCACCGGCTCCACCACATATATTGTATGCATATAATATATTATTCTGCCGCTTCTAACGCCTGAGCCAATATATTTGCCTTCCTCTTTCCCTATACACGCTACCCACTAGCATATATATCCAGCGTACCCTGGTCACTGACGCACTCCGTCCGACACCCACCCTGTACAAGCTTCCTGCAGGCTGCTCGTACTCCCACGCATATATGACCAGAGCCCCTACCTCCACGCAGCCTCCAAGTACAATGCTGTCTGTCTATCCTTCCGAGATCCAGTACCAGCAGCACCTCAACCACTCTCCCATCCGCCCCATGCCTCACCGCCAGCCAGACGTCTCACTGGGCTACGCCAGTATGAGTGCCAATCGTGCCTCCAAGGCGGCTGCTGCCCAACAGCACCAAGCCCAGCAGGATGCTGCAGTTGCCCAAGCCCTCGAGATTGCTCGGGAGAGCCCAGACGGCGCCTCAGATCCCACCGTCAGCAAGATCCTGGAGATGGCTCTGTCGCAGATCTGGGGCAAGGTCCAAGCCCAGCCCGACTCATATGTCATGACGCGTGACGAGTTTGCCGTCTTCAACTTCTTCCAGCACCGCTTCACCGGCGACAAGACGGCTGTCACAGCGCGCAAGCGATACTGGGACCATGCCAGGGCTTAAGTGCCGAAGATGAAGACCAGTGGTGGTTTTCCAAAAGAAGCCATTCTGGTTTCTACATCATACCAGAAGTGTAACACCACTTCACCTCTCTTCTCAATCGGCCTCGTCTACCGTCTCTTCACTTCGCTTTGCCTCCAATGGCCATCAATCACCGAGGTCAACAATGTCTTGAACATGCTAGACTCTACCGGGAACAACACTCTTCATCTTTACAAAGAATGAAAGAAAAGAACAGAAAAAAAATCACCAAAGGGGAATATACAAATTGCAAATTCCTTGGCAGGGCTTGACATATCCTGTTATAGAAGCCCTAGCCACCAACAACACGAACCCACGAGAACTCTACACTATACCGAACAGACGATGGGACTTTGATACCATTCGGCATATGGCAGAAGATTATGACCTTTTTTTTATTCTCTTACGGTACTCTTCTTCATATTCACGATCTACCAGAACTTCTGCACGACGGAACTGGAAAAGAATTGTTTTTTTATCCTAATACGCGCTCATCACTGGCATGTCAGTGCTGCCAACGAGCGTTGCTTTATATCATATGCCACTTGGCATATCTTCTTTCTTATGCTCTTACCTTTTCTTCTTCATTCTCACCCCTTTTTTCACTGGAAAATACTTTACTTTTTTTTTTCTTCGGTCATTTGTTCGATCGCCGAGATAGTGGGGATCCGCTAAACAGCTAGCTCAGCAAAATGGCCTTGGTGCCCCTGGCGCTGCCTCCGCCCCTAAAGATTAGGGCCACTTGGGCTGCCAACGGCGTGCTGCAGTGGATTTCGTCCGCTATGTGGACACTGCGTCAGCACAGCGAGATCTTGGGAGATTACCCGATGCGCCTACTCGGATGCTGGAGGTCCTAGGCCTTCTGATATACGAGGCCTAGAACGATGGATCAAGATGGGCGACGCACGGGAGGATTTCACATGTTTCTCTTGCTGACGCTGGCGAGGCTTCGGATGATGACCGACCCTCTTTTACCGCCGACGCTATCGTATAAAACGATGTGAATGGCGTGGACAAAAGACACGGTTTGGGTTGGGGTTTGAAAATATTGGATTGGTTTTATACATAACTTGATGCTGTTACGAATCTCTTATTTTATAGATTTAAGCGAGGGACTTATAGACTTGGTTTACTGATAAATTTACATTGTTACCTTTCACATCCTTCGCTTCCACTTCTCAGATGAATGAGTTTTTTTCTTTTTTCCTTTTTTTTTTTTTTCATTTCCTTCTGATGCCGAGGCCGTAGGCATGTGACGATGTCTGTGTAATAACTCGGTAACCCCTGAAAATGCCGCCTATGGGTTACTCCGCAACCTGCACCCAAATAGTAACATCAGCTCGTTTACGTTTGTGTAGCACCTTGACAGTAACAACAATGGAACATGACCTCCTTAGCCGTTCTGCGAGGTTATGATCTATAGGTACCTCACGTGGCATTTTGTTGTTCCTCTAGTCATCTAACTGTATTAGGACTATTTAGAGCTACCATAATACGACAAGAGCCTATATTACTGCTTACTCCTAGCAACGAGGTCGTTACTATCATGACTCTTGCGAAATAGAACTCTGAACACTAGCTAATACAGCCAGACGGCAACTTCCGTTATTAACGATTTATTTCCACATAGGGAAACCGATTCGCCCCACGTAGTATAAGACGATGGCAAAGTTCCAGATCTAGATTCTCACTCCGAGACCGGATAGACTCTTGGCAAACCGCATGTTTTACTATTCCGGTCAATTTTTTTTTTTTCTTTTTTTTTTCTTCTAATATTTACAAGGATCTCGGTAAGATTTTTCGATATCTCACCGATCGACAGGGCATAACTAGTGTCCGGTCGGGATGGATGGGATAAGTTGTCCGTACCGGACCTCAGTTCTAGGCTCTTCCATAGATATCCATATGATTCCTTACAGATGGCAAAAAAGGTGATGAGCATATGAAATCAGAGGAAACGCATGGCATACGCGTTTTCTTGGGGGAGGAGTATAGTATACATTGTCGCCACTCTGTAAAGAGAGTTTACACTGGAGGCCAGCCCGGCTGAGCGGCGGCGCGGCGGTATTTGCTTTTTGGGTTTTTAGTAATCTAACGGTGGCAGGAAAGAACAAGAAAATAACTGGGAAAGCTGCAATTTACGTTTCACTAAATTGAGAAGTTTGATTGTAGAAACGGAGGCCTCGGAAAGGTTGCAGACAACGTTTTGGCCATCTTCTGGTACGTCAATTGAATATCTTCATGTTGGTAACTTCAAAGCTTCTAAGTTATGATTTGACGAATCTAGTGAGCGGATCTGTCATCAACCTTTTTGTGACATCAGTGATTCCACTGTTTCTTCAATTGAGTGGTATTTGTAGGCTTTTAACTAACAATGCATGTTTCGAACGGTTTATATTGCATCAATTAGAGAGTTTCTACTGTGGAAATGCATAAATAGGCTCAATAATGAGAGAGTTAAGTTGTTTTATAGCCAAGGACTAATGCGAGAAACAATTCACTTACAAAAAAAGCCGAAACAAGGTAAAACTTTAAGCCGTATGTCAGAAAGGATAAGGAAAGATAGACAAAGTGTGGTAGTCTGAAATCTCAAGCAGGCATTAGCTCTCCTTATAGTCTTGTGACTTTCTCGAGATCTCTGATCCAACGTGTCGGTCTCTAGTCTGTCCCGGAGGTGTGGTAGACCTCGGCCACATGATCTTTGTGGAGGGTAGAACCAGATCGTCGGCAATCTACTTGAGGCGGGATGAAGAGATGAGTTGTCATTTTTTTTTTTTCCCTTCGCGTACTTCGGAAGAGTGTACCATTTTAGAACTCTATAGAATATACACACATAAAACCGGGTTAGAACAAAGTTTTTTCCACAAAGCCAAGAGATGGTGTGTAGCGCACGCGAGATGCATCATCTACGCCCTTATCACAAATGATATTTGATCAAATCCAGGGAGCTGAACTTGATCGTGGCTGACGGGGATTGCTGTTGGAAGCCGCCACGTGGAAGCAGGCAGCATTTTCCGTGCCAAACCCAGAGAAGACGAATTGATTCCATTGGCTCTCTTTGCTACTATTTCCTATTGAACGAATTATGGAATCAAAGTTTCAAAAAGCAATCACCAGCCACACATACATACACACCCCCAAACACAGGCGCGTATTTATTATTATTATTTTTATTTTTGCTTTTGCTCTAGCTGCGGCTTTCGCGCTTAATAGTTGGTGGAGAACAGTCTTTTTTTAACGACCGTTTTTTTGCGTGCCGTAGGCATGACGGTGGGAGTCTAAACACTCTAGGTTATGCCGAACCCTTTCTTTAACAAGCAGAGTTTACTGGGAGCATTCTTTGCAATTTGTTTTCCCTAACCAACTGACGAAAAAAAAAAAAAAAAAAAACTGGGGACTCGAATGTGGTTTTTGCTTGATTAGGCTTGGAGATGAATCATAGCATGATTCATGACTCTCGTAGAGTTTTTGTTATACGAATGCTGAGTCGCCCCAAAGAGCTCCGAGTAGGCTACCCAAATAGGCTATTTGAATAGCTGATGGGTCAAATAAGCAGTGACAAATCTGGTGAAATCGTAATTGGGATCTAGTGGCAGTAAAAGATCAAGATGATAAGCAAGGAGATGGATGGTTGAAGCCAAAGGCAGTATATATGTATATGTGTGTGCGTATATACCTACATATATAAGCTGAGACAAGTACTTACAGAGAGGAAAGGGAGAGATGAGAGGGAAATGATTATATTTGCTATGGTGGAGATTCTTCCCGTAGCTTAGTCCTTTTACTACCTCCTCGCTTATAACGTAGCAGCCGTGATCTATTCTATCTACCGCTAGACCAAGCGCCAGACTAGTCATAAATCCTCCGACGAAGCTATCCAAATAGGTGATAGATCAAGTAAATAAGTGAATCTACCATGATGGAGATCTTGTAAGATTCGTCACCTAGATCTAGCTGTAATCAAGTAGCAGGATAGTGAGTAAGACGGGTAGGCAGGTAGAGCTAAAACCGCATAAAGAATGCATGTAGAGAGAGATTGAGGGGTAAGAAAAAAAACACGCAATCTTTGTCCGTAGTTGAGATTAGTTCTAGTTAGTTTGATCTTCTTACTACCACATTTTCGTTTGGAAATCATTACATCTCACCGATATTTTTGTTAACTTCTAGAGCATGTATGTACGAAGATGCTAATAAAACCCTTTGAAGATGCTGTATAAATTCGTGGTAGATGAAATCAATGAAACCGGGCAGTGAGAGTGAAAAGAACACGTAAAAAGCAATGAGTGAGAAGAACCACAACGGTGTATATAGTGCTATAGATGTATATAAGAGATAGTTATATAAAGCAACACAGCCTTTTCTGTCGTAGGAGAGGCTCTTCCCTGTAGATCAACTCTTCTAACTACTAATTGCCTGGAAGAAGCTATTCGGCGCTGATTTCGTGATATTTTCCAGCGCCGAAGATGCCCCACTCTTGTTCCGGAGCTCGGAGCGTGAGCCAGATGAGTAAACGAGGCCGATGAGGATACTGCCAGCCGGAGGTGTCGGAGGAGAATAGAGATTAGGCAATCGTAAGAGACAAGTGGACTCTTGCATTTAATTGGGTCATGGGGAAATTTACTGAATGTAATTCTCAAAGTTAGTTACCCCTTCTTCGTTCTCCCGAGGCAATTTTTTACGTGTATCTCTGATGATCTAGCTCGCCAGACGGCTTTTATGTATAAGACACCCATTTTCCACGAAACACTGTATAGTAAGAGTACGATAATCTATGGTAATTGCATGCTGCACTCAATCAACAAAAAGCCCCTACCTTTCCTCTTCAAATAAGAATACGGATAAGAAAGCGAGCGCGAGACTGGAACATCTAATCCTCCATGGCCTTGGGGATTGGCCTGGTTTGAGCTTGGGAAGCTTCCCATCCAATGATGGCGATGACGACATGGATCGGTCCACCAGCCAACACAAGAGCAGCGCGCTATTCCTAGACAGGGAATCGCAGAGCCGCTCCAGCCAATCAAAGCTCCCCAGCAGCAGCAACATCCGACAATGGATGGATGATCAGAGACAGTGTTTAGGCCAGAGGCAGCTGACGGTCTCTCGCACAGAATGTCTCGGATAACAGTTCCCGCGTAGAAGGAAGAAAAAGATTTAAGAATTGTGGCTTTTCCTTTTATATAAATGTAATGCTAGCCGGTTCACTCTGAGATCTATGTGACGTCAGGGAGATTGTCGCCAAAGAAGCGCGCGCAAAGCTTAAGACTCCAAACAGCATGGCAGCTCAATGGAGTCGCAGCTATTCACGGGGCGAAACAAGCTTCCAGCGGGAGAGCGTCTTTTTGACGCAAACGTCATGCAGGCCCTAGCAAGTGCCGACGGCTCCGAGACCAGTTACACGCCTTCGCTATGGCATGTCCATTGAAGCAGCGTGTACTCTTGCCGTCCGATCCATGCGGAGAAGCTGTCTTGATTGTTTCATTTTTTTCACAAGAGGAGGGTAGGGGGAAAAAAAATAGGGGCCCTCTTCATCTTCAGCAAATGAGGCGGAAGCTCCCAGTCCTCTACGTCAAACGAGCCCTGCATATCTGGCCGGCTTAAAAGCTTCCTTTTCCGAGGTTGCTCGGTCGACACTTACATCAACTCGAACCTCTTGCCTGTGTGCTGAGAATCGAAGAGAATCGAAGCCTATTCTGTGCAGCTCTGATTCTCGTCTTCTTCATATCTCTGCTTCAGCATCATCATCATCATCGTCCCCATTTTACAATTTTCCACATTTTGTGTTCAACGCAGCTTCATAGCTCCAGCTCGCCACGGCTTTCTAGCTTTCTAGCTTTCCGCCAATTGTGTCATTCGCCCGATCGTGCCGAGCTGCACCAACTTCAGCTGTCACGGGCAAAAGAATCCACCGAGCAAAAGAACAGCTCAAGGGAATAATAGACACGCCCTCCCCTGTCTGATTAGGAGGAATAAAACCCTGCCATCTCCAGCCAATTTTTTCGAGATCGCAGATCAATCAATCTTTCTTGTGTCAAACCAGCACACCATACAAACCTCATCGCCGCCATGTCGAAACTCATCAGTACCGTCGTGCGCAGCATTGCGCTGATCTGGACCTTGATCATCACGGCCCTCATCGGCAATGTCATCGCCTCCAACCAAAATGGCCACATGCTGTCCATCAACTTCACCATGTTCGTCGCCGCTTGGTCTTGGGTTGCCTTACTCTATGGCATGTTTGCAACCTTCATCGAAAGCATCGCCGCGCCCTTCCTCATCCTCTTCTTGGACGGCATTGCCACTCTGCTCACCTTCATCTGCGCCATAGTGTTGTCCTCTGAGCTGCGTGCTCCCAACTGTGGCAACATTCCCAACCAGCACCTGCCCGCCGACTGGATCGGCTTTGGCGATTACCCTCATAATGAGAAGAGGTGCCGCGAGATTCAGGCCAGCACTGCTTTCATGTGGTTCCTGTGGGTGTGCTTCACTGCCATCTTCATCTTCGGCATCATCGACGGTCGGACTGGGGGCTTCGGCGGTGGTTCATCACGATTCTCTCGCTCCAGTCGCTCCAGTCGCTCCGCTGCTCCCGCACCTACCATGTCTCAGGTTTAAATGGTCTTGCTGGGAGCCGTACTCTTATTTGATGAGCGTTCCTACACGCACGTTCTTTCATTCGCTCAGCCGATATGAAAACAGCACTGCTGTCTTATAATAGTTGGTGTCGTGTCCCCGGTGGATGCCATCTAGCAAACGAGTGAGCTGGATTCTTCACTTCAAAAATGGTCTTTACAACAGCAGCGGGTCGGGGAAGGAAGATTTTGTGCGTATCGGTCAGCGGGGGTTGGCTAATGGGATATGAACTTGCGTGAAATTAATACGTACATTTATGAAATCGATATTTGGTATTGGATTCGTATTGGCAAAGGTTGGCAGGAATGGGGTCAGTAGTATGGAAACCATAGCTAATGTAGTAATTGAGTGGTGAATAAGAGAGTCCTACTTGTATATCTTGTTTGTCATTGCTCGTTCTTATGATAGTGTGTGAAAGATGATGCGCTACGTTTGGTATTACTCCGTACAAATATCATGTCTTCCGGAAGTATTCGGTATACACACGTAAGACCTCTGCGAAAAACTAGACCAATCATTGTTGTGGCAACTCTCTAATGCCGAGGGCTTAAGCCAGAACCTGTTTATATGCTCCCAGTCTGCCCAGACAAACAGCTAACCCAAAGTCGTTGAATGGTCTCCCAGCCGACAGATGGCTATAACGTCGCTGCCACTGCACCAGCAGCATTGAAGGATTTACTGCTCGTAACTTTGACGTCTGCGTTGTGCACCCAGTTCATATATTTGCCCCAGCCTAAAGAAACATGTCAGCGACCCAAGCATTACAAGGAAAAGACGGAAGACGGAAAATGGGGAAATTGCCGAGGTAACGCACTCCAATATGCAAACTTGCGGCCAAACAGTTTCCCGATCCACGGCACGAGTATCATGGTCAGCAGCAACTGGACCTGCTCCAGGCTGCGGTCCCATTCCTCCTGGGCTTCGGAATCGGCCTCGGAGAAGATGTCGCTGCTGGAGGAGTCGGAGGGGAGGGAATCGACATCGTCTTTGGTGTCGGAGAGGGAGGAGGCGTGGAGGTCGATGAGGGACTCGTCTGGGGCGGCCATTGTGACGGTGATTGAAGGAGATGCTTGCTGAGTCCTTTGATGCGCGGCAGCGGAGTGAAGATGGGATGGATGGGCTCCGGGCGAGCTGCTGCGGGCGTTTATGGCTGGAATGGCGTCGCTGGGGACGGTATCAGGCCATGAATTGTGATGGAAACGAATTGGAGATGAAGCGGCCGGGCGTCCGAGCTGATTCTCTCCGCAAGTACGCGATGCGGTTATCCTCGTCTCTCGCAGTCGCAAGCAACGTCAACGGACGGTTTCCAGGTGGAGCTTATTCCGACGACGGGATCGACTAATACCAAATGGCCCACCTCTCAAGCACGTATCAAGAGTGTCTGTGCCGTTATCATTATCGTCAATCTTATCGGCCTGTTGTGCATGCCAGTGCGGCAGCTTCTGGGTGGAAATCACGTGACACCCCTCCTCTGAGTCAGGCAGATTGGGCTCAGTCTGCTGGCCTCGGCCCTTGAATATCGGTCCAACAACGGCTCATGACGTGCAGCTGACTCAAAACCATTCGACCTTCTACCCAGCACTCACCTGCTGCTCAAATCTCGCTGCAGCTTGCCCGGCAAAAGAACCACTCTGCTTTTGCAGCAAAACACCGTCCTTGTGCAGATACGCGCATAGTTGGGCCGCAAAAGCACGAGCTGTCATCTCCGATTCGACGCTGAGAGGGCCAGCATCCGCTTATCCTGCGCTCTCTGAACACGAAGCTGCGAGGCAGAGACGGCGAACTGGGAGTGTGTCATCGCCGCCTGGAGGGAACTACTATTCTGAGGGAGAGACGCTCAAAAGAGGGGGCTACCTGCTGGAAAGACCGCGCACGACGCAGCATTGGGACATCAGCTAACCGCAATCATGGAGAACGAGGTGCCAGTAAGTTTGGATCGCTGCTACACTACTATCTCGCTACCCTCATCTTGCGGCCCCCCTACGACAACATGCATACGTCGTTGCTGTCTGCTGGGTGCTAGGAAGGGATGCTCCGTTTTTGCGGAAACCTTCTTGTACTACTGTGCCCAAGCAAGCTAGCCCTGGCCTTTGCCACTGCTCTTCCATGCCGTTGTTTTTCCTTCTTTTTGCCCCTCCCAGCACCTCTCACAGCCAGCCCACAAGGTCCAGCACCAGCCACAACCGCGAAAAAAAGCCCCAATCACAAGAAATTTACCCCACCAATCTCATCCACCCGTCGATTCCTTTCTCCCTTGTCATACTTCTGAGTCACACACAGCTTCTGCTATTAGACAGCAGCAAAGACGAGAGAAGAAGCATTTGGATTGTACTGTACCCTTCCACAGCCTAAACCCTTTTCAACCTTGCTATTTTTTCCTTCATTTCTTTTTATTGCATGTTTCAATCCCAAGCCGTGGCTAACCTCCCTCTTCTTTTTTCCCCACTACGCAGGACCAAACGGAACGAAAAGCGTCCCGAAAATCTGTTGCCTTCACCGACGAACAACTAGTTGTTGAGACCGACGGTTCAATAACCATCATGAGCGCCGCCGAAGAACCCAAGGAGACGGCCCAGTCACACACGCCTCGTACGCCGCCCTTGTCTGCCGCCCTCGGTGCCTTTAATACTGATCCCTCTCAAGCCGCTGCCGACGAAGTCCCCCCTCCCGAAGATGGCGGCCTTGACCTGTCTCTCCTGAAGAAGAAGAAGAAGAAGAAGAAGGTTGAGGGTGCTGATGGTGATGCTGAAGATGAAGCTGCCCCCGCTGAGGATGGCGGCCTTGATCTGACCATCAAGAAGAAGAAGAAGAAGGCCAAGAAGGTCGAGGGAACTGAGGAAGACGAGTTCACTGCCAAGCTGAAGCAGCTTGAGGTTAAGGACGCCGAGGAAGCTGAGGAGGCCGCACAGGAGGAGGGTGACATGGAGACTGGCACTGGTGTCTGGAGCCACCAGGAGTCAAAAACAATCCCCTACACTCTGCTCCTCTCTCGCTTCTTCACCGTCCTATCACAAAAGAACCCCGATCACTCACTCAGCGGCACCAAGAGCTACAAGATTCCCCCTCCCCAGTGCATGCGTGAAGGCAACAGGAAAACTGTCTTCGCCAACATTGCCGATATTTGCAAGCGTATGAAGCGAACCGAAGAACACGTCACTGCCTACCTCTTTGCTGAGTTGGGTACAAACGGCTCTGTTGACGGAAGTAGGAGATTGGTCATCAAGGGTCGATTCCAGCAGAAGCAGATCGAGAACGTCGTAAGAAAATACATCAGTACGTATATATCATATACGGGTGATGCAGTGGAGAGGTGTAATGCTGGCATATTGGCAGTTTAGTCTTGGCTGGACTGCTTGGTTGCGTGAGGATATGGGGTGCCATAAAAAAAACCTGGCCAGCATCAAGACTCTGCATCCTGCTATCATTATCCTTTCCACTTCCATTACCCCCCCTTCCCCCCCAAAATATTAGTAAACTAACATCAGGATTTCGCAGTCGAGTATGTTACTTGCAAAACTTGCAGGTCGCCCGATACCGAGTTGAACAAGGGTGAAAACCGTCTGTACTTCATCACTTGCAACAACTGTGCTTCACGACGAAGTGTCACTGCCATCAAGACTGGTTTCTCTGCCCAGATCGGCAAGAGAAAGAAGATGCAGGGCTAAAATCTCAACCTGCTACAGCACGTGTAAATATTTGGGATTCGGCAACTTGCTTGAGTTTCAAAAAGCGATCTTTCTGCAGCGGTGGCTCTACCTTATTGGATCGATCAGAGACATCCAAGTTACATCTCATAGTCTTCACATGATGTGTCGAAGACATGACGAAAAATTAGGCATCAGATTATAGGAGGAAGGATAGGAGCGTAACGCCCAGAGCTGCAAAGGGCAAAGCGGACTGTATCTACATGTGAGCAAGGCGCAGTATAGGCTGCTCTCGGTCGGCTACGAAGGAAAAAGGGGACAGACAGATGATGTAGCGGTCGTCACCTAACAATGAAATGATTTGATGATGACATATATGATGTCTCTTAGAATGAAGCGTGTCAATCTTTTATGCATTTGGGTGAGATGGCTTGTAAAATGCTGTAGCTTGATTTGTTCTCTCCATCTACAAGCATGTATATGTCACACAATATGAAAGCCAAAAAAAAAAAAAAAAAAAAAAAGGAATATTCAAAAGTTGGATGTATGCAGTGCATATTGCAACTACCAAAAGTTGACCATATATTCTTTGTTTCTGAAAACAAACATCACCACTACGAAATAACTACAGCCATGAGAAAAAGAAAAGGCCAAATATATTTCTTCACATCACACCCATTTCATCAATAGTGTCTCCCCTTGACACCACATACATGCATTAAATCTAGGTAGTAATCGCAGTAGGAAAACTTTATGCTAAACCAATAAAAAAAATAAGAAAGGCATCTCGAGCGCCTCCTTCTTGTATTCTCCAACCTTGGGGCGTTATAAAAAGCCAAAGAGACAAGGCATTCTGTGTCGTAAAAAAAAAATTAAGTACTCTTGAGCACTTTGTTCATCTTCCTCTTTCCTGTTTCTTTCTCTCCCCTCCCCTCCCCCTATTTATTGTACAGCATCAACAAGACAGAGATGGAACACGCGTCATATTATAAAAACCCCCAAAAACGCCGCCCAATGACAAAATAAGACTTGTCAAATCATTTCTTCTTTACGTCTTTTAATTCCTTTGTCTTCTTCCTCTCTTCCACGTAAAACTCCTTTCTTTTTTTATTCTGACTTTCTTCCTCTCTCTCCTCCTCCTCTCTCCTTTTTTTTCTCTTCCCTCTGACACGTGGCCGAATTAAGCCGTGCCATTAGGGTCTTCAGTGCTGATTTCTTGGCCAAATAGAGACTTTGGCAGCGCCATCGGAGGAATAGCGCTCTGCTTCATCTGTTCCTCCTTAACTTGGTTCTGTGCCACTTCCAGAGCGGTGCGGACCCATTCCGTTAGACGATTCTTTTCAATGTATTGGTTGAGAAGCTTGTCTTCATGATTCATGGCGTCAATCAGCTTTGTTTTCATTCCAGCTTCAAAGTCATGGAAACGACGATCGACGTGCTCCGTGAAGGCGCCGAGGGCATCTTTCGGTAGCATAGGCTTGAATGTGCCACGTGCATGTTCATCCTCTGTGAGATTGTGTTAGCTTCTTGGCTTTATTCTGGGAGAACAGTGTAGATAAAAGGGAAGAGTAAACTTACGATATTGAATGCAGTCATAAAGCATGGCGTATAGCTCTGTAGATGCCAGTCTCTCCGTAACTTCTCGGTCATCCTTCAATTGTGTGTCATTGATCTTTGACCAGTCATCTCGGATGAATAGTCTCCTCCAGATGAGCCGCTTAGCTTCCCGGGCTTCCTCGCTATGGCAGCTACTATCGGCAACTTTAAGAGCTAGCCAAAATGGATGGGCAATCTCGTCTCTTGATTCCTGTTTGAGATCCACGAGAGTCAATAGATCAATTAGGGTCATGGGATCAAGAGCCTCGTGCTTAAGCAGTCTTTCCATGCCATCCTCAAAAAGTTGACGTAGGGTCTTCTGGCGCTTGGGTACATTTGAGCTGTGAGCCTCCATGGCAAAGTTTAGAGCTGCAGCCTCATCAACAGCATCGTAAGTGCTGGGGAAGATTTGAGCGTAGAGCTGATCTTGGATTTTAACCGTGATCAACTCCTTCTCAACCTGTGCGAGCTGTTGCTCGATCCGAATTTCGTCTGCATTTAATTTGAGATTTCCATTATTTGGAGATTTTTGTTCCATCTCGGCAAGCAGAGCAAGTTTTCCGAGGCTAAGTTCGATTTTCTTGCTCCATACTTGCTGCTCCTTTTCGAGAGCAAGGTGGACAAGCGTTTCGGCAGCGTGGCCGACTTGTTTCTCCTGTTGAACGTCGTTGATCCACGAAATTCGCGCCAACTCTGGTCTGCTGCGAAGGAATCGCGTCTTATAACCTGAATTCTCCAGCTCAAATGCCAAGACGGCATCAACTCCGTGTTTCTCGAGCATATATTCATAAACCGGGAAGGCGAATTCCTGACCATATCGGGTGAAACGTTCTTCCAGCTCTGATTCTTTTCTTTCCTTCAGAGCCCTCAGGTTCTGCAAATCGAAAGTCGTGAGTCCAGGTTCAGCGAGCGTCAGGTCCAGCTCTTCAATGTGATCAAGTAAGATAACCGCCAAACCGTCTAAACAACCATGTTTCTCAGCGATGGTGGCTCCTTCTTCCCACTTGCCTGCTCGTGCGAGGCTGATAGGTCTGCTGTATCTTTCCTTTTGGTATTCTTTTGCAAATGTCTGGCCCATTGATTTCTGGTCCGGTGTCGTCTCGGCCCACCGAGCATACTCCAAAATGGAGGTGAGCATGCCATCAATCGCGGCAGGGAGATCCTTGTATATCCGAGCAATCATAACTGGATCTGGTTTGATCGATTGCTTTGCTTTATCCTCTCCAGCGTTTACCCTCGACCACTTCTGATACCACTGGTCTGAAAGCTCGACTAGGCGGGCAACGTTGTTGGCAACGTAGTGGCAGCCAGTCCACGGTTCAGGGAGACCATCATAGCCATCACGCAGGATACCCATCCTCAGTTTCTCGTCGCCTAGTCCGTAGAACGCAAGATTGCTCTTACGGAAGTCCAATGCGCCAAGTAGAGTGCATACGTTGATCTGAATAGCCTCAGAAATCATCAAGGTCACTTTAGCGTCATCCAGCAGCTTGTCTTTGTACAGAATCTTGATGACTTCGTATGCCCAGGCTACAAAAAGCTCTAGTCGGAATATGTCGTTGATAAACCAATGGCGGATACGGTCAACCTCGCCAGCTTCAGCGCTAGGGTTGCTCTTCTGATCTTGGTGAATGAATTCGACAATGTATCCGATCAAACTCTTCTTGCTGTCAGATGGGCGTGCTGTGACAAAGGCCTCTTGTCGTTTCCAGAGCAGAGTTGCCACATGCATCTTTTCTGCATTGTATAACAAACTCCAGCGGGTTTTGCGGTCTAGATGAGTTCCGGTGGCTTTCAGGTGGAGTATGAGTTTTTCCAATGCATTAGAACGTGCTACAAGGTTTTCTTCTAGAGAAGCTGGCAATGTAGAGATGTATGCAGTGGTTGAGCTGAGGATCTCGTTGCTGACTTCTAGTGCGGCTTGCGCAATTTCCTCTTCAGAAAACTGAACTTCTTGGCGGACGTTGAATACCAGAGGATTATTCTTCTTGGTACCGAAAAACACTGCTTGTTCTAGTTTGCTTTTGGCAGAAATTGATGGGGGTTGGTCGCTGGCGAATTTGTCCACGTCCGTGGTAGCAATGCGAACAACTCCAGCGCCTCGCACTACTAATACGACAGCTGGATTCTTGCTCTTCGCTCGAGCTGCTCGGCTTTCGTCGTTTGATTGAGACACAGACAACATCTCTTCAAAGCCCGATCCAATAACCTCGTGGACATTATCTTCGCGGAAATCGATCACGTCCTCGAAAGAAGGAGATAGGGTGTGTGTGTCGGATTGAAGTTGATAGTCGGGAGACTCTGGAGATACAGCGATGGACGCTATGACGGCGGCACGATCAAAGACTGCAAAAGCCACGAGCGCAGGCCGTGGGAGATAGAGCCGCGGCCTTACTGCCTGAACGGAGTCGGAGTCTGTTTGAGAAATCGGCGTGGTGTAGGAGGTAATTGGTCGAATCATGCCAACTTGGGCACCTTTGGGAGTAAGAATGACTTCCACCAGGGCGTAGCGAGAGACAGCCCGACTAGTCAAGCTAACAAGTAGTAGCAGTTGCTGCACTGACGGGTCGTCAGTAGATGTGGCGGCGCTAAGCTTGCTGAGGTCTAGATATTTGTGCTCCAGGCCCCGGGGAACAAAGGTAAAATCAATTGCTTCAAAGGAATCGGCCGGTAGATCGCGGCAGAAAGGGTCAGCTTCCCAAAGTGCTGAGATGATGGACTCTCTGACATCGAATTCGCCAAACGGTTCGCTATGACCTCCACGGTGAACCCTCCAAGACTGTAGCTTGCCCTTGTTTGTTAGAGCAATCACATTCTTCTCGCCAACTCTAGCAGACCTATCAGCTCGAACAGCTGCAATATCCCCTTTAAGGCTCAAATGCGAAAAAGCGTGTCGAATAGTGCCGAATAAGCCGCTGCTGGTAGTCGCAAGGTTGCTTCGCAGAAACTGAACAGAAATTGCTGGCCGTCCATGACTGTCTCGCACGTTCATGTAAGCTAAACGTCCGCTGTTGAAGGAAAGCAGAAATCCGGCAGTCTCTGCATTGGTGATGGCAACGACTTTCTCGCCTGAGGACATTCCAGAAATCTGGTATTCGACGCCAGATCTGTCTTTCTTGATGAAGGCAAAGGTTGCAGCACTAGATATAGACTCCCAGAAGACGACTTTGCCGGTGCTAGCCATTACAACAACCAAACCGGGCTCGGTTGATGACGCAGAAGGAGAGACGAGACATCCTACAGGAAGAACATCGTTGGGCTTCGACGAGGATGGGAGGGTGAAGGTGAAGGTCTCGGGAGACTGTGAGGTCGAGTTATAAGGCCATACAACAGCATGGGTAGGCGTCAATGACAAAGCATAGCCAGATGATGAAAAAACGTCCGCATGTTGACTCCCTGCTCGAGTTAGTACGCGAAAGCGTTTTCTATAAAAAAAAGAAAGAAAGAAAATAGAAGAGACGGATAGAACTTACCAGACCAATCACTCCGGATTCTATCGGGTAAGGCTGGTAATTTGCTGACAGTGTATGCATTGGTGCTTGTCTAGAAATGAAGAATAAGTTTATATTAGTATTAGACAAATAGGAAAGTTTGATATTGATGCTTGATGCGACACAAAAGACGGAAGCTGGAGATGGAGCTTGCAGCGTACCAGAACGAGGCTTCCGTCACCCTTTTGAGCAGCACGGTCACCATGCTTCGGCTTCTTCGTCCGCACAATCAATTCTTTGCGCAAAACTGGCTGTACTGAAGGTGAATTCTCCATGGCGACGTCCTTCTTGGGCTCGGGGGCAGGCGTTGCAGCCTTTTCGGGCCTCACCTCAGCCATCTCCGGCTGGGCGTCGGTGTTATTCAAAGTCTGCTCGCTCAGAGGCACGCGCTGTCTCTTGGGCTTGGGGGCCGTAGCGAGCTGCTCCTGGCTCTTGGGGCGCAATCGCCGGCGGGAGCGAGTCGCCGTAGCCGGGCCACCCTCGTTCGCAGACGGAGAAAACATGTTGGATGTGTCGACGAGAGGCTGGGCTAAAAGTTTTGGATCGCAGGGATCGCGCCGGTCGCGCGAGTCGCGATGGCAGCTGCTGAGGGTTCCAGGCGGCGTCGAGAGATGGATTCGATGATGGAGGGAGGCTCAGATGCGCACATCGAGCTGCCTGGTCCGGGGCAATGAACGATGCAAGATTGACCTCGACGGGCCAAAGGGCAAATATGGTGTAGTGCGTGAGAAGCAAAACAGTTGCTTGGATTCAGTGGCTCGCCCGGCGGTGGGCAAAAAACAAACGGGCGGAATTGCTGGCGCACGGGGGATGAACAAATAAGATACCTTTATATGCACCCACTATAAGCGGTATATTGAAGTATCTTAAAAGTACTGCTGCTCGGTCGGCGAAGCTTCCGACACGCTCATGCGGTACCTCTGTAGTAAGTACCTGCAGCGCGTATATTACGCCAGAGAGTACTTACTACTAATGTCGACAGCAGCTCCAGAAAAAAATCACACTGTCGTCAGAGATCTCTAACAGGAGAAAAAGCTATGGTTGGGGCAGCCGTGCGCATATACAATGGGCGCCATACAATTTTGCTATAGTCCATAGGTATTTGTTATCTTCATACGGACAGCATAATGGCATGCAACTGCAGTCAATTAATAGGTAGATACTGAATCTTGATTCACCAATCTCTTCCAAAAGGCTTGAAGAGATGCTACTTAAGAGATAGGTGTTTAAATGCACAGTTTACAACTAGACTGTGGCGTTTGAGTAAGGCTCTTTACGTGTTTATACTGTACAGTAAGTAGAATTGCCTAAGAGCAGTAGGACGCTACCATTAGCAGATAGTCTCCTCAATATATCAATTACCTTGTACAGCGCTTGGCTCATATAAGCCAACCTTCGATTGTATTCGTATCTTTATCTTGGATTTAGTGAATGCATTTTCATCACCGTTACCATCATTCACTCACTGATTCATTCATCTCCCTTAGCTAAACTTGCTTTTATACCACTATCCTCCGTCAAAACCCCTCCCGTTGCTCACTGATATTTTATAAAACAAAGTTTGAGCGGCGTAAGAGAACGAAGATATCAAAGCAGTTAAATCCACGAATCATAGCAGCCTAAATGACCACTCATAACCAACCACCAGCAGTATGAGGAGGTTCTCAACCGCAGTCACCATCACCGATCCCTTGGTGAAATACCAGTCTCTAGTGGCCGCGGGCATATACTCTCCTGATCCCGCACAACACCGGCTAGCACGACATTTACACAAGATATACATCCGTATAAAGGACTATTCTCCCCAAATTGAATACCGCCAGCGGCTCAATCAAATTGCTCGCCTCACTGAGCCCAAGAAGCCGCCAGAGGAAGAGACTGGAGAAGGCATCCTCGCACTGCGGAACCACGCAATATGGCGGAATCCTCTCTTCAAGCAACTACTTCATACTCGTGAAGGACAGGAGAGTCTAGCACTTACGCGGGTTTTTACCAATCACCAAACAGCGATAGAGATCGATTCTCCCAAAGGACTGTTTCTTTCGGGAGAGGTTGGCACGGGCAAATCTATGCTTCTTGATCTGCTGGCGGAAGGCTTGCCTACACAGAAGAAGAAGCGATGGCACTTCAACACATTTATGCTTTATACCCTATCTCAACTCGAGAAGCACCGAAAATCGGACATTCAGTCTTCCAGTGCGGCTGCAGAATACTCTCTTCTTTGGATGGCCAAGAAACTCATCGATGAATCACCAATCCTCTTCCTGGACGAGTTTCAGCTCCCAGATCGAGCTGCAAGTAAAATTCTCAGCAACTTATTTGTTACTTTCTTTCAACTTGGCGGAGTCCTTGTCGCGTCTTCAAACCGGATGCCCGAAGAGTTACAGAAAGCTACGGGCATTGATTACGCGCCAACATCAAGAGGTCTTATGGGGAGGATATTTGGCGGCGTGACTCGCAGTCGAGGAGAGCTCTTTGGCCAATCGAGTGATTTTGCCGCATTTCTGGAAGTTCTCAAGGCGAGATGTGACTTTTGGCAGATGGAGGGCGCCCAAGACTGGAGACGAAGAGACGAGGATTTCGGCCCTGATGCTTCTGTGAGCCAAACACGGGATGCCGATAGTGCATTACACATCAGCGCTCCGGTTAAGAGCAAAGACGATGAGTCGAAATCCCAAAAGAGACCGCACTACTATTATCTCTTTGATGAGGAAGACCAATCATTCGACCATAGAGCTCGAGAGGTCGTATTAGGGTCAAACAGCAAGCCAATCCCATGGGAGTCGTCCAAGCTCATTGTCTACGGCCGTCAAGTTACTACACCATATCACTACAACGGTTTCGTCTTCTGGAATTTCGACAAGCTCGTTGAATCATTTGGACCCGCAGACTACCTTACAATGGCATCCACATATCACACTTTCATCATCGACCGCGTGCCCGTGTTGACGTTGCTTGCCAAGAACGAAGCCCGGCGTTTCATCACCCTCCTTGACGCCATGTACGAAGCTCGCTGCAAACTTGTCATCCGCGCCCAAAGTCTTCCCGACGATCTTTTCTTCCCTGAATCATCAGTGTCCTCAGGCTCCCAATCAGAGGGCCCAGAAAAAGATAACAAAGACAACAGCACCAATACCGACGACAACGACGCAACTTACTCAGAAACGATTGCCGAAGTGTACCAAGACTCGATATCCCCCTTTCGTCCCAACGTATCCTACTACGACACCAAGTCCGCAACGTCAAAATACGATCCAGACCAAGACTCCGATTTTGGCCTGCAGAAACGCCCCGTGGACTTTGCCAACACTGGTGCTTTTACGGGTGAAGATGAGCGCTTTGCCTACAAGAGAGCCGCATCACGCCTGTGGGAGCTGTGTAGCGCTAGGTGGCATGCCAGAACAGGAGACTGGTGGCAGCCGTTGGCTATAGAAGCGCGCCACTGGGAAGGGGGCCAGGCATCAAAGCCGTACCAGGTGAAGCCCATGGAGAAGAAGAGCGCGGATTCTGGAGAGGGAATGGGAGAGAGTATAGAGGTGGAAGAGGTAGCGGGCTTGTCAAAATGGAGAATTATGCATTTGAAGAAGCAGAGCGAGGAAACGGTGTGACTAAAAGTGGAAAGTTCAAGGGCATGTGCGAGATTTATATAGACGTTTGAAAAGATGTATTCTAAGATGAGACTATAAACAACATTGAGAATTACAAAATCCTACAAAAACTCGCCAGGCACCCAGAAAGAAATAGTGTGTCGGCCAATGTCAAAATCGAATCTCGCACTCCAGCCAGCTCCACACCATATCAAAACAATCGATATATCAACGGATATCATGGAAATAGCCTCCTTGCCTAAAACGCCAATGCAATGCCCAATCGCCATGCCTTTACTTTTTTTAATTCCCCTCATTCTCTCGCTCCCCCCTCTCGCTCACAAGGCCGTCACCCCAGGCGTCCACCCTTCCCCTATCCTCTTCATATCGTCCCCAAACTTCTTGCTCGTGATCCTCCGCCCGCCCTTGCCCCCCAGCGGCGCATGCTCATCAGGGTCGTAAAACGGATTCTGCAACAGTCTCACGTACGCGCTCTGCATGGCCCTAAACACCGGCCTCAGCTCCGCATCCCGCAGCCCAGCGCCGACGCTGCTCATCGACGCTCGCGCCGCCGCAGCAGCAGCCGCAGAGGAAGATGACGACGTCGAGGTAGAGGACTGCGACGGTCCGCCAGCGCCCGCGCTGCCGCCAGCTTCAACGCGTCGCCCGCGCATGTCCACTATGCAGACCATGCGGACGCCCGTGTTGGTCTCGAAGCCGTACGCCGCGAGGCGGTCGTCGATGGCGTGCAGCAGCCCAAAGTCGCCCGACGCCGTGCTGTTCTTGGATCGCAGGTCGAAGACGTCGATTGTCGAGGAGAGTAGGAGAGAGAACTGCAGCGGGTTGCGGACGGGCGTGAAGGCGTTGGCTGTTGGATCGTAGGATGGGAAGATGGAGATGTGCAAGGGGTTGTTCTGGTGCGTGGGCGCGCATGTCAGTGCCTCTGCCTTTTGTGTATATATTCTAGAGTGTTGCGAGCGAAACATGGATACTTACGTTGCGGCCGATGACGCCGAGGCAGGCGACGGAGGGTATTGCGGCCGACATGGTGTTGCGTGTGGTTTGTAAAGAGGATGTGTGTGGTGTTGAGGTGCAGGAGCTCTAGCTGCAGTGAGCAAGGATACATGCACGTACAAGTACCTCATTAATCGTGGTGGGGGCAAGCGTTGATGCGTCTGACATCGAATGCCAACTTCACTTTCTTGCATGTGAGACAACTGGATAGTATTTTTTCCCTCTTTTTTGTTATACAATTCCTGGAAATAAAACTCTGCAAGATAGATTTTTATATTTCTGTAAATTACTCAATTATATGTACGCATTTTGCCGTCCATATATGCCCATCATAATATCCGCCTATTGATACATAAAGTCTTACATACTGCACCAAACCCACACTCCTTCTATAGTCTTTCGTTTTTCCTTCTTCTCCTGCCATTTCTTCTCTCTTCAATCCTCCTCATCTTCATCTTCTAATATATTTGACGTCTCCTCCAACCCTCGCAAAACCTCCTCCACCTCAAACGGATCTGTAATCGCCCAAACGCCTCCTCCCTTGATCAAGTCCTTCCCTCTCATGCCCACCTCTTTTCCCACCAGGTTTCTGCCAACCTTGCCTGGACCGATGCCGACCCATCGCCTGACCTTCTCCTCTTGGTCGAGATACTTGATGGCTGCCCACCACCGGACCGTCTCAAGGCATCCTCTCGCTAACAGGTCTTTTAACTGCTCTTTGCTCTGAAATGGCCTGGCTGAGACGTTGCTTATGCAGGGCATCAGGCCCGGGAACGTAATGATGTCTTCATTCTCTCGGCCAGGAACACGACTCTTCTTCGCCAACAGATTCTTCATGACTGTTACCGCAGGCTTCATGATGGGGCTGTGGAACGGGCTGTCGCTGTGTAGTCGCACTGCTCGCGGGTCATGGCCCAGAAACTGTCGAACATGCGCAATAAGCGTCTTGATCCTCTCCATGCTCCCGCTCAAGACGATCTGGTTCTTGCTGTTGATGTTCGCGATCAACACCTGCTGGATCGGCGGCACGTCTTGACTGCTCTCTGACTTGCTCCCATCGCTCGAATGACCGACAAAGTCTCGAATCGCCTTGATCAAGCCCTGTAGGTATTCTGGCTCCGTAATAACCGCCACCATGCCGTACTCTCCTCCGTATTCTTGAATCGCCTTCTGCGTCGCTTCCGACATGGCCACCGCGCGCCGCTGCACCAGATAATAACTGTCCTCAAAGGTAATGTATCCTCCCGCAACCAGGGCAGTAAATTCTCCCAGAGAGTGGCCCAGCGTAAAATCAAAATGATCCGCGACTCGAAAGTTGAATTCGCGCTCGAGAATGCGCAGTATCAATATGGACGTGGCCATGATCGCCGGCTGGGCTATTGTCGTCTTTGTCAGGTCTTTGGACGGGCCATTCTGTATGATGTCGGAGATTTTGAATCCCGCGCAGTGGTCAATCTCGTCAATAATCTGCGAAGCCGTCGACGGAAACGCCTCCAGCCAAGGCGACAGCATGCCGACCTTTTGCACTCCCTGGCCTGTCCACCATCAGCTACAAAAACATTTCACCTCTAACCTCGGTAACGCAAAAAGCAGGCTTACCAGGGAAGAAAATGGCTGTCCGTGGCCTCTTGGGCAGACTCGAGTTCCATCGCCGCGCCGTCCGCGCAGCATCCCACGTGCATCCAGAATTACCAGATACCGGCGCGCAGCATCGCAAAGACGCCCATGTCAGCGATGACGCACCTCGGCTGACTCCGGTGCCATGCCGGCACTGGAGCGCAGGACCTGCGAAGCGCTTCATGGCCTTGCGACGGCCAATGTTTGTGCCTCAAGGATTCTGCCGTGCTTCAGTTCGGCAGACGCACTTTGCGAGGCCAAAAGTGGCATCAAGGGGTGAGTGCGGAATGTTGTAAGAGCCAGCGAAGTCGCTGTCGATGTGAGAGCAGTGACGCACAGGGATAGGGCGTGGGGCATAAGGTTGGATGTCACCGAGCTAGAGCTGAGCTGCGCTGGAGCGCTACACTAACAGCGCCCGGTAGATCCCCAGAAGTGTCAAATGCTGCCTACCATCTTCTAGAAATTTAAAAGCTGCACACTACATGTATTTATTGGTCACTGCTCGCTGAAGCTATCAAAGTCTTTCATCTCATATATCCCTTCCCTACGTAAATCTACTGGATTTATTCCGGCTGTGGGATCTGATATGCTGGTATTTAGTATCACAAAGGAAGCTCCTCCTTTCCGTATCTGTAAGTCATGGTGCTGCTTCGGAATTGGCTCGGGAATCAGCTCGGTATTCAAACTCGAACAGAGAATCAGGTATATACGCCCAAATATGTATGCTGCCAAAAAAAAAAAAAAAAAAAAAAAAAAAAAAAAAAAAAACCACCTGGGCAGCGTGATTCAACTCCAGTCTAGCCAATCTATCAGCAACGAATCTCTACTCCTCCCTTGCTAACTGTCAAGTATTTGACACCCTTGTAAGGCTTTACGCCTTCGCTCAGGCCCCGACTTTTCCTCGGATCTAATACAATGCTCTCAATCTTCAGCCCGCTTGCTAGCCAACCCTTTACTGAAAAGCTCACTGATGCTGAACTTGGCATCAGAATCTTATTCTGTGCTACCTTCTTGGGGTCCTGTTCGTCGTCCGCACCATGCTTCTCTTTGCCCGTCTTAGCAGCCGGTGTGGTTTGATATGGCTCGTTGTATGAATAATCCGTGCCAAACCCAAAGCCCGTAGGATCAAATGCTTCTTCCTCATCATCACCTAGCGATCCCACCACCGTACATCTCAGCCCGAAATGAGATGTTGGGCCAGATATCTCCTTGGCAGGAATGTTCCACTCCAGCCGCCCCTCAGCCCTGTTGAAGCTCGCATCTCCCCTACTCGGTCTGATGTCCGACAGATTCCGCACGTCTTCGGGAAGAGGAATCGTAACTGTCAAGTCATCTAATAGTGGCGAACTTGGGGTTCCAGGATGCGGCGATCCCAGCCGTCCAGGGACTCCTCCTGCGCGTGCTAGCTGGCTTGCCGCTGATGAAGAGTTTGGAGTACCAAAGATTTTATTCGTTTGTAGCCTGACTTCGAACTCGGACCCCACAGGTCCAAGACCAGTTTTCATCTCGAGGTTAACGGGAAGCTTCAGGTTATTCGAATTCATGCTCCCACTTTTTCCACTCGTAAAAGGCAATAGGTCAACCTCGTAGCCAGCCAAGATGAATCGTCCATCAGGCGGTATAAAGCTGAGTTCTCCAGGCCGCTCATTCCACTTGTTCAGCCGAACACATGGGTGAAAGACAGGTAGCTCCATGATGCCACCTATGTTATGCTTCCCGGATGGGCTGCCCAGCGTCACCAGAACATCCGGAACGCCCGATACTTTTGATGTGAATGCAATAGTTCCATTAGCAAACGCAGCCAAAGGTCTGCCTGAAGGGGCAAGTGTGACCGAGAGAGTTTCGACGACGTCCGCGTAGAGCTCGTTCGAGGTGTGCCGTACGTTGGCTCGTCTCCATGGCAAGGCCGGCGTGTTGGCGGCCATTAGGGACGGTGTGGGTGAACTTGAAAAGTTTGTCTTTAATGGATTGTTTCTGCTCTTGTATTAGCCCGCAATCACCTCAACTGCACCACGCAGGTCTTCGCTGTTCACATACCCTGGCAGGCTGATACTGCCAAGCAGTTTATCCACCCATCCTTCCATCTCCACCACCTCTCGTAGAGCATTGGGCTCCGTCGTACTGACAGTCCCTGCATCGCACATCTCCGTTAAGAGCTGAGCAACGACATCGTAATTATTCTCCAATTTGACTGCCAGTAGTGGCGCTCCCACGAAATCTTCAAAGGCGTCGATAATTCGATGCAAGAACTCAAGCACAAGGAGGGGTTCGATCTCCGTTGATGAGGTCGCCAAAAACAGCAGGTTTGAGTGAATTAGGCTGAAGACTAGAGTCGGAGGGTTCGCATTGGGGAGATAGATCAGGCTTGGTCGAGGGGCAGGATGTTCGAGGTAGAGAGGCAGAAGATGGGAGGCTGAGAGCGGCCTTCCAGTGTAGGTATGCGATAGGATGGGATTCCTAAGCCAAAGCAAGGCCTCGTGTCAGCGTTACTGCAGAGAATCGGGGGGCAAAAGCAGCACCGGCACCGCTCACCTGTTGTCATCGTAGATGTGCAGCGCTTCAATAACGCCGTTCATGGTGACGGCCCAGCGCCTTGTCCAAGCGTTGTCAGAAGCTCCAGCTCCAAGGAACAGCCATATCCCACTTTAAGTGTTCGGTCGCGCGACTAAGCATGACGATGCGCAAAGGCGGACTGTGCTGACTAATGGCAGCGGGCCAATCATCGTCAGTCGCTGCAACAGCAGCTTCAAAACCTACAATTGCGGCGTCTTCTCATCAAATCGCCTGATACAAGTTTGCGCGCCTCAACTTCACAACCAGCAGTCTTCAACATGGCTGGCGACAAGGTCCCAACTCTGCACTCGCTAGAGAAGCCTGAAAAGCTTCAAGATGTCTTACGCCAGGACCGCGGCGATGACTGCCTAGGCTGCAAAATTATAGGTCAGTAGTAATTTATTCCGGGCTCTCTTTCCCACATGACTAGGCGAAAGTCTGACTCCTGTACAGGAAGCGGTGCATTTTTTGGCCTTGCGGGATATAGTTATTTCTCTGGCATGTCACAGTTGGAAAAGCAAAGGGCTGCTATTCTTCAGAGCAAGTCAATATTTGGCATGAGGAGTCGGCGATTTGGCATCGTCACTATCTCAGCGGGCCTGGCCTGGATGGGTCTCTGGAGAGCCCTCAAATGATCTTTAAGCGTCGAGTTTGAACACAAAGTGGTGAATATCACGAAGCTTTCAACCTTGCTCGCTACACCCCAAGAGCTACCTACCCATACTTACAAAAGACACACCTGACATGATGGATGAAAGAGCAGGCTGTACTCTACCTAGCACCGGCGTGGTGTATTGTTCATGATTATGAATGGAAGGAATGTACTTGAATGGCACCGTCTCGTGGAGATTTCAACGAGTGTCGATATGTATATTAGTGTACTATTTAGACTATGGCGAGACATGAAAATGGTGGCATGATCTCGAGGAGACGAGGCATCAACAAACTCACGGATGGGAAATGGACTGGATAAGCATAATAATTTATCTCTTCTCTTGATTTCGTTGCCAGGTTTAATGGCATTTGTTTTGTTTTAGCCCATTTTTATATAATTTGTTCCGGTTCTCAGGAGCCTATTCTGCCTATATCGCTGTCTAGTCCATGTAAGTCGAAGACGAAGTACAGCGACAGACTGCCATATCTTGGTCAGATTAATAATATAAATCTCATGTTTTTATAAAAAAAATCTTCTCGAAAGATTCAATGTTTCCATCTAAATAGATTCCCTCCACACTCCTTTTTTACTATTTCAACCATGCTGTTCGTGCCATGTTCGTCGCGCAAGTAGCCCGTCAAGCCCAAAGCCAGACCAGCCACTGGCACAAGAGCCTCGAAAATCTTCACCGAAAAAGGCCCCACTTTCAACCTTTCATACCAACTTTTCATACAAACTTTCATACTCAAAACGAAAATCGCCATAATAACACAACGCCCAATCCAATCCATCACGCCAAATTACAAATTTAGTAATCATAGATTGAGGAAACCAAATCAACAGCCCGTATTCGCGCAGACCACCTACCTACTAATCCAGGCGGTCCTTTCGCCTTTCATACTCGCCTGAAAGGAAAAAAAAAAAAAAATCGCCATCAAAATCTCATAGCCCCCCCATCATGCCCATCACAATTCACAACCCCCAGCCAGCCGCGCCGGCTCCTCGGCGGCCACGCGCAGTAGATATCGATATGGATGTTCCATCAGACTCAGACTCAGACTCAGAAAGCGGCGGTGCTGCTATCCAGGGCGACATCCCCATGTTGGACGACGAGAGCGTCGCGCAGGATGAAGACGATGAAGATGAAGAGCAAGGCGACGCTAGAGACGAAATTCTGACTCCTGGAACGGTCATCACTTCTAATTCTCAATGGATGCGGTACTGTTCTCCCTTGTCTATCTCATTTATGCTCTCACTTTCATCTTTCGTGTAAAGGATCAAGCAATACTTGGATCCATATGTACACCCATATACACATAAATCCTCATCTCATATATATATACATACATACATCTCCCCTTTTAGAAACTGCAGAACAAGACCCAACTTTACTAACTCATTTTTCCAGCGGTCACGGCACCTACGTCCCACTCAACACCTCCTCCATCACCTCCTCCCTCGCAGGCACCCTCACCCGCACAAACAAGCTCCTCTCCGTGCGTCCCCTCCGCGCGCGCTACAACCCCGAGATTGGCGACCTCGTCGTCGGCCGCATCGTCGAGGTCCAGGCCAAGCGCTGGCGCGTCGACGTCGCCGCCGCCCAGCTCGCCATCCTCCAAATCTCCGCCATCAACCTCCCCGGCGGCATCCTCCGCAAGCGCACCGAGACCGACGAGCTCCAGATCCGGAGCTTCTTCGCCGAGGGCGACCTGCTCGTCGCCGAGGTGCAGCAGCTGCACCAGGACGGCGCCGCCAGCCTGCACACCCGCAGTCTCAAGTACGGCAAGCTGCGAAACGGCGTGTTTGTCGCCGTGGCGGGCACCGGCGGAGGCGCCGGCGTTGTGCGTTCCAAGCGCCAGCTGTGGACCATGGAGGCGGCCAACGGGGGCGGCAAGATTGACGTCCTGCTCGGCGTCAACGGGTACATCTGGATCAGCAAGCACATTGAGAGCGATGCTGCCGCTGAGGCGGCTGGCATTAACCGGATGGAGGAGAGCGTCAGCTCGCAGATCTACTCTAGCCAGAACAACCACATTGACGTTACTACAATGAGGGAGATTGCCCGGTGCAGGAGCGTGATTCTTGCGCTGGTGGAGAACGGAGTCAAGGTGGATGAGGACACCGTGACGAGGGGATACAATGAGGCGGTTGAGTTTGGAAGGGAGTCAATGGAGGATGATATCTACCTGGGAGGCGAAAGGGGGCAAAGACTAGCTGCGGCGTTGGCTGGGCGATAGAAAGGGAAGTACTAATAGGAACAAGATTATGGCTTCATTCAAGAAATTGGACACATGAGAGACACTTCTGGGCATTTGCTTGACCGAAAAAGTTGTTTCAATTAGTGATAGTAGATGTATAGAAAAGGCACACAAAAAAAAATCGCCATGATAAAGGCGTATAATGCCACCCGTCATAAAGAGGGTGCAAGGAATATTACAAATACATATATGTGCGCCTAACAGAGGCCACAATATCATTGCTTCATGCTACCAGATTCGAGCAGTGGAAGTTCAAACCAGACATCATCCAAACAGCTTTCCACGCAGCTTTGTTGAATCCAGCCATGTGATAACAGGGGTCTCACAGTTTGGCCTTTTCTTCTTCTTTTTTCTTTTTTATTTTCTTTTTTATTTCTTCGTAAATTTAATTCACAGTCCTAGAGAATCCCGTTTCAGACGCAACGTCACAGCCATAGCAAGAACAACTCCGAGCCGGAACACGAACCCTGCAGCGCTCTTTGAGCCTAGGCTCAACAGCATGGTAAGCCAGTACCTCAGTCCCTTGGACAGGTTGCCGTTGCGGTCAAAGTTGGGCTTCCCCGCGGCCATACGGTGGTGGCTCTTCAGCGCGCCCCACGAGTACGGCATATATCGCACGCGGAGCAGCTTGTCTGCCCAGCTGGGCACTTTGGCGATGGCGCGCTGGTGGCTAAAGGTCTTGAAGGAGAAGTAGCCGTGGTAGTTGCCCATGCCGGAAGAGCCGATACCGCCAAGAGGAAGGGGGTTGAGCATGGCGTGAAAGAAGCCGTCGTTGATGGTGGCTCCTCCTGACGTGACGTTCTTGAGTACTGTTTGGAAATGTTATTAGCATGTCGACAGGTGATATAGCTATATAGTCAGAATTGTATGTTTGAATTGATATGACATACCTTTCTCGTTCTCCTTATCCGAGCCAAAGGTGAAAAGAGCCAATGGTGTGGGATCAATTTCATTAGCCATGTTGATGGCTTCGTCCAGGGTGTCATACGGCAGAATGGACCAAACAGGACCAAACGATTCTTCCACAATCATGCTATCATTCACATCGTCGACCAGCACAACCGTGGGTTCAATAAAGAAATCGCTCTCGTCCATGGACCCTCCCATGACAATCTTGCCCTTGGAGTTGTCCACCATCTTCTTCAATCGCTCATAATGAGTCTTGTTGACAACACGAGAATAGTCGGGGCTCGCCTTTGCGCCCTCGGGCATGAACTCCTTGTACTGCTTGTTGAGCTCGTCGATGAACTTGTTTTGCACGCATCGCTCAATGAGGACGTAGTTGTGCGAGAGGCACACCTGGCCGGCATTGAGGACCTTTTGCCAGAGCAGACGGCGGGCGGCAAGCTTGAGGTCGGCATTCCGGGTCACAAAGGCAGGGTTCTGGCCGCCCAGCTCGAGGAGCACAGGCGTCAGCGTCTCGGCGGCCTTCTTGGCGATGATGGTGCCAGTTCGTTTGCCGCCAGTGAAGGCAATCTTGTCAAACTTGTGCTCCAGCACGTGCTTGCTCTCTTCGAGGCCACCCTGGATGCAGACGTAGCTCTCCGGGTCCAGCGCGTCGTCAAAGATCTTCTGCAGAACCATGCACGAGGCGGGCGACAGCTCGGACGGCTTGAGGATGAGGGTGTTGCCCGCGGCGATGGCGCCCACGACGGCCGTCATGTTGGTCTGGAAGGGGAAGTTGTAGGCGCCAATGTTGAGGATGACGCCCAGCGGCTCGTTCCTGATGCGCGGCTTCATGGCCCAGAACTGCAGGGGCATGTTGTCGATGCTCTCGTCCTGGACCCATTTGTCCAGGTGCTGGATGGCGTCGAGGCATTCCTGCTTGCACCAGTCGATCTCGGAGAGGTGCGACTCGTACTTGGACTTGTGCATGTCCTGGTTCAGGCACAGCTCGATCAGCTCGGTGTTGTCGACGAAGCTCCAGTAGAGGCGGCGCAGCTGCTGCTTGCGATACTCGACATCCTTTGTGCGGCCGGACCTGAAGGTGGCGCGCAGCGTGTTGTACCGAGCAGTGATTTCGTCCAGGGCCGTGGGCTCCAGCGGCGGGATGGCGCCAATCTTGAGCGCCATGGTGGATGGGGGGCTTTGGATCTGGCGGCTGGAAAGGGTGCTCTGCGAGGCTCGGGAGGGAGGAGTGAATGCACAGAGTGCGTTGCACAGAGCAATGGCGATGGAGGTAGTGGTGGTGTTGGTGGTGGCGGCGCAAGGTTGTGTGTTTGCGTGGTGTTCAGCAGATAAAATAAAGTATTAGATGCTAGATAGATCTAGTAGATGGATATCTGGACTCTCCACCCTTGCAGCTGCAGACCGCGGCAAAGACGCCTCTGCTCTGGCATGTGGCAGCTCCCGCGCAGCCAACCGGTGGGCAAAATAGTCCGTGTGCTCCGTCGACCACTGCGGAATTGTGAATCGCTTTCTTTTGCAACGTCGAGGCTGGTTCCGCGGACTGCGGATAATTGGGAGGGATTAGCCTCTAGAGCCGGATCGGGGCAGCTATTCGATGCTGGTGGGAGGAGCTTGTATGGGGAATGTGCCTGTATTACGGAGCCCTCGATGGAGCGCTGCTCTCTCCACACTGCACTTTTTAGCTTCTATCTCATCTCATTTCATACTGTGGCGCCGGACCCCCGGCTTAAGTGTACAGCCCGGTTTCAGTTTTGAATCTGCATCTTTTGCTTCGAATTCCGTCCGAATGTGGTGCGTGTCTCCGACGGTGCATCGGCTTGGCTTGGCTTGGCTTGTCTTTTGTCTGTGTCCATCGAATATGGTATACAAGGCGAGGATATCTAAAGCTCTAACCGAGGCATTAGACTTGCCCTATGCTGTACATCTCATTTTCACTCTTTTGCAGCCACGGAGCAGAGCAAAACAAGAACCGTTTGTAGCAGCTATGCGTGTAAGACGAGACTGGCATAGTATAAGTCAAAATGCCGAGGCACTTCTGTCCATCAGCCCCGCATTCAATTATGTCGATAATCCACCTAGAAAGTATAGGTAACTAGGTAGTATTATTGCTGCACCAATACCCTAAAACTACTCCTTAGTACTTATCAAGATGCAAAATTCCCTATAAGGGCAAATGCGGGCTGTAAATATAAATATTACAGGCTATCGTACACAATATATCTATATAAATGAGACCAATTATGTATGTCACATAGGCTTCTTCTCTTATTTACAAGAACTCACATAGTGAATCGCGGTCATCAAATACTTGCCAATCAATTATATCTAGTCTCAAAGTGGTGGTTGCGGATGGCATGGCACTCAGCTGAGGTGACATTCTGTGATCATAAATAATACTATCATTAGTGCAAAATGGCTTTGCTTTGAGCAGAATCTGACTGAAATAGTTGCACCAGCAATTCGGATCAAACGGACAGATGAAGCGTCACCAGAGTCTGACATGTCATAAAGCAAAACTATACCTTTTTAATAAACTACTGACGCTTATATCTCGTCTTGGGGAGTGTGGCTGTCTCTCTTTCGACCGTATAGATCGCATAACATGATAGGAATCTATTTACTACCGTATCTAGAACGTGATATAGCCAAGTGTACATTTTACTGGGAAACACAATACACAGCTCAAAAGGCTCGGCTACTATCTATTAGGTGGGTGTGTCCCGCATCGCCGATTTTGCTGTTGCGATCCTCTCACGAGCATTGCCAACGTTACCCTAAAACAGCAACTTCGAAAATGCCAATCTTTACTATGTAGATATCTGACAAAAACTATGGAAAGTCTCAAGGGAACCCATTTCATTATCATCATACTTCTCAATACTAGGTATTCATTTCCAATTCAACCCCTCTTTACAACTGGAAATGTATGAATGATGAGCCACCCGTATCACAAGTGCATACTCGGTACACACGCCTTTTTTTCATGCATTTCATAAATATTTTCGACGTCAGGCTTCATACTGTACATCCAATCGCCTCCCCAACCCAAGCGGTGCCTGCGTCCTCTATTATACATACAATTCCCATACATCTTTTTTCTTGGTTCCCCTCCTGTAAAAGCAGTCGTACGTACGCATATACATCATCTTAATGGTTCCCCTTCTACCTCCTGGCTCGAGCCGTTCCGCCAGCTGCTTTCCCTCTAGGCGCCGCAGCCACCAGCTCTGCAACCTTCTCCTTCTCCTGCTCCTCCGCCAGCTTCTGTATCAAGAAATTGTCAATCAATTTCTGTCCATCTACCAGCAGTCCGTCCTCAGCCCTCTTTGCATCGGCAATCGCCGCCTGCTGTCTATGCTCCGCCAGCTCCTTCCTCCTCTCCTCCGTCAGCCGCCACTCCTTGGGGAACTGGGGCTTCGGCTCGATCTTGTGATGTCGCAGATCTAGGGGAACATCCGCAAAGGTATCCTTGGGGTCCTTGGCGGCGCTGATGAGGTCATTGACCAGGTTCACCAGGTACTGCTTGTTCTGCGCTTGGTGTTCGAAGCTCTCGCAGCTCATCTTGACGAGCTCCGTTTCCGGGTTGTATCGAGGGCCAGCAAGCTTCTTCAGCTTCTCGGTTTGGACAGCCGTGAGTTGAAGGTCGTCAGGAGCAAACTGCACAACCACCTTTTTTTCCGCAGGGTGAGATTCGCCCATGTATGTCGTGTATCTCCACCTCAAAACCTGTTTCTCTGTAGGGGGAACGAAGGGCTTGGCAAATTCTTCAGTCTCAGGTGTTAGTTATATATACAAAATGGCTAAAAAAAAAAAAAAAAAAATCCGTAGTCTCAGGTGGTGGCTTACTGGCAAGAAGGGGCATTTCCCAGATTGCTAATCGAGCATAATGCCTCATGTCTCGCACCTCGTCTAGTTTTCCGTGTGCCATAGACGTGATATCGTCTTCGTCAAACTCATCGTGCTCCTCGGTGTTCGTTTCGGGATCGTCCTCGTCGAACCAGAAAGATGACTTGTTCGGCTTATCGCCAGCATCATCTCTGTACAGATCTTCCTCCAGCGCCCTGTCCTCCGACGCCCAGCCCGGTGTCTCCCGTAATGTCGCCTCGAGGTACTCCTCCACGCTTGTATAGCCGTTGGTCTTGGCAAGTTCATCCAGCTGTTTTAAGCCCTCGGGTGTGACGCTCTCCAGGAAAGATTTGTTCATCAACTTCAGGTCCAGAGTCTTGTATAGTCCACCATCGCCATCCTCTCCGTCCTGATCGGCATTTTTGTCTGCTAGCCGCCGTGGGGAAGACGTAAATGCTCGGCTCGCTGTCGGTGCTCGCCAGGCAATTGGCTGTGTTCGAGGCATCCGAGGCACTCGAAGCGCCCGCCGGCAGGCCAGCATGCATAGCTTTCCGGCACTCGATGCTGAAGCCATGACGAATAGATTCGGAATCGCAATGCCCGCTCCAAGTATACCGTTGCGCGGGATGCGGGACTGCAGCAGGAACCTCAAATTTTTGGTGGGATGACAATCGCGGCCGAGATTCTCCCGCACCGCGTTTCATCGGCGGTTCACCATGGCAAAACTCCGGCTAATCTACATTCACCGGAGCTCTCATAAGAGATGGAGCACTTACCCACCTACCAAGTTAAGGGTACCTAAACTAAGTAACGCCCTGGACTTATACAGAAGCTCCAGCTAGGGTTCCAAGCAGCAGCTTAACGTTGGTCACCTATGTCTTTGACTGCCTCTGCTCCTCAATGGCAACTCTTCAACGGAATTGCCTAGTAACCGTAGGCGCAACTGTTGGCTTCAAGAAGCTAACCGAACAAGTGCTGCTACCCGCATTCTGGCAGTTCCTAAGCTCAGAGGGCTTTACTTCACTACGCATCCAATGCGGTCCAGACGTTTCTTGGGCAATGACTCTTTTGGACGATCGCAATGCTGATATACCAGAGGGACTGATGGTAGATGTCTTTGAATCTACAAAGAATCTCATGAGAGATGAAATGACGCTGTGCAGGGCCGAGAGCGGACTGCGCTCCACGGGTTTGGTTATTTCTCATGCGGGTAAGTTCCTCCCTTCAATGAAGGATACATGTACACATCAAGTAAATAAATGAGCCGTTGTTACTTCTAACACTGTCTACCAGGAACCGGCACAATTCTTGATGCCTGGAAGGTCGGCCTCCCAGTAATTGTCGTGCCCAATGAAGAGCTGCTAGATAATCACCAGGCCGAGATGGCCAAGCATCTCGCAAAAGAAGGCTACGCAATCATGAGTACAGCCAGGCAAGCTCAGGTGCAATCTCCATAGAAAGATGGACTCTAGTCTAACCCAACACGTCTCATAGTTGTACGGACCTCCAAGGAGCAATCCATAAGGCGGATCGGCTTTGGGAGGAAAACCAGTCTCGCTGGCCACCCCACTCAGTTAAGCCTCAGAAGAATGCCGGCAGCCTTCGCCTTTGGGAGATTCACCCTCAGGAGGTCGAGAGGGAGGAGGACGCAAAAATGGTTAATGACTAGATTTTTGCCGCTTGCGATCGCTTCCCTCTATTGACAGGCTAGCAATCGAATTTCGGAGCACGGGATATCATAACTTTTTTGGGGGGGTGTTTTGAGGCATGGAGTTTTATTTTTTTGGAGGTTGATTGAATCGATTGCAAGCTGGCTGTTTTCTCATCTATTTCGGACTAGATAATAAGTGGGAATCATAATGGGACTTCATGACAGGTTAGGAGACAAGAATTCTATTTACATTTGATTTCAAGGGAGATTGTTGGCTTCCCAAATCTTGACCGTCGCATCTTTTCCAGAGCTTGCTACACGGCCGCCCGCGATCCAAGTGATGCCCGTTACGCCGTCCAAATGAGCATTGGGTGCCTTGATACGTTGGCCTTGGAGCCTCTTCTCCAAGCACCAGATAAAGATGTGGGAATCCAAGCTGCCGCTGGCGGCATACGAACCTGAATCATCCCAGGAGATGCAGGTAACTCGCGCCGTGTGTGCCGACCAGCGGTCCGTCACGAGCTCCCATGATCCAACCTTGAAGACTAGGATCTTTCCCACGCTTGTTCCCGTAGCCAGGTGGCTACCGTCTTTGGAGAATGCGAGTGCAGTAATGGTGCCGAGCGGACTTGACACAGATTCCTTGTATTCGAGGTTGCCACTCGAGTCGCTTGTGTAGATTTTTGCGGTGCTTCCTTGACCTCCAATGGCGACATAGGATCCATGCGCCGCAATAGCCTCGGGGGTAAAGTCAAGAGGGGTCTCCTTGAGCAGCTTGCCATTTGAATAAGCCGCGACGCCAGCCAAAGTGGCCACATAAACGACATCGCCAGCGGAAGCAGCTCCTTTTGGCTGCCCGGGCAGCTTCGCAGACTCGCCCAAGAAGGTCTTGGCAGACTCATCAATCGCCTTGATAGTGTCGTCCCATCCCACGCTGTATACCTTGCCTTCGTTTGCAGCGAACTGGGTAACCTGGTTTGTATGAGACTGGCCATCCACGACAGTTGCAGCCCCAGTCTCAAGGTCCCAGGAACAGACACGACCGTCGAAGCTGCCAGTCAGGACCCCATTGCCATCCGAGGTGCCGACCAGGGCCGTGATTCCCTTGTCGTGGCCCTGCACAATTCTGACGGGCTCATTCTTGCCCTCTTGCAGGTATGTCAGCTCACCAGCCAAGTTGATGCTGATGATGAGACCATCTGTTCTGCCGTGAGGGATGACGACGCCGACTTGGTGGTCACGCACGCTAACTCCCTCGCCAAACTTCCAGGTCTGAATGACGCTGCCTGAATCAACATCCCACAGCTTAACAGACTGATCTGCGCTGGCCGTTGCAAACTTCTTTCCGTCCTGGGACCACGAAACACCAAAGATGCTACCAGTGTGCTCTCCCTCGCCGATCTGCTTGATTGGCTCGCCCGAAACGCCATCGTACAGCTGTATCCGCCTATCCTGTCCAATAGTGACGAATATAGATCCATCGGGAGAGTATACGGCGCCCAAGACAAAGCCGGTATGCAGGTTTGTCACCCTCTTGAATTCGAATGGGACGCCGTGGTAGAAGTTGACATTTCCGTCATCACCAACAGTAACGGCACGCAGGGGACGCTTCGGCGTGATGCTGACGGCGTTAATTGACTTGGTATGGCCAATAATCTCCCCCACCGAGTTGCCGCTGTCGGCCATTATGGCTTTGCCAAACTTCTGTCGGCCGTTGCCCACGGCAATGATGCGCTGGGAGTCGCCATCCCAAGCAATGTCTAGCAGGGGACCAGAGATGATGGGATACTCGCCTCGAGTAGTTTCGATAGACTCGGGCTCCCATATTCTCAGGATACCGGCAGAATCACCACTGGCGATCTTGAATCCGCTCGGCGCAAACCGAGCAATGGTGGTGGGGTGGGTGTGGCCGGTGTATTCCTTGCTATTTGAGGGATCGTCGATGGATCGGACGAATATGGATTTGCCGGACTGCAGAGCGAACCAAGTCAGCACTTTGCCTCGTAGGATCAAATCTTTGAGGATACGGTCAGCCAAGCGCTGAACTTACGGCATAGGCGATTCTGGTGCCTTTGGCATCGGCCGAGAGCAGCGTTGCCTGGCCTCGGGTGGTGACAGGCGCAGCCGCCAGGATTCGCTCAATCGTAATAGATGCCATGGTTAATGTGACTAGCAAAACTCTGATGATCGGTAGTGATTGTCTTGGTCGTCAAACCGGGTTGGTCCTCTGAGAACCGAAGCTTCGATGCTCAGGAGGGGTTGAAACGAACAAGTGTAAGTCGACGGTGGGGCTGGGGAGAGGTTCCGCCGCGCAAGCTAAAGTCGCAAGCTACTCGCTAGCACTCCTAACCGGTAGAGACTGGACTCGAGCAGCGAGGTTGCTACCCTGTGGGGGAACAGAGCACCGTATAAACGATGTTCTGAGTCCCATTGACGAGTGGAGGGGATGTATTTATGAGCTGAAAAAATATCAAGCGATTGCTTCGTTGGTTGGCTGTAGCATATCCTCGCATTGTGTTTTTTTCTCTCTGCCTGGCTGCACTGTTGTCGTCATCGTCGTCAATGAGGGCCATCTCAGCGATTGAAACATCAGGCACCAGGAATCTTTGCCGCTCACTTGCCTGCCCTCATACATGTACCAGAGTGCCCAACCAACAGAGCCAAAGCATCAAACATTGTCAGATGCCTGCCAGACAAGGCAGCAGAGATATTAAGTTTCTGCCTCGAGAGCTTCGTTGTGTGCACTGCATGTAACACTGTACTATAGCACTTCAAGGCGTAGCTAGCTGTGTTACGGCCTCGTCGTAGTCTTATGCAGAGAATAAAGCATAATCCGCTGCCAAAGCAAGGATGTGGTCCTCGGCATCTCGCTAGCAACGGAATATTTCGAGCCTGACCAGCACCGAGCTGCAGCTGCTCCAAAGGGTAACTCTTTCTACTGTAGTAGGTATCACTACGAGATAGTACCACCAATAACGGAGTCCCCATCCCACAGCTTGCTCCGTAATAGATGCTACCTTGAAGGTCCTGGTGCCAGCTGGAAGAGCAGTAGGTATCATACTAGGACTGAGCCCATCTGCTTCTGTATACCGTCCATCGCCTGAGGACCCCTTGCAGAAAACACCGACTCACCTTCATTCCGCAAGACAAGCCACCCAATTTCTTGTAGGCAATGGAAAACAATGCCATACCGCCGTGGCGTTGCGCCTCCCAGGGGCAAGACCAACTAAAAGCAGCCCCCGTCTTGGAGTCGTCCCTGTGCCTGATGTACAGGTACAATGCAATCCGGCCAAAAGCTTAACGCGAAAGGAAAACAACAAGAGAGCAGAGAGCCATAAACGACACCACCTCCCTTGCAGGTGAGCTGGCTCGACAAATCATCCCCAGAAAAGCTCGGACCGCTATGTGAAATCCGCACACCGATTCTTGGGCTGACATCCCGGTTGAGCAAGACGAGGAGCGAAGGGTCTCCATGACCTGTGCTCGCTTATACTACCAGGTGCCTCTTGATGCTTCCGTGTAGGTATTTGCTGAGCCCCCTGGAGAGGAGCATCTGGGGGATCGCCACCATTGAGGAAAAGACGCTGCCCAGCCCATAAACAAACGAAGACCTAAGAATTAGTTTAGCAACAACGATCAACAGAGGCAGGAAAACAGAGTTCATCCTATTCTGTGCCGTCACAGCTCCTCGCAGCTATTTGAACTCTATCCCTTGCTCCCCTGGCCAATCCGGGCCCTGCTGGCTTCTCGCCCACCGGCAGACCAGCCCGGACCTGCAGCGCCGTTGCCCACTAACAGCGCTCGCTACGAGGCTCTGAACTGCTAAAAAGCGCTGCCGAGCAGGTGCTAGACCGCTGACGGGATAGGACGATAGGCACCGTCTCAGTCGAGAAGGGGCGGGCCAGCGTCCCCGCAGACAGCCGCAGTTCCATTTCCCGCTGTTCTAGACCCGCGCGTGCTATTGGCTCGCACCGCTATAATACTGTAGACCTCCCTTTTTATGATCCATAATGCGATCCATTCCTGCGTACGCGACGGCAGAGACATGGCATGCTAGTAACAGATCATTATTGACAAAAAAGACATGGAACATGGAGCAAACGATAAGCAGGGATTGCGCTCTCTTTCTTTTGGAGATTTGTCTGCATATTTGCAGTGGCACCGGCCGGATACGAGCTTTCTTCGTTCTCTCGATGGAGCTCCGATATCCATAGTGGCATCTGGGTATCACCGCCAGTCACACAAGACGTGATATCACGTCCTAGGGCCCTCGTGTGTGAAACTCGTGCAAACTCTAACATCGCGTACAGACGAGGCACGAATAAGAGGCTGCCCTTAGTTCACATGCTAGTTCTCTCCAACTTGCGGAGATCTGTTTACCCCTTCCCAGGGATCTAGAAAGAAAGGCAGTAGTATCTCTCTCTGCTGATAGTATCCTCCTAGGCATGTACATGTAGATCGGATCGGTGGCGGCAGCGGCGTCGAGCATCTACTGTACTTGCTTCAATGTTATCCCTCGGCAACCGGCACTGTCCTTGCATACAAAACAGAGACTAGTAAAATCCTGGCAACAAGAAAAAACGTCCCCATCGCCGTGAGTTCGGCCGCTGCCCCATGCAACGTCGACGATGAATCTGGGGGGCGTGGTAGGTGGCATGTTGGGGTTTCTCAGATGGCCCATTCTCACTTACACCCCCCGGCTCGTCGCTGCCAAACCGGACTTCACCTCACCTCCCCTGGCTTCTTATTTAATTTTCTGCCCTTCTTCCCTTCTTGTCTTCTCCCTTCCCTTTCTCCTTCTCTTTTCTTTCTTCTCCTCTCTTCATTTTCCATTCACGCAGACTTGTAATCATCGTCATCATCATTGCCATCGGATAAAGCATTTGTCTATTGCTTTTCTTGCTTTTTTGATAGCTACACTTTACGCGTTAAAAGGCAATCCAGCTTAATACCGTCCAAGATGAAGTTCCTCGCTACTCTTCTATTCACTGCTGCTGGCGTTTCTGCCGCTACCTCCGCCACATCGCCAGATACCCCAGGCTCTACCTGTCTGGCTGACTACATTCTTGATAACTGTCTGGATTCAACTACCAAAAATGTACGGGATTCTCATATATCCATTCAAGACTGCACCAACTGACTCCAAGCTCTCTTTCTAGGCTGGCAACTGCAACGCTACCGACTATACATGCCTTTGCGCAGCGTACCAGGCCATCTTGACGTGAGTCCTTCCTTATTGATGTTCCCTCGCTCTTCAAGGATTGCTGTATACTAACAATTCACCAACAGCTGCTACAACAACTGCCCCAGCGACATCCGCGCTCCATCAGTCCAGCAACAGGTTGATTCCTACTGCCGAACTGCCTCTCTCTTGGCCACCACCACAACTGCCCACAAGACTAAGACTTCGGGTGCTTCCAAGCCCGACGAGACTTCCGCTTCTGAAGCTTCTCCCGGCAATGACGAGGCTACTCCCACCGGGGAGAGCAGCGGTTCTCCAACTGCTGGTGGAAGTGACGAAACCAGCTCCAGCGGCCATAGCTCTGCCACCGCTGCTCGCACAACCAGCTCCAAAGCTGCTGCTCCTACTATGATTGGCAACGTTGCTGGCATTTTCATGGCTGTTGCCGGTGCTGCTGCTGCCGCCATTCTCTAATGAGAAGAGAGAGAGAGATGGACATGAAAGTCATTGAATGAAAATCATTGAATGGAATGGAAAGCTGGGCTCTGGGGTGTAACTAAGGCGTATAAGAGGAATTGGGAACTGTTTTCGGCACATAATGCCTGTAATTCTAGTTTAGTCGTTTAATATCATGTTAGGATTCGACGTCGAGCACATTCGTGGCCATGACTTGTTCTTTGTGTTGTTTGTAAAAAGATGTCACCTGAGGTCTGGTCCTTCGTGTAGGAGGAGTAAGTACACGGCTACGATTTGATTGTAGAGAAGTGTTGATACTGCACGCTATTTTACATAGAGAGTAATTAACATCCGGCGCGGAAGGGGAGTTTACCTGGACTGTACAGTAAAATCCCGCCAAGTCAAGCATGACGCCAACAAATATCACGTATAAAATAACAATATATTGCCTGTGTATGACATGCTATATTTCAGAAACCATTGTACGACACGTAATATTGCCAATCAGCCAATGCAAATAGGAAACGGGGCCATTTGACCCGCCATCAGTCTTATTTCCGTCATCGCTAAATTCCTCGCGGGCATTCACTGTATCATACAAGAGAAGAGATATAAAGAAAATAATAGAAGAGTAATAGCAGTCTTCTCGTAGCTTTGCCACCCTTAGGCCGCGCTTTATGCTTCGGCTACCCTTTGATAACTTGGGCCGAGCAGTCCTCAAGCACGCTTCGCTTTAACCCATTGCGCCAACACCGTCTGAACAGAAAAAAAAAAAAAAAAAAAAAAAGAAAAAAAAAAGAGAACCCGAGCCTCTAATACAAAAAAACACGCGCAAGAATTCCGAAATGCCTCCCGAATAAACCAGTTGGCGCCAGTTAAAAGAGATATATAAAATAAAAATGCAAGCCAAACCCAGCCCAGTGACCATTGAGAGATTTCGAATTGAGTAAAAAAGGACGTCATAGAAAAAAAGGTCATAAACAACTAAAAAACAGAGTTATAATTCTTAAAGGGCGCAAAAAAGAGGTGATAAGAAGTTAAAGGAGAATCCAAAGGGGGATTAGCTCTATAAGAGTTCATGGCCGGAGTAATGATAGGTGATCATGACAGAAAAAAGGCAAGACTTTAGACATGTCGTTGTCGTCCTTCTTTGGCACTGTTTCTGACGGGACCAATGAATGTGACTGGCTTGGTTTCTTCCTTGCGAAGACGCACAGGTCCTGCAATGCTTGCGGACTCTCGGCGTAGACCTCGAGGGTCTGCCTCATAGTCCAACGCAAACTCGGCAACGTCTGATACCGATTCCGCCTCTAGCTGGTCGCTTGCTCCCGAGATGGAAGAGCCTTCATCAGAATCATCGTACTCCCCGTCGTCACTAACTAGGGAAGGCGCATTGTTGCTGACGAGCGTGTTGGGGCTCAAGTCAGCATCCTCCATGTCCATGTCCTCATCCGATAGCATCGTGCTCGATCGGTGATTGCCGGACATGATGGCCATGTCAGAATCTGATGGAGATGCCAAGAGCATGTGGGCTGAACGGCCTTTGCTGCTTGTCGGACGGGCTGAGGGGCCCATGGCAGTGGGCGTCTTCGCGGTCCGAGCGGGCATGCGCATAACAACCGACGCTCGGGCAGGCGGTGAATTCCGCATAGGGGAGATGGAGCCTTCAACCTCTGATTCCTCTCCGGCGGCAAACTCTAGTGATATCTTCTTCTTTGCATCAGCAACAACATCGTGGAGATTGCCTTGGAAGTTACGGGCTTTCAAGAGGCGAGACAAGTGTGGCGCATCAGCTGAAGGGCCAAAGCCCGGTGCCTTGCCGGGATGTGCCTTGCCGGGATAGGCGACAGCATTGACGTTGCGAGGTACCTTGACAACCGACAGCTTGCCCTGGTTGTAAAGATTTAGCGAGTCGGAAATTCTCATCCGGAGAGACTTGAAGATGTCTTGATCGGCCAAGTCATGGCGCGCAAAGGCATGCACGTAGGGCGTGGAGGAGACAGTGGTACTGGTGGCGGCAGCGGCGACCGGGGCCGAAGAGGGGGCAGATGTTTTGCTGTCCTTGGAGATGCTACTGTTACCCGCCTCGGAAGCATCATAAGGTTGGCCGCAATGGACGGCAGCCTCCTCATGGCTCTTGAAATCACGCTTGTGTGCTATGCGGCAGTGGTTGATAAAGCCTTGGGTGCTCGAAAAGTTGTCACGATGGCAGTCCAGGCAGACAAGCTTGACGGTTTGGCCATCCGAGCGTGTCAGGACGCATGGGCCTACCTTGTCCTTGGGTGGAGGGTAGCCGCTCGACAGAGACTCAAACTTCTGACTGCCGTTGCCACGGCGTCCCTTGACAAGTCCAATTCCAAAATCACCATTACTGTTCCTAGTTGTTCTTCCTTCCACGATGAAGCCACGGGCAGGAGCACGAGGCAGCTCCGGTTGCATGCCGTCAAAGGCTGGATCAGGGATGAGCCACTTGGCATAGTGCCGAGAGTAGGGTCCATCGACGACGCCAAAAGGAGGAGCCCAACGAGGGACGGCATCACCGGCCTTGGCGGCTACTGCAGGACCTTTTCCGGCGCTGACATCTAACATTTGTTGCGGGGTGGGACAATTCACAGGATACGGGATTAGGTGGCATCGTCGCAGCTGCTCAAGCGCAATCTGGCACTTGGCCAGCTCTTGGTTGATCAATCTTAACTCTTTATGTTTGAGCAGGATTTCCTGGCAGAATTCAGCTTGGATCAAGTCCCTAGCGCTCTCGAGGGCACACGGTTCAGATCTCGGACAAGACGACTTCTCGACAAAGGCTTCAGAGCCAGTCTTTGCGCGTTTTGCCGGCGCAACATAGCTCAAGGCTTCGTCATCATCGTCGCCGCAATGCGCCCGCTTCAAAGGCACTGGCCGTGCCGATGAATCGCTTGCGACAGACGAACTTCGGCTTGGCTGGCTGGCGGTGGTAGCGGGCGACCCGTTGATGGTCTTCTCGCTTCCCCGTGACTCGGAGCTCCAGAACCGAAACATGGACATGCTCGCTGCTGGCTGTGCGACTGCGCTAAAGCGAGCGATGCACTGCACTGCGATGCGATGCGATGCGATGCGACGCGACGGAAAGGCGCAACGGCGAGACGCACTCTTAGCGAGAGGTTGAAGTTGGTGATGAGTAATGATGCGCTATGGGCGCAAACAATGAAGGCACTAGACTGGAGCGAGGGAGGCAAATAGTGGGGCGATGGGAGTGCGCGTGCTGACGTAACGCCCAGGCAGTGGCCGTGGCAGGTTTGGGGTGGCGCTGGGCAGAACGGGGGGCTTGTGAAGGCGGCTGGTGTTGCTTGTGGCCGGCGGAGAGGTCGGAGAGACGCTGGATCTGACCTGCAGTGAAGGCAGCGCGCGAGAGGGAAGACAAGGGGTGAATGAGCGCCGGTGCGCGAGCCTGGAATAGGGGGCGAGGTCTGGGGGAGATCGAGTGCTAGCGAAAGCCTCGAGCAAAGCCTCTGGGCGAGAGCGCGACAGAGGACGGGTGAGAAAAAAATTAAGAATAGGGAAAGTGGTGTTATGAGATGAAAGGGGGAGAATGAGAAGGCGGCTTGGGGCAAAGGAAGGTGAGAAGTTTGAAAAAGCAAAGGGGGGAGGCGACTCGAGCGCAGCGTGCGAAGAGGCGGTTTGTTTTGCGCGAGTCTGACACCTGGAAGGAGACCAAAGGGCAGGGCCAGCAGGGGCGGCGAACCAAGGCGGAGGCGAGTTGCCCACGGCCAAGGCGCCTGTGACTCGACGGGCCAGTTTTCAGGCGGTGGGCCGCGCTGGGCTGGCGCCTGGAGCCACGCTAGAGCTAGGGCTGCGAGTACCGGTACCTGTGCTGGCAGTGCAGCTGTGGGTGGGCAGAGCCGCTGGCGGCATGTGCCTCCGCTAGCGCTGTGGTTGCTGCCAGCTGGGACGGCGCTGCAAGGGGGGTCGATGCGCTGGTAGCGGTACTTGGAGCGCACACGCCGTGTGGAGTCTGCGGTCGCGACATGCCACAGCTTCAAGGTGCAAGCAAAGTACAAGAACAAGTACTAAAGTACAAGAGCAAGTGCAGGTGCAGCGTTCCGTGCGCTGGGGCCCTTTTTGCTCCGTCCCCGTCTCCGGGGCGCAAAGTACTCCACAGATGCGGCCAAGTAGACCTGCTCGTGCTATGCAGCCGCGGGTTACCGCATCTGGGCCTCGGGGTACACGTTCGAGAAGGGCCTTATCGCCTCTGTTGGGGTGGTATCTTTGCAAGATGGCATGGACTCACCTGTGCTGTCACTGATAAGATGAGCCCATTGTTTTTACGTTTTTAGAGCATTTAGCAGTAGCACCAAGGTAATCAAAAAGCTTCTTATCTCTACAGACTCGCCGTTTGTATCTGTCATCTGCTTTCAGAGAGGTATGTAGCACACTGCTGCTGCTGGGTACATATTACTGGACATATGGTACTGCTTCCGCAGCTTTACGACGCCCAGACGCGGCGCTAGCAGCAGACGACAGCAAGCAATACCGCTTCCATGGCCTGCAGCAGCAACCCAAAGTCCCTAAGGAGGTGGATGCACATACAAGCAGTACCTTTTGTAGGCAGTACCTACCACTTGTAAGACTGGAGGAGGCGCTGGAGCAAAGAGACCGACCAGGGTATCAGTTAGCTTTTCGTTCGATGCTAGCGGGGAAGTGGCCCGAGAGAGTAGCAACAAGTAAGCCGCTATACTGTTGCCAACGAAAAGCACCAACCAGCTCTTGCTTTGCCCGTAGGACAGGGATCCGGGAACACATTGGCGGCTTTTGTTTCTGCTTTACTTGCACAGGCAGCCAGCCGCCTCTCTTTTCTGCCGCAGTAGACGTTTGGGGATTCGGCTGCGTATGCCGCCACTGGTGTTTTCATTTTCTTCTCAAACGTTGACTGGCTGTCAAGCCCCGTGGATGCAGAAAGAGGAGGGAGGGTGGAGCAGGCAGCGATTCAGAGTTTCTTCCTGCTTGTATAGTACAGCATCAGCGGGTGCCACCTGAAGCGGGCTGGACTGAGTTGTTATTCACTTGACAATCAATAGCAAACAGATCAACATGACCGTTGTAGCATAACGGCTGCCACGGCCCGGTACCCAGGTCTAGCGCCGAGAGACACCGGCACAAAGAGCCCCGTATAAGAGAGGTGCGAAAGTGCATTTGTACGAGCAATACGGTTGACCAGAGGCAAATCCTTCGTTTTGGCGAATGCAATACCATCACGAATACTAGGTACTAGCTCATGCTCAAGTCAATGCACAGCTGCCTATCGCCTGCGGCCCGTAGCCCAACGCGATGGCGGCCTGCTCCATCCAGGCTACATATGTACGGCACTTACACCAGTCCGAGGCAGCAGTACAGTGTGTATCTGTACTTCTTTGAAAGGCGTCGTATCCTCTACTAAACACAGGTACCCACCGAGAGTCGCTGTTGAGGGTCGGGCTAATGCCGTTAGTGCATTGATGTCTCCAATGCAGCCCAATCCTTTGACCAATCCACGGCGCAGAAACCTCGATTCCGGGATTCGAGATCGATTGCCCAAAATCTTTCCAACACACACACAGATCCAACGTCGCCGGGCGAATCATCTAGCCAGCCGCGACTCAATGTGAAGACGTTGAAGCCAAAAAGGGTGCACTTTTGAAGCTATGTTAAGCAAATCCCTGGCTATAGGGCTTCCTTTCGTTCAAACCTGCTCAACTGATACGGCCCATCTATCCTGCTCCTCCTCCATCGACTTGTGGGCCGATCGTACTCGCTCATATCCACTCTTCTAGTATCAAAACCGCCGTAGAATGCGTTGACTGTCTCCACCTCAACAGCTGGCAAACTCGTCATCCATTTGCAACCAGGCCATCATCAAACAAGTCTAGTCAGTGACTACCAAACCTGCTCAGAATTAGACAATACACTGCATCTTGTCTTTTCTGTTTACATGATACCATGCCGTAAAAAACTTGACATTTGGCCCGTTACTATGCGCCCGTAGCGTCCCTCTTCCCCCCCCCTCAAAGGCAACGGGAGTAGAGTTATCACCAGATGCACGCACCACCCTTCCCATGACCTGGCTTTCTATTTGGGGAACGGCTGCGTTTTGGCATCTTTTAGCGGCCCTTGGGAAGATGCGGCCCAGAGCCCGTTTGACTGGTCGAACTCGGTCCACGCCAGTTGCCGAACAAAGGAACAAGGTTTAGCCCATTGGGCCGCCACTCGGCTTACCTTCGGAACTGATTCCATGAAACGAGAGGGAACAATGGCATGGCAAAACAGCGGGATAATGGCGGGTTTCGGAGGTTTCGTATTGGGCCTGGTCAAGCATAGAAACTGGGGGAGACGAAGCCCAAAGTGGTTTATGCAAGTGATAAGTGTCAGTATGTCGTTTTCACTCTAATTGACTTGTCGACAACACATACCTTAATAGTACTTATACACACAAAGTCCTGCATAGAGCGCAGACACGCAGCCATTGGTTCAATCAGAGGCTCTTGGCCAGAAATGGATTGCTGCCCAGATACATCGTGCTAGTGCCGATAAAGTGCTAGCGTAGCCTTATGTAGCACTAAGCACCAAACCCACATTTCGACCAAAAGCTGTAATCCTTGAATTTGCATCTCGATCTTTATATCAACAACGCCTCGTTCACCTCCAAACGCCCTGTCATGTCGGCCGACAATCCCTCCAAGAAGCGCAAGCAGCAGCCAGCCAGCCAGCCAGCTTCATCAAAGAAATCTCGCACAGAAGGCAATGCCACCCTCATAGGCCCGCACGAGGGCATCCTCAAAGAACTTTCAACAAAACACAATGTTCTCGCCCTCTCGATTATCTCGTCCACACAAATCCGCAAGCGCGTCTCCAGCGCTACTTCTCATCTCCTCGACAAGACTTCAGGCTCGCGCGCAGTCTTGCTTCACGCGCGGCCCGCAGATGTATGCAAGATGATGACAGTGGCAGAGCAATGCAAGAGGACGCTCGGCGAGCAAGGGAGGACCTGGTATCAATACAACGAATTATTCGACCTTCCTGCAGAGACCAAAAAGAAAAAAACCGTGCCTAAAAAGTCAGATTTGGAAGAGGTGGAGGATGATGGATCCGACAGCGACGACAATGCCTTTGAGACTATGCAAAGCCGATTCGAGCAAGCCGTGTTGCCGCCTCCACGAGCTCAAACATACAAGTCTCTAAGAATATTCATCTCTTCTCAGGCTATTTCCGACCTTAAATCAAGGGAAAATGTTACGGTACAAACGAGCGAGGACGCAACATGATAGGCAATATCACGGAAGAAAACAAAAAGTTTTAATTTTGGCTACGGCCATGGCTACGGCTACTTGAATCTGGAAGGCAAAATTTTTTTTATATGGATACAGCAATATGATACCCTAGCTTTTATAAACAATCTTATTAAGCTAATAATTATCTCCAGTCAGATACCCAAGAAACATATGATACACTAATTGCAACAGCGCTAAATACCTTAACAGAAACCCTCTTCACCCAGGATTTTGCTGGTGCTGGACAAGGCCAGCAAAGCCTCACAATCCGACCTAGACAGCTCTCAAACATAGTTTACATGCACTACGATCCAGACCATACCTCGGCTCGTTGTTTTTTTTTTTCGAATTCCGCCTCGTATAACAGATATCAATACTTAGTACGCAGGGTTGCCCTTCTGCTTCTTTGACTGATCCATAATCCTCAAGACGAAGTTGACAATAACGGCCAGCAGGAGGATGATGGCCAAGAAGGTAGGGCCAAATCGGTCATCGAAACCCGCCTGCCCTCTCACTCGTATAGACTTTGCTCTCCAGTGATATGTAACTAAGGCGTAAATCATCGTCAACATGGCCACGCCGGTGAAGAGGAAGGCAGAGATGAAAGACACTCGGTCGCCAAAGTTAAGCATGCCGATGGCCAGGGCGCCGAGGATGACGGTGAAGTTGAGCCATGACAGGAAGGTACGCTCGTTGGCGAAGAAGACCTTGGGCTCGACTCGAGTGGGCAAGGCAATTCGCTTGCCTATTTGAATTGATGAGCAATTGGCACGCGTGCAGATTATAGGGGGCGACGACTAGACTATTGCAACTTACCGGGGGCGGTTTGGAGAAGAGGCTGCGAGGACATTGTGATCTTAAGAGAAGCGAACGTGAAGAAAAAGTTTTTGTCGCACGAGGTTCGAGCTGCCGCTAGTCTGGATAATGATGACGCTCAGGGAGTAGAGCTAGAGGTGCTTCTGCGCGTGGCTCGCTAGCAAATTAGGTCACAGCAAGATGATGCAACGCGTAGGGAGGAGAGAAATTGAAGCGATTGAGCTCTTTAGAGGTGACGAGAATTTTGTTTCGCGATAGAAATAGGTGCTGCGATCAAAAGGAAGAGAAGAAAAAAGCAAGATTTCGGTAGTGGATGAGCCGGTAGTATCTGCAGGCGAAAGCTATCGAGGTCGCTGCCAGCAAGTCTCCACCCTAATTGGGGAGCTGCTGCGCACGTGGGCAGCGCACTGGACTGGGCCTGCTCTTGGAGTCAAAGCCAATGGCTGGCGGTCACGTGCACAGCTCCGCAGCCGCTGGAGGCGCGGCTTTGCCTGTGCCAAAAGGGGAAAAGCGAACGCAGGGCGAACGAAGCAACCTGTTCGCGGTCGGAAGCACAATAGCAACAAGCATCGTGTCACAGGTACGTTGGTCAATCGCTGAAACGAGCTTGATAGGCTGTCAATGGCCCGCTAACCTTGGATTGTGGTCTCGCACAAGCAGCATTTCCTATCATCGGCATCTCCTACGAAGCTACGGCGGTTCCTCACCTGTTCTCGTCGCATCGTCCTGTTTGCAGCCTCACTCCCCCTAAACGCTCATCAGCCCAGCTGTCCAAGATGTCTACCCCGGTATGCCAACAAACACTATAAAACTCGAAGAGGGGTAAAATGTGAGACATGCTGATAGGGAAGATAGCCCGTGCCCTTCAACCGACTCAAGCAGATTGCCACAGATGTACGTTGTTGCCGCTCTCATCCCCCCCTAACGTGCAAGCTACCAGGAGCTCGCGCCGCTAACATGAATTCAAGGTGTGCAACAACGCTATCGGCAGCGCGGAGTTCTACGACCACGCAAAGACAGAGCAATGGAACTCAACCATCATTGTATGGCAGATACCTCGACACAAAAGCCCATATGCGTTTCTAGACGGCCGTTGACTGACCTATGCGACAACAGAGCTCAATGCTAAAGGCCCTCATCTCCGAAGCCACTCCCCAAGGCCCCAATGGCGCCCCTTCATATAAGTTTGCTTGCAACAGCACCATTGTCCAGCACCTGGTCCCCACGTCTGCGCTGAACAAGGCCCGCGGCGGCACCGACACCAAGTCCGAGGAGCCTCACGTGTCGACGAGCACAGAAGCCACCGCTACAGATGGCAAGCCGCATGTCGGCAGGCGAGGAATGCACAGCGCAACTGGCGCATACTGGGACGAGAAGAAGGACGGCATGTGGACCTTTAAGTATGATGGAGGCGAGGGCAAGGGCATGGACGTGGTTATCATGCTGATCTGGATTGCTGTTTGAAGCGGGGAGATGAGAGAAGGGAGATGAGAGAAGGGAGATGAGAGAAGTGATGGATCAAGTTTCTGGCTTACATCTCGATGAAATGGCACTGGCTTTGGATGGCGAACATGCGATGAGTCGGGTCTGGGCCAATTGCTCTTCTATAGACGTGACTGGAGGTTTAGGAGAACCAATTCTGCTGCCATGTGTTCGTCTATGATGTACATCTTTGCTGGAATACTTGCATATTGAGCGACGGGATGCTGCAAAGGGTTGAGCGACTAAACATAGCATGGAAGAACAAGCTAGGGATACCTATGGAGTCGATTGTCATTTGAGCTGCTATTAATCTTTTTTAACTTCAACTAGAATTATTCAATGCTGGTATTTTGCCTAAGAGAGTGCTCCGAGCAACTGTCTGCTAATAGTAGCTGGCATATTAGTATCTCGTAGGGAAAAAAGGGTGCATTCCCCAACCAGTTGACCTTTTGGATGCTGTTTGAGCGAAGTATTGGCAGCTTGGCAGCTATCAGCTGTACAATGATGCCGTGCATATACACAATATATCGCATCTGCATCGCACATATTGCTCCTACAAGGGAAAGACGGATGGTATCAAAACGTCATTCATCCATTCGCTTCCCAAAGCTTGGCAGTAGGATGTATGATGTAGAAAGCGACGAAGTCAATAACTCGGACTGCAAAATCTGCCATGCTGATATTGGTACTTGTGAGGCAGGTTGACGTACAATCTTTCTTCACGCGAGCAGCAAACAATGTGGAGGCTAGGCCATCAATCGCTAGTACATTCTACGACAGGCGAATAATTCCATTGTTGGCTACTGAATATAATCACGATGCAGACAATGCACACAACGCACACGATATATGCAGCTACGGGGATATTACTTTAGCGTGCTGCTGTCAAACACCACTGCTAACCTTTCACGATGCTTTTCTGCGCCAGTAAATGCAGGGAGAAGAAGTAGCAGGAATGAACGTGCCACGCGATCAGCCGCACCTGACCTCTGCCCGACACACCGCCCGATGGACAAGAGCGCTCTTTCTTCCTATTCTTTTCTGCTTAAGAATAATGGGCTTTCCTCCTTCCACCATTGTTCGCGTCGTCGTTTCATCAAAACCTACAAGCTACGTGATACGAACTTTACAGGTGCAAGTTTTCCACGAAGCCTCATTTCGCGCAGCTTCTCGAGGTCATTCAGGGTCCCCCAAGCCTCTGTCTCCGCTATGATGCTAAGCTTGCAGCGCCGTGTGGAGTCGCAGCGACGACGGCTCGGACTGCTAACAGCTCCAAACCCCACCGAAGATCGGGATCATCTCCGGCAAAGGGGCCTTTTATGCCAGATAGAGAAGTGAGATGCTGGAGCGCACGACGGTGTTGGTCTCTGAGCGCCCATCTTCTCTGACAAGAGCGCGCGATCTTTTGTCTCTTCAGGCAACGATGTGATACAAGTTTTAGGGGATTGCGGAGAGGATCGGACGAGGGGGCGGAGCAGCTCTTGTGGAGGGCAGCAAGAAGCTGGAGACGGAGAATAAAAAAGAAAAACACATTTTGCTGCCTGCGGTAATGCCGGTTGGGAGCAGCGATGGACGTTCGAGACAATTCTGCGACACCAGATGTGCTTGGAGAATGGTAGCATCCTTGGACCGAGAGCGTCGGCAGGAATTGCAGCGGCCAATCCGGATGCAGAGACTGCGCAGCGTCCGCAGTACGGCCGCGCCGCCAATATATGCTGGTGATACCTGAGCAAGAGTGTGGATGGCTGGATGGACGGATGGGCAAGATCTCTATGCGGCTGGTCCACTGATTTTGCGCGCAGGTAGGAGATTTTCTCCCGGTGATCCTATCTCGGTCGCCTTGTCTTGCCACCATTCCCGGGGCTGCTGCATCGCTGGCGAGACGTCTTGAGAGCTATCAGGCCATCCGACACACCCCGCGAGAAGCTTGTACGAGTACATCCATCTGCCCCTACGCAAGCGACCAGATAGAGATGCGCGATGAATCCGCACCGACCACATGATCTTCTGGTGATACGCAGCCGTCGTACGTCAAGCCCGGTTTTCGCAAGCGTTAGACCCAGTCCCCATCCTGGCACCAATGGCGCCCCGGGTGGCCTGCCGTACCTCGCGCTAACACCCACTTCCACGCAAAGCGAGGCAGTGGCACATGGTCATCCTGACCAAGAATTTCGCCTCCCAGGGGAAAGAAAACTCTGATGGGCGTTAGCCATGGGTCTGCGCGCCATATTATGGGGAACCCAGCCAAGAACCAGAGGCCAGAGAGCGACAGACTCCGTCACACCACCACCACTTTTCTCACTCACACACGCCCCCGAAGTCGCCTTTTTTCGGCGTTTCCAGCCCTCGGTCCAATTTCTGCACACTCCAAGTATAAAGACCACCCGGCCGTTGCCCCGGATCAGAGCGTGGGGGGGAAAGCGAATCACTTTGCACACATCATCGGCACGGCATCGTGTTAGCTATCTCATGAAGTCGTTAGTGAGGAGCCTGCCACCTCATAATAAAACATTGTGCCGCATTACGCAACTGTGATAACGAAACAAACAAGAGTCAACACCTTCTGCATCGTACCCCTTACTGCAGCCCGTGGGGGTTATACCAACCTTATTGTCAACATCATTGCGCGCATCACCCGATTATCGCCTGCTCTGTCGCAACTCGTATATTTAAACAGCCTTTTGCCGACAAGGCCGATCTCGAATATCGCTACTCAAGAAGTTGTCTTCTGGATATATCTGAACTAAGTAACAATGGTTCAAGTACTTGCAGCCCCGTCCCTCTCTCAGAGCGGCAATGCCATGCTCGAGACAGGTAGCGGCAGATCTGAAAACATGGTCGTGTCAAGGGAGGAGCACGCTCAGAGAGCCCGAGAGTTGATGATGAAGAGAGGCATGATGAGGGCGCCTCGGCGGGGGTGGTCCCTGACTGAGTATCAAGGACAGAATGACGGACCGCATCACTTCCACGCCGCGATGCCTACGACCATCGATCGCATCCCGGAACATGCGGCCGTCCCTCCAAGCCCGGCACCACAGCCCGTCCAGCTGCCGCAGCGCCCGAAGCTACCGCCGCCTCGCCGCTCGCACTCCGTCACGGACAAGGAGCCAGAGCCCGCGAACCAGCCTCGGCTGTCTACTCGCCTCACCCTCCTCGACCTTCCTTCCGAGCTACACTACGCCATCTTTGACTTCCTCGACCCCATTGACGGTGCATGCCTTGGCCTTACACACTCCAAGCTATATGACATTCACCGCCGCAAGAACGGCACCGTCCCGCTGTCAAGCCGATACTCTGGGCCCAACGATATTGAATGGGCATGGCGGGGCGCCGGTCCTCTCGTGCACCCGCACTCCAATGGCAGCAACACTGAGAACGACTTGGAGCGCCTACGGGTCAAGGGCCAGGTATACTGCCGCAAGTGTGGCATCTCGCGTTGCGAGCTCCACAGGCACCTGAAAGATTGGTTTGGCAAGGACGCCGAATACTGCGAGATCAAGGAGATGTACGGCCCGCCGGCCAGACCTAATGCGAAGGGATACTGCTTCATGCGATCTCCCAAGAACCCCCACTGGTGCGGGCGTCATGGGGCGAAGAAGACGATGTCTAAATGAAATAATTTTTAAGAGTTGAAGAGTGCTGCCTTCACTGGGATATTGGAATTACTGGAGTTGCCCTTTTTTTTTTTTTTTTTTTAATCAAACGGGTGGTTTTGATGACAGGGATGGGGAATACATATGCATGTGTGCATGGGGTAAATATGGTATACGATATGGCCTGGGATTTTTTTTTTAAACTTCATTTCTGGAGTGGTGTTGGATTTCAAGCGGGCTATAATGGAGATGGATTTTGAGAATGATATACATCAAGCGGATTGCTTCGTTGCGAACTATAACTAGAGAGACAAGACAGATGTGTAACAATACGACCTAAATAATAGATTGGCATTAAGACCATGAATCAACGCAATCATTATGGGCTTTATGTATCACATGTGAATCAAATATTCATTTGACTCATGCATCAGAAGTGAAAGGGCGTCGATAAGGAGCCATTTATATGAATGAAATGCTCTTGATATGTTATGTAAATGAGTACCTATGTGTATATATGCATGTGTGTGATTGCGCGTTGTGATCCAAACGACATTTGTCCAAGCCATGTGTGCGCATCTGTGACGAGAAGACAAAACCAATCTTTCCTGACCTCATGATTGATAAAAAATGAATGAAAGAAAAAAGTGGTTTACAAAAAAGTAATGATGCTAATTTGAACAACAAGAGACAAATCAATACTCAAGCTCCCATGTCATTCCGTGTCCCTTTTTTTCATGCCCTCAGAAAAACGCCGGTTATTGTGTTGCCCATTCCATCCCAGTCTATACCCAAAAAAAGATTCAAAAAAGATGCTCTTCTTCACGGAAGGACGACCCCCCCTCCCTTTTTATTTAATGAGGATTTCTCCAGTCCAAGGGACACTCTCCTTGTGTCTCGATCCAGTCGTTGATACCCCTGATGAACCAACCGCTCGTCATCTTGTCCTTGTCTTCCTTCTCCCTCTTGGGCTTGCCGAGCTTGAAGCTCTTGCTCGTGCAGCACACACCCTTTTGGAATCGCCACTGGAAGCATTTGCGATCCTTTTTGAAGCCCTTGTCTCCGGCCTTCTGGTCGTACTTGGATCGAATCAGCTGGCTACGATCCGTCTCTGTATCCAGCTTTTCGAATTCGTCTGCGGGGATATCGAGCCCTTCGGACTCGCACACTTTGGCACAAGCAGCGGGTGAGTTGTGCGCGTGTTTCTGGACAACGTTCTTGTCTTGCTCCTTTTTCTGACGGTCTCTGGCGGCACCCGGGGCCTTCTTCTGGCTCTCCTCGTCGGGAGCAATGTAGCAAGTATCGTCTGATAGGTTGTCCCAGTCCTTGCGGTGCTGAACCATCTTGGGGGCGAAAAAGGCGTAGTACATCTCTCGAATTTGCATCAGATCCTGCGTTGCATTTTGTTAGTTCAAGTTCTCAATGACAACCAATTTTGCAATTGGGGTAATCCTTTTCATCCAATCAGAAAGAGAGCACAAACCTTATTGGTGCGTGTTTGTTCATACTGCCAAACGCCGCTGATCTCCTCAGAGTTCATGTGGTGCATGGTGAAGAGAGGCTCACACCAATGACCAGGTCCGTAGGGCAGCGTGTTGGGCTTCTCGCCGTTGAACATGGGGTGTGCGTTCATGACCTTGGTGCCAACCTCCTTAGCAGCCTTGGAGAAGAGCACATCGCCACAGCATTCGTCGCCAGCCATGTCGTCGAACTTTGCAATATCTGGAATCCCCGCCATCTTGCGCATAAGGGCGCCGGAGACAATGTAGCCGCTGCCGCCGTGGGCAAAGGGGAAGCCGGCCATCATGGCAACGCTGCCGATGTAGACGTTGTCCCGGGGGTTGACCTTGTTGCGCAGCCAGTGGACCAGAGTCGGCCACACGACGTAGGTATCGGCCTCGGCGAAGACATACCAGTCGCGGTCGGGACGCAGCTCCCACGTCCGCACCACCATGTTGAGGAACTTGAACTTATCCAACTCCCAGCCGCCCTCCATATCGGCTGTGCAGTCCTTCTGCGAGACGGGACATTCCTTCTGGGCTTCGTAGAGCTTGAACTCTTCGTACTTGTCCCGGATCTTGGGGTCGACCCTGTCGAGGACGTCGTAGATGTGATATTTGCCAATCTGCTGCTCCTGGATTGGGTGTTAGTCGTGACACTTTGGATGCTCGAAGAGGCCCAGCCCCTTGCAGTGTCGTTGGACGGGAAGACGGATAGGAGGGGGGCTATGCCGCTGCCAAGGCGGGAACGTGCAAAGGGGAGCATGGAACAGGATGGGTTTGGTGCAACTCCAAGATGGGCGGGGACTTACCAGATCCGAAAAGATCAAAAAGTCGTCGATGCACTGCAGGCCGGTGAGCAGCTGCGTGGGCAGCTTGTCGTAGGCCTCGGTGGCGCCCGTCTTCATGACCAGCATGATGTTGTCCATGTTGGGGAAGCCGTGGCATGGCGAGCTGAAGTTCCACCGCGAGTGCACGGCCGCCTCGGTCCCCTCGTGGTAGAGCGTGTTGTTGTAGACTCCCGGGCCCTGGAGATAGGCCGGCAGGTGGTCGTAGATGTACTGCTTGTAGTATCCGGCGGCCTGGTGGTCGCGCAGCTGGTAGAGCGGCAGGGCCAAGAGCAGAGTGCAGCCCACGATGACGGCAGCCCGCCAGTGGCGGGACGGCATCTTGATGAGGCCCATGCCGTCGGCGCCCATGCTTGGCGTGATGGTATAGCGAGGGAGGACACGGCGGAGAGGGAGGGCGCGCAGAAGAAGCCTCCCAGGACGACGAAAAACAGGACAATGAACGGGTCGCGAGTGGGAGTGGGATTGGGGAATTGGGGAATAAAATTAAACTAAAAGCTTAGCATCCAGCTCTGCCGGGGATTGGACCGCAGATGCAGAGCAGACAGGACTGAGGCTGACAAAGAGCAAGAGTCGGGACGCAAGGAGGAGGGGAGGAGAAGAGAGGCAACGATTAGTTATCTCGTATTGCGTAACCCGAGCCAGGTATGCGAGGTGAGATTGCGATTGACAGATGCGAGAGAGACGATGCGCAGTCGTAATGCCTGGTATCTCTACGCTCTCCCTCTGGACAGGGCTTATCGGGCGCGATAGCCAGGATGGTTTGACTTGAAGTCAACGCCAGCCAATCCGCCACTCGGCCTCGATGGACGTTTTTGATAGACGCCACAGCTGGCTCCGGTCCGGTTCCAGCCTCCAGAGGATGGTGATTGCAAAGCCAAGAAAGAAGAAGCGAATAGCAAAAGGATCAAAAGAGAGAAAACGGGGCTCGCATGAAAAGAGATACGGAGCACGACGTCCGGAGAGGGAGCGCGGAGAGCTGGAAATACCTCCAAGATCAGACCAGACCCGCTGTCAGCGATCGATATTTCAGGTTCGACTCGACTCGTTTTCCTGGCGCGCAGGAAATGCACGGGCGTAGTGGCTCGGCACCTACAGCGCTGCACGGCGCTAATTCGCTGCTGTGGTGCAGTGCAGTAGAGCGTTCCAGCGCATGGGAATTTTTTTTTTTTAGCGCCCTTGTAACAGACGGGATACTTTTTCTCACAGCCGCAACAAGGGGGATAGGCAAGCAATGACGACAGCTGAAAGGCTTGGCTTTTGGCTAGTGCGTGTAGGCTACGAAAAGGGAGGGCCGCAAGGGCTGGCGGCACGCAAGTCTTGTAGGGCGCCCAAGGGTGGTTTGGCCAGAAAGGTACCGCTACATGGAGACGGGCCGTTTGTACTCTTGTACGTTTCCAGCGCGGCGGGTCGTACGAGTTGGGAAGACGCCGAGGGAGAGAGAAGCATCGAGACAAAACAAAATAAAAATAAAAATAAAAATAAAAACAGAATGGCCGCAAGCGAGGATGGTATGATGCAGTGAATCCGAGACTGAAACCAGCAAGTACTATGTAGTGTGTGCGACCTTTTGTATGTGGAATGCTGCGCTGCCGTGCCTGATAGAGTACAGACTCGGAGTACTAGGTATTGTCTACTGCTAGTACTATTGTCGACGGAGTACCTAATATAATATCCACGCAGATCGATCTGACACCTGGTGTGACGCCTCGAGTTCTGAGCGTGGCTTCTGTTCGCTCGGCCTTGGCGGGAGTTAACAATGGGGCTCTGGCGATGGACAAAAAGTCAATGCACGGCCTCTCAACCGCTCTCTCCTCGGCTGGGTGGAGCAATTGGCGATGATTGAATCTGGATACATTGACATTACAATGAAATACCACTTGAGCCAGGGACTGTGGCGATATCCCCCGTGCTCTGAAACATGATGCACAGTGGTACCGCTTTGTATGTGGACAAGAAGAACAAGTATGTGAAAGAGCATATCCACAATGGAATCCACATTTTACGAGCCGTTAGTACCGTATCATGACATCAATGGTTTCGCCAGAAAGCCCGCGCGCTATTACTGCCGCTATTGGGAATAAAGCATTCGCAGACATGAGACTGCAAGGGGAGCGCCGAGTGACCATCACCGCCTTGGAATTTAGGCAGCCGGCCTTTTCTTCTTCTTCTTCTTCTTCTTCTTCTTCTTCTTCTTCTTCTTTCATTCTTACATATCATTATACTATATATAAAGATAACAAGTGTCGCTGCATACCTAGGTACTTACCTATGTAGGTACCTTATCTACGTGCCCTTTAGTATTTGCTGTACTGTATATAGCACTTGTACAAAGTACAGATACCTACGGCTGTCTCAGCCGACAAAGGGGGGTGGCAGTGTCGCTTTATCGAAATGGAGATTCCTTGGGCAAGTCTTAATATAGCTCCTGGTTCGTAACCCATGCAAACATGCATCAGCCTCTTAATGCATACGAGCTCCAGAATCCGTACATCCGCCGCATCTTTTGCCCTTGAATCTCACACGTCAAAAAAAAAAAAGGCTGCCTGCCTTTTTCCTTTTTTTTATTTATTTCCATGGCAGAAAATTGCCGCGCGCCTCAAAATCTTTGCCAAGCCTTCCATCGCCCAACAACGGCGGCCCGATAGAAACATGACAAAAAGCTTGGCATTGTTTGTTTCAACTAAGTGTATATTAAGCTTGATGTGCGCATGCAACGCGCACGTACTACTGCTACCTGCTACTTACTGTATGTAATATGCAACAGAACTCGTATTATAAAGTTCGTATCTGCTCTGTCAAGAAAACTCGCGCTTCACCTTTTCAGCTGCACTGGCCGAGAGCCCCTCTCCTCTCCCTTGTTCCGGCTCTTCCCCAATCCAGGATTAGGCCATCTTGAGAGTTCGTATCCGCTCGAGTTCAATGGGAGAATCAGAGTCTTGACAGAGCCTGTTTTCTTCCCTCCCCTCATCCCTCATGTACAGGTACGGGGCACAGTATTATCCGCCCCTCCCCAGCCCGCATTCGCCGGAGCCTTCTAGACCTTTTCAGCGGCAGCCGATGAATGCCCAGCCACGTTGAATCAGCAACGCTTTTGCTTGGTTCTCCCCAAGGCTCCATATTAAAATGCCACACACAACGATCGACAAGGACGAAACACACTTGCGCGCTTTATACGTTCCTGGTATTCCGATTCCCTTAAAACCGGACATCGATTCGTGATTCGTGGAAGCATTTGTCTCGCTCAAAGAAAAAGCATCTTTTAAGTTTCGCTAGCAATTGATCAATTTATCCTATATGCGATGTATCGCAAAATATAGAAAGAAGATGTATCGCAAAATATAGAGAGAGAAAATTGTATCGCAAAAAAGAAAAGAGGAAAAAATGAAAATGATAATAAAAGCCATAATACCTACAAACGCCATTGGTGTAGTAGTACCCAGAATGCCAAAGACCGCTGCCTTGGACTGTACATCTGAAAGTCTGTCTAAAAAGAAGCGAAAGAATACCTATTCTTCCCGATAAAGTCGCTGTACTCTCCCTGTAGAATCTCTAATAATTGGCAACCGCTTGTAAACCCATAGTTGATATGACATAGCCTTCCCCCCGCGGGAACGTTACCTGACCATAAACGCCGCGCTTTTACCTTCAAACGCCGTAATCTCACCATCAATGGACCTGGCATCGCCAAAGTAGCGAAGCCTGTATTCTCCTGGCTTCGTCCAATCCTCAATGTCCCATACAACAGTCGCTTCGCTGGTGCCCTTGAATAGACTGGTTCTCTTCCATTGGTAGACCAGTGCCCAGTCCGAGTCATCGCGTACGATTTCCCACTCTGATTCACCATGACGACGATGCTCAACGGCGGCATACGTCTCTTCTAGTCGCAAGTTATTTCGCGGATTGGCTCCAACAAACGTCGCCTTAACCTTTTCTCCGCGTCTAAACTGGTTCTTGCCAACGTTGAAAATCAAATCTCCAAATGAATGAGACTGTGGAGTTGTATCAAACAGGACACCCGTGTTCAGACCAATGGATTTATCGCTATTGTCTGGGGGCAGGGGTCCAGTATCACTGGAATTAGAATCTCTACCGGGAGCATCGTCCCTCAAAAGAGGAAGCAGAGCCTTGGTTCGATCTATGTAAGCCGCAAGGGTATGTGGCCCATACAAAGTTGAGGCCCCCTCGTAGCGTTGGCGACTGTAAATTCCAGCATGTTAGTTGCGAAGAAACTGTACAACTGTAGAAGAAGGAATTTGAATTAGGGGCATCATTATAGGTGACCCAAAAAAAAAAAAATTGAAAGAAAAGGAAAACTTACCCATATTCCTGTTCTGTTGTGATATAGTGAGTGTACGTGTTGCTGGGTCCTCCAAAAACCACAATGGGCTCATTGCCACCCATTTCGTCTGCCAACTGAATTTTGCTGCTCTCAGCAACCGCTTCTTTCCATCGACGGCCAGCCATTGTCGTTGCTTCTCCGGGGCTAACAATGATAATAAACTGGCCGACTCGGAAAGTTTGCAGGTCTACAATATCCGGTGTCCAGTGGTACGGAAATCGAGTCTTGCCAACGTTCAGGAGGATAGGCTTTGGGGAATGGCATTGGATCTGCTCCTGGCTGGGAGCTCCAATAACCCATCGTATCCATCTCCAAGCAGGATTTGTGTTTGAATCATTGGAGCCATGCTGTGTGATCTCGTAGTGCCCTGGTTCATCCCAGGTGCCGGCTGCGAAAGAGTAGCCCAGCGCCGCTGAACATGTGCGAGCCGTTGAGCCATTGGGCAGCTGGAATTGAAAATCGGACATGTCATGGAAGCGGTGAAATGCCTTGACGCCTGACCCCTTTACGTTTGCAGGCATGGTGTCCATCGAAAGGTACAGGTCGAGGGCGGCTTCGTACTGCTTCTTGCCAATCTCAAAACAGGATGCAGCTCCTTCATCCTGTTCTCTAAAGAAGGGGCCTCTTGCATGGCATTTTCTGCTTCTTCCGGTGCTCTTGCAAGAGCTTGATATCCAGTCGCACCTCTCGCCAGAGCCATCGTCACACCACTCACCAAGCGTATTGGGGCTAGCATCGCCCATGTTCGCCTGAGAAAAGCCGGCAACAAAGTCGTCCGTCTCATCTTCTCTTTCACGCACTTTTTTCTCAAAGAGGTAAGCGGCCACGCCTTTGTTGTCTCCCGTGATTAAGGTGTTGTTAGCCAACATGGAAGTGCCATGGGTGGGGAACCAAGTAAGCACGCCAATGTTTTTGCCATCGGATGCCCTTCTAAATTTAAGCAGAGTCAAGTCCTTCTCCACAGACCCATCGTCTTCCGCGCTGACGTTGTACTTGGCCCTTTCCACTGCTGGATTAGCAAGATATGCGTAGAGACTTCTATTGATATTGGCGCCAAAGACCTTGGTGGTGCCTGCGGTTAAGCTACCTGGCTCCAAGCTCTCATGTGCACGGCGGATCGATAATAAGCAACCATCGACAATAGCTTGATAGCTCTGCTTGTCGAACCCCAAGCTAGTGATCTGGGGTAGAAGATAGTTGAGCCAGGCGCCGGGTCCAGAGTGAGAGTGAGTCGCAGTGACGGCCAGGTTGTCGTGTCCATACATGGCGTAATCAGACCCGAGCTCCTGAAGGCCTCGGAGGATACCATACCGGACGGCAGTGTCGCCCGCCTGCGTGTCCAGAACGAGATAGATGAATCTGTCTTCCGGATTGTGAAGGTCACCAACGATAAAAGCCCGAGAGTAGAGGCGTTGGCGGACACCGCTGCCGACCTGTTCAAAGTTGGCGTAGCCCATCATGTTGATTTCAACAACGGGTCCCGTGATGTCGGCCTTTCCAACTCCAATGAGATACTGGCCATCTTTGGCACTGTCAGACGTGCTATAGGCCTGAGCTTTGCCTCCAAGCCTCACTTGCTTTTGCCCATCATACTGGTGATGCAGCAGGAGAGGCTGTGCTCGCTGTGAAGCCGCTAGCCTTTTAGCCACAAGCTCATCATCGATTTGCCGCGGCATATGACTGCTGTAGACGGCGCCAGGCGCTGTGACCCAGCGAAATGCATGGAACCCTGTTAACAATGCAAAAAGGATCATCGCAGACCATCCAACATAGTACCGCCATCCTCGTCGCTGTCCCTGCTGACCGCGCGTATCGTCCCGTGGCGCTGAAAGCAGCTCGAGAAGAGAGCTCTTCTCTATGGCTTTAGCCGACTCCATCGTGGAGACGGTAACCCGAAAAAAAATCCCGCTTGGGACGAACCAAAATATCGATAAAAAAAAATGAAGGAAGCAGAGTCTGCCTAAACAATGAGTTACTCTGAGATTGGAGGAGATAAAGATTCTATTGCGCTCAAAAAGGATCTGAGCCTAGAGTTGATGCTTGCGGAAGTAAATTTATCGGAAGCTTCCTTACGTAAGGCGTATTGACGTCAAAACTCAGAAACTCATTTCTCTGCTTTTTTATGTCGCGGCTCCCGTTTGCTCCCCTCACGCGAGGTTCAGGTGCCAGCTGGCGGATGTACCGGGAAGCCGGGGCAACAGAGATGACTTGGTGTTTTTGCTCGGGGCCGTCGTCATAGTGATAAGCCTCCTATCCTTATATTGCAGAAAGTTAAACCCGCAGAGGCCGGGGGTCACCGAGGGCAATTTCAACTCTCCCGGCTGTGCTCTTCTCAAAGCTAAAACGGATTCTCTGGAGGTTTTGAGGGCTTTTCATGTACCTGATAGGACCGGTTCCTGCACCGGTTCCTGCACTCTATATAGCCTCACGGTCTGCTTGCAACGCTTGCGGTCATGGACTGTCGTCGTCTGAGATGCCAGATCCGGAGAGGAGAGTCTCAAACCAGCCATTGAGAGCTGCGCGAGACACAAAGCCGGAAAATTGGGTGAGGGGCGGGCCAATCAGCGGCTGCCAGACCCTGGCTAGTGTATGGTAGAAGACGAGACAGAAGGTTTGGGGGGGTTCTTAAGGCCTGTCAGCCGCCTCAGCGTTTGGTGGTATGATCAAGGAGATGCAGTCACCTGGTGTTGGAATGCACCAGTAAGCAGACAGCGACCGCCGACGACTAGTATATAGGAGCTGCATTTGCTGCTCTTCGCGTGACTGTTGAACACCCTTTTCTCTCGTCTTTCAACTCTAAACGACTCTGAACAGTACCGACGAAGCACAGTTACCTACCTACGGAAGCACAGTGCTGCCATTTTCTTTTTGCGGGCACGAGAATGTTCACCAAACACTCACTTATCTTATCTACGGGTATCGTCGGACTTATATTCTGCCCTCAGCCGAAAGCGGCTGCGACAAACCGCTGTCATTTGCAGTGCTGATGACGTGACGATGCGGGGGCTGCACGAACAGCGGAATTTAAAGCCAGAAAGGGTGATGTTCATATATTCTGGAACTGCCGGCGCTGTTTGAAAGCAAAGCACAGCTGCATTACGGAGACAGGGAGGGCTGTGGGGGGGGATTTGATCATGTGAAATCGCGACAGGGCAATTTTGCATGCCAAACTTGACGTCTTTGTTCGTCCCTCCCACGGCCATTCATTTTCATATTTTCGTTTTTTAACACGAAGAATTCCCCTTCTTCTCTTCAAAGAGCAACGCCACAAGGAGTTTTATCGGGTTTTATCGTGACGTCGACCATAACTCGGTTTGCCAGCCAAACGCCGCATCGGCTCAATTGTTATGCCTAGATTAGTGGATTTCTAAGCCCAGATAGCCTGCCGTAGGCTATCCGAGCGGAAATGCGTCCGTTGGCCGAGCCTTCACCCAATTGGGCTCTAGGATCGAAGCACACAATTTGACATCTCCGCCAATCGTCGCCACGTCCACTCACACGCATTTCGCTGACCTGCGAGTTTTTATATACACGGCATCAAATCCAGTCCTTATCAGCGCAATCAGCTCCTCGCCTTAATCCTTTCCTGCTCAGCTCAATCCTCTCCCAGGGCTCTCGCTCACTATGGCTTGAGAGCTGACATCGTGTCTTGGAACTCAATTCGCGGCAGAGCGTCTTTTCACTGACACTGACACTGACACTGGCACTGGCGGTTTGTGTTCCACGTGCAGGGTTGGATCGGAGATGCTCCAACGGCCCACGACTCCAACCGTGACACAGCGATACATCGATTAAGGTTGGCAGCGATTTGCGAGGCGTGGGGTGACCCTGCGCTCGGGGCGGTCAGATCTGCGCGGTTTTAAGTTCTGTCGCTCTCGGCGCTTTTCTGATTGAGTTTTGTCGCATATCCAATCTGGATATCAAAACAGCGTGCGACGGGCCTTTTTTGTTCTTCATTCTCATTCTCGCCCAGCCCATTTGTTCAAATTCATTGTGAAAAATGGTTGACTTACGGCACGGCGAGCACAGACCCATCCAGACGAGTGCTGTCATCGTCCTGGGTGCTTCGAAATGCCAGTCATTCCCGCCTCCGTCTCCACCAACGCCTTCGGCTTCACCATCAACCAAAGAGATAGGCGATCCAGTCGATGGCTTCAGCTTAGACGGGAAACCGTCAAGGGAGCAATCTATGCAGGAGAGGAGACTTCACAGCGGCATCCACGTATTAAACACCGAGGCTGCCGCATTAGCCAATCTCACAAAGCTATACGAAGTTGACGCAGTTGCGCGAGATGGGTTCAATGCCTCCATCAAGGCGATTACACGCCTAGCTAAGACGAAAGGGAAGCTGGTTATAATCGGAGTCGGCAAATCCGGCCACATTGGAAAAAAACTAGTTGCAACATTCCAAAGCCTGGCAATTCGATCTGTATTTCTCCATCCCACTGAAGCTCTCCATGGGGACCTGGGCATTGTGGGACCGGAAGACACACTATTATTCATTACTTACTCCGGAAAGACACAGGAGCTCTTCTTGATGCTGCCTCACTTGGATGAGAACCTCCCTACAATTCTTCTGACTTCTCATATGAGACGAGAGACTTGCGAGTTTTTCAAGCATCGCCCCAATACGATCCTTTTACCGGCACCCATTCCCGAGCCTGAAAATGTATCGTTCGGGGTCTCGGCACCATCATCTTCGACAACAGCGGCTCTAGCATTGGGGGACGCGCTGGCTCTCACAGCTGCTCACGAGCTTCACTCGAGTGTCTCAACAATGTTTGCCAAAAACCACCCCGGCGGCGCTATTGGCGCTGCAGTCGCTGCAGTGGGTCGAGGGCCGCAAACTCTGGGTCACATTTCTATCCCATGGGACGATGTTGATGTAACCGAGGGGCTGAGTGGCGACGATCTTGTGTTGAGCCTGCTCCGGGCAGCGTACTGCTCGAAGACAGGATGGGTGAGAATGGGTGACGAGATTGCCGTCCCAAGCCTGATTCGAACATTGGGTGACGCAGACATGACGAGGCCAATCAAAGACGTACCAGGCATTACAGTGTCCCGCCATCAAATGCTGGCCATGTCGTCGGAGACAACGGTTCGCCAGGCGCGAGATATTTTAGAAGACATGCAATCATCTCCAATGGAAGAACATGAACAAGGAATTGGCGGATCTGGGTCAGTTATTGCAATTACACACAGCGGGAGCATTGTTGGCGTTTTGGAAGTTGAACAAGTCCTTGAGTATCAGGATGTATGACGAGGAGAGAGGCGGAAAAAGAATAAATCATGGGACTCACATGCCACGTTCGTGGTGTAACGATGAGGCAGCTCATATCTTAAGGGGAGGGGCAATATTCATTAAAAAGGAATCTTTAAAAGCCCATTTGAACGATACCACGCAAGAATTTCTTGGTATATCTTTTATTTTTATCATCCATCACACACATACTATTGATATATGGTATATAGCTTTGCAGGATTTATTCATTCAAAACGTGCATTTCTCGCGCTACAACGAGATGCGTGTAAATAGGTATCGGGTAATAATATATATGCATCTTGGATCTTGGCTAGCACCACGATGCATGTCTAGCTGTTCAGTGTGACCTTGTGGCGTGACGGATAGACGGATAGAGAGCTGATCAAGGAAAAAAATCTCGGATATGTCTCAATGTAAGGTACATGAAGCTACCACTACAATCACATGCTCACACGCTTAGAGACACCCGAAAACATTGACGAGAGACAGACGAGACAAGCCATCCATCTTGATGGTTTCACGTGCTTGTTCGATGCTCGGACACTGACCGACGAGGCGTAAAGTATGAGGAGATGTCTTTTACTACAATGCGACGTGCTCCGCAGCAGGCCAACGCCAAATCGCAGTACCGACGTCACTATTCCGCAAATCAATCTGCCATCATGCTCGCGTTAGGGTAATCTTGTCATCGTCATGTATATTTTGTAGTTGGTGGTAGACACCAAGCGACCCGTACGAAATAGTACTACGATTGCGACTGAGACAGCAAAGATTAAAAACGAAGACATAAGTGATATATATATATAGTATACTACCTACCTATGTATGAGTTGCTGCCAATGTCTCACACGCATGGCACTAAGATTAACCTTAGCTCTAGTCTAAGACACTAAAGACATTCTGTGGGCTAACTTGTGGATGCGGTCTAGGCTTTAATACCACATTAGCCGGAGGACATGCTAATTGGAAACAGATCTCATGCTAATGACCGTAAGCGGACATGGTGAATGAAGGGAAAGGATAAACAATTTTGTTTTGTGGTTATTTTGCTTCGCCATTATCTCTCTTTTACTTGTTCACTGGAATAGTCTGGACTTAATTATGACCCGGTGCATGGCTTTCGGTGGAATTTTTCAATATAACCCTTAGCCTGACGAGATTCTTGCAGGCTTACAGCCTTGTACGCTGGATTGGGTGTACAATAGGTGTCGCGTGACTGTTTTCCGCCGATGTTGTAAGTGACAGCCTGTCGCTCGCTGTGGAGCACCTCGTACTACATATAGACGTGTTCCCTCGAATAGGTATGTAAGACAAAATTTTGAGCTGGCCGCGTTTGAGCTGGACTCTGCGAGAAAGACGCTGGCATACCGTTGTGTATGCGTTGGCACTACTGAATCGGTTCGTGCTCTGTTGCCAGATAAGGCAGTACGATGGAGAATTTTTTTTTTTTTTTTTTTTTTTTTTTTTTTTAATAATAAATCTCCGCCGGGGAACCGGGATTGTTGCAGGGTTAGAGAAAGTGTTGGATGGGAAGAATGCTCGAATTTCACGAGGATGAAATTTCAAATAGGGCTGGTTTGTGGCGTGCTTAGGTGCCAGGTTGGAAAAGAAACGAGCGTTGAGCAGGGCTACTCTTGCGCAAACAGACATACATACATACGGACTACTACTGTAGCATTAAGAGGTTAGGCCGAGAGATGGTGTTATATTTGCCTGTGATGGCTCTAGAAGTAATGTGATTAATTAGTCTATATTAGTATCGGGCTACAAGCTGCTCAGCCGTGTCGCCGTGCATGAGCTGCAGAGTGAGGGAGTGTGCATCCCCCACCCGTTCGGCGGTGATATCGGAGGGTTTTAAGACACTGGTGTGTCCAGAGATAAGAATACGGAGTATTGCAGTCAAAAGGGGATCTACCTTATCGGAGACAAAATATGTGTGTGTGGTGGTAATATGAGCAGCACAATGGCATGGTAGGGCCAAGCATGTATGTATATCTGCAGGTGTGTTGGGATGCGGAAGGAGAACGGCAAAGCTGTAATATTTTTTTTTATCGGCTAAAGAGTGCTACGCATTTGCATACAAACGAGCTCTTGTTGGCTTCCTTTGCTGCGCTCCATATTAGAAAGGAGTAGAAATACGGAGAAGTCCATGGAAGCTCGGCTTTGCTGCCTCCTTCAAGCACACGGCAGCAAGGACCAAAGGATCAACTCATCAGGACCTGTCGCATACCCGGGTACAATCCATAGATTGAGCCATTGTGATGCTAGCATTTGCCGACATGCAGCGATTGAAGACTATACATGCAACTATTAGTGCCGGTACTGCGAAAATAGTAGAGCATTAGCCATGACAAAGACCTTATTGATGCCGGCAAATGACTAGCAGTTCTAAACCGGAGAAGAGGATAGAGAGATAGATGGCTGCGGCCCTGCCAAGCGCCTTTTTCCCTGCCTGTCCCCTCTCGGAAGACGGCAAAGGGTAGCATCTGAAAAAGTGCTCTAGAGAAATCCACATCTAATGCCACTACTACAAGTGATAGCACCATATTATAACACGCGGCAAGCTCCGGTTTAATTGAAAAAAAGAAGAAAAAATGAGTCGAGCGGGAGTGGAAGCTGAGAATGGAGTCTTTCCGCGCGCAAGCGCAGCAGAGCGGTTGAGCGGCTCGGAATGGAGAGTAGAGCAAAGATCCACTACGTAATCTAGATTTGCAGGGCCCGCTCTCAGACTGCGCCAGCAACAACGTTGCTATCTTGGCAAGATTTTTTTTTAGTTTCAGTTTCTTTTTTTTTTTTTTTTTTTTTTTTTTGTTGTTGTATTAGATGAACGGTACGGCAGTGATTAATGAGAGCATAAAATTGTTTATTGGAGGAGTTTGGATACATGCAGGGTGGTACCTTTTCAGTGCTCATGCAATGCAGTCTTATCTGGCAGCTACTCGCCGCTTTAGGCAAGATAGAAGCGTGATCGCCATGAAAAGAAAAAGTAATAGGCGAACAAATGTCAAATGAGGGTGCATGCATACAGAGCCCAATCATAAACAACAATCAATCAACTAATGACACACAAAACAAAGAAATGCAATTTCAGGGATCACACACGAAAATCCTGTACAGTAAAAACCTAACCAGCTAGGGTGTGTCGAACTCGCCCACCCACTTTCATCTCTTCTTCACGCAAGAGAAAAAAAAAATTGGCAGCAAACCAACTTGGGTAAACACTCACGCGACACCAGTGGCGAAGAGGGCATGTCCATACGGGCCGGTCGGTTCTAGTGCAAGGGAGAGAGGAGACGAAAACTTGGAAAGGGGTCCAACGGAGATTTTTTTCAACAAGAAAATAAGCTGTTTTGGCAATTGAGCATCAGGCTCGGTGAACGGATTGAGTAGAGCTCGAGGCGGCAAAGAGAGGGCCGTGCAGATTGTGGGTCGGATTGATATACAAAGGGTGGGTTCTGGCTGGAGCTGAAATTGCACATGTCAAAGCATCCTGGATAGATGCCGCTCGTCTTTGTGGTCCCTGGTTATTTCTATTGTTTGATTTTTTTTCTTTTTTTTTTGGCCCAAATTGTCAAGCCAGAGACAGTCGAGTCCGGTAGTGGCATCGTCAAGGGCGGCATTTGCAAGCTTCCTTCCAGGATCCAATGAGAAGGCTGCTGGTATCGCTGCTCCTCTTACCAGCAGCTCAAGTCAGGGTCCTGTATTGCAATTAATCCGAGCTGGCAGCTGGCTAATACCTACTAGCACCACCCACCATCTTGCACGAAGTCGGCTTAAGCAACCCTGCCTGCAGCGGCTGGTGAACGCAAGCATCAGCTTCCCATAGGCTGGAGGCCCCCTCTACCACAACGGAGCCTTGGTTTCTGCTCTTGTCTTTAGCCGAATTCCGTAGGGCGGCGGGAAGCAAGGATGCTCAAGCCGCCGTTGAGCTTGCCAATGGGGAGCAGTCGCGCACAGGATAGGCGGCACAGAATCACTTTGCTGCCACATGCTGTTGGCACTACTGCATGTACGTTGTCTGCGTTTGCAAATATGTACGATGCTGCGAGCCTTGATGCTATTGGCAGCACTAGTCCTTGCAGTTTAATCCTTGAAAATCAGCCGATAACGACTCGATCGTCGGATGGGACGGGACCTCGTCTGGACTCTGGGTTCTGCAGCTCGGGAGTCTCTCGTTACTCTCTAAGCAGCTGCTGATGCATGAAAGCTACTACTACTAGCACCACTGTAGGTAGTAGTAGGTCACACATATCAATGATAGATAGATATAGTACATGTACCTAGTAAATATAAGGTCCTGATAGAATGTTCCTAAATAAGTCAAGGCACTGCACTGCCTCGGTTGAGAAAAGGAACAAAATACGAAAGGTTGCAAACTTAACCTGAGCACCGACGAGGGAGCTTTGACAAATGCATCTTAGACTGCCTCGGATATTTGGCTTTTTTTTTTAAACAATTTTCTCTCTCTCCCCCGAGCCGGATAGAGGGGCCGGTGTTTTGTTGACCGTTGATTGTATTTTTCTCCATGCGGAGGGGTCTGGAACGACTAGAGCCATTAGTGCTTGACACTGCTGTGCAACAATGTGCGAGTAGGAGACGCTGCTTGCGGCCCTTCTGAGGGCAGAGCAAAACGACATTTTGTGTGCGTGAGCGTGTGCTGGGTGATGTTTTTTTTTTTTTTTTTTTTTTTTTTTTTTTTTTTTTTCGTTTGGTTCAAGGCTCGTTTCATTTTCTTTGCTAGTTGGCTGTAACTGGCATGTAATAGGACGGATTTAGTGCTACTAGCGCTCGCCGTCAAGAACCATGTCTTGTTTCTTATTCCTCAGTCTTTTTTTCTTCTCTACTTGGGCCGTTTTTGCCTTTGTGCCCGCCCTGCCGTTCCTATTCGCCATGTTCTAGCCCGTTGCAACTGCACTCTCGTATTCAACGCTGTGGCAAGCTGGAGACTGATAGATTTGGTATAGTCTAATACAATGGTAGTAGTAGTTTTTTTTCGTCTGCTTGTGTATACTGTAGTATTATGGAGTATACTCGTCTGTTGCAGTTGCAGCGTGGGTGCCGGGAAGCGCCTAGGCCGTTTCTTCTCGCTCAGCGCCACTGAATCTGCGTTGCCCGCCGCTGGAGGCCCCCTCAGCAGGGCGGCCCTGCCACTAACTGCCCCATGGCTCAGAACCCCCATGGCGGTGCCCCATCAGGCCATCAGCCCCCCCAAACGCCTGCGGAACCCACTGCAGGGGTGCCATACAGTATGCTGCGGATTGATGCCTGCACGCTTTAGCGCACCTACAAGCACGGAGGCGTTCTCCATAGTGGGCACCTTATCTTTCTGCCATCCAGGGTGCGTGCCTTGGTTGGTGTTTGGCATCAATCTCCATCTTTCCTCTCTCGCCGCTGCTTGAGCCAAGAACAAACTCCACAGGGGCCGATGATATAACGCCGCCTGGCCCCGTGCGCAAACCTGCCATGCTCGTTGGCTGATCTGGATTCCGATCGCCGTCGTCTCAACCTCCAGGCTCTCTGCCTCTGCCTCGCTTCCAGCTCCCGGGATTTGCGGTTCGCAAGCCTCTCTCGTGGCCTCCGTCCGGCTTCCTGTGCGTCATCGTGGGCCTCGGGCAGTGCTGCAATACAAGACTTGCACGGCTTCTCGCTCGCACAATCTGCGCATGCGAGGACTGCTTGAGCATCAAGTAGAGTAGTACCGCTATAATATCGCCATCGCCCTCTGGGTTGACATCAATCCTACGCTCTTCTCGCTCTCACCGGCTGCCTCTCTCGACTTCTGCGCGGTCTCGGCTCCGGCAGCGCCACAAACCTCTGCTCCCAGCCGGCTAATCTGATACCTCCCGCCCTATCTTATCGCTGCGCTGCGCTGCTCTGCTCTGCTCTAGCCCGAGTCCATCCAAGCCATCCTCCTCCTCCCCTTGTCACTTTATTCCTTCTTTTAAACTTCGCCGTTATCGCATTGCCCTCCCATTGGCTTCGAGTTAAGCATTTCTGACAAGGAGCTTTGTTCTTACTTTCTTAAAAACGCCTGTTCTCTCCCCCTCCCTTCAGTGAACGCCACATCAGTCATCCGGACGCTGAAGCGACATTTGCTCTTGCTTTGCCTTGCCTTGCCTTGCCTTGCTTTTTTTACAGTAGACGGCACTGGTCGACCGAGCTACGTGCATGCCGGCCATTCAATCCACCACAACTCTATTGTAGCTGGGCCGAGGAACCGAAGAACAAGACAAAAAACTCTCCTCCCTCTTCCCCTTTTCCTATCAGCCTCTTACAACAACCAGACATAACTCAATTCCTCTCGAGACCAATTGCTCCACCAACGCTTCTTGCTCCCTCGCTTGCGCTGCCATCAACAGTCCGAATTCGAACCGCGCTCCACAGGAAGAGGATGCGATTGTACCGATAACCTCTATCGATTGACTCAAAGAAACGTTTTTGCAAATAGCAGTGTAAGCGAGCTATGAAATACGGCGATCAGCTGGAGAGGGAGTCTGTTCCTGAATGGAGCCTGCGTATGTCATACCCACCACCCCTCCTGCTTTGTGTCCCGCAGAGCGTTGTTCTGGAAGAGGGCGAAACAAAGGGAGAGAGAATCATATCTAACTTGGCCTTACTATAGATAATCTCGACTACAATTCTCTGAAACATGAGATCAAAGTCCACACAACCCGCGACCAGGCCACAGCCTTGACTATTCCCGGCCACCAAGATACTGCGCTGCAACGATTCGAGGATGCCCTGTTTACTGAGCTCTGCAACCAGCACGATCGCTTAGACTTATTTGTTTTCAGCAAGGCGGATGAGGTGTCAAGACGACTGGGTACGCCATTGATGACTGTCAATTCATCTTCAAGCTGCGGCTACTAATTTTGTCTTAGACCATATTGCTGCCAGCATCAAGCGATTTGCCGCCAAGAGCCATCACCATGCCGACTCACCGAGTGCGTCGCTTAGGTACCAGCGCAAATTCATAAAATATGAGCGTGAATTGCTACGGTGTAGAGAGGATATCCAGGCCCTATCGCGCTTTGTTAATGCGCAAATCATTGCATTCCGCAAGATTCTGAAGAAATACAGAGTACGTTGCCTCGGTTACATCACAACCTCCCATAAACCTACCAGACCTCCTTTTGGCTAATCTTGTAAACAGAAGTGGACTGGTTCTTCATCTTTAAGCTCCAGATTCAATGAGGAGGTCCTAAGTCACCCAAAGAGCTTTACACGGCGAAGCTTTACAGACCTCCAGGAAAAACACGACGAAATTGAAGAACAGCTTCGCCACGCCACACCAGCGTTTAGCGAACCGAGCTCTCCTTCATCCGTCGACACTCCCGTTGCCCCTTTGAACCAGCCTTCAAATTCGCATCGCGTCACTTTTGATCCTCTACCGCCGTCATGCTTCGATGACACACAGCCCAAATACTGGAACGAGTACGATGACGGCAGCGATGCAGGCGGCGCCGAAGAAGAGTACGCAATCTACATCAACCCCGACCAAGAATCAAGTTTCCCCGGTTTAAGCTACGCCCAAGCCATCGTATCGTTTCCCTTTGAAAAGGCAAAGGAGTGGTTTGGTAAGCCGCAGGCTGCCGAGCAACAGCCCCTCTTTTCATCCTTCTCACCCAGGGACTCGAGTAGCCAGGGGTACGGTTCCATGACGGCGGTGCACACCGACTCCGAGGAAGAAGAGGCATACGCCAGCTCCGACGGCTTCCCCACACAAGGATATACCACGCATTATGCTCTGCCCAGCGTCACCAGCCAGCAGCTGCGCCGCTACAGGGAGCGCGTCCTGTTCTGGGGCACCATGGGCTGTTTCGGTGCCACCTTTGTCTTTCTCGGCATTGCCGGCATTCTCATCTCGACGGGCCGACACAAGCTGCGAGTCGAGGTTGATGCCGGCGCTACTGTGGGAGCAGTGGTCAGCTTATTCTGTGCCTGCTCCGGCCTCGGTATGACGCTTTACCGAGAAGACCAGCTATCGCTATCTTACCGCCTCGTGGTCTGGGGGACCTTTATCATTTCCTGTCTTCTCAACGGCATGCTGCTCATCCTGATCCTGGGGAATACCCCATGAGACCCTCAAGTTTGGAGATCCAGCGAAGGATTTACCATTTCTTTCATCTTCCCTATTCTCTCTCGAATGCATATAAGCGGAGTATCAGACTCGTGTCTGCGGTGTTTGGGTCCTTGACTTTTTTTTCAGGGTTTATTATTTCTATCTCTTTTTTTTTTTTTTTTGGTCTTGGGTTCGACCACAGAAGCGACTGGGATTTTTTGTTCCAATAATTTTTCAAAGCCCCTTTTTTCCCCCCAAGGTTGAAGGAGGCCAAAAGTGCGGTTTGTCCACGGCATTCCAAAATACTTGCATGGTAGCGCCGTGTATGGGTGTATTCTCTATGTATATCATTCATGTATATGATTCATGAAGGAGACGAGGACGAAGTAGGTACTGACATATTCGGAGGAGGCTGCTTGGAATGTTTTTGTATCACTATGGGCAAAATAGTTTGCATCGGTATATGTACATATCGTCTCTACGATGACATGCCCTCAACGAAAGTCATATCAATTCAACAAATGTTACTTATTTGCAAAAAAACTCTCTGCTTTGAAGCAATATGCACTTGATGTTTTGAACTAACTCGCGAGCTTCCCCTAGAAGATGACTCGAAATGCATTTCTCTCTGTAACTTGGCAAGGTGTATAACGATATCGGAATCTATAAATACAAACACCAGACCCTTCCTATTAGCGAATTACTGGAGAATCCTTGCCATCTAAAAACAGAAGAGCGGTATTAACTGCCGTTCAATGAGCATCGAAAAGTGCTTCGTAAATGACGACTACTAGGCTACCTTGTTAACCAAAGATGGCAGGTGGGGACCGAAGTGTGGTTCAATGTTATCTTTTGAGATTTTTTTTTTTTCTCCTAATTTTCCCCCATATCAGCATTTTACCCAACCAGTAAGAGAGGCCGACTTTGACTCATTCGGCAACCAGGCTAGAGAAGGGGGGGGAAGCAAAACGGGTTGACCAATTGATAGCTTATAATAAAGAGTTCCGCTTTCGCTAAATGTTTTGTGTGTCACCTTATATATATTGAGTAATTCATGCCATTGTATGAGTTGTCAACTCTGTAGTGTATATTATAAATCACAACGAGCGACAAACTACATCTCGACAACAAAAATTCTTGGCATAGTTATACACACAAAACTATATCTCAAAAGAAAGAAGAAAAAAAAAGACGAAACGAAAAAAAAAAAAAAAAAAATGCCTCCACGATTTCGCCTCCGCCCAGGCTCCGTCTCAGACTTAAACCACGCGGTGCGTCTCTATGATGCTTGTCTCGGCTCTGACAAGTTGATCCAGATCTTGTTCCCGGGGAGGAGGGAACAAGACCCAGTGGGATTCAAGACCCACCTGTATAGACTGTATGCCAAGCGGTTCTGGTCCGTGGAATGGATGTTTACCTTCATCGTCAAGGAGGCTGGTCAAGAAGGCGAAGAGGAAGAAGAGGAGGTTGTGGGCTTTTCGTGCTGGAAGAAGCCGGCGGGAGAAATTGGCTTTGCAGAGAGATGGTTTAGCATATGTGAGTTTTTTTTTTTTTTTATTTGGGTTTCCTCTCTCATACTCTCTCAATCAACGGCTGGAATGTCTTGCGATTGTTCAATGAAACATGCATCATCGCATGTTCTCTTCTCTCTCACAGAGCCACGTACAAAACCAACAATCAATCAATCAATGTTTGTCAAAAAGATACCTAACTAATGAATCATTTTGTATTTACAGTCGCCTGGATCGCCCCTGTAGTGCGAAACTTCATTGCCCTCCAAACCAAGCTCTGCCCCACCGTCGACTTATACCCAGCCACCGCCTTTGACCGCTGCTTCCCACCCATCGAAGAGGCCCTCTTCGTGGACAAGAAGCCCAAGGAGTGGTGGTATCTCAGCACGCTGGCCGTGCACCCTTCTTATCAGGGCCATGGGCTCGGTGGCTTGCTCATGAATGAAGGGCTGGACATGGCCGACGCGTATCAGCAGAAGAAGAGCCAGGGGGACGGAGTAACAAGGGGCAAGGTCTGGCTGATTGGCCTCAGAGGTACGGATGCGTTTTATATGAGATTTGGATTCAAGGAGGTTGGAAGGGCGAATGTGGGGGAATTGAGCGAGTGGGATGGAGGACTTGTCATGTTTAGGGAGTAGAAGGAAGAGAAGGAAACCATTGAGAAAGGAAAAGAAAGCGCCGTTTTGTTTATTCATTCATCTATCTCATACATACTAGGATGAGCTTGGCGTCCACTTCATAGAATTAGAAGGAAATAAAAAGCCCAATGGCAACATCTAGTTTCCTCTCCTGATATTCTCCATGGCCAGCAAATTCAAAGCCACCCTAACAAAGCCATGCACGCTCGATTTCATTCGTTAGAAAATGCTGTTAAAACCCCACTGCCATTTTCTCATTTCCCATTTCGATGCCGTAGAAAAAAAAAAAGAGCCTTTGCAAACAAACCAAACGCCTCATCTGCAATCGTTCCAAACCAACTTTTCTCGTTCAGCACATTCTTGCCTCCCAGTTGAGAGCGCTTCTCAGAGCGCTTCACGGCCAGCCTCGTCTAACAATAAGCTGAGCCTTAATTTATTCCGATAACTGCATTCACCAAGTGTTTCTCGAAAAAGCCAGCTTACAAGCCTATGCCTATCCACCATAGACATTGTGGTCAACTCAAATCTAGAGGAAAAAGAAGAACAAAAGAAGAAGAAGAAGAAGGAGAAGAAAGAAGGAGGAAAGAAAGAAGTAAAGAAAGAAAGAAACGCGAATAAAGGGGAAAGAAGACAAAGAAAACACCAATTACAAAATGAGCATAAAGAAACTCTAGACTTTTTGACGCAGCGTTCCTCAGTCGTTCATCGTAATAGCATGCGTAAGAAGGTGTCGCCGAGAACAAACACAAACGAAAAAGGCAGAGGAGAGTTCGCCAACTGGACAAGAAAGCTAAGTACACCAGCATATATGCGCAACATAAGAAAACGAGAAAAGGAATTCTGCAGTGTGATATCCCAAATCATCGAAGGATTTAGCTTGCCGTAAGGGTAAAGGGAACTCGACAACTAATCCTCACGCACGCCTTTAGCCGCCCTCGTGACGGTTTGATCGGTATGAGGCCAGGCATTGCCGTATCGGACTTCTTCATGCTGAGCTCTCTTCATCGTAGTTCGATGGATCGTCGAATCATAGTAAGTCGGAGCTCGTGAGCCATCCATGTAAGGGCGAGCAACATGATCTTGTGCCGAGTTAGAAGGATAATAATTTTGCTGCTGGGAAGGTGAGCTCTGAGGCCAGCCCCTGGTGTATGCGTGACTTGGGTCAAGCCGTTGCTCTAGAGCATAGCCGCGAGTGCTCGGTATATAACTTAAATCTCCCGCCGTTGCTCTACTATCGAAAGACCCCAGATCAAGCTGCCCGGCGCCGCTAGAACTAATAGGACGGAGATATTCGAAGGCGGATTGAGTAGTGGCAACGTTTGAGCTATAGGATCGCAAGTGAGGAGGTCGTGGCATATTTGGGTTCTCATTGAATGACCCGGAGACTCTATAAGGCGAAGCAGCCGAGTAACTGCTTGCCGCCGATAAATGATCACTGATCGACGGCAGCCTCTGGTGTTGTCTCTGATAATCTCCATCTCGCTGGTAGATGGATGACTGTGCAGAACTGACGCCAGCCTGATAGTGACTTGTATACGGCTGTGAATCGTGGCCATAGAAACCATTTGGACCGGCCCGGCTAGAAGAAAGCCCATGCATGTCTGCATCAGGTCCATAAGCATGATCCGGAGGCAGTGCCTGCATTCTGGGAATCGCGGGTAGAGTGCGCGGCACAGCATACTGAGAACTAGCAGACGGCATTACAATAGAGGGAAGCGACATTGGAAGAGATTGTTTGCGCCGGTCTGCCAGAGGAGGCCCGATGCGTATTCGCTTTCTCGACGGGCTCTCGAATACGTCCATACCGTGCTGGTTGAAAGCCGTGAAGCGGCTTTGGGTGACAGAGTCTGCTGTCTCAGAATTTTTTCGCTTGGATGCTCTGCTTTGTCCTTCAGCAGCAACTGTACGGATTTGCTTGCGGGTTCTGATAAGCTTTGCAATACCTCCGCCATCCGACTCGACGATGTCAGGCAGAAATTCAATTTCAGGAACCTGCCCAAGAATCCCATCTTCAATCTCTTGGTGCAGGCGCTCTGCCACCTCGAGCATTTGCTCAGTCGTATATCCGGTTCCTAGACGCTGGATGACCCATTCTGGAGCAGCCGAGCTGTTTTGAGCCTCCAAGGTATCGTCGTCGCCTTCATCTACCGGGCCGCCTTCCTTGTCAAGACGGTTTTGCTCTCGCTTGCGCAATGTCAGGGTCCAAAGCCTGATGTAAGGGCCGGATCCCTGGCGTCGGTTGGTTTCGCTCCACTTCTGAAGTCGAGTGATCTGCATCTTAACAAGATGCATCTGATTGAGAGGGTATGTCTTGGCATTTCGATACCTAATCCGTTGATAGTGTTTACGGCAATAGTACACCCACACATGCTTTGGGATACGAAGCGTACAGGCCTTGTTCCGTCCAAAGAGATGTGAGATGGCTTTGCGTAATTGCGAGCCGGTTTGACAGTCATCAACAAACATGCATCGAGGTTCTTCTTCAAGCGGAGCCGTTGGTCCCGCGCTCAAGGCATCGATAGGCACTTCTCCGCCCATGCTGTGGTCTTGCTGTGATAAAGGAACAGTATCAGATGCCGGGTCAGAGACTCGATCTTCTGATTGTAAGTCAGCATCACAAGCATGCAGGCGGTTAACAGCTTCCTTTGTGTGACCATTTCTTGTTGCCTGATGGCTCAGTACATGGCATTTCGCATCGAGTTTCGGGTAGCCGCTGGGGATGGCTGGTCTAGGCGCTTCTGCCTGGGCCGGTAGGCTTTTCAGCACAGCCTGGTCCATCTCTGATCGAATAGATGAAGGCATGAGATGGTGGCGTTTTAACGCGTTTGACGCTGATTTTGTAAAGCGGGAGGCAAGAACAGGAGCAGATGTAGCTCTTCTGTGATATAGAGGGCGAGTGATCAGGTCGGAACTATATTGAGCGACTTAGCTTTTGAAATTCGAAGAGTTAGGTAGAGACAAAAGAGGGTCAAATGTTTAGGAAACAGCAAGAAGTGTGATTGGTTCTCGAGAGTCGTAGGGGACTGCGCGTTGACAATAGAATGCTGGCAAGAGGATGATGTGGGAACAGGAGCCTGAACTTTGGGACCGAGATTTTATAAGTAGGAAATTCCGCCAGCTGGCACAGCGAAATTTCTTCGCAGTGACGCATCACACCAGCTGTCCTCCGGTCACGCGAGTCTCTGAAGCAGTTCTCACCGCGTTCGTCCCCTATCGGTCCCTTCTGCTAGAAACTGCTAGTGGGCCAGGGGCTATTACCGGTGATTCACAGCTCATCTCATGTCATCTGGAGTTCAACACCGAAGATGTCCAGTACGATATTCAAGCACTTGCTTCAAAGAATCGCCATCCAAAATCCAGATCTGAACTGAATCGTCACTCTTCAAGAACAATGTAAGATCGTTGAACCAGAAAATACATGGACTCGTAATAGAAGAACGCGAGTGTTCTGCATCGTTTCAGAAGCTCATTTTGTGCCTCCCTCCCGAGCCGAGCAATATTTATGCTAGTTTCCTAGATGACTTTGGGAAAAAAAAAAAGAAAAGAAAAAAGAAAAACTGAAAACGTACCGTGAGTTTTGCCCAAAGAGTGAAGGCTTATCTAAATTGTTCCAATTCAGAATAGCAGTGGATGAGTTGTCAAGGAATTGCTTTATTCTTCCTGACCTGCTTTGCACTACGGCTGAGCCATTTTCTGTAAGTGGAGGAGATGGAGGCTGCGATGTGATGCCATAACTTGATGGAACATTTCGAGCTTCCAAAAGCTTAGCATCGATCGATGGCATTTCCGCAACGGGTATGCTCATTGACGATATCCCGCTGACAGATGCTACAGATGATAATCTCGAATGATATTCTTCCGACTGTGGCGAGTCCGGCGATGTAAAGTTGCTGCTGCTGATTGAGATCTTGTGCCTGGGAATTGTCGAACTTTCTCCCGAATAGCTAGCGCGTTGATCTCGATGCGGCAGCCTATTATTCACGTTAACACTTCTTTCTGCTCTCGTCTTCATTTGCTAAATTAGCCACGGAGACAAGAGCCTGTCCCGGAAAAATGAATCGGCTTACCGAGTTGAGCATATTCGAGTGTTGTCACTAAAATATAGAGTCTGTAAGTCAAGAGTTCCGTAATCTAAAGCTATCACTATTTGACAGCAATGATCCAAGAGACTCAGGCCTACTCACTAAGGTAGGCTATGCCTTGCTAAATGTATCGGTGGCGGAGATATAACGGCGAATATAGAATCTGTTGAAGGCTGCCTTGACCGGCCGTTCGTTTCAAAGATCGTTTTATGAATATTCTTCGGCGAAACGGGGAGCACTGTTCTTCTTGACAGAGGATCTAATTCATCGATCCGAGATGCTGTTTTTTCCCGTCCATCCCACAATTTAGCATTTCTCCACTTCGGCCTATTTGGACTATCTTTTGCATCCTCAATACAAGGGCTTTGTAACATGTTAGGGGCGGATACAACTCTGTCATGGCCAAGTTGGGGTGATGAACCCTCGATACTGCCTCCACTGTAGCTGGGTTGTCGAGAAGTATTAAGAAGCGATGTCACATCCATCTTCTCGGTTTTCCAGGACGTAATATCGTGGAAGCCGCTAATCGAGATGGAGTGGCTGTTGACAAGGGTGCTGTTAAAAAAAATAGGAGCAAACTAATTGGCGAGAGGCTTCATTTGACTTGTGAGAACTGCAGCCTGTAATGTCGAGCAGAGGCGTCGAATAAAGTTTTTCCAAAAAAAGGCCTATTTCAACGTGATTTAACCAATAGTAGCTATATCTCATGAGTTCGAAATGGTCTGTTGGAGGCCTTCCCGCGAAGTAAGTCGACAGCTTACGTGCTGTATGGGATGGTGTGGTAGATAATATGCTGACTGAAGTGCCTCTCAGAGCCTTGTCCTGGCTCTGGAAATGTCCTCCTACTCTCCAATAATGGCTGTAAAGATTGCTACTAGTATGAGAATGTTGGTTGTTGATGGTGAAAATCCAAGGTAGCCTGAACGATTGGTAGGCGGTAATACAACTCTTTGACGCCGTTCTGGGCTCCGCGGATGGAAACAGCCATTAGCAGAAAACGGCATGCAATTCCTCCCGTTTCGAAAGAAAGAAGCCTCGTAGGAACAATCCTCACTAGAGACGAAGTCGATGGGGCTCCTGAAGGCCTTTACCCTATCGGTGTCGCGCCAGATAGTTCTATGTTTGCTGAAACTAAGATCGCATGGCGATGTGGAACTGATCTTTGTTTGATGAAGTCCCTTTCCCTTTCTCAAACAGGACAGCGGTGAGCGGTGCTGTTCTATTTTTGTAAACTGCAAAGAAAGTCCACTCGGTGCTGAGGCGTGGGGCCTTTAATAGATGATGAGACGTAATATGCGACAGGATGCTAGCCTAGGCATGTCGTTGATCAACAAGAGGCAGGTAGGGCTGAGCAAAGCAAATGGTAGACAGAAGCAGCACAAAATAAGAGAGTCGACCGATTCGAACAGACCGGGGAACCGGATTCTCTGCCAGCACTGATAATACTTGAAAGGAGAAGAGGGTAAGACAAGAAGACAGCACATTGCCTGAGCCAGCAGCAAGAGTGTGGGCCGACGCCCAACACTGTACGTACATGACACGCCGAGGAGCTGTGCAGATGTTTACCATGCCATAGTCGTACTGTTATATCGGGGTCCTCTGGCTGAAATCAGGATGAGCGAGGGTCGAGGCTACATGACACCGGTGATGAAGGTAGAGCTACAAACCGGGCACTGAAAAGGCCTGGTATACACACAGATTTAGAAGGGCGAAATTCAGATTTCCAGCCCACGGTTCAGGCGTCAACACTCATTATCCGCGCGGTTGACGATGGGATTAGGTAGCTGGTCAGAGAGAAATGTGGGAGCCCGCAAATGATGCAGTGCTTTGGTGGCCAGGCGACAAGATGCCCTGACAAGCCGGAAAGGATTGCCTCTGAATTGCCTCTGAACCGCCATTTCCCTGCATCCATATCGCAAACCACAGACCTTAAAATCCTTGTTCACACTAAATCTAGTTACCGCCAGAGCGGGGGCGGGTTTAAAGGAATGGCTAGTCGCGTAGTCGCCTTGGTTACTTGCAGATAGTAGCATCAGCTCGGTCCCGAGCTGTACCCAAGGTGCAGCAATCCGTAGGTCTGTTGGCCCAATAGCTCCAACAAGGCGTGAAACCCTTCAAGGCAACTATGCCCTTTTCCCTTCCATCTTTCTTTGTTCGGGGACAAAAATGGGTGTGGGCATGGCCTGGGAGCTGTTATATCGCCCACAACTTGAAACCATTCTCGTCTTGGATCGTCCAATCGGCAAGTAATGAGTTGATGCAGTACGGCCAACCCCATACTACCCAGAAGCTGGATAAAAGCAAAAATGACTCTAAAAATGGATTCTATGGCCCTGCTCCCCTAAGCCTTGCTACTCATGAGACCAGGGCGTCGATCGTCAAGAAGAAATTTGCGTGAGCAGCGCTGTGGTCAGGTCCGATATGACGAAACGCAAGTCCCCAGAGCCCAATGCCTGTGCTCAGCTTCGGGGAAACGCCGTGATTTGGATCAACCTTGCTGCGATAATGCGCGAAACAGCCTAGTAATTTCGTCCATAATACTCCCTAAAATGCCTTCCGTGGTTGGATGAATGGAATCGCTTGAAGCAGTGCCCGGCGCAAGTACACTCGTACTGCCTGCACAGCTGCTGGATGTGTGTGGCACTTTTAAGCAGGCGACATGTCATGGCGACAGGGGATCTCCATCCAGCGTAGCATCACGCTAATGAGTGCCATGTGGCTATGTGCCAGTGAGGCAAGCAGGTATGTCTGACAAGCGTCGCAGTTAGGCCAGGAAGGGGAAGTCCTGCGGGAGGAATAATGGCAACTGAACTAACACTTCAAGCCGTGCCCTGTGCGGGTCCTGCGCAACAGCAAAAGTCCTGTAGGGGCGAGCCTTGCAGCTGTGAGAGAGCTTCTGCGTGTAGAGGTGGTGAGGTGCCAACGCGTGGAGTGTCGGTCCTAATCGCCATGGCTTGACGGTTCTCGGTTGGCAGCTCGCCATGATGCTCCCAAGCCAAGTTTCCGCCATGTAGTAGAACATGCCACGGGGAAGAGACGGAGAAACTGCATGTAGACCGCTACAAGCTCGTCAAGCGTCAAGCAACAGGTACCAGCGGGCTGCCGTCGAGACCAAGGCTATCCATGTCGGCCTCCGGAGAAAAAGAGCAAAGGTGCTCAGCGATCGGGCTCTGACATGCGTCGCATGTTTCATAGCTGTATCGCATCTGGTGATGATACCAGGCGCAGCGGACTGGACAAGGCGCGGTGGGGTCGAAGTGGCCCAGTCTCCGAGCAGAGGTTGAAGGAGGGCAGTGCGAAGAGCAACTTGATTCGCAACGCAGGCGCAAGTATGGATGAGAAAACAACAGCGTCGCATCGACGAGAGCCGGGGTGCAGCCGTATGTTTCAGCCGTGCGCTTGGAGATTAACCTTGACGCTACACCGCGTGCGCCATTCTTTGTTCCTGCGCAGGCGGCGGTGATGCCACTGAGACACGGACGAGAAGAGCCAGCGGCAGTGCCAACAACAGCAGCAAGAAGAAGAACGAGCAGCATCACGGTCAAGGGGAGAATGGAGAATGCGGTATGCCTCCACATGTCCGAGGCAAGTTGCGAGGTCTGCTTGCTACCTGCCTCGTACATGTAGGTATGGCACCTGCCTGTGTGCACGTCTTTCTTCCAGCAGCCGAGCCCACGAACAGGGCGCTGACCACTTGTAGTTCCTGGTACCCAGGCATATGCCAATACCGGCAAGACTGAGGCCTTTTTCACAGCGATGCTACAAGCAAGGAACTCGAGCAGCTGCATCAACTGGGGTTAGGGCCCGGCTCCCAAAAACCACGCGGTTGAGACATTCCAGCGCTGCTCGCCATTGTGCAGAGTTGCGGCCGAGGCACGAGATCGCTGCGCATAAATCAAATTGGCGTTGAGAATAATGCCTCCTCGAGGGCGCTAATTCCATGCGGCATGCACCATGCAGCGAGGACAGACGGTATGCCGAATACTGTGGAAGGCATCCGATGGCATGGCAAATCATTCATCAGGCTTCATCGGGCAGGGTTCGCGTTCCTGCTTCTCGTCCGGCCACGAGAGGGCGTGCCATGGGCAAATGAGGAGCACGCACGATGTAAGCCCACAGCTTCTGGCGATCCTTCTGTGGACTCGCGGATGGTGCTGTCCCGTGGCTGTCAATCAAGAGCTGGCCGGCATCACGAGAAACGATTTGTCAAATCCCCAGCACACCTCCAGGCCATGCCGTGTGTCTGGCTGGGATAGTCGAGATGGGCGCTAAAATTGGAGGCAACAGCCCCCAAACCAACCTAGAACTCGTCGTCGAACCAACCCAACGGCCGATTTTGCATTCCATATTGGATTCCAAAGCATATCGATCTTCTCTAGAAGCTCAACCGACCCCACGCTAGCCGGGGGCCTGATCCTAGCCTATACATATCTCTAGCCGATGGCTTCAGCAGCAGCCATGCCATGCACTGTGTCCGTGCCGTGGCGGCGTCGTGTCGTATTTGCGAAAGGCTTCCCAGAGGCACTCTGCGAGTAGTCTCTCAAGTCTAGAAAACGTGGCTGCAAGGACCCTCTATGGCACACGGCCCTCGCCACGGCTGACTTGTCCAGTGGATCGATTCTTGAGAGCCTGGTCTTTTACACTCGATAGGGAGAGTCTCGGCAGCCTCGCCTGGAAGTCTCGAGCACCATGATGCACAAACAAAGAATTAATCTCAGTCTATTTTAGATCGCATGCCAGTGAGTATGGCACTGGAGCGTATGCCACGTCATACTACATCAATGTAGGTCGCCAACGACAATTCGTCTGCCATGGCCGTCATCAGTCAGGTCCCACGCCACAGGTACGAAGCAGGAAATAGCGTTCGCTATTCTCTCAGCCGCAGCTGCCCCTGCTTTATCCAGCCGCGATGGCTAAGCTCCAGCGACTCGTCAAGGCGCTTAGATTCCGAATACGGATTCTTTAATTTATAGGTCCCAAGAGTTTGGCAGCCGATCTATTAGCGAATCCCAATACCTTGCTAGCACACCTTTAGCTGCCGCAGTGGACTCGATAAAACTCTCTACCCTTAGGCAGATAGCTGGGGGATAGAACTGGGATACTATCGACCTAGTTGCCAAGGGGTTTGTCCTTTCTACTCCGTAGAGTGGTTACACGCAAACTCTGGAACATACTACCGCCCCGTGAGCAAGGGTCAGTTGTTAACCACGTCATGACCTTGCGAGCTACCGTTGCGAAGGAAAGAATTTTTTTTCCTTCTCAAAGCATATTTGTATACTCTGCATCTACAGCGTTTATATGATACTACTTTCCTAGAATAATGCTCTCATTTCGCCGTTGTCGATGTTGTCGACATGATGGACTTCGTTTACACGACCTATCTTTATATGAAACAGACCTGATACTATTACGCCGCTAGACATATGTGAAAATGGCACTGCGGAAGTATTTATTTTACTCCAATCTACATCCATTTCCAGCTCAGCTATGCTATGGCGGCAGCCCTCAGAAGGGTCTTGGCAAAATAAAAGCCTCTACAAGATTGGCGGCCAAGCCGTATGCCGTCATCCTTGCTGAGCGCAAATTTCAGTCTATCCTACCTTCTCTATCATGCAATTTGATGGCTGCACCGTTTGAATTTCAGAACTGTTAAAGAACAGGTAGCTTCCGTTGCATTGATTGTCGACTAAACCAGTCAAGCTGCTGTGACCCGATATCACAATGCTCCATCCGTAACTTCCGTGCTGTCACCACCGGAATCTTCGCGTGCCTAGCCCACGTCAAACTCATCTCTACTTGGAACCCATCACAAGATTTAAATTTATCAAAAGATTCATGAGATGCCAGTTACCCCTGTGCTCTCATCTAAAGATTTTTCGCTTATGAATCTCATTTCCACAATCAAGCGAGGCTGAGTTGTGATATTTCGGCTCGATTCATCCGTCGAATCGGACGAAGCAGGCATGCGTCGGAGAATTTTTGTATATTCGGATGCTCACAGTCCGTGGCAGGTTACTGCGGCTGAGGGCATCCCAAAGTCCGAGATGTGTAAGACAGAGGCGGCGCTCGATATCAGCCTCACAGTCAGTCGGTGTAGGCCACTCAATGCTCATTGGCAGCCTCGCTAAGAACAAGACGGAGGTCGCATCGAACTGCCCAAGCAACGGAAGCTGCATATCCTATGCATCTCCTAGGGAGATGCTACCTACTTTCTGTTGTTGGTCCTGAGAGGAAACAGTGTGGCTTACCATAAGCCCGCATGGAAGTTGTTACAGTGTGTTTCCTCCATGTTCATGATTACTGATAGGGGGAACCAGCTTTTGGATATTACAAGACAACATTCTCTCGGTGAAGCTACCTTTATTGAAAACGAGAGCTGCGCTTTCAGCAATACAATGTGACAGTGTCGGGCGTGGCTGCATTGTGTAACTCTTTCACAAGTCTGGCTATTTTGGTTATCTTTGCTCATAGCATTATATGACGTCCTGCATAGCTCGCTATCTTCCATGACAGCAGCCTACCGAGCTGGTCCTAGTACAAGCCCGTGTGGCCACATTCAATGCTACGGACAAGGTAGCGTAATTAGAACAGATCATCCACAGATTTATCAGCGTCTTTCTGTATCAGTTCAACCATTCCCTGCAGTATCTGGTAAGCTGACATGAATCAACCAGTTGGACGACTTGGTCATTTCACCTTTGGCATGATCGGCTTTCCATCTGCGCCCTTAACATAGCGGAAAGGCATCTCTGTGCTTTCGTGCTCGCTAAATTTGAGCTCTGGGAAATCCAGATATGGCATTTTATCAAGAGGAACTATCGAGGTTAGTACTAAAACACCCTTATAGCGTTGCCTTGATAGCCATCGACCTACTCTTGTCTTGCACGACCATTCGCGTGACTCGCACAGCTGTGTCTGTAGTCATTTGCTTGGGGCCTAGCCGCCTGCCCTCGAAGCCTTTCTTTCTTAATTCAGAAGTTCGGTCTAGCATTTATCAGACATGACCTGCTATTAAGAGAACAAAGTCATCAGTGCTCACCTCGTGGAGGGTCATCACCTATGAGTTATCATATTAGCCGAGTTGTCACTTATGCAAGTGCTAGTCATCCCGTCTACTTACCCAAGATGCCGCCAAAGAGAAACGCATCAAATGTCTCGCCATCTTCGGGTGCCAAGTCCTTAGCTGCAGCGGGATCTAGAAGACAAACCCGAGACTTCTGACCCGCATAGAGCTCTTCTACTCCGCGGTGTTCAGCTGTGAAGGCCTTGTTGGCGGACAATGCGGCCGGGACTTGGAAGTTGGGAGGAAGGCAAGACAGGATAAATTTGCTGTTTGTCTCCTCACTCTCGGCCGCAATGGCTAGGTACTCAAGCTCCGACCAAGGGCCCAGCTCTGGGTCGAGATGCTCGACGATGAAAGTTTTTCCAGCTGAAGCCATATTGCGCGCTGATGGCTGAGATGTCTGTGTAGGTCAAAGTTTGGCTAGAAATTCACAGATAGCACAATCAGGCCTCTTGCTGCAGGGAGAGGCTGAAATCAAGGGCTTCAAAGTTGAAAATTGCTATGGTGGAGAGGTCCTCGCCAAGCGCATGAAAAATTCGAGGCTAAAATGAAGCCGTACATACTCGCCGTTGACGTAGCCAAACGTAAATCCGCTAACAAAAACATCGATGCTAAGCGGGCTGCAGGGCCTCTAAGCCATAGCGGCAAGCCCTTTAAGCATAGGCGTAATTTCGGCTGGCATCTCGAATAGGCTTCTACGTACTATATCAGCACCTCGTATTATAGAAGAAGAAAAAATTTTACAGATGCGTATAGTTTGATATTAGAAAGAGAAATATCAGATAAGTATGTCCGAATCCTCTCAAATTATTTGAGTTCTAAGCTATTGAAGGTTATTCTCTGCAGAGCAAACGCATGAAGCTTCTTATTGACCCCATTCGCTGCCTTTCCGCATTGAAGTGACAATAGCACGCTTGCCGGGTGGGGCCGAAGCGCTATATCGCTTGCAGCTACAGCGACCCCATACGCGCGTTTTAGGGGACCAATGCCCAGCGCTTTGTGCCGCGCATCCGTTGTGCCAAATGACATGCCTCAAGGGGAACGCTTAACGAATTCGGCCACCTTGCGACTTGCAACAACCTCCACCATCACGTTGCGGTTTCGACTTTACAGATTTGAATCGCTACATCATTCTCTTTGTCAATGACCTTCTAAACCGATCCAAATTGAGGCAGCTGTGCTACCTTTCTACTCCCCTTTCTGCTTTTGCTGCCTTTTCCGCCGCCACCGCTAGCCATGCCGTCTGCGCGGCCAGCTTCCTGGCGATGGTTGGCCATGACTTTGGCGACTCTGTGGCCCGCCCTCTCCGCTGCTGAACAATCGAAAAATGCCGCCGACTTCTATGTTCGCGGCCTTCCAGGGCTGGCGCAAGACTCACTGGCTGTTAAAATGCATGCCGGGTAAGCATTCCGTGAGCGCCAGTGGAGGATGACTTGCCCGGATTTCTGATGGCTGACGCGCGTATCTTCTCCGATCTTATAGACACATCGAAATCACCCCCGAACACAACGGAAACCTGTTCTTCTGGCATTTCCAGAACCAGCACATTGCAAACCGTCAACGAACCGTAGTATGGCTGAACGGCGGGCCAGGGTGCAGCTCTGAGGATGGTGCGTTGATGGAGATTGGGCCGTACAGGCTCAAGGACGATCACACTTTGGTCCCGAACAATGGATCATGGCACGAGTTCGCAAACCTTTTATTCGTCGACAATCCGGTCGGCGTTGGCTTCAGCTATGTCGACACAGACAGTTATACTCATGAGCTGGATGAAATGGCAGACCAATTCGTCATCTTTATGGAGAAGTTCTTCGAACTGTTCCCTGAGTACGAGCATGACGATGTGAGTATTCCGGCTTGGCGAACAAGACGTGTGTTCTAACGATACATTAGCTTTACTTTGCGGGTGAGTCGTACGCTGGACAGTACATCCCTTACATTGCCAAAGCGATTGTGGCTCGCAACAAGCAGAAGATTCAGGAAAAGAAAGAGAGGGAGGCTTGGAACCTAAAGGGATTGTTAATTGGAAATGGATGGATCTCCCCAAGAGACCAGTACGACAGCTACCTTCCATTCCTTTTCAAAAAGGGACTCCTTACGAAAGACTCAGACGTCGCCAAGAAGCTGCAGTCTACCATTCGAATTTGCCAAAACAAAATGGGCAGCGACCCGGGGCACGTCGACTACCCCGACTGCGAGGGCATCCTCAGTTCAATTCTCTCTATGACCAAGAATGGGAATGGAAAGGATGCCTGCTGGAACATGTACGATGTCCGTCTCAGAGACTCATATCCCGCCTGTGGAATGAACTGGCCCCCGGATTTGACCAGTATTACTCCATATCTGAGGAGATCCGACGTTATACAAGCGCTTCACATCAATAGCGCCAAATCAGCTGGCTGGCAAGAGTGCAATGGAGCAGTAGGCTCGAATTTCAAGGCCAAAAACACGCCACCTTCAGTCGATATCCTCCCCGATCTTCTGGCAGAAGTCCCTATTCTTTTGTTTTCAGGAGCGGAAGATTTTATTTGCAACCACGTCGGTACTGAGAATATGATCAATAACATGGAATGGAACGGAGGCAAGGGCTTTGAGCTAGCTCCAGGAAACTGGGCCCCTCGTCGAAACTGGACTTTCGAGGGTGAAGTTGCTGGCTTCTGGCAAGAGGCCCGCAACCTGACTTACGTTTTGTTCCATAACTCGTCTCACATGGTGCCGTTTGATTATCCTCGCCGCACACGCGACATGTTGGACAGGTTTATGGGAGTCGACATTAGCAGCATTGGCGGCGTGCCTACTGACAGCCGCATCGACGGCGAAAAGGGCGTCGAGACGACGGTCGGTGGGGCATCTAACAACACCCAGGCTAAAGAAGAGGAGACGCACAAGAAGATCGATGCAGCCAAATGGGCCGCTTACCAAAGATCAGGTGAAATTGTCTTGGCCATCGTCATCGTTGCTGCTCTGGCCTGGGGATACTTCATCTGGCGCCAGCGCAAAGCGCGTGCTACCTACAGGGCACTCAGCGGCAGCGAGCCTTCGAGCCGAAATGGCTCTCGTCTGAACTTCTCTTCCCGCAGACGGCGCGAAGATGTCGAGGCGGCGGATTTTGACGAAACCACTCTGGATGACTTGCATGTGGAGACACCGACTGCCTCAGAGAGTAAATACACCGTGGGAGGAGACGATGATAGCGATGATGAATCGGCGGCGGCTGGCCCTGAGAAGAAAGAGAACAGGCATCAACAAGGTTCGAATTAGAGGCGTAGGAAGGATGGGCGGTGCCATAAATTTGCATACAAAACAGCAATATTGCAACTCAAACATGAGACCTACTCGAATTCTTATTAGCTACCAACTAGGTATTAGTGGTGGGATTGGGGAGCTAATTTTGGGCGTCGTTATCATCGATTCGCCTTCAAAATTTCACATGGCGTTTTTGGTTCGGTGTTAAGCAAAGATAGATATATATTCTGATTCTCTAGAAGTAGCACATGGTAAAGTGCCCTCGTCAATAAACGCCGTGCAGAGGGGACGAGAAAGGGCCTTCTAGCCCGCTATTTTCAGCGACCCTTTGGATTCACTGTCCCCTCTAATATCGTTAACCCGTATCCAGCCAAATAATGGCAGATGTCCTAAAAAGCCCCCCGACTCCAATATGCAATTCACCCAATGACAATAACAGTAATTCGCCCATAATCATGATAACAGAAACCCAATCACAACGTAAATGAACTAGCTTCACAGCTGGATCTCATTGTTCAACAGCCTGACTTCTTCACCAGGCTTAAACGGCGGCAGTCCGACATAAGGGCATCCGTCACAGCGGAAAGCATCGCCCAGAGCGCAGTTGCCGCAGGAGCCAACTTTGCCCTGCACGGTGAAATCGATCTCGGCGAGGTCATCAACGGCGAGCTTGACGCTCTTGAGTTTCTCGTCGGCGGCAGCACGCTTGGCCTCGTCTTCGGCGGCGAGGCGTTCGGCGAGACCGCAGCTGCAATCCTTACAAGCGCGGCGTCGCTTACCAGCCTTAGGCTGGCATTCAGGAGCTACATTCGAATAAGTCAGTATATATGAATTTGAGAAGTCAATGATATGTGGGGGGAGGGGGTCAAAGCATACGGATGTTGATAGGCCGCTTGAGATCATCTTCCGTCATGAGAGTGTCCTCGTCGATGAGATCATCGTCATCGTAATCGGCATCAAGATCGTCAGAGAAGTCGACAAAGCCAACGCCAGCAGGGACGGCAGGCTTGACCTCGAGTGTTTGTGTGGGCGCAGCTGCAACAGCCAACTTCTTCTTCTTGCTGCCCAGCTTGAGAGAGACGACGCCTTCGTTGTCTCCATAGTCGGGCTTGTCAAATCCTCCGTTGGAGGCCACCAATCCTGCCAAGACGGCCTCCTTTGCCAGCGCAGCATTCTGTGCCAGCTCTGAGCCGTTCTGCGACTGCAGTCGTCCCTTGGGTTTGAGCGACTCTGCGACGGGGCCGAGGATGTTTCGAGTCAAGAGCGGGAAGACTTCGTTTAGAGAAGAAGATGCGTCGGCGAGGACTAAGACGAGATCGTATGTTGCGGAGGGGAGATTGACGAGCCCGGCGGACAGCCGGTCGATCATCTGGAGGTCGGTCGTGGAACGATCATGTTGCGAGAGCACGTTGGTAAGCGCCGTAGGATGAGAGGCGAGAGACGGCGGTGCGAGGAGCAGCGTGCGCTTCTTCTCAGTCGCCGCCACTGGGGCTGCGAAGGAGAAGTCGTCTGAGGTATCTATCATAACAACCGAGGGCGCCATTGCGAGAAATGCTGTGGAAGAACGACAATCGACTGCAATGGGGGGGAAATTCGGAAAGCTGGAAAAGAGGACAGAGGGCTAGATTTGTAAGAGGGAGGACCCTCTTCTTGCTGGCACCTTGATGTTGTATTAGGTCCTGCGGCGCTTAGTAAAAACATAAAAAAAAAAAAGACGACGTAAAAGCAAGATTTTTTAGATGTTTTAACACTGTACATTTGCCGCGATAACAGCCCGTCTGTACAGTATGCACAGTGAACGTGGGATCGGAATTAGCTAGTCTCGATAAGAAGGCGGCCCCTCCGAACGCGGAGATGCACTTTGCGAATACTCCGCGCCTCTCATTGGTGAATAGCAGACGTGGGGTTGACAAGCCCCCTCCCTCTGCGTATTGCGTACATGAATTACCAACGTAAAGGTCATCCTAGCCGTTGGAAGATGGGCCGCTTCTTTAATGCTAGCTGGGCTGACGTCCCTGTCCGTATCCACCTGGTAACTCGAACGATTTGCAGGCTCGGAAGCATGTGCTTGTATGTTTACATTCTCGATATAGCATGCTGGCAGTCCTTGACTTTTCTCTTGGCTGTGCTCTTGAATCTATTCCCGCAGGGTTGTAACGCCCCTGGGAAACCCGATTCGTCGGCGTCTCTAGCTTATCTCGCTCTTGTTCCGGTAGTAGCAGGGCTGTGTGCGACGAATTACCTTTTCCGCGGAAATAGAATTGACTTGGGAGCATCAGCCCACGTTTCACGTCGAGATCCCGAGTCCGATGACGGCTCACGAGCCAAGCCAATATCATGATAGCTATTATATATACATCCAATCTTGTTGGGAAATGATATCGAACAAGACTAGTCTGTTTTTTTGCAAGGTGTTGGTCTAATTTCCTATATTGGACTATCGTCAAGTTGGTCTTTACATTTGGCTATCTGCATGGCTTTGAATGAACTACTAGGTATCTCTACGAACTTTCAAGGGATCTTAATTACTTTGCCGCTTCTCTGTGACTCTGGTATTGATATGCGGCCTTGCTTTGTTATGAAACAATGCATTGCAAAGCGTTCAAGAATTCCGTTTGACCTTTGACTGGCATACGGCAATGCCTGCTTGTTTTCTGTTCTTTATGAATCGCCACTGCATTCTTCACTACCATATACAATGTGGCCGAGATGCCTCACTCAATAGAATTCTGTCCTCTTGTTTCATTCACTTGCGCGTATCATTTCCTTAAATTACAGGATATATTAATGTCAAGCAGAGACAGTCGCTAGGAGTGACAAAGAGAGTAGAAGAAAGCACACCGATAAGTCGATATATCGAGCGAGTAACTCTCATCGTAAACCCAATCATTAATGTACTGTAAAAGAACTTATGCTATAGTGTGTGTCAGTAAGGCGTAGTAAAATGTTATAAACTGTGGAAAGGAGTGTTTCCTGACGATGCATGCACCACAGACGTATCCCAGGAACAGCATTCCATATCAGCCGAGAAATTTGTCATTTCTATGATTAGCTTCTAGTTACTTTTCTCAGATGATAATGCCAATGCAACTTCATTCAAATGGTAAAGCCGTAAGCCACAAAAAGAAGTCCATCGTCGAACATATACTACATCCCTATGCTAAACCATAAAGTCAAAGAGACTCTCCCATTCAAAAGCTATATTGACGATATCAAGCACTCGACTTTTCACGGAATACTTGGCCACTATTCCCCTAATTTTAGCCCCTTCTATATGTATCTTGCCGTCTAATATCGTTCATCCCATATCAGAGCACCATTTGCGAGAGGTGAGATGCGGATGGAATAACTTGCCCCCATTCTGCCGCTCCGGGCACCGCCTTTGCCAAGTGTTTACTGACTGCCCTGCCAACTGCTGCACGCTTTTTTTCCTTTTCTCTCTTTCCCTCCTTCTCTTTCTTTTTCCTTTGATCTCTCTCTACCTTTTCTTCTTCCTGAGCATCTCCATACCTTGGAGCAGGATACGCATCAAAACCTGTGAGTATGAATTGCTTATGAAACCTTGTGATTTGCCCAACATTATAAGCTAATCCTGCGAGAATATCGAGTCAGCTCTTCATTTACTTCGTTCACCAAGCGCCAATCTTCTTGAAATTCCATACGAGGTAAGCATATCTAGCATTCTCTCTTGGCAGCTCTTCATCTTCAAATTCTCTCTATCTCTCTCTTTATCTCCTCGCTACTCCACCATGGTCGCCTTTGATTCTCTCTCTTGAACGACTGCCTCTCATTGTCCTCGACTGTTTTTATTCAGCTCAAAGTAGCAAAAGCTTTGTATGAAACTCAGACTCCTTTTTCCTCAGCGTTTGCTCACTTTGCCCCAGCCATCCAGCTAGTTCCACACAGCTCTCTATGCATGGAAGATACCACTGCCTTCGGTCTCTTTTTCTTCATCTTCTACAAACTCACCGCTGCCCTTCTAACAAGTCAAAGGAACTTCACTTCTCACCTTGCCATTTCCATCTCGTACAAATTGAAGATGGGAGACTGGGGTGTTGGAGCAGAGACGGACGGTTGGGCTCCGTCCAATCCTCACTTCTCTGAAAAGGGAAATGCTGGCGCAGATAACTGGAACAACGCTTCGAACGAGCCTGTTGGAAATACTGGAGATTTCGATGATAACTACAATGATAACTATGACGATGGTGGTTATAAAGGCGATGCTAATGAGGCTGAAGCATACGCAAACGATAAATGCTTCGGCTGCGGCGAAGAAGGGTAAGTAGCCTCTTCCTTATTCTGCACTGATTCGTTGCTAACTGCTTTCAAAAGCCATAGACGAGCAGATTGCCCCAATGCAGGAGAGCAGACTTGCCGCTACTGCAAGAAGGAAGGCCATATGGTCAAAGACTGCCCCGACAAACCTCCTATGATCTGTGCCAACTGCGGTGAAGAAGGTACATCTGGAAAGATCAAGTCAAGGGAATTGATAAATATTTAACTAACTATACTAGGTCACTTCAGAAAGAATTGCGAGAATGCTCGCAAGGTCAACCGTGACCACGTTGCCGATACTACTCCGGATGATGCATGGGCCAAGATCAAGCAGGCGGCTCGTGAAAGAGATTCTGATGATGTCAAAGAAGCGGTTGAGGAATATGTCAAGGCCCTGGGAGGAGAGGTCACCTACCGCCAAATCCAAGAGAAACTGATGGAAGAGAATGTCAAACTCTGGCTTATTTCCTTGGAAAGAGAGCTGATTGACACCTTCACCAACATGGATCTCCAAGGCAATATTGACAAAAAGTATAGCGTCTCGTTCAGGTTCTCTGATAAGCCCGAGCGGCCTCGTGAAATTGACGGTTGGCCTCAAGGCCATGCTGAGATTCTATCTCGCTTGGAGGATGCAGGAATGGTCGTTGACAGAGGCCTTCCTAAATGCTATAATTGTGGCGAGCTCGGTCATACGTCCAAAAGCTGTACCCAAGAGCGAGTTGAGCATGCTTCGGAGAAGCCAAAAATCTCGTGCTACAACTGCGGCAACGAAGGTCACCGAGTCAGAGACTGTAAGTTGCAATGCTGCTTCACCAACATTGAGTTCTCTAATTAGCTTCATAGGCCCCGAGCCACGCGTTGACAAGTTCGCTTGCAAGAACTGCGGGTAAGTCTTCCTTTTATCTTTCAACACACTGAGCAAACACTAACGACGAAAAGAAAATCGGGACATCGCATCGCAGAGTGCCCAGAACCTCCTAACCTGGACAATGTCGAATGTCGCAAATGCAACAAGAGTAAGTTGATACTCTCTATCCAGAGAGGCAGAGCAACTAACAATTCTTCAGCCGGCCACTTCGCCAAAGACTGTCCCGATGGAGGCGGCAGAGCTTGTCGCAACTGTGGCCAGGAAGGCCACATTTCCAAGGATTGTGACCAGCCCAGGAACATGGACCTTGTTGTCTGCCGCAACTGCGAGGAAACTGGACACTACAGTAAAGAGTGCCCCAAGCCTCGAGACTGTAAGCCTTGTTACCAGCATTCCGTACATTGTTCTCTTGCTAATACACAAATTCCAGGGTCCAAAGTCCAATGTTCCAACTGTGAGGAGTATGGACATACCAAAGTCCGCTGCAAGCAGCCACCCAAAGATTCGGAAGCTTTTACAGGCCAGAACTTCGGTATTGCAGGTGAACAGCCGTCACAGGCTGATAGCTACGCTGACAATAGCTACGCCGACAATGCGGGTGGCGACGGAGGCAATGGAAGCACTTGGTAATTCATTTCCCAAATGCAGCATCCCAGAGACACTTGATTTAAAGGACTTAGCTTTCTACTCAAATTATCGTTGGCCCTGAAATGGGAAAGATTTACTACGCAGTCAGATGAGGATGTGATGATATGCTCCTGGGCAGATACGAGAATACAGAAACAAGGGGCTTCATATATAGGTAGATGATGGCTTAGCACTGGAAGGTATTTACCGCGTTGCCTCTGATAAAATGATTCAAGCCACAGAGCCATTAGTATCGCAGCCGCAAGTACTGGTAAGTATATAACGTCTACATCGCCATCCCGTCCCGGCAGTTGACCCCAGCTACCCCACCCCAATAAGCCGAGGCTCACGGAGCGTGGAAGTAGACCGCTCTCTTGGTAAGCAAGCTGCAGCAAGCATTTCTAGATTTATATGCAACGTGAAGTAGTTCACCGCGACACCAGTTAGAACTGTGAGGTCTTCTTGTAGTTGCTATATCCATTGCGAAGTGTGAAAATGGCCGCCAAAGAGGTTATCCTGTACCACTACCCACACTCCCCCTATGCGAGAAGGGTGGTTTGGTATCTAGCTCTACGGGGAATTCCGTACAGCCAGTGTGTAAGTTTGTACAAATTCTGAGTCTATGAAGCATTTCTAGCTAAACAGATCAAACGTCAGGTCCAACCTAATATGATGCCGCGACCGGATGTCGCTCGCCTAGGCGTCTCGTATCGTCGCATCCCCATTCTTTCCATTGGCAGGGACATTTACGTTGATACACGCCTTCAACTACCAAAGCTAGAGGAATTGCATCCTGAGCTGCCTCGCCTTGGAGCTACTACGCCGGAGCAGAAGGCTATAGAGCGCTTACTCTCAGCTTTCATCATTGATGGGGGCATCTTTCAGGAAGCCGCAAAGTTGCTTCCTCTAGATCTACCATTGTTTAAGGATCCAAACTACTTCAAGGACAGGGGGGACTTCTCAGGGAAGCCCTTCAGTCTGGAGGCGTTGAAAAAGATTCGTCCCGATGCGTTGGCAGAGATTACGGTGGGATTCGATCTTTTTGAGACAACGCTACTGGCTGATGGGCGAGAATGGATCTTGAAGACGGAGAATCCCAGCTTGGCGGATATCGAAGACGTATGGGCGCTTCACTGGGTGTCCGGCTTGAAGGGGGCATTGCCAGCGGATAGATTCTCTCCGGAGAAGTATCCTCTAGTTTATGCGTGGATCAAGCGCTTCCAGGAGGCGGTTACGGCAGCGAAGGCGAGAAACGGGAAGCCCAAGTCGCTGAGTGGCGAGGAGGCAGCAAAAGTGATTGAGAAGTCATCGTGGAACGAAAAGGAGAAGACGGTGGATGTGGGAGATCCGTTGGTGGTGGCGGAAGGGCTGAAGAAGGGGAGCATGGTTGCGGTATGCCCGACTGACACGGGGAGGTCGCATAAAGATATTGGGAAGTTGGTGAGTTTAGATAAGGATGAGGTGGTGATTGAGATTAAGACGCCTGAGGGGGAGACTGTGAGGTTGCATACGCCGAGGCATGGATTTAAATTGAGGAGATTTGATGAAGAAAAGAAGGGTGCTGCGAAGTTGTGAGAGTCTTTGTGAGACTTGATGGAGGAATTTCTTTTGTTTTTGTGTGTATTATATGGTAGCCAACGAGGTAACAATATCAGAATACGTGCTTGTTTTATAGAGGCGAACGGGGGGCGTAGATGGAGACTGCAGTGCTATTCACGATGCCAAGCGCGGACTGCCCTGGCCTATATGATAAGATTATGCAAATGGATTTTCCTGGGCGGCCTTTATTATTATAATATACTAAAACATTAAACTCTTTAAATATTCTTATTTGTGCGTGTATAATTAGTGGTCATCTTGGTTGGAGTTCAACCATCTCAGCCCCTAATCACTACCCTAGAGCATATCACAAGAGCGTTGTTTCTTTCGACCGACCAGCACAACGGTAATAAGAGTAGAAAAGAGAGTAGGTACGTTGTAACATGGTTGTCCACATTTGCTCTCAATCTACCCATGTTGTTGGTTTAAACTAACCAGTCTGTTGGAGATCTGCTCTCCACGTTTGGATCAACCATAGATAGAAAGAGACAGCGCTTCCAGCTAACGACCATCATTTCACACGAGATCTACTGATTCACACACTCCGCATTCATCTACGCCCTAAAAAACATCTTACAAATCTACATTTGACCTTGTACCACATCAAACGGCCGCATAGGAGCCTAGTATGTCGTACAGCCTTCCGGGGGATCGGCAGGACCATGCGCGCGGCCTTTCAGCTCTCGACGAACTCTCGGGACGGCTAGCCACGAGAGAGAGATGTGGCCCGCTCAACAAGAACGTGAATATTGCATCACACGATGCTCGTTTCTCTCACCTTCCCTTCTCCCAGCTGCTACTAAACCGGATTCTAGAGACTCACCTGCAGACTCACATCGGCTGGCCGAATAGGGAGGCACCTGACAACCCAATTTATCAAAAAGTCGCGTTTTTGGAGCATCTCACCGTCGAACTGCCCGCACGGCTAGCTGATTGAAGTTTGTGCCTTGGAAATAGTGGCCATCCTTTCCCCTCCTACGCACACCTGTTTGCCAAGTAGGTGTTAGCACCACGCTGATCCTTTCGTGTTCCGCAGCCAGGAGAAGGGCAATCCGGGGAGATTTATCATCATTTCATCACGAGCATCAGGCACCATAGCCAAAAATAAAAAAAAGGGCCCAACAACAAGGCCAGGCTATGGGCATACGGCGGGCTTGGATATGCGAACTAGCAACACTAAGAAGACATCGAGATCTCGATCCTCAGTGTTCGGAATTAGGCGTCAAGTGCGCCGCAGTCAGCTTGGAGACGACTCGGGGGCAGTTTCTAGGGGGTCCGGTATTTTGAGCTGAGGGGCAACTATCGAGAAACTGGTCGGCGCTGTTTATTGAAGCGTGCCTGGCGTGCTCTGGTGCTGGCATGTTTAAACATTTGTATATCTAAGGAGGTGTGGCTGCTATTAACACAGAGCTCGCTGTTGGGCTTACAGACACGTCTCTACTTCACGCGACTCTTGGGCACGCGGTTCATTTCTTCGCGGTGCTGATGCTGAATAGACCTGCCGAGTGTTGTCTGTCGGCGGTTGAAGGGCAAACAAGACAAAAGCAGCTATCGCGTTGTCTTTGATGTCGAAACGTTACGCTGGAGCTTGCAATCTTGTTTCACAATAAGCCCGGCGGAAAGTGCGTCATAGCTCGGCCAGAATTGCAGCCTTGCGGTGGGGACGTGGCGTCGAAGCGAGAAACGGCTTGGCGGGAGCGAAGGTGGGAAAAACAAAAATAAATAAAACCAAAAAAGAAAAACAAGGCAAGGCAAAGCGCGGATCGATCGACACTGAGTTGCGCCCATCTGGCAGCAACAAGTTCCCAAGTCGCTGGTCCCAAAGCCCAAAGCCCAAGGTCTAAGGGGAAGAGAATCCGCCGCCATCTTAGTTAGTACATACATACATACATACATACATACATACATACATACATACAGAGACTTGGCGGGTGCGTGCGGATTCCGTGGGCCCTTTTGGCTCGCTCCAGAAGCATTTCAAAGCGTTCTGGGACGGACGGCATGGATAGACCTCTCGTTCTGTGTGCCTTGGCCTTTCTTGGGCCATGCTGGGTTTTTTTTTTCATGCTGACGTCACTAGGCGATCATATGGCGCTCAGCAATTAGCCAGCTGCGGACTTGGGCCAAAAAGTCGCGGCACAGTGTCACAGACGATGGTACGATGTGGAGAAGGGCGGGCTATATTCAGGGGGTCGTCTCTTGCACTGTGTGCGAGGGAGGAGGGCCGTATTTTCGCCGCGGCCATCGGGCTGCTGTGATTCGCTGGCCGGCCTCCCTCACAATAAGAAGCAATTAATAAGAGGAAACAAAAAAAAAGCAAAAAAGGTTCTTTTGATTGCCTCGAGGGATGATAACAACAGAGATGCCGTGGTGCTGGTTGCTGCTTTGATATCTGGCCGTTAATAAGTGCTGGACGGATGGATTGCTCTTCGCTGCGAGAGCCGGCCGAATCAGGCAAGTGGGAAGACGCATCCATTTCAAGCAGACGCAACGGTAAAATGTCTTAAATGGGTTGAGAAGGGCGTTTAAAGTAAAACAAGAAAGAAAAAAGACATCTGACGTAATGAGAATTTCTAAATGTTGTAGATATCTGTTCCCTCTCTCTGATTTATATTGGTGAATTCACGAAGCAGTACCTCTTTTACCGCGTGAATACAACAGCCAAGTCGTATTGGGAGACGCAAGAGGCGAGCCTCCAAGTAGAATACGGAGCACGAGTAAGGTGTGCCGTGCTTTTGTTTACTAGCATCATAGAGTAGGCCACAAGGCCGGCGCGGATGCATGCCGCACAATATGGGACATTTTTTGGTGTGCGTGTTGAACACGCACCAGTAATATACGGACGGAGGTGCCACATCCTGGAGAGCCCCAGCAACTGGCAATATGTCGCCAAGATAGAGCAAAAACGGTTGCCCGGCTAGGTAGTTTTGATACGGAATAAAGGGGGTGCTTCAAAAGGTTGGGCATGTACCGGTGCGGCAAATGCGGAATTGTGCTTGGAAAGCAATGCTCAGTCAGTGAGGCGAAATTCTGGATAGCCCTCTGGTGATATTCCCCGTACCAGTACGCGCGCGCAAAGCAACCGTATACTGCACGAGCATGAATTTTTAGCGATGCCCATGTACTCGTCTAGGTGAGCAGATTAGCGAGTACACAGTACTTGGTGCTCAGGTAGCTCGTTTGCGTCTTGCTGCTCTCTTCGTCCCACTGCTGCTGCAATTCATGTCCCCAATTCTCATCCACGCTGCTGCAGAGGCACTGTTGCTCGCCTCGTCTCGTCTCGCTGCATCTCATCCTGTCTGGGGCATCAGAGCCATCGCCTCTACCGATTTCGTGCTCGAGTCTTCCCGTAAGAGAAGCGTCATCGCCAGCAGCATGGACTTACCAGCAGTGGTACAAGTACAAGGATCCGATGTTGCAGGCGCTCCACCTCTTTTTTTTTTTCGCTGCTGCCACAGCATCTCCCCACCCTTGCCTGCATCAACAGTGGCACGCTAGAGCGACCCTCCCAGCATCCTCCGAGTCCACATCTGATACAGTGCCTGGACAGTGCCTCCATGGCCTCTCCAGTCCTGTCCTTTATTTCCTTTTTGCGGAGGTCCTGCTCGTACTCCGGGAGTGAGTAGCAAACGACACTCCAAGCCCTTTTGACACCATTCTGGGCTTTTGTTTCCCTTGGCCTTGGTCTTTATACGAGATAGGGCTGTTGACGGGTCTGTTGGGATTTGTATTTTCCCTCTTCAGCGCCGAGATGGAAGCGCACGCCGGCATCTGACGCGCAGCTGTCACTGCCGGTCTTATTCCCAACCTGTCCTGAAAGAGGCGTTTCCAACTCTGCAGATGCCGTGGTGATAGTGCCTGGAGAGACAGCATTTGACTGCATCTGGCCTCACCTCTACCCAAAGTCACTAGAGGTATGCAAGCACCAGGCAGGCATGCACGGAGCGCCAACAGTACGAAAAACACGTGCAATATACGGCGCTCAACACTGCTCCCTATCCAATCATGCTATTTGGGCGGTACAAAATTCGCCTCCCGTCGATAACGAGTACACAGTGTCTGGGTGAGTGCGCATTTACACGGTCCACACCACCCGGTTTCCCAATCGCGAGATGCACAGCGGCGCCCCGCACAGTGCGGCATCGACCCATGTTTGTCAGCGAAGTCTCTGCAGGCCCCATCGTAGAAAAAGGCCTAAGAGCAGCCCAGCAGCCAAGCAGCGCCCCCAGAGCCGCCGCCCGCCTTCTTTTTTCTGCGCCTTCGTTTTTCACAACGTCATCTCTGACGTCTTCCTTCCACCATCGTGCACTCTTCATCACCCTCAAGTTACAGCGATTCTCAACGCAGCCTTCCACACCCCGCGTAGCTCCGGCGTCCGTTCCAGCGGCACGAGACTTTGGGGGCATCTTGAGATTTTCAATTTCGATATCTAGCGATTTGCCTTTGATCGCGCGTCTGCACGGGGCGAGCTCGATTGAATTGGCCCTTTTTTTTCTTCTTTCTTCTTCGGGCCAAGCGTTTTGCTGCACCTCAAGTCGTCTAACTCCCCGTGTGAGGAGGAATAACGCCCCTCAAAAAAAATAGAGACCCGACCTGCCGCGCTGGGCTGCTTTTGAGAGTTTGTTTAAATTAAGAGAGCAAGCAAGGGCAAAAAGAGTTGACAGCAACGCGCCATCTCAACGCAAACCGCCCCAACTAATCCACTGCCGCAGTTCTGCCTCCACGCTACGCTCTGCCTCTGACCTCATCCTCCCAATTTCGTCGTTTCACTCTGCTCCCTCTCTACCAGACCTTAAACCATCCTTTCGCCGCAATTCCTACCTTTTGCCTTTCCCCCACATACTCGGTAGCTCAACGCCCCCCTTTTACACTGTCCACTGGGATAATACATCATCGTCATCATGGGGACGACTGTGACCGACGTAATTGAGTCCAAGTCCCCTAAGCAGTCCATCTCCCCCACACGGCAAGGTAAGCCTTTTTACCCTTCCTCGTCTTCCCCTTTGCGGTTCCTGCATCGTCGTCATTATACACTTGCTTCTCTTACACCATCGTCATCGCCGCTACTTGCCTCATCACTACGCACTACCTGCTGCGTCACCCAAGATCCAATTGCCCAATTGCCCAGTTGCTGCTGTTGTCCTGCCATACTTACAAACGGCCCTCTGCCTCGCAGGTTCCATCGTCAGCGCGAAGATCGATTCTCTCACCAAGCCGGACATTACGTCTAATGCTCCAGCGACCAAGCCACTTGCACCACCGCCTCGACCAGGACAATCACAGCAAGGCTCCAACACCCCGGAATACTTTGCGCCTCAGGTTTCCGGAGGCTCCCTCAGCCTGGAGCCCAATCCGTTTGAGCAGTCATTTGGGGGTGGTGGTCCAGAGACTCCTGGAGGAACCAAGCTCCCCAGTGTCGCTGCTTTGACGTCGCCGTCGTCTCTATTGCCCGGGAGCAACGCGACTCCCTTCAATTGGGGCGGAGGCTCCCTGCGGACCGGCCCGCTGAGCCCTGCCATGCTGTCCGGACCTACCGACTACTTTGGCGATACACATCACCTCCGCGGCGGCTTCCCAACACCCAACGAGTCTTCGCTGCGCACTGGACTGACTCCGGGCGGGAGCGGGTCTATGTTCCCCGCCCCAAGTCCCAACTCTGCTCTCTTTGCCCAGCTGGCCAGCGGTGGTGCGACTCCCAGTACACTCGACTTTCACCGAACAGCTCTGAGCGCCGCCGCAAAGCGGGACCAGGCCGCTCGAGCGCAGCAGCAGCAGCAGCCGCCTGCACCGCAACCACCCGCGGTCACCTCTCAGCCTCAGGACATGACCAACGGCACCGTTATTCCCAAGGTTGAGCCTAAATCTTCATCCGGGCCATTTGATCCCCACGACAACGACGCGGCCAACGGTCTGTTCATGCTCGCCCAAGGCCGCAACGGGGCTCAACCTACACCTCAATTCACAGTCACAACTGCACCTACCGCACACGCACACCCGGCCCCCGCAATCCAGTCAAATATCAACACGTCGCCTCCAATGGCCAGCGTAAAAGTAGACTCCAAACGGGGAGCCAGTGAAATCAGCAACGGTTCGGAAGAAAGTGACCAGAAGCCGCAGACACGAGGCAAGGGGAAGAAGAACCCCCCAGCTGCTAATGGCAGGAGGAAAGCCGACGAGATGCCTGTCAAGGCACCCGCTGCTAAGAAAACCAAGGCTAACAGCGGCGCGGCTAGCAGCGTTGATGAAGAACACTCAGATGAGGACATGGATTCTAAGTTTGACGAAAATGGTCCTGGAAAGTCCAAGATGACGGATGAAGAGAAGCGCAAGAACTTTTTGGAGCGTAATCGGTATGTCTCGACCCTTTCACCTCGGAATATTCAAGTGTGTGTGAGTTTGTCTAACATATGCATCTAGTGTGGCTGCCCTCAAATGTCGACAACGCAAGAAGCAGTGGCTGGCTAATCTCCAGACCAAAGTTGAGATGTTCAGCAGTGAAAATGACGCTCTGACGCAGCAGATCACACAACTGCGAGAAGAGGTGGTCAATCTTAAAACTCTTCTGCTTGCCCACAAGGATTGTCCTGTGACACAGCAACAAGGTCTCCACGGTGCTTTCATGTCACAGGTTGTTGAGCCTTTCAACCCCCAGATGAATCCCTATGGAATGGCGGCCCCGATACCCGCTCAACAAGCCATGGTTGGCCAGGGTGTTCAGCGGCGCTTTTCTTAGGATATGGGTGGCCCGTCACATAGGCAGCAAGTCATGGCCGGCGCAAGTGTTCGGCAGCCCGTTGCTTAGAATCCAAATGCCGTTACACATCCACTATCCCTGTCTCTCCCGGTTGATGCTCTGTCGCGGAGCACATCATTACCTATCGAATCGCCACCACCATCGCAGTTCTTATCGGCTCCATCGCCTTTCTTTACGCCATAAGTTCCAGCTTGACGTTGTGTTTTAGAGTGCGACTGCATACGAGATTCCGAGTATGACACGCATGGAATCTCTACATGAATGGCTTCGTCGACTGTTCCAATAGCCTGTGACATAAACATGCGGTTCACTGAAAAACGGCACGCATGCGTTACACGTCTTTTCCCTGTATAATTAAACCCTGTCGAAAAAGGCGAATGAATCAGTGGAGGACACATTCGCTTTTGGTATGGGTTTCAGGATTTTTTTTCTCTTCTTCTTTTTCGTTTAAGACTTGCCTTTCCTTATTCTTCCTTATTCATTTGGGTCCTTCCCGCACCGCATGTGAGTGTAGGCGGTGCCTTGACCATATCCGGGGCTTTTCCATCCCCGACTTTTCCTTTCATATAACTCTCTTCCCCGGTATTACTTTACAAATGTACGTAAATAGTGGCAAGGCAAGGTATACACACATCAAAAGGTGTTGGGATTGGGCGGGTCTTGACTTTGACTTTGAAGGCGTTTGGGTGAATTTATGTACTCTCAAAGGGGGATGAGGTACTTGGTGTTTTACGGTTTGAATTTTAGGTATTCTTGTAGCTTAGAAGAGAAAAAAACGGAAGCTACATGATTGCTTAGCGTTGCTATGAGGTAGAGCAGTAGGAGAACGTCTAAAAATGAAATGAGTGCGTCGCATCAATATTAATTGTTATCCTCATGATGAACGTGGCTGATTGCCCAGGAGAATTGCTGCAGCTGTTATACAAAAATGGATGACCAACATTACATGACATATGACTATGAACTGCAAGGTTTGAATAGTATCAAATAATAATAATTGAATATATGGTAACATCTTCATCTTAAATTGGCACCTTTGATCTTTGCTCCAGTGTTGAGGTTCTTCACATTCGACGGCCACTCTGTTTAAGCTGAGACGTCAAGCTCTAGCCCAGCAGAATGTCTCTGGCTCAGTTGCTCAGCTAAAGCTCCTGCAGCCAGCCAATCAGGCGTCGCCATCATGAGACCGAGGGGGTGGGGTAGTATCTGTCCAAAAAGGGATTAGCTCCGATATTGGAAAACCGTCCTCTCGCATGCTCCTAAAAGTAAACACTGTCAATGCAAAAGAAAGAACACCTTGGCGGTCTCTCGACGAACACGATTTCCATATTCGCCCGGCAAAGACGGAGCAGCGCATACGCAGCATCGGTACAGGCTGGATCCTACAGGTTTCGCAATATTTTGGCGGGGAATTACCAGCGATTGCGCCGCAGGTGGATGCGGTGGACGACGAGCGAAACGCGCGCGGGCATTTGACGCGACAAGGCTGAAAACCCCCGATCTTCTACCGCCTCATCAGCAAACGCAACACTTGCGAATTTGACTCGACGGCGGTAGCTTTTTTTTTTTTTTTGCTGCTGGATTTGGGCGCAGAAACCTACGATCCGCGACGTCAGCCTGTCAATCTCTCATGCGATCCACCAAGAGGAGCTTCCGAAGAAGCCATCCATGACGACTCTCATTACCACGATTCGACAGCCGCTGGAACTTCTTAGCATGAATGACCAGCCAGTGCGCCGATCAAAGCGCCAGCCGGGTTCGTTTGGTCCCCCATTGTTTGACAGAGAAGCGGGGCGAGGAGAGGAGAGGAGAGAAAAGGAAGAAATGCTGACTAGACGAGCAGCCGCCGAATACGAACAAGACGACGATTTTCAGTTTGTGCGGAAATCCAAAAAGGCAAAGACCGCCGAAGAGCCACCGCAGCCGGTAGCTCTTCCTGTAAGGAAGTCGGGAAGAGGGAGGCCACCATCGGCAGCGACCGCCGCGGCGAGGGAACGGGCGGCGAGACAGTCAATCCGTGGTGATGAGGAGGAGGTGGAGCTAATTGCGGCGGAGAAGGTTCCGAGGGCGACGACAACGGCAAAGAAGGCTTCCTCTTCACGGCGAAAAGCGGCGTCCAACGACGCGGTCCATGATGAACCACCTGCGAAGGTATCGAAAAGAGGGACGAGAAAGAGTTCGCGACTATCAAGCGACGATGCAGCGCCAGAAGAGGAGCAGCAGCAGGCGCCTCCTCCGCCACGGACAAATGGCTCGTCAAGCAGCCAGAGCCGTGGCAAGAAGACGGCAAAATCAAAAGCACCGCCACCAGTAATACAGGAGGAAGAGCTTGAGGAAGGCTTTTCGATCGAGGCTTCGCCAGTGCACGAGACATCGACTGAGCCTACTAAAATTAAGCTGCCAATGAGCGACACGCCCATAATCAATCGCAATAAAGAAATGCGCAAGAAAGGGGGGACAGGCGGCAGTCGAAGAAGCAGCCTGGGATCTCGTGGACGAAGAGCGAGTTCGTTAATTGAGAGTGGACAAACGGCAATTCCCCACCGTGAAGTCAGCACCACTGCGTTTTACAAGCATATCGAGGCGGATTTGTTGGAGCCACGGCGGATGAAGCAGCTGTTAATATGGTGTGGCGAGCGGGCACTATCAGCTAAGCCGCGAGGGACCCTGAACTCTGGCGCAGTTCTTGGAGGTGAGGATTCTCCTTCATAGCGTGGAATAAATTGTTTGGGGCTCCTATTTTGCTAACTAAGAATTTCATTTCAGCTCGAGCGATTCAAGATCAGCTGCTTAAAGATTTCTCGTCGAGATCAGAGTTTTCAGATTGGTTCAATAGAGAAGATAAGGCGCCTAAAGCACCAGTCATTCTAAGACCTAATCCTAGAAACATTGAGCTGGACGAGAAGCTAGCAACCTTGCAGGCGAAAGTCAAGAGGCAAGTCAACTTTTGGAGATGTATTTACTTATGTAGAGTTATAAGCTAACTCGACCCAGATTACAAGAAGAAAAGAAAGCCTGGCTAGCAATACGGAAACCACTGCCTGACCAGCCGCCTCTGTTCACGCCGCAAGAAAAAGAAGCAGAGACAATAACACTGCCCGATTTCGACTTGTTAGACCCCGATGAAGGCCAAATCAGAGGCTTCCTCGTCGATGAAACCAATACTTTTGCCAGCATACGATCACAGACGCAAGCACGGCTACGGCACATCCAATCGTCGCTCGAATTCGAAGTCGATCAGTTGACGGACAGCGTACATAAGCTGGAACAGCGAGTCAAGGTGGCAGGCAAGGAAGCAGACAAAGTACTGAGCCTAAGCTCCGTGAGATTACGAGAGCGGGAGGAAAGAGAGAGGAAGAGCGCAGGGACCAAAGATATGCCCATACTGTTGGTATTGAGGAGTTTGAGCAGCATATTACCTGAAGGAGGGGGATGATGATTTGCCAAAGTTTGAAACAAGGAAAAAAACAACAACAACAAATGAAGAAGGCGAAAAGAAAGACTACATTTTTTTTCTAATACTTTCTTCTTGGCTCCCCTCCTCATAAAATGCTCTTATGTCTTCACTCATGATACCCTCCTATCTATTCCTCAGCTCTTACAAGAGGAACGCAAATACGGACTCCGTTTTTTCTTTTTCATTTTTTTAACGAGACATACTGATGACGAGACGAGACGGCGAGGCGCTCGGGTTTGATTTGATGCATTTTCCGGCCTCTTTTTACTTCCCAACAATCTTTTTTCTTCTTCTTCTTCTTCTTCTTTCTTCTCTCTCTTCTCTCTTTGGTGTGGTCTAGGTTGCTTTTGATTGGGAGGAGGCTTAGTAGTTTAATCAAGTCATTTGGTTCTTTTCTTGTTTTTATGCGTGCTAGATTGGCGGGCGGCTTTTATCTTTTTTTTTTTTTCTTTTGATGAGAGGGAAAAGAGGTGAAAGTTATATATACCAATTTGATTGGGAAAAGGGGAGAGCGGATGGGAGATAGAACAACAATGGTGGCATGAAATGCTAGATAGGAGAGAAAGGGAAATGGGGGAAGCGTGATATCTAACCCCCCCCCCCCCCNCCCCCCCCCCCCCCCCTTTTTTTTTTTTTTCCGTAGAAAATGAGGAATTGGTAGTGACTTGAACTTCTCCTTGTTGACGGAAGTATTGTGACTTTGTGATTTTGGAAGTGGTAGAGAGCAAGCGCACTGCTAATAAAGCGAGCTATAGGAATACGTAGACAAGATCATGTTTATGTATTTAAATTTCTTTTTATTAAATTGAAAAGAAAGGTGGTGTTCCCCTCATTTTCTTTCCTTTGTTTTTATAAAATCCTCTTCATCTCGATGGTTCATACATCATGATATTGCAAACGCTAGCGCATACCACCATCCTCATGTACCCCCTTTTCTCCTGTATTTATTGATATGCTACATGGAGGCAAGCCATGTAATAACGACGCTCCAAAGTCTTCATCTCGCAATAAATGACCCCTCCATCTCCCATCTTCCTCTTCTTCCTCCCCCTTTTAACTTATTCTCCACCAAAGCTTATTTGGTATATATGAAAGAATAGGAAAGAAACGGGCTCTCTTCCTCTTTTTAAATCAAGTGCTTTGAGCGGAAGTACGCCCTCAGGTACATAATCTGCCAAGCCCACAGGATGACCAGCAGCCAGGTGGTGCCGACGCCGAACCACTTGACGCGGTTGTTGGTGCTCTCGTTTGTGTCGCGCAGCTTCTGCTCGCGGGAGCGGAGGTACTCCATCTCGCGGACGACCTCGCCCGTCAGCTCCTCAATGCGGCGCAGCTCGGCCTCGACGGGCTTGAGCTTCTCGGTGGCCTGGATGGCGGACCAGTCCTTAGCGTCAGCGCCGATGTCGATGTCGAGCTCGACGACGCGGAGGTTCTGTCGGGGTTTGGTGCCTAAAGAGGGGGAAGAGAGATATGTTAGTGAATAATTCATGTAGATATTGCTTTTCTTTTGAATCGAAAAATGGTAGAGAAAGGGAGAAGAAGGTGTTTAGGGAGAGACAACAACGTACTGCCACTGAAGAGGTTCTCAAAGCACACGTCAAAGGCGGCGTCGGCGTGGGAGGTGAAGACGATTCTGGACTCGCCCGCAACGTCCTTGGCTCGGCCGTATTCGTTGCCAATGGCATCACGGACCTATAATGTTTAAAAAAACACAATGTTAGCAGATAGAGCTTATAATCAGTCCCCCCCATAAACCAGAAATAGCCCATACATGAATGTTGACCACCATGCCGTCTCCCTTGTAGCCGTCAATCGTCGACGTCACCACCACCAGCGTGTCGCTGCCCACAAAGTTGCGGATGCACCTCTCCTTCTTGAGGCTCTCGCCGCCGGGGTGGGCGAGCAGGTCGAACTTGAGGGCGTTGGCGGCGCTGACGAGCAGCAGAAGGCCGCAGAGCCACCGCATGGGCGAGAGGGCCGTGGGCGCCATTGGCCGGTTTTTGCACGAGTTCGCGGGGGGAGGGAAAATAAAATTCGGTCGTCCGACACAAGTCAAATCCAATCAGCGGCCGGGATTGGGGAGGACAAGCATGTGTGTTTTCTGTTCTCTATGCTATAACCAAAGTATAAGCCAAGCCCGCAAAAAGGTAAAGGTGTCGCGTTCGGCCAAAGCTGCTGGTGTGGCTTGATGCGATAGGCAGGGGGGACTCCCGATTAGAGGGAGGCGAAGGGGGCCAATCAGAGGCCGCCGTTTGGACCAGAGCGTCGAGCATCACGTGTGGGGCGGCAGCAGCCTCGTCGACTTTCTTTTTGGATGTCGCAGCCTCGGCGCCACTGCTGGTGCTTGACACAAAGCCATCACTCAACCCGTCAATCCTTTTTGTTCTTGTTTTGCAGAATACAGCCACGATGCCCAAGTGTAAGCCCTCTTTTATACCCAGCTTCTGATTGACCAGCCAGGGACTAACGTATTCGACCACACAGTCTTCTGTAAGCTCGCGAGATCCATCTCCCCCGTACGCGCTCAGCTCACGTCGCCATTCTAACCACGAATCAAGGCGATTACTGCGATGTCTACCTCACGCACGACTCCATGTCGGTGCGCAAAGCACACAACAGCGGCCGAAACCACCTGCGCAACGTGGTAGACTATTACCAGCGTTAGTCGTTGCCTCCCCCCTCCCTTGCCGTCCGCCGACTGACCTTGGAACCCATCCATCTTGTTTAGAAATCGGCCACGAAAAAGCCCAATCCGTCATCGATTCCATCACCTCTTCCTATGCCGCCGAGGGCCAGGCCCACGCGAACCCGATGCTTCTTCAGAACCAGCCCGGCCATGCGTTCCCGCCGTTTGGCTTCCCTGGTGGTAAGCTAATGCGCTGGATATCCTCCCCTATGGGATACTGAGAAACACGCAAATACATGCTAACGCTGCTGGCGTCATAGGTGTCCCTCCGCCCTTCCCCGGTATGCCTGGAGCGCCTCCCGGGCAGTTTCCTCAAGGTCTCCCTCGTACGTCCACTTGCTATTCCCCTCCCCTGCATCAGGGTCTCGTCAGTCCTAACCCCGGATTTACAGCTCCTCCTGGTGGCCGCGGCATGCCTCCTTTCCCACCTGGCCCTAACGGAATGCCTCCGATCCCTCCTCCCAATGGCCTCCCTTTCCCACCACCCGGTGGCCTTCCCTTCCCTCCTCCAGGCGCACCCAGCGCTCCTGGTCTCCCTCCGCCAAACTTCCCCGGCATGCCTGCGCCGGGACAGCACGCGTTTCCTCCTCCCGGAGGCTTGCCGCCCCCTGGATTTCCCGCTGGCGGACCTCCTCCTCCCGGACAAGACAGGCGGTAATGAGATGGGGCTGGAAATGTTTTGGGTTTCTTAGGTCGAGATGCTATATCTATGTATGATATGAATCACGGGTAATAATTGGCGCTCGAGGCGTTCTTGCGTTTTCTGGGAACGTTTTCCCTTTTTTGCTTTTGCAATGAAAGCACATAAACCGGTTCCAATAGATTGAAGATTGAAGCTATCAGAATATATATCAGTTTAGCTGAAAAGGCTCAATGTATCGAACGTACATGCACAGCAAGATATCATCTAGGAGAAACTACTCATATCGTGAACCTTTTTTACTATAACTTTCTTTACTTTATAGAAATAAAAAAAAATGCATTTCATTCCATTCATTCTTTCTAGATCTCAAAAAGTACATAATGCGTACAAAACCGTTATCTCATCAGCTAAAGAAAAAGGGGAAAGGTAAAAGAGAAAAAGGCATCGCATTAATCAAATCTCTCGCCGCCCGTTTCTTCTATAATACAGCTAAGCAGCAACAAAAGAAGGGAGAAAGGGCAGAAAGGACAGAAAAAGCAGAATATAAGAAGAAAAATATCCGGGGGCATTTCATTCGTTCCCTGTTCGTTTCACTTTCTTAAACAGAAAAAAGTAATATATAGCCACCAAGCGCCCCCTCCCCCTAAATTCTTTGTAAATTCCGTGTTTCTTCATGCAAGGCACATAATATGGCCAGCAGTATAGCAAAGAGAAGATGAAGAAGAAGCAAATTAAATGTCAAAAAGCGCAGTCCTTGTACTATCAGACAGTTGGCACCTTGATGAGAGCAAATTAAAAATGGTGGCGTTGAAGCTCGAATAAAAAGAAAGAAAAGAAAGCACTCCATAATCGTTCGTGCAGTCCACTCGAAAAAGTAAAAAAGTAAAAAGTAGGACGAGTTTGTGAAAATCCATCCTTCAGTCGTCGAATCATCATGTCGTTGCTAAGAAAGAGGAAAAGAAAAAGAGGAAAAGATATCGTTATGCAATATGCCCGCATGCTACCCACGATATTCTCATCATATCAGCTAAAAAAAAATCGTTTGCTCATTTTTTATCGTGATTCTTTCTCGCATCGCATATAGAAAAAAAAAAAAAAAAAGAAAAAAAGGTAGATAGCAAATAGCATAGGCATGTGTTTCTTTCATAAATCGTTTTGAAATCATCGAGCGGTGCCATCTTCAACCATCTAGTTAGCGTCTGATGACTTCGCCAACACCGTCTCGGACTACTTTCGGTCCGCTTATCATCTGTCGGAGTCTCTGTGATCGTTTCTCGCGTCTTCTCTCGCTTATCCTTTGGGGAATATTCTGAATATCTTCCAGCTTGCTACCAATGGAAAATCGTCGTGCACTGCCTCGGCCAGCGCTACGGTTTCGCCAGAAGCGTGTACGAGGCTCCCCGTTCACAGTATATCTCTCATTTCCACTTCGGCCTTGACGCCTCAATGATCCAATACTGACGCGGCGCACGATTCTCAGATTCCCGCTAGAGGTTCGTCGAATTGTCCGACGCTGGGGTCCATGCACGTCGTCAACGTGATACTCTCGTGATGGCAGAATTGTAAACGTCTGCTTCACCTTTTGGCTGAAGCTCCTTGTCGGCCTACGCGGACGATTGTCCACCGGAGGGTATCGATAGACTTCATCATCACGCTCATAGCGGTCATCGTAATCGTCATTTTCGTAGTCGTCATCATCCATAGGTTCGGAGTCTGTGTCACTAATCCACTGCGGGCGCCAAAATGGATGGAGCTTGTCTTCCTCGCTGGGCTTATCGTTATCTCTATAAAGAGAAATATCGCTGTCGTCACGGTTTCTGCGCGACATGGAAAATGTCCTGGCAAGAAATCCTCCTCTTGAGCTTGGCACATACGCTATCGAGTGACGACGTCGGCTGAACGCTCTCCTGACGATAGAGGGCCGCCGGGGAGGCTTCTCTTTCAGCGATTCGAAATAATTCCCTTGAAGGATGAGTCGCTCAGCCGCAGGTGTCATTCCCGATGGCGTAGCGGGAATAAAATTGATCGCAGGCGGGTGTTCAGGTGCCTGTTTTGGCGGCTGGGGCGGAGCTCGCGGGTTGCGCAGAGGAGAGTCCACCTCGAGTGAGGAAAATCTTTTCTGGGGAGGAGTGACGGGTATTAGTATCTCTTCTTCAGAATTCGCCATCAATATAGGCGGACTGGACATCCGCTTCGCCGCTAGAACCTCTGATGGCCGATTTGAATGATCAACCATGAGGACAGACGAATTTTGATGGGGAAACATGTGAACAGCAAGAGCTTCTGACAGCTCTGGAGCTGTTGCACACGTCTCCATGGACGCAACCGAGAACGGAGTGTTTCGCAGCGGGATCTTCTTTACGGATAACACGTCGTCATGTTGGCTAAGACCAAGGCCGTCAAAGGGTTCTTCCTTTCCTAAATCTTTCATTTCCGGAGATATAGGGGTTAACGGTTCTAACGAAGGCGTGCTAGGGCAGATGATGTGCACTTCCTGGCTCAGATGACGATCGGATTGCTGTTCGATCGCTGCGCTGTGAACTTTGACACTGCTAGTATTGATTGATCCAGCTCTGGAAATGTTTCGACTGGTAGGAGCAGAGAGCGACGAGGATCGCTGCGGAATCATGGGGGGAAAGTCAATTGTCCTGACAGAGCCGTCAGATTCGGAGAATGCTCTACTCCGGCGAGCAGGTCGCTCAAAGACAGGGCCAGAGTTCTTAGAGGGCGCGAGATCTGGAGCAGGGGCAGAGTGAGTACTTTTTGCCTTGTCCGAATGCCTACTAGACGTCGATCGAAGAGAAGGCTCCTTGCTCCTAGGACCTCGGGAAGATCGTCGACTAGGCACTATGACTACAGGTATTGCGCCGCTTCGCCAAATCTCCTGTCTCGCACTTCTGCTAGATATAGATCTGTTTGTGGAGTATGTCACAGTGGAGAGATGGCTCTCACGATCATAGGTTTCTGGTTTCGAACTCTGTGTGGCTTCCGAGGCTTTTTGAGTCTCATTTAAGTCTGCGCTCTTGGCAGCCAAGCCAGCATCTTCCCTGTTATCAATAGCATCTCTCAGAGTACTTTGCTTTCGCATATGACGCAAAGTTCTCTCTCTCTTCGGAGGTCCATCCACTAGAAGCACTTCGACCACCGTCGATTGGCTAGACGTGCTTAGTGGCCGTGCATTTCGCTTTGCTGTAGCCTCCACCTGCGGGTGAACCAGCTGGACGGGCGTTTGATCATCTTGCCTCTTCGAAGATGAGGTTACAGATGCGGCTTCTTGAAGTTGCATTTTGCGCACAGCTTTTGTCGCGTCTGTAGGAGCAACGGACACTTTATCCTTGACAACAGGATCAAGATCATGATGTAGGATTGGGCGTGACACTCCTGGCGATCGGCGTTGATGCTGCTGTTTCTGTGCTATTATCACACTAGACAAGCAGACATCCTGAGATTGCCCAGCTTTAACAGTAGGGTTCTGTTTGCCAGCTGGCTCAGTGCTTTTGCCTTTCGCTTTTGGTGTCTGATCCTCTCCTTCTGGCGCCATGTCCTTGGTTGTCGTCTTGTCTAAAGGAGTGGTTGGTCGTGCCGCATCGGCAACTTCAGTCTTGGCAGAAGGAGTGATGGTGATTTGTGAAGTCGCAGAAACTCTGTGAGGCCAGCCAGCTGATCTCCCAGCCTCATCTTCTGAAGAGGTCACTTCCTCCCGAGCGGTGATGAAGGACTCGGCCCTCGACGACGGCCCATTAGTGCTTTCCGAAGCCATACGGTCCTTGATGCTTGGACGCTGCACCTTGGCGACGCTTGCGGGATGCGGTGGGGTGACTTCTGGCGTCGGGGGGCCGCGCTGGTCGGGGGGCGTGGCCGGCGGTCGGTTCGCGACGACATTCGGCAGCCCAACGCTACTTTCTGTGCTCGTCGGGCTCGATGGCGTGGCGGACTGGCTGCTGGAGGATGCGTTTGACTGCGCGGGTGGCGTTGGAGGTAGATCGGGCCCGGTGCCTATTCTTCTGAGCTGGTGCTTCAAGGGTTGGGAGCTCATATTCGGGCGAGGCGTTGAGCTTGACATCGGGTGAGGCGTCGAACTTCTGGGCGCCAGGGTCCCGCTAGTTAGATGGGAGCTTTGCGCCTTGCGCCTGGAGCCGTCGTGCGCCTGATCGATGACCGGCCGAGGCAGTACCCGATGCTTCTTGAACTGGCGCGGTGCCGCAGGCTCAGCTGCGAAGCTGTGATTTCTTGGGGCTGGCGCCGCCATCATAGCAATAGTGAGGTTATTGCACGCTTCACACTAGCGAAGAGAAGCGCAGGCTGCCACTAGTAGTGTATTCGCGAGCTACGTGGCGGCGGCGAGGTTGAGACAGGGGCCGCTTTGCATGATTGTGGACGAGTAGACAGTGCCAGAGCTCGATGGCTTCATGCAATTGGCGGGCGGTCCAAGTGGTCGAGCAAGGTGGATGGCCAGTCGCTGATGGAAGGCGAGCCTGGCGAGCGAGCGAGTCTGCTGGGCACCCAAAAATAAAACAAAATAAAACAAAATAATAAACACGCAGCCAATCTGAGACGAGGGAGCAAAAGCAAGCAGACAGAGCAGCGTAAAGCAAGGCAGGGCGTAAGCAGGAGGGAAGACCTGCCAAGTTTGCGTCAAGCGATCCCTAAAGAAATCCGTGCAGCGCCGAGGCAGCGGGCGAGACGCTGATGAGGTGATGATTGGATGTTGTGAGCGGGATCAGCGAGGGAAAAAAGAAAAAATAGAAGACAGAGGATGGAGAGCAAGAGGACGAGAAGAGCAAAGAGAAGACGAAAAGCGACTGGTTGGTGAGACAGACGCCTAGCAGCCCCCGTGTGGCCGCCAGCCTTGATTCAAGGCTCGTTCCGAATGCAGCAGGGCCTTGAACAATCGCCAGGTTCACGATGCAGGGGGTGGCACGGTGACGATCGACCGATGGGACATGACGGGTGCGATTCGTCAGATGTGGAGTGAAGCAGAGGGAGAAAAAAAAAAGGCGAGAGCTGAGCTGAGGAACGAGAATGGCAGAGCATGCAAGAGGCAGAATGGGGAGATGTTCAGGCGGGGCTGGCAAGCAGATCTGCTGTAGGTGCTGTGCCGACCATGCACCAGCTGGCCAGTTCTTTGTTTTCTTTTTTTTTTTTTTTTTTGCATTTCATCGCCTTTAGCCGGACGGCAAAGATGCCAGCCTGATGCAGCAGCCTCCAGGCACAAGATACGTAATAAAAGAGCTGGTATTGTGACATGTTCTTTGCAGAATTATACTCGGGCAGTCATCCGTGCCTGGCTGAGCGCCACATCTTGCAATAGGCAGCACATGGCCCTGGGCTAAGGGCGCTAGCTGTCATGGCCTTGCTGTAGTGGCATAGAAGCATTAATACGGAGATTCTCTTTGTAACATGCACTGTTTCAACAACAAAACGTGAACGAAGAGGACAAAAAAAAAAAAAAAAAGACAAGAAAATGCTTCTTCTGCCGCTTGAAGCTTGATATGTGAAATCTCTCAGACATGATGCAGTCCCGTCTCTCGCTAGTATTCCTCCATCGTGTGTTTCGCATACATCACCTGCCCGGTAATGTTTCATACTGCCGCAAGCCTCGTAAATGCAGAGACCCATATTGTCATCAGTCTCTCTGTATACAGCGCTTCTTGCTCTAGAATCAAAGCTTTACTGACTTTTCCTCCTCAGCTCGCGTCATGTGCACAAATAGCAATTCCGCAGAGAGAGGCATTTTAAATCACGACAGTTTCTCATACAGCCTAGGTCCCGTTCAAAACCAGGCGCCGCCGCGGCACTATCGAGCATCCATTTCCACCATCCTAATCGCATCGGCGCGAGCCTAGCACTCTTTTGTAACCGAAAATGGCCCCCGTCAGTTGCTTCTAGGTATAGTAGTAGTACATACTAGTATATCTCTCTTGTTCAACTAGGTACCTGGGTACCATAGTTCACAAAGATGCCAAAATAGCTACAGAGGCCAAAAGCAGGCTCTGATTCTCGCTATATATAGAATTCCCATTCCAGAAATTCTTCCGCTAATCACCAACACACGAGGTGCCCTGGCCAGATTTGATACGAAGAACAAACAGCATAGTATTCCTACTAGGAGGTACTACCACGCCACCAAGAGTCTCCAAAAAAAGTTGGTGGCTGGGAGCCACGCCGCTCTAACCTTCCAATGACGTGCGCTCTGCCAAACTCCCGTCGAGCTAGGAAGTACTATGTATGTTGCTATCCATCTAGTGCTCCCATCAGCTGCCCGTTCGCTGTGCGCATAGTCTCTCCCCAGCTTCCTTTTCTGGACCGTGAAGGGGGCATGGTCGGTATGGGCTGCCAAATTTTGACAAACAGCGGTGCAGCCATCACAATACGGAGTTGAAGTCACTCATATATTCTCGACCACAAATGAAGCATAGTGTTGTATTCATATCCCCCACAAGTTGCTCATCAAGTGCATTTACACATGCTAGAGCAATTTTTCTTTTAGTACATCGTTATGTCTTCCACAGATTCCTCACAACGCAGCGGCCTACAATAATTGCATTAAGCAAAGCCGCCATATTAGTTGAGTGCCTTTATCCGATATTGATCCCATCCTTAATCCTTCGCCTTTGCATATTGAGCGATTACATGTTGAACTGCTTGATCAACTCTACTAGTTTGTCGCCCTCTGTCTTATAATCCAACAATGACGCGCTCAGCACTTGGTATCGCACCCTATAGATTCGTCAGTTCGTCGTATTCACGAGGAGAAAAGCATAATATTGAAACAGAACGGAAACCCACCTCTGGGTGTCGCCAAAGTTGTCCATCTTGGCTCTACACCTAAAAGTCAGCTTCTTGCAGTTTACTGCCTCGAAAGCCGCCATGAACTTGGCATCGTCATTCTCTTTGAGTTCCATCAGCTCGTTGGCAGACATGCCCACTATTATCCTGCCGGTATCATCAAAGCAGCTAAGCCACTGGTGGCTCGTGTGGTCAGCCACGTTGAGGTTCAGAATGTAGCGGTAGTCGGGCCTGTCGTGTGACACATTGCACTTTTCGCACTGCCATGTGCCATCGGGCATAGATGTGACCTTTTTATTGCATCCCTGGTTGGAGCAAGCAGGGTAGCAAAAGCTATCCTGCTTCACGAATACAATGGTAGCCTTGATTGTATAGTATGCTTGGTCGTCCACACCAAGATTCTCGTCTTTGACCTGGGAAATTGTCTTGACTTCCTCTTTTCGGCCTGTTGCGCCACCTACACCAGCAAGATTCTGATGAGTAGCAAAGGTGTCAGTTCGACCAGCTGAATCATACCAGCCCTTGAGGCGATAGGCATCGGGGATATCGGGGTTGACGGTCATGGTTCCTGACGAGAGAAGGCTCAGGCTCTTGCCACCAAAGTCTGACACCTTGGTGCCCTTGAAAGCGATCACTGACTCCGGGTTGGCGTCAAAGGCACTCGCTGTCTTGCCCCAAACGGTGACACGCACGGAGTAGCCGGTATCATCCACCAAGGTCAATTCACGTTTCTGGAAGGGCCGGCCGTCCTTCTTTGATGTGATTTCGCTAACTTCAGCAACTTCTTTCAGCACACCAATCACATCAACGGTGCTATCCTTTTCCACGCTCTGCAGCTCTTGGATAGAGCAAAAGTTGAACCTTAGCTGGGGTACGTTGGTCTGATCTTCAGCCTTTTCGATGACTGTCTCTCGCTCAAAAGTAAGCTCATAATCGTTTGGCAGATTGCTAAACTGCTTCTTCGCCAGCGCAACTCGACAGGGGGTAGAGATGTAGTAGACAGAGCCCTCTTGAAGGAGGTCATAGAAGGCGTCGCACTGGTCGTTGAAGCCAGTAGCCTTAATCTCGCCACTCTCATCAAGAAGGTTGACGCTGAAAAGTTTTCCCTCTCCCGTTGGCTTATGCCATGTCTTGATATCTGATTTGAATGTTACGCGGGCCTTTATCGTCCACTTGTGTGAGAAGGGCGAAAGAGCCTCGATGGGGTAAATGTTGGCACCCGCATGTGTAGCTGATCGTGACGGCGCCGGCTGGTGCTGCTGCATCTGAGGTTTGGTATCCATTTCCTCCTTTTTAGCACCGTAGAAGTCGTTTCCATCGATCGTAGCATCAGCGGCTTTGGGTTCGTGGACCACCGGGTTACCAATCTTGTCGTGCAGTCCAAGAGACTCGATAACTTCAATCTCCAGAATAATCAGGATGCTGTCCTTTTGGTCAGCCATCTTTCAGAAAACAAACATGCGGAAATCTTCATCTAGTATCATCTTACTGCTTTCCCTTCAAGATATTCGGCTGGTACTTCTTCACTCGAGCTATGCAGCCCCTCTCCAGCTTGCCGTCGTGAATGATGTGATTGGCCGCGGTAGCGAGCATGGTCTGGACGTAATTGTTGCCATCGCTCATGACAAGTCGCCATCTGTCGCCGCCTTGGCCTGAAGGCCCCATTTGTTTGATCTGTAGGCATTGCATCACCGGGACGGGAAAGAGCTTCGCCGCCTGGTCGGGGTCGTTAAAGATGGCACTGGAGCTGGGTCAGTCGGGTGTGGAATAGAAGAGGAGCAAACTTGACAAGTCAACTTACTTGATGCAGCCCCGTGATAGTGCAGATTCGGCGTCCATGATGGGCTGTGATGGTGGTTTTTCGCCGGCCTTTTCTGCTTTGACAAGTCAAGCTGCGACTCTAAGAATCGTGCACTTTACTCGAGTGCTCTGACAAACCCGCGTCGCGATTCTCTTTACGCGTTGACCGCGAACGATCACGTGAGGCGGGGCAGGCGCGGGGTGTTGCCACCTCGTTCAGGCAGCGCTGGTTGCGGAATTGCACTGAGATAATTTACATGTTTAATGAGAACTGGTGCTGGATTTTTGCTCATATCTACAAGAGCCACCCTTGTAACTAGTTAGGGCTCTATCTCGTTCATCTGGCTTGTTATGAATACGATGAACGGCTTGCTCGACGCCCTACTCGCATGTAATTAAACTAGGGCCCTTGTATTGCTAGGTACCTTGACCAAAATGAAATGAATGATAAATGCTAGGAGTAGCAGTATCGATTCACCCGTCTCTACCTGCTGTTGGACAATATTAAACAGCCAAGATGAAAGTAGTTGATATTGATGCATACCAAAATCAAAGTTACCTTATTCTTCCGCGGGCTGCCGTACTATAGCCAAGTACCTGGACAAGCCACTCACTCGCTTGTTTTGGACATGAAACCGCATGAGGTATGACGTTCCAACCTAAGCCTCGTAAGACCCATAGCTCTATCCAAGACAAACAACACGTCAGCAGCAGTCTTAAGAGATAGCATCGTCATCATCACTCAGTAGCATATTTTCACTCTTGTTGTATCTGCTCAGTAGATAATTAGGCGATCTACCATCTGCGCCACATCATACTCGTACACTAGCCAGCAGCTACCATGACGGAGCTTGACCTTGCGACAAAGGCGCCAGAGAGCGATGCGCAAGAAGACTCCTCGGTTGATACACCGACGCAGTCAAGTCCAATTATGGGCGACCACGAACATTGTGTAACTGACAGACCTGCTCGTATGTGGGACCGCATTTAACATTACGAGTATTTCTATCTCTAACACAGTATAGCCACCGGCCAGGGACCAACTGGTGAGATCATCAAGTTAAATGATATCGATGTATGTCTAAGCCGAGATGAGCTTCCTATAAAAGACATGCATCTAATTTCAGCTGATCCCAGGTGTATATCTCAAAACCAGCCGACTATCCTCATACTCCCACCCGCCTTCTTCTCTTTCTCACTGGCGGAACGGGTATCAAATCCGTCAACAATCAGATCCAGGCCGACAAGTATGCCGCTGAAGGCTTTCTCGTGCTCATGCCGGACATGTTTGGCGGTGAAACAGCCCCAGGAGGAAAAGAAGCCTACGTTGCAGATAATTCGGTGTCTCTCCTGGAGCAAGTCAAGCTAAAGGCCGTGGAGATTGCAAAATCGTTCTTGATCGACATGTGGCTGGCGAGAGTAACAGAGGCTAAAATCATGCCAATATTGCTCAAGGTGATCGAAGCGGCACATGAAGAGTATGCTGATGCTATTAAGCACGGCGAAGGTATATATGCTGTAGGATACTGCGTTGGAGGTCGCTATGTCCTCCTTCTTGCCAAGGGAACGCAAGAGGGCGGTAATGATGAAGAATCTGGTATGATGAAGGCCGGGCCTTATATCAAGGTGGGAGCGTTGGCACATGCTGCATCGGTGACTCCAGACGACTTCAGGAACCTACAAGCACCATTGAGTTTGGTGTGTGTTGAGGACGATGCCTTATTCACAGATGAGGTTCGGAAGGCAGGAGAAGACCTTATGACACAGGACAACGTGGAGCACGAAGTTCAGGTATACCCTGGTGTACCGCATGGTGAGTTGACCTCCTATTGTCATGGAAGAAACATATTGGCTGAACGATAGCAGGATTCGCGGTTACCGGCCAGTATCAGGAATCATCTATTATGGACGCCCAGGCTACGGCCTACGAGCAAATGCTGAAATGGGTGAAAGACCATTAATGTCACAAATTTCATTATTAACAGCAAATTTATGATTTCTTCTTTTCTTCTTTTGTTTCTTCCTCCAGCGTCCTAGGTATATGTAGTTTATGACGCAGTGGACGTAATACACCTAAAATTCCATTGCTTACTCTATCGTGCAGATAATCTTGCCCGAGTTTTTAGCATTTTCCATGTGCTCATGTGCCTCTTGGATCTTCTCCCAAGGTAGCACAGAGTCGATGAAGATTTTGAGCTTGTGTGACTCGAAATCGGGAATATACTCTTCCAACCTATCTCTCAGCTTGCCCTGGTACTCCTCGTCACGGCTTCGCAGGGTGCTGCCCAAAACACGAAGGCGCTTGTATAAGATCACACCAACGTCCGCATCAGGAGCCTTGCCTCCGCTCATTGTGCCAAGGAGGATAATGCTGCCGTCCATAGCAGCCACGTTGAGGTTCTTCTGGAAGTAGTCTCCGCCAATGAAGTCGACGATGTAGTCAACGCCCTTGCCGCCAGTCTTGGCCTTGATCTCGCTGACCCAGTCTTGGGTCTTGTAGTTGAATGCCGCGGTGGCGCCGAGCTCGGATGTGATGAAGTCGATCTTCTCCTGGCTGCCTGCAGTGGCATAGATCTCAGACGCTCCGGCGGCCTTTGCGAGCTGGATGCCCGCAACTGAAACGCCAGAGGCACCGGCGTGCCAGAGGATGCTCTTGCCCTTGACAAACCCAAGCACCAAGTGCAGCGCCTGAGTTGCTGTGATCCATGCCTCGGGAACGCCAGCGCACTGCTGGTGCGTCAGGCCCTTTGGCTTGTGCAGCAGCATCTTGGTGCTGACGGCGATGTACTCGGCATAAGCGCCTCCGTAGGCCAGTCCAAAGACCTCGTCGCCAACTTTGAAGCCGTTGTGGCCGTCAGAACCGAAGGACTCGATGACGCCGCTGAACTCTACGCCGAGAGTCTTCGGGGCCTGAGGGGGGACGGGATAGAAGCCATTGCGCTGGATAATGTCCATGCGGTTGATGCCAAACGCCTTGATCTTGACGATGGCCTGTCCCGCAGAGGGGACGGGCTTGGGAGTGGCATCGTTGATGAAGAGGGCTTCTAGTGGACCTTTTCCACCCTTGATGTCTATGAGAGTGTTGTTAGTCTCCATAGGTAGTAGCTATAGTAGTGTAGTTATAGACGTCATCGTGCTGATGAAAACTCATACCAACTGCTCTCATTGTAGCGGCCATTTTGACTTTATTTTTTTTTTCTTATATCAGAACTGAGTTTCCTATTTGCTGATCGAAATGGAAGCTATAATACAGATCGTTACCCCTCAAACATTCAACAGCTATATATATACTATTTTCCATTCTTCAGCCTTTCTTCCAAAAATCTTGCGTCACAAGCCCACTTGCATGAGGTAGATGGTTCGCTAACCTCAGCCATTAGTAATGCCCCTAACTTTAGTGAGGAGACAAGTAGGATCTAAAACCCGATGCACTCCTCTTTGCGCGGACTATGCGGAGCCTTCTACCGAATGCCGGCCTCTGTATGGAGTATACGTACTATATGCCTCGGGAAATATGGCTATGGAGGGCATGAAATTCTACAGTAGAGTCCTAGTTTTCATGGGATTTGGAGTTGTTTGATCAGATATATCCAGAGTGCAACTTTAATCCGAATTCCGATTCCTGGCATTTAGTCTACTCCGTGCGTGCTTCTGAAATATTTACAAAGCATATGTCGGAGTTCAATAGCTCTACTATTTAGCACGGCTGAGTCAGCGACTCGATAATACTTCCTATTTGTCAGTAAAGCGGAAACGGAAAAGGCATGCAAGCAGTGTCCTGTCCCGCTTTGGTAGATTTTTTTTGCCTGCTCCACGATAGCTTTGTTATACCGAGGTGAAATCGACGGATGAAGTTATCGAGTGGCGACCGAAGCGCTGTGTCTGTATGGATTCCGTACCGCTATAAGGGTTCCGCATCCGTAGGAGAAAGTTTTGGAACACTCCGGATCAAGGCTCCCATTATGATGCGAACGACAGATGCAATCGCCGACGAATCGCCGATGATTAGTAGTAGCAGGGCAACAACTTGCGACCGCTGCAAATGAGCCAGGATTTTAAAGGGAACATGTCCTACAAAAAAAAAAAAAATGACAAACAAATAACAAGCAAATAAATCAACAAACAAATACATATGGCATCAAATCTTGAATCGATGAATAAATCCGAAGCTACAATCATATTTGTGAATCTTTACAAGAGAGCCGAATTGAAAAGATCAAACTAGCCAAACGCGCCCTACATAAATTCGAGGTCCTTTTCATCTCGGGTTGTGGCAAACCTTTGTTTATTTAGATACTCACCCAACTGAAGAACTACTGGGAAATATTATGATGATTTACCACGGGATTGGCCTTAGACATCAAATGAAACGCGTATGATAATCTTGTCACACAAATAGATCTTGAGTTGTGAGAAGCAAAGACACTGATTACCCAACATAAATGGCTAGGTCTCAGAGGGATTCCATACGCGTACTTCTTATTAGTGAGCCATTTATAGCGGTTGTCGGTTCAGTGGAAAACAAAAACAACCAACCAACTGCTACTACTGCTAGTTATGAGCACACACACACCCAGTCTGTCTGAGACTTTGGTTTGGAGAGATACAATACGACGAACCATTATGTTATGTGCAGTAATACGTACCCGAGGGATTTAGCCGACTGATAGCGCAGCCGTCGGATAAGAGGTTGCCCCGTTAGCTGTGTCGAGCCCTCCATCGACCGCTCTGGCGATAAAAGACGCAGAAGCTTTGATAAGAGTCGAGCCTAATCAATAAGTTGATTGCAGCTAACATCAACTTTCAAGTATTGATAGCACCATGAAACTGGTATTTGATATCAAGCGCTCGCACAGCCACCCTACTAGGCGCGGACATCTGCATCTTATCGGAAAAGCCAAGCTCTTAGCTCCATGTTAATGTACCATCACAGCTGTCTTCTCCCGAAAAAAGAAAGGCCAGCAGCTTCTCTCGCGTGCCATGGCAGCATTTTGAGATTGGCCACTTCGGGTAGATGGTGGAAATTGACCAAATGCGACCAAGGACCCGAATCCCAGCAGCGCGTTTCGCGGCCGTTGAGTATATTCATGCGAGGCCGTAATCAAAGACTATTGGAAGGCGGTCGCTGGTTGTGTGGACTCGGACGGGCGAGACAAATGCAGGGGCTCTCAGTAGCGGCAGCAGAAGCAGTAGGGCACATTACAGCGGATGAGCCGACTTGCCGGGCGCGGTTGATTTGAGAGTCAAGCTTCCGAGATCGCTCAGCTTCCCGCCCACTCGGCCGGATTATACGGTGTCGGTTAACAATTAACCATATTAATTGCAAATACTATTACTTGTAGTTTTACCGCACTCCATTTCTGTGCGGGTTGTACGGGGGAGGGGGGTTCAGTTGTTGCGGGTAAGTGTTTATACGGATGCTCGTATACGTAGAGATGCACTCTTCGCTTCCTCTCAACGGATGCATAACAACTCAAATTAAGAGTCTATTAAAGGCAACTCGTTGAAACTTGGGAACAAGCAAGGAGAGTCGTAGTCACATGTAATCCGTCTGAGGGAAAAAATTTGCTTCATGGTGCTTCGTAACTTGATGGAGTCGACGCTCGTATATAATAATAGAAATGGCAACTAAAGTTAGCGGGTTGAAGATCCTTTACTCGGGCACGTCGGTGATCGCCGTCCAGTAAATGCTAATGCCAGCAGCGAATGCTGTCCGAAACACAAAGCATAGGGCAGAGAAGAAAGAGAGAAAAGAGCGGTCGATCAGGATCTCTCCTTGTATCGAGATAGATCAGGGGCGCTGCAGGCCAGATGTGGCGCCGGTGATCGTTGCTCCAAGAAGCCAACGACGGCTGCGGAAACGGTCGGCCAGTCGGCGACTTTGCAGCGGACGCCTGAAGCGTCAAAGAGACGGTGTGAGAGACGCGTACTGCTGCTGGTGCTCATACGAGCACAGTACAATACTCCAACGATGTCCCTTGCCTGCGCGCATAAGACACGCATGTGCGAGCGTGTCTCTCCCCTATTTCGCTGCGCAAGCGAACAGCCTAGAGGGTGGCGACCTGGCCATGGCTGATAAGAAGCTGGAGGACCCAACAATGGCCGAGCAACCCTGGAAGCATAGTGGATAAACGGGAAATTAGCGGAGGGTCTCTCGGGGTGGGCGCGACAGCAGCACTGGCAGCAGGGCGCTTCAGTGAAATGGTTCGCTGGCTATGCAGTGGCCGTCGCTCACCGACGGAGCACAGGGCATCATGGATGTCACCTAGTGGCAGGACTACTGGCCACCACAGCTGCTAAAGTGCTCTGGTGCTGCCAGTGATAGTAAGTCCGGCCGTGGCGACCTGCACAGTACGAGGCTGCTATCGCCGGTTGCTGGATGCCTGGAAAGCTGGCGTCCAAGCAGCCAGAGTCGCAGGTCGAAAGCCGAGTGGATTGTTTTTGCGCAAAGAAAAGCAGTGCCCGAATTTGCTCCCCGTCCAGTTGAGACTCGTCGCTTCCAAGGTCTGAGACGCACCACGTGATTTGCCTTGGAAACTAAACGTTCGGAAAGACAGTATGTCCACATAAACAACCCCCCTCGTAATAGCTAATAATGCAGTTCGCATGGCCAGTGGAAATTTTCCAGACCGTCTGGGTCGTTTTTTTTTTTTGGTGCATTGACAGTGGTACTGTAGTTCCAGAAATACTATAATTCATATTGCCGGTACAAGTAGCCACCTCGTAGTGCCTGTATTATTGGAACTGGGATTAGGCAAGCATCCAGCAACGTGGGCGCGGGAGATGCGCATCCTTGCCTGCACATCTCCTTTTCTCTCTCTCTCTCTCTCTGTCTCTCTCTTCCCCATCTTGGGCTTCTAGTGCCACTGCTGCTGTTACTATGGGGATATGACTGACACTTTAAAGCGTTGCAGTGAGGGCATAGGTAGGCATTAATCCCAAATGGCTACCTAGCACAGTGGTAAAATACTAATATTAAATGGAGCTTCAAGCAATCTCATCTAATATCGCTCGTACGGCACAGTAAGGAAGGTGCCAGCGAACCCGCTTGCCAGCTTGCTTGTCGCCGAGGCGTGGAAACTGACAAAAACGTTCTGGTTCCTGCATTAGCGCCAGCGCACCCAGAGCCACTAAGAAAGGCTGATCCGATGAGTAGGTGGGTCTAACGCTACAAAACAGGGAAAAGCCCAAGGGGAAAAAAGCAGGAACGACGCTAGCAGCTGGCTAATGGGCAATAGTTGGCAGCAATATCTGGAAGTTGCAGCAGCAAATTAAAAGCAGTCCCATTTATGATTCATCGATTTCGTCCCATGATCGGCGGCGAGAGACAACAGTAATAGCAGGTGGAAACGTTGCTAGTAAAGGGGCCGGCTTGGAACCGGATCACCAGAACTAGGCTCTTTGGTTTAGATGGAGACGGTGCTGTTTGGCATAGAAGAGCTCGCGAAACGTGCCCAGCTCCGCATATTACGAGGGGGGAAATCAACTAGAGGCTTGTAGATGCCGTCAACGGCCCTGTAAGCAGTCAATCAGTGAGAAGCTTACTGGATGTCTTTTGCTTTGTGAGAATACTACTAGGCACTAGGTACTACTGGGTGTCTACCTAGGTAATATACGAAGTATATGGCGTCCATGTATGGCGGTTCGTATCTGTGGTGCGGGACAGTGATTGGATACTGTTAATTTGTATCTATGAAGCGGATAAGCAGCATGATGGATGCAATACGGACCGCCCACATTGCTTGGTGTGCCGGATGATAGCTGCGGTACTTAATACGAGTGAGCACATACGAAGTATACTGCACAAGCACGAAGCACGGTTCTAAGACATCCCCTCTTCTGTTGCAGAGAGGCGAGAGGGTTCGGGGAAACAAAACAAAACAAAACAAAAGCATAGACTCTGTTGGTGGGCTTGTGCCCAAATCCGCAGCCAGTGTCTGCTGTTGGCCAGACACAGAGTGCGATGTATCTCCTGCTAGTATTTCAATAACATCGCCGTATGATACTTACAACACACCCCTCTTTAATTTGCATGCTGAATGTTGATTTCTATTTCCCCTCTTCCCTTGCCTAATCTCATTTTCGCATCACCTCGTTGGCGCCCGTTAATTCGACAGATTAAAATAAACACGGCAAGCAAAAGCGCCACCATGCGACCCTTTTGATTGTGTGGCTTTCCGTCCTGGAGCTAGCGTTGCTAGGGCCTCCGTCCTATGGCTCCCAGCCCCTGCATCGCCGCGCCCACGCTCGTGATCCATCAGGCTGTCTGTCTTGCCTCTGCAGCTGGGCCATCCACCATGCCACCCCCATCATGGCCCACTCCTTGCTGCTGCTCTCCTCCCTCCAAGGTGCACCCCTGGCAGCTTCCCCTGGCGGGTTTTTTTCTTGCCCCTGTCTCTGCCCACGCCACGGTTTGGTTATAAAGCTCGATGTCTCCAGACGCCCACCTGGGTCTTGATCTTTTTCTTTCCTCACCACACTCACGCTCGCTAAGCACCTGCAAAATACCTTGACATTTTGTCAATTTCATTCTTTAACCAACAACCTCAGAAAATAATCTTAATCAAGCTCTTCGAGTTTAATTCCTAATACCGACAAAATGAAGTTCACCGCTGCTATCGCTCTCGCCGCCGTTGGCGTCTCCGCCGTCTACGTTCCTCCTAGCAACGTCACCGTCGTTACCGAGGTCGTCGACACCTACACCACCTACTGCCCCTTCGCTACCCAGATCACCCACGGCAGCAAGACCTACACCGTCACTGAGGTATTTACGACTTGAACCGGCATGTGCCTCGAAGGAATCTGCGACTAACAAGATTGCGCCAGCCCACCACTCTGACCATCACTGACTGCCCTTGCACCATCACCCGCCCCGTCACCACCACCAGCAGCGTTCTCTGCAACACCTGGTAAGCTATGCTCTATACCACCACTTCAGCTCGAATCCAGCCACTAACATGCCTCTCACAGCGGTGCTGCTGCCCCTACTGGTGCCCCTACCGGCGGCAACGGTGGCTCCGTCCCCCCTGCCTTCACCAACAGCACCATCAGCACCCCCACCCAGGCTCCTCCTGCCGGTGGCAACGCTGCTCCCACTGGTCCTGCTGGCACTGGTGCCGGTGTCCCCACCGCTCCTCCCGCCATCCCTACCGGCGCTGCCAGCAAGGCCGTCCTCTCCGGTGCCGGTCTGGCCGGTATTGTCGGTCTGGCTGCTTTCGTCCTGTAAATCTTGTAAATTTCGACACCTCGCCAATATACCGTCTACGATTTCTCTGTTCAATGATTCTTGGAAGTCGTGGGTTCAGCCTCCGTTCATGATTTTGATATAAAGGGAGGGAACAAAAGTGTTGGGGTATTTATTTGGTTTACGTTCACGGATGGGAAGTGATTGGTTCTTTTTTTGGGATGTATAGAGAAGGGTTCTCTTGGGTTATACGGGACAATGCAAGCTCGGTGTTCAAGGGAACTCGATTTTTTTGATCGCCCCACGAGAAGATGCGCTACAATCAACTGTGTGCCATCGTTTCTCGGGGCCGGAATATAATGTGTCAATTTTTTTCTCCAGCAAATTAGGATGGGTTTGCCTCAGCCTCTCGCGTTTTCACCCTACTTTGACAAGACTTAAACAGAAAGAAAAGACGCCTATTTTCCTGCTTCGAAAGATATCGATTCCGTTTCTTTTGTCAGATTTTCAATATTCGTTCCCCGTTGCGATGGTACTCCGGATCGCACGAGGCCCTTTTCATACTGGCTGGGCGTGTTTATGGCCTCTTGTCAATATTATATATATATAAGTGTCTGTGAGCTTGGCTATCGTTTTTGATAGCGGGCAAGCAGGAATAGCATTTACTAAGAGGGCAGTTTTGGCCCGGCATACTTTCTTTCTTTTGTCTCTTTGACTATTTCACTTTCTTGATGCGGTGAGACTTTTATGTCTCAGACATTGCTGTAATTTCCAGCGTGACCAATTATTCTGCCCAACCACCCCATAAATGCCATGTATCCTTGTAAGTTGCGATCCTTCATTCGATTTCCTGTCTTTCTATCGGCGGTGAAATAATAAAAACGTAAACCATGGAAGAAAACCCGTCGAGGGCTGTGTGGCTTCGGGCCGTGCCATGCCAAGTAACCGTCCGTTTTTTACTACGGGGGGGGGGGGGGGGGGTTGAGCTATTGGCTGCGGCTTGCCAGAAGTGATGCTGGTGAAATGGACGGAAGGCCTTTAGCCGAGCATCTCCTCACTTTTGGCTCGATGCAGAACGTTTGACCTTTTTATCTGAAGGGTACAATAGCTGAGTGAAGGAAGCCTGGAGGCACTGGTATCTGGTTGTTATTGTTGTTGTTATTTCACATTGTAAATGGTGGGCGCTGTCAGTCACTGAGCTACTGTGGGCGACTTGTCATTTGAGAGAAGTATTACGCTATGAAATAACCCACGATGATCTAAAATACTGTATTAGTTTCCATGTTGACTCTATTGGATAGTAGTAGATAGTAACTCTCTTGCGTGAGGTTGCCACTGGACGGAACTTCCCGTACAGTGATACCTACCTTGGCTAGGTATGTAAATCTGTAGGGTGAGTGAGCTACGCTGTCCTTGCATCTTCCACTGCCGTCCGCGACATGCCTCGCTATAGATTGAGGGAGTTTTTTTTTGGATTTTATCTAGCATCTTTATTTTTGCTCTTAATTCTCTCGCTTTATTCATGATATTAATCCAGCTGTCAGTTTGCAATATGTTGTCAAATTGACTTCGAATGAGTCGTGTAAATGACAGGCATTACCGAGCTCTGCCGAATAAAGACGCAGATTGACGCTATCGATAACGCAATGCAACATGGCGCCAGGAACGCCGGCTTCTTTGAACGCTTGTAAATCAAATCGAATAAACTTTATTAGTCAATAGAAAATCCGGGGTAATCGAATTGGGTTTTGCGGGGAGATTTCGGCAAAGCAAATGTTCGGAGGAAAGGAACAAGATATTGCAGAGGGCAGAGAGAAAGAGCGGGGGCGAATCCGGGGCCCCAGCTCTTCCGTCTGCGAGTAGTGCTAAAGAATAGTAGGGGAAGGAGCGCCGCAGCCTATCCCGAAGAAAGAGCAGGTGCTCCACCGCAGCTTCCGTTTGCGAGCCTTGCCGCAGATATCGCCCCTTCCACACGCGTCATGGCCCTTTTTTTCATTTCCACTTTATAGCTCTGTAACTCGCTTCGTGGCTTTAGTCATTAGGAGGTTTGGAAGGTTGTATAACCGAGGATATCAAGGTATCTTTTCAGCTGCTGGGTGTACTTATATCGGACGCTGAGAAGCCCAGACGCAAGAGGCTTCGTGACTGCAGCTTGAAGCTCACTCAATTTCCTGCTCATTGTCCAATTCTCTACACGGCATCTCCCGCAATCCACTCACATCACTCACCTACTCCCCAATTCCTCAGCATACCGGCATTTACTTCGACCCCCGTTTCTACTTCGCCGGCATGTCTGACAAAGGCGGCCATGTCCAGGATGAAATCCTGCGACACAGTCTCGAAAACCCTGAAGAATTCTGGGCTCACCAGGCTGAGCATCTCTACTGGCACAAGAAGCCCAGCTCGACATTAAAGCTCACCTCCAAGAAACTGAAGAGCGGCATTGAGCACGACAGCTGGGAGTGGTTTCCAGACGGCCAAATCTCCACGTGCTACAACTGCGTAGATCGACATGTCGAGGCCGGCCACGGCGATCACGTTGCCATCTACTTCGACAGCCCCGTCTCCAAGACCAAGGAGAAATACACATACCGTCAGCTGCTCACTGAGGTGGAGGTGCTCGCGGGAGCGCTGAGAGAAGATGGCGTTCGCAAGGGCGATGTTGTCATGCTTTACAGCAAGTTCACTCTTATAGGTCTACTTGACACCTCAAGTTGCTAACGGTATAAACAGTGCCCATGATTCCCGCTGCTATCATTGGCATCCTCGCTGTGAGCCGCCTGGGCGCCATCCACTCCATTGTCTTTGGCGGCTTTGCCCCCAATGCCCTTGCCCAGCGCATTGATGCATGCAAGCCCGTCGTCCTGTTAACAGCATCATGTGGCATTGACGGCAACAAACCCCCAATCCCATATCGCCCACTTGTTGAGGAGGCCTACCAGCTTGCCACACACCAACCACGCCGGACATTGATTTGGCAGAGGGATCAGATTCGGTGGGGGCCCACGGATCGAAGCGCAGGCCAGGCGACCTGGCAGAAAGTTGTGTCTGGCGCGCAAAAAAGAGGGATCAAGGCCGATTGCGTTCCCGTCAACAGTTCTGATCCAGTGTACATCATCCATACATCTGGTACGACGGGTGCGCCAAAGGGCGTGCTGCGAGATGCTGGAGGCCACGCGGTTGGCCTTCATCTCTCAATCAGCTATCTGTTCAATATCCATGGGCCCGGCGACGTTGTCTTCACCGCGTCTGATATTGGTTGGGTCGTTGGGCACTCATATATCATATACGCACCGCTACTAGCCGGAGCCGCTACCGTCATATACGAAGGCAAGCCAATTGGAACGCCGGATGCCTCTGCCTTCTGGCGCATTATCGAAGAATACAAGGTAAACACCATGTTTACTGCCCCGACAGCTCTGCGTGCTATCAAGCGTGACGATCCTGATAACAAGCTTCTGGCCGAGATTGGCCAACGCGGTGGCCTTCGCTCGCTCAAGGGTCTTTTCTTGGCCGGGGAGCGATCGGAGCCAAGCCTCATATCCATGTATCAAGAACTTCTTAACAAATTTGCCGCGCCGAATGCCCATGTTGTTGACAATTGGTGGAGTACCGAGGCTGGTTCTCCCATGACTGGTCGCGCTCTGGTCCCTCATGCGGGCAAGGATCGCAAGACCAAAATTCGTGACCATGAGCCGCCTCACCTAAAACCTGGTAGCGCTGGTAAGGCCATGCCTGGCTTTGACATCCGCATTGTGGATGACGAGGGCCATGAAGTCGAGAGGGGCAACATGGGAAATATTGTACTTGCAATGCCGCTGGCACCAACCGGATTCCGCACTCTATGGGATGATGAGGAGAGATTTTACGGGGGATATCTGAAGAGATTCCAAGGAAAGTGGCTGGATACGGGAGATTCGGGCTGGATTGATGGAGAGGGCTACGTGCATGTCATGAGCAGGAACGACGATGTGCTGAATGTGAGCGCACATCGACTATCAAGTGGTGAGTATTGTCTTGTGCTTCTGCTGTTTCTACAAGCAAATTAACTAACTCTGCCCTCTTCTCTTCAGGTGGCATTGAGCAAGCCATTACTTCTCACCCTCTGGTTGCTGAAGCCTGCGTCGTAGGCGTTCCTGATGCTCTCAAGGGCCAACTCCCTTTCGCCTTCATCACCCTCTCCACCCCGTCTCATCCAACTGCCGCTATCCCTGACGAAAAGGTCTCTTCTGAGATTCAGGCCCTTGTGAGGAAGCAGGTAGGCGCCATTGCCTCACTTGGAGGCATCATACAGGGCAAGGGCATGATTCCCAAAACTCGCTCTGGCAAGACTCTCAGACGCGTATTGAGAGAGCTAGTCGAGAATGCTACGAGAGGGGAATATGACAAGGAAGTTGCGGTGCCGAGCACTGTAGAAGACGCATCAGTTGTCGATGTGGCTAGGGCCAAGATAAAGGAGTACTTTGAGGAAGTAGGAAGCAAGCATGCTGCTATTGAGGATCATGGAATAAAGGCCAAGCTGTAAGGTATGAGATGGATGCGAGTTGGAGTTTTGTGAAATTTGGCTATTTGATTTTCTAGGAAATAAGATTGGCGAGTCTTTTGGTCTAAGATATGTAGCAAGTATGCGGCTTAGGACTGATGCAATGAAAGGATAATCAAATGCTTTGCGCAAACTATGTCCTATATATATTACGCCTATCTCATCCTCGTCATTTTGCTACAAACTGTACGTCTGTCGAGTTCTGGCCTTGCAATCTACCCTTGCCATAACTTGGCCTGAATAAAAGCTCAAACGTTAACAATATCATTAGAGCAGAAAATAATCAGTTTTGCAGCGTTTTAAACCACACAGATTCGTACATCACATATACACCATGACTTGTCTTCGTTTGGAGACACCATTTCGTGCATGTTTCTTCAATTCAACCAAAATAACAGTGTTATTCTATCCGTATATATATATATACATGAATGTCATTCCGATCCTAATATCCCGGTTGCTCTATTTCTCTCAAATCGTCTCGTGCTCCCCCTCAATCTTCCTCTTCGATTATCACATTAAAAAAGCCTACTAACTCTAGGAACTTGACGCTATGTTTCTTATCCAACAAGGAAGCCATCCATCTATCCAATGCCAGGCCATTTTTTTTTTTTTTTTTTTTTTTTTTCTTCACTAAGACTTGCATGTCAAATGTTTGCTCGAACGACCGATGGGGCAGCACTAGAGGNTCAGCCGCTCTTTTTTTTTTTTTTTTTTTGCCATTTTTTTTTTTTTTTTTTTTTTTTTTCTTCATTCGTCCAAACGTCACTGCAACTCACCCCAGTTCGCCGCCCGGCGCCCCCCCCCCCCTTCTTGTATCTCCCCAAAATAAAAACTCGAAACAGGCTTGCAACGTTTGTTTGTCCTACAATACCAGGGAAAAAATCGCCACTCCGGGAAGAAGCACAGTGGTACAAGTCAGTGCGTGAGCGCGTGCGCGTGAAAGAAGGAGTGGATGAGGGGGGAGGAGGGTTTTGTGGGAGTGTAGCCAAGTCGTTTTATTGATGTAATATAGTTGGTTGTTGTGTAAGATACTTTTTTTTCTTTTTGCCTTGTCTGATCGTTGCGGAAGTCTTTTGAATTTCAAGTTTTGTTTTTCACATGCAAGGTAGTAAATGAGGCGGTTGGATTGTTACATGGTGGTGTGGTGTGGGCGGGAGATGGGGAAAATGGAGTTGCACGGCGGAGGTGGCACACGGGAATAGGGGTAGGAGAGGATCGAGTGATTGTAAAAGGAGAATGAGTCGATTTTTTCTGGAATTGGGCCGCTTTGAAGGGAAAAGAAACTTGGTAATTAAAGATTGCCTCCGAAGGAGATGGATGCTGCAGCGTGGTATAAATATAATCTTATTTAGAAAATGACAGCGATGCATATGATCCAATACATTGAAAACGACGAGACATAGCACCGAGTAATACATCCAGGGCAGCCTTTCCATCAATTGCTCGAGCCAGACCATTTGATGAGAGTAAAATGCTTGTGCGATTACTCACAAAAAGCCGTTGCAGCCCGGAAAGATATTATACACAAAGGTCTGTGCAAGGAGAGAGATAGCCCGTGAACCCGGGACAGAGTCTAAAGCCAGTTAGACCACTGCTGTTTCTTGCATCTTCAGCAAATAGACTAAAGATGGTGGCACGGTGAAAACTTCAAATTTCAAACTGAGCAAGTTTTTTTATCCTATTTTTTTTTCTTCTCCTCCTTTCCATCTCCTTGCACACACGAGAGATGGGGGAAACAAGGAGAGATTTGATGATAGCACCGCGCGGGGATGTGGTGTATAATTTTCCCTTTGTGGCTCGTGAGAGGTGATATCTCATTATTCGTGTCAGTGCGAAGTGACAAATCGTTTTTTCCCCTTTCTCTCGACTTTCTTTGGCTGCAGTAATAAACGTTTGCCGTCTTAACTGAGTCCCTGTAGTATTCCTATGTGTAATTCAAGAGCAACTACTCGTTAATCGTAAAGCGAAGACTGTCCCGAAGGAGGATCTGATGAGATAGGCTTAGATAGGGTATCCTGCTTCGAATATAGGCCATAGACGCTATTTTGTGCCTTTGCGGCAATCTTGAGGTGGGAGAAACGTGCTTCAGGTAGCCTCTTCCCCTCTTTGAGGCTCTCTAGTACCCTAATGCAAATTAGCCATTGCCTTATCAACAATAAATAATCAAGAGGGATTTGATAGTCCAACTCCACGGTCAAATAGATTGCAGCTCAAAGACTCAGAGAGAACAAAGCCTACCATTCCACGCCAACAAACTTGACGCCGCAGCCGCCAATTCTCCGTATCTCTCTATCAAGCTTGCCGGCTGCAAGGCCACCACCAGTGCCATCTCCCCGTCGCGAGCCATTCGGTCGCCCAACAATGACATGCGTGACCTTTCGCCGTCCCAAGTGCAGGGACATGATACCGCCGTTTTCAGTGATGAGTTGCTTCAGCCGGTGGTCAGATACCAAGGGGAATGTACTGCCATTGACGTAGACGGTCACTCCATCAAACAGCTTCCGAGGGTTGTCTTGGGCTTCCGTCTCCTTTTCCTCGTCTTGCAGTCTTCGCTGTTCCATCAAGGCCTCCTCGGCCGTTAAACGCGACTTGCTGTCCATCGTCTGATCATCATCTTCTGCTTCACTCCCCTTCGTCAGGCTCGAGTCCAGCGTCTGGCGCATCAAGCCCGGCCGAGTCAGCATATCCATAACACTCTTCTTCCCCGTGCCACCCCGAGCTTGCTGGCCAAGACTTGCACCGCTGTCTCTGGCCCCGGCACCCCAAGTGTCGCTCAAGCGCGCGCCTCCGGAGCCATCGCCGGCGCGGAACTGGCTGTTGAGCTTCCTGCTGCGGGACTGTCGCCACCCCGTGCCGGCCTGCGTCTCTGCTCGCTGGTGGCCTGTTGCGGAGGAGTTCCAAGGGTCCCAGGGGCGTTGGCGGCGCGCGGCGGAGATTTGGGACAGGGGTGCGTTTGGTGGCGGTGACATGTCGTTTTTTTGCCTTTCTTGGGCTGTCTCGATCGCAGAATGATGTGCAGGCAGTTTGCAGCTCTCAATTCTCTCGTCCGCATCTGCCGCTGCTGTTGACGATCGTGTCAACTCCCCAGAGAGATCTGGCCACCATCGACTCCATATTTTCCAAGGGAGAAAACAAAATGTGCGCTGCGAGCCTCCTAGCATTTGTTAGGCGCCTCTGCCCAGCACCAGCTGCCCTGGGACCCGCGTTTTCAGCGCGTTTGTCCCGCTAAAGCGTCGTGAGCCGCGGCGCCTGTTTGACGCCAGGTCACATGACCCTGCTGCACCGCGCTCCTCCAAAGAGAGATCTCACCAAAGGCCACCCATGCCCGAGTGAGAGGGCATCATTCGATTTTGGCTTTCCCAGAGCATATTATGCCCAGCTCCGGCATGGCGCCATGCCGATGCATTGACGAGAACATCAGGGCTATGCCACTCTTCCACTCTTCCCTCACCATTGTATCCCCGTCCCTCTCTCTGCCGCCGCTCTTGAGCTTCGCCACCACTCGGTGTAAGTCAGCCAGCAGTTCCATATGTTCCGGTTCCTCCTGCAAAGGGTGAACAGACCACCACCATTACACCAGAGGCCTTGCCACCGCTGCCATGCATTTTGCACGCTGTCCATCTATCCTGTCAAAATCTCACGCGCCGAGGACACCCCCCAACAGACTACCCGCGTCGAATGCAATGGAGCCTGGCGCGCTTGCTTGGCTCTCGGCAGCCTGCTTGACGACAGCCTGATGTAGGTTCCAGCCGCAGAACTGTGCCTGGATACTTCGTACTTCGTGCCACTGTGAATGCAATACCCTCGAGCCCAGTTGCCTGAGCCGTCACCATGATGGTTACACGGATCAACCAGACAGACACGCTATCACCTCACTAGAGCACGCAAGGCACAAGATCTATGGCTTGCTTCCCGTAATCCTTACCTAATCGTTCCATCTTCTCTTGCATGATCTCCGCGGCAGCGTTTGGAAGCCGCCTTCTTCGTGAGAGGAAGCCCCTGCTCATTGCTGTTCACAGCCGCTTGGCGCCATCCATGATGAAAACTCGGTAATAAAGTCCCATCTGCTTTTCTTTTTTTTTTTTTTTTTAGAATGAGAGGCGGTACTCATTTCCTTAGCATGTCTCTTGTCAGCAGAATATAGACTGTGTGACCAATGACGACTATACCTATTAAGCTTCTTTCCCGACTTGTCTCATCATACCTCATCCTCTCAGCTCCTTTCAGAAGCCTGTCTCCCATACTCCCATATGGTAGGCGATGTGTAACACTTAAGCGCCGAAATTGAGAAACATCTCTCTCAGTGCTATAATGGCAATCCAAAATCCAATAGATCGTCATCCAAAGACACGGCTTCTTCAACATTGTTTGCTGACGGGATGATTCCTTGTCTCTCAAGAGCTCCATCTCTTCCACTTACAATCTCAGCCTTCTCAGCTTTTGCAATAAAGCAATGGCACGGTTCACAACACCTTCCCCATGTCCAGAAAAGAGACGAACTACATCGGTTGTAAAACTACACGCCGTAAAGGTAAAGCTCTACTGGTAGCTCATGCACAACCAGCTCGCTCGGCCATCTCTTTTCCCAACGATGCGGCTGTGGCAGGCTTTTGTCCTACAAGGGCCCCCCCTTACTTTTGCTGCGTGCTCTTGTACGTCTCCCCCTACCAGATCGTGAGCCACGGCATCTTACTTCGCCGCATATGCGCGTCATACCTGCTTTGCAGGCTTCCTTTTTTTTTTTTTTCTCCTCCTCCTACTTCTTAACTCCTACCTCAACCCCCGTGGGCTGGTTCTCCTCTGGTGTGTGCGCGCGTGCGCAAAGCCCTGTGCGCCGTGCCCTTTGTCTAGACCGCAGTCCCTCGACTGAAAACCACGGCGAGCTTTTGTGGGATTCGACGGGGGCAGCGTCAGCCTTGCTGCAGATCCCTAGTCGGGGTCCTCCCCCCCTTGAGATGCGAACCATACGATGCTGGCTGTTTGCTTCATTCGCGGTCAACATTTGTTAATTTGATAGTGTAAAGTATGTACAAGCAGTAGTACTCGATGCAAACCTCGGCCTTGAGATCTCGGCTATGAAACGGCTCATTGATGTGATATGAGCCAGAACATGGGCCCCCAGCAGCGGTAGTAGTACCAGAAGTAGTACTACTAGATACTAGGTATCACATTGAATGCCACGTCCATGCCATTTAATCTCTCAACGAGGGCGGGGTGACTTACATAGATCACCCGTCAAAGCGCCATGCCACTTGGCGTGCTCTTCTAGTCATATAACTCGTTCTCCATCTTCAGCAGTTTTCCTCATCGACCGTGCAAGAGCTGAGCTGTATGCCTCGGCGTTGGCTGCTGCTTAATGTCGCTTCTCCTCACCTACGGAGTCCCGGAAGCTTCCAGCCAATCCCCACCTTGCAGGCTACCAAGGTGAGATAGTGTGCTATGCACTGGCAAGACAGATGAGCCTCCATGCACATGTATGTACGTCAGTTGGAGACATACATACCAATTCACACACAGGTACCTAATACGAGTACCGTACGCGGCAAGGTACTTTGTGTCTCAACGCCTTCATCTGTCTTTTAGCTCGCACGAGCATACATACATGGCTCAGCCATTGCGTTTGAACTGAGGGATCATACAGTAGAGCTCAGTTGGCAACTGCCCTGCTCATTCATTGTTCATGCAGCGGGAGAGCTAATGTATCACCACAGTTAGCACCCTTCGTACTTGTATGCCGTACATCATAACACTTGCTGCTTGTGTGAGGCGAGAGAGGGACGCCCCAAATGGTATCAACCATCCAGATCTTTGTGAGCTCGGACTTCTCTCTTAACGCCATCGGCCACGCAGCGTACTACGCAAAGTACCCTGCCGAGTGCTAATAAGTGCGATACGGGCGCTTGCCCTTGCCAGCCATTCTGGTTCTCCTATCGGCAGAGCTCCCTTCTCGCCAGCGTTTCGTTTTACTCGTACATATGTGATGGTGATCATGCTGTAAGGAGCATCAATGACGAGGGGGGAGAGGGCCAGGGGCCGGCCCTGGCCACCCACAACGCAGGCAGCTATCACGGCTGTCTTGGCCTCTATTTTTCCTTTTTCCTTTTTTGTTTTGCCCTCCTTGCCGCCAGCCGTGGCCCCGGCTGTGCCTAATTTGCCCTTCTTCCTTTTGGTCCTACAGCTGCACATACGTACGAATGCTATTGCTTACTTACTTTCGTTCGGTATCAGTTCCATCTCATGCTTTGACTAACACGTTTCGTCAAGCAATTCCCTTCCCATCCTCTTGTTCTAGACGCGCCTTTGCTCTCCCTGGACATCATCAGTCTAGTCAACAGCCACCAACAGCTTGATTTGTACCGTGGCCACGGGAAAAGCCTTCTGCAGTCTGCTCACGGACCGTCTCGTTGGCGGGCGGATCCCCCCCTTCCCTCTGAGCTGGCAAAGGACCCAGCACAAGACAAGAAGGAGAAAGTACGTATTAGTTGAGTGGTTTGAGCGGGCTCAGGAAAATTTCTGAGGAATACTGCAGACAAAATGGCTGGGCCAGCGAGAGCCTCTCTGTCAACCCAGCCGAACCGTCCGCACGCCCCCCTCCGCACGCCCCCCCCTCCAGAGTGGCACCATGCAAAATCGGGTATGCAAGGGAAGGGGCTGCTGTTAATCCATCAGCATGCGCGCGAGCAATGCAATAAGCGGTGAGGGGAGAGCGAGGCGCTAGGCAATGGAGCCACCAAGCAGCTAGACCAAGACCACCCAGGCCGACCAAGGTCTCCAGTTTTGAGCGGCAAGACGATGGAAGAAGGGGATAGTACTCCGGAGCAGCCCAGCGTAAGGAAGTCTGGCCATCGTCGGACATAGAAACCCATAGCGGCCGAGAAACGTTCGGTCTGAGCAGACTGCCGGGAGTGCCCCGAAAAAAAGCGTGAGCAAAGAGCGAACCACGGCATGTCACGTCCTCGTCTCCGGGCATATGCTCCACTCGGTGTAGAAGCAAACGGACGTCGAGATTGCAGAGTACATATAGCACTGACCACGTGGTTCCAAAGAAGCAAACAGCTTCTAGAGACGGTGCATGAGCGTGAATTGGGGAAACAAGAGACGGAGGATTGACCACGCCAAAGATCCACCTCGCTATCATTTCCCAATGCTACACGCAACATGCGTATGTACGGATCGTATCGTATGGTACAGTAGCTGCCGGGGTTGGTTGGCTGGCTGAGCTAGACGTTTATGCCGTTTACTTGTTTGTACTTGCAGTACTTGCAGCGTGCTCAAGTGAGACTGGGTGATGGGCAACGCCACTGCCATTTCATTAATAAACAGTATGTCACTAGGGCTGTGGAAATTCGCAGGGAGAGACAGTCCAACGGCCAATGCTGGTTAGTTGGCTGAAGAGGATTGGAAGCCAAAGACAGCAACACGACCGCTAGCATCCTGGCAGCCTCAGTCCATCAAGAGCCAAGTTGTATAGAATATGCAAACGGCCGTTGAAAGTGAGAAGGAATTGGACGCGGTCTAGTACAACTAGAAGAAACGGCAGCATTGTACCTCGTAGGTCGTCTTTCACCATGATGGTCAATTTCTTGGGAAGAAGGGGGATTGCTTGCGAACTGCCATCAAATACGCAATCATTTCGCCTCACCTCGTCTCGCCTGATCTTGCCTTGTCTCGTTCGTTTGCAGACTCCTAAACATGACAGATGGCGGAATTAGCCTGCCCTGGACAAGCCGCACCTTGTTGAATGGTGCCTTGGCTTTTTTGGAGCAGTCATTATGTTGTACGTCGTATATAGGTACCACCTACTTCACAAATAGGGCAGTGGAATTGTGAGGGGAAGCCATAGAACAACCCTCGGCCTTCCATGTGAAGCGGACCATTCTTCTACGCATGTATCTGTACCCGTGCTTCGTGCAGATGGTATACATTTGCCGAGCCGGGGCCAGTCTCACCAAAAATACACGCTTGTCCCATACGTCTGCAGGCAAGTGCGCACTTGTATACAGCCGCGCCCGTTATGATACCTAATCAAGCAGCGTGGATTTGATTTTCCTCTGCTCAGACTTCGGGCTCGGGCCTCTTTTCCTGTTTGTCTTAGCCATGCAGTCTTTGCATGTACTCCAGAGCAAAGGGGATTGTAAATCCAAGGAGTCTAAGCCGAAAAAAACTATCACCAGTGTCGTCCGAGGATGGAGCATCGAGAGAAATTTGGCGGCAGATGCTAGCTTCTAGATTCGGCAGAGGGAGAAACAGTGTGAGGAGCACGAAGATCGGAGAGCAAGAGCCCAATTCCTAGGCAATCACTAGTCCCGTGCTGCAGGGCTCCTCTATGGCTTCGCTTATGAACATCCATTGAGTAATTGGATAGCCCATCCTTGAAGCTCCAACAGACGCTGGATGTGCTGGCTCGACAAAACCGCCCTTCTCTAGTCCGAATGCTCCCACAGGAGGTCCAGCCCTGCGGAGGAGTTGACGTGCTTGGCTGGTGCTAGGGTGGGAAGCCACACAACAGCGCCGGCGGCGGCGGCGGACGGTGGCCCTGCGCGGGATCTGGTGTGGTATGGCAGAGACGTGGTGTGCTCTCATTGGTCTGGCTGATATTGAGGACCCTCGCCGCCCTGGCCACTGGAGTCGCTAAAAAAAAACCACCGCATGATGCCAAAGACTCATCTCGTCTCCAGTAAGCCCTGGGAGCAAAATCAGGAAACCGAAAAGAGACGAGAGCGAAAAAAATCCCCCATGGAGTTGGCCGTAGCCACCGGTTCAATCGACCCAGCCGATAGCCAATCGTCTTTGGACGAGTGGGTTGTCGTGCTGAGAAGCTGAAAAAGAAGAGAAAACATCTTTCCCATTCTAGCCGGACCGGAAGCTGTTGCAGGAATACCTACTCGTGCCCTTAGCCATATGAGGATAGAGGGCGGATTCCGGAAATGGCGAGACTGCCATCAGCAGGAACCTGCGTGCCGATGCTACACAGCTGAGAGAAATCAGAGGTCTCCATGTCATCACCGATTCGACAAGGATCAAGGCTTGAATTCTGCACTGTATGAAGCTTCAGCAGAGGTGGGAGCCAGCAGTGAGGGCCTAGTATATCCCGTACTTAGAGTTCACGCTTCAGCCAGGCCAAGTCGAGGGTGAGCTGAAACCCAGCAACGCTCAGCATGAGTAGGTAACCATCCCGCAAAAACGTGCATTACGGGGAGCGACGCCCAGCTGCTCCGGAGTTGGTACCCTTCTCTCCTGCTGGCTGACGGAAGTACTTGCTCGCATCCGGACGCCAAAAGAGACGGGAAGCCTAATGTAGGATCTACCATACGAGAGCGACAACCTCCACCGAAATTGACACCGACACACACACGGTGGAGAGCAAGTTCAGCCGTGCGTCATGTCGGGTAGAGGCCATCCCAGTATGCCCAAGGACAAGTTGCTTGTATCATTTTGGCCAACTTGATATACATAGTAGCAGATCATAGAAAGCGAAGACACCCTACCGATGCTATATCTGTCTCTGGGTGCTGTCACTAGTCGTGCTTGATACGTGTTTTGTACTCCATGGCGTTTTTTTCTTTTTCTTTTTCTCTTTCTTTTATTGAAAAAAACGGAGGGCTGGAAGTGGCTGGTGGTCTTGAAACTGCTCAGGAGGGCACCCTTGTCCACTTGGAGTCTCCACGCGAAGCATATTGATTGGTTAAATGTTAGACATACATAGCCGCTGTGCATCATGCAAGTGCTTGCAAGCTAGCATGGCCACCCCTCCCCCTCTTCTTCTGGTCTGGGTTGTATCATGCTAAACAAAGCTTCAAGCTAGGAGCAAGGCTGCAGGGACTCTGCCGCCATCTCAACCTCGAGCTCGAGTCTGTGAAGGGAGAAATGAAGGACCATCCGTCTTCAACCTATGGCAGGATTTCAACAAGGGTATCTCTACACACTTCTGAAATTGTTCGGGCGAGCTAGTGAAACGCTCATTCACTCATCCTTTATATAAAAAAGAGAGCCATGATGATCTGATTGGGGAGACCAAAAACCGGCGGCACAGAAACGTGACTTTCGGGGCTTGAGTCGCGACGCAGGCGTTGATTTTTTGCCGGAGCTTGTATGTTAGTAAAACGAATTGTCGACGCCTTGGGGCCTCAAGTCATTGAATTGTTATGCAAAGTACGACCTGCCCGTGTGGTATGTAGGTTTGGTGCCACAGGTGCTCAGAATGCTACTCTGTTGAGGGCAATTTTCACTCGTATCTGTGCGAGAGCTTCCAATACAATGGCTTCAACGCTTGGATCACGAAAACGCCATTGCCGGAGGTCTTCTAAAAGGAGCTGACCTGAATTCTAGACGGAAGAGGGGGGGGGGGGGGGGGGACTGATGGTATTTGCTGGTCCAGAACCCTTCCACAACTATCCCAGTGTGCTTCGCTCTTTACTGTGAGTTATATAACAAAGTACACAATGGGGCTTCATGCCTACTCTACGGAGTAGTAATCTTTAAGTGCCACCACGCGTCAATTAACCCGTTGAGTTTGACCCTAGCACCTTGGGTAATTCCTGGGAGAGGATTGCACCTTCTAATCAGAAGTCAAAAGCAGACGATGGCCCCCGTTTCGAGACTTTGGCCAGCAGCCCGCAACGAAGCAAGGCTGGGGAATGAAATTCTTCGGCCAGGATTATCTGTATAGCCGTATGCCAGATCAACTCATGCTTCATACTGCAGCATGTCATGCATAATGAGTCTCAGGCCGCGTGCACAATGTGCAGCGTGCCCACCCCTTGGCTCGCTGGGACGAGAGCCGAGAAGGAAGCAGCAGCAACCGCTGTCATTAATGACATTAGCAAAACATTGCTAGCCGAGCATTCACAATTCATTTGCGGCTCCTGTACGAAGTACATAAGTGATAATTGGGACCGTATCCGTGCTATCGCTAGTTCTCGAGCAGTGTGTACTTCGTCGAGGGGGGGTCTGCCAAAGCCTGTGTTCTGTTTGCTTATACAAAACTGTCCCGCCGAGTGGCAACTCCCTGCCCCAGTTAGGCACTAATGGTGATCATAACATACGAAGTACAAGAAACAGTATACTTTTACTTACCGCACTTGTATTATAGCAGTCCGCTCCATTGAATTCGTACAATTCACTACTTCCGACCGCCGGAAAAGGCCGTTTTATTTCGGTACATGCTCAAGAGAAACAACCATCCATCTTATTCGCCTCTCGTGTGCTGCGTGATAGTTGTTCCGAAGTAAGACAAAAAATATCAAGATCATAGCCAAAAATATACTAACTCCCGGAGCGAGTTGGTCGTGTGGCTGGCCATGTGTCCTTTGTTGAAACGTGCTGGCGAGATGATACAGCCAGTGGGGAACGGCCAGCTGTCAAGTCTCCCCAGATGCAAGACACCACAACCACTCCAGTTGGCTGAGTCTCTTGTTCCCCGCCCCTGCAAGGTTTTCCCGGCGAGATACGAAGACCGCCCACGATGTAAATACTCAATTAGGGAGGATTTCAAACGCTGTCTGAGCTGGGTCCCGTCCATTCTCATACTAGCCATCTGTGTTGTTGTAGACCGAGTTTTCTTTCTTGTAATCCATATGCCGAGGGAGAAAACCACAAAAAAAAAAAAAAAGAGCAGGTCAAGAGAGAAGGCGAGAGAGAGGAGCTTGCCAATCCATACCCCCCCCCTCCCCCTCATCCTCCACTCCCTTCTTTTTCACTTCCCCTAAGCTCAGGCCATGCCTTGATAATGGATGGCTGGTAAGAAGTACCGGTACGGGGCAAGTGACCTGGCTACAGTGCGAGGAGCATATCTTCCCACGTATTTTAGCCATGGTACTTTGTAATATCGAGAGATTGCAGCTGTGTTGAGATGGACTTTTGCTACCATTTAGCGGCTCTAAGCAGGCACCTAAATGAGCAGAAGAAGAGAGGCAGAGCACTCACATGTTCTAAACAGATGCCTCCATCAATACATAGCGGCATAAGCCACAAATAAAGATAATTAAGATGATGCCGCCTTGTACGCATTGTACCACACGCGAAGACCAAAAAAAAAAAAAAAAAATATCCCCCCCATTTTTACATGCTAATACGGGAGCGGATGTCGGGACATGGTCCATGAGTCAAGAGATGGCGTGGGTAATCGATCCCTCGTAGAGGTTAGTATAGAGTATGAAGCCTGAGCATCGATACACAGCTTAGCGAACGCCTTTGTTGCGGGCATATCGTGCTAGTGACTCCAGCCGTGAAGAATTCCTCAGCATCGTCGGTGGCAAACATTGTCAAGAGGCTTTGTCTACCGAGTGTGCATAACGTATTCATGCAAGATATGTGCAAGACACTCTTGGTAGGCAAAGCCGTGTCAAAGGGCATGCATGTTATGGTTATGCAAGTACAGACTCTTGCACACGCCGTGGTAAGCGTGCATCAGGCAAGATGAGCGGCGCTTTAGTCCCCGGCGGAATCTTGCATTCGGTCGGCAGCACCCCACTCCTTTCTGCAGTGGCACCACAACCCCAAAGCTGGCATGTCGCGGATATCAGATCCTCGCTCGCCATACACTATCAAGGCCTGTGGAAACATGAGTAGAGCTTCAAGCATGGGGAAATGCTTGATGCAGCTGTTGCTAGGTACGAGCGAGAACCGACGCGCAAGAGGAGCGAATAGCCGCCTCCTACATACAGCCGTGTTCCGCGGCAGCATGCAATGCGGAATGAACTTCTCCGGGATCGCAACGGTTGGCAGGGAAGACCTTGCAATCGCACTTGCGCTTACACTTGCGCCTCTCCACACATGCCAGGTCCTGGGTGATCTCAAAACGCCCGCCTGGTTGGTTTATCTTCCAGCTGTGGGGTCGCCAGGCTGTATGCACGTACTACTCGTACGGAAGGCTGTATAAACCATAGATAGGATGTTTATAAGCATTATGGTCCTGGCAGTTCTCTTGTACAACCAACAAGGCGCAAAATCTAGCCATAGAATCTATTTTTCCCATGGAGAGACACTCGGGTGAAGTGAGCGATGCCAGCCGAGCCCTCTAATAGCAATAGGGGCCGCAATTGACCAAATTTCTCCGATGGATAAGAGGCTGGTTGGCTTAAGTTTATGATGAAAGGATGGTGGCTGCTAAAGCTGGCTCTGGGCCCATGATCATCGTAGGCGTATCAGGAAATGATGCAGATAGCGTTCGGTCCATCTGTAGCCAAGGAAACGCTAGGCCCAGGCGAAGGCGTAGATCAACAATTGCATGTGACGTTGGGGTTGGCAATCTTGTTTCCCGTTTTTTCCTGTTTTGCTTTTGGTTATTCGCAGGTGCGCAGACGAGTCTCGGCAAGCGCTGCATAGGCATGTGCGGGAGCTAATGAGAGACTTTCTTTCGGTGTCATTAGCATTGATATAGCTAGAGCGAGGCCAATGCTCTTGGCTGCAAACTAAATCCGTATGGGCGAATGTCTCACCACACATGGCGCGCGACCTACATAGTATAAGCCTGGGATTAGTAGAGGGCCTATTGTCGCCCGTCGAAGGCAAAATTTGCAGCAAATGCTACTTCGCAATGGCTGCGGGCTAGCTAGCCGGAGCCGAGGGGCCCAGAGCCTATGCTACCAGAGCGCCTTGGATCATGGCCCGGTCAACAAGCTCAAGGGCTTGCAAGTGCTATATCGAGCCGCAGGCGCGAAAGCGGCCTTGCAGAGGCGGGTTCGGCCTCGCGGCGAGCCCATGGAGGAGTGCCTGCCCCGATATGCATGATCCTGGAAGCTTTGCCATGCGCGCCTTGGCCGATGCAGAAAGGATGCATCGTGGAACTCTGTTCCTGATGCGAATGTGCGTCGTTCCCCATCGTGCGTGCGTGCGTGCATCGTGCGTCGCGGCTCTGGGTGCATGTCGGCGCCATGCCAGATCGCCTTAATCGACCACCTTTTGCAAATCCCATGCGGTCGCCAAAAGTCCGTGGAGACAAAGGCGATTGTGCCTGTGGCCGGTAGTACTAGGTAGGTATCTCGCGTCGCAGCTCCGCTTCTATTTTCGGCGGGTTTCGGTCGAGACGCGGCCTACCCTGGATGCTCGCGGCACTTTTGGCGATGGAGCATCGGAGTGGATGGCGAGATGAAGAAGAGAATCGGCCTCTGCCATCTCAAGAATGGGCGAGCTTGCCCAGGGTCGTATACTGCGCCGGCTCTGCCTGCCTTGGATCGCTGCAAACCGTCGATCGGAAGGCGGGGTGGCCAAGGACCCAGGCAAGATAGCACATAGGCTACCTACGATGTGGAAGAGGTTACCGTAATTAGAGGTTCTCCGTCCGAGGCACCGCCAAGGTCCTCAACCTTTGGGGCGGCACGCAGCAGCAAGCAGGACGCGGCATCTACAGGCACTGCCTTTAGTAAGTTCAAGCCGCAACGGCGCATTCCGGTGCCTCGCAATTGACAGCGCCACGTCCCTGTCAGGCTCAACAGATCGTCCCTCGTTGCGTGTACGGCGCAACTCACTGGACGATTTACCTGGCGCTGCATCCTAGGCGCAGCTCGCTCCCTAACGCACTCCGCAAAGTACGAGTACCTGCAGAGGCTGTGCGCCGGGCTAGCAACCCGAGCCGTAGTTGCTTCAGCCCGCGACACTAGCAACGCTTGAATTTTCCCTCAACTTCTTTTTGACTTTGCCCATGCTAATTAGCTCTGTCATCTCTACCCGTTTCGCTCCCTTCGACTCATGTGCTATCATTTCTAGGAAAGCGTTCCGTGCACCCGAGTTGATAGCGCATGTGCAAGCGACCGCGTGAATAATTGCAACGGCAGAGTTGGAATACGAAGGCTGAGAGCGGGCTAGTATTAGTCAGTATGCTAGCCAGAGTTAGCGGATAACTCAAGCTTCATACTTTCAGGAACCGGCCGAGGAACAATGTATGGAAACGCTACCAGAACTTGGGTATTACGCACGTGTTTGTGCTCTAGCACCGTTATTAACGCAGAGCTATTCGATTTAGTGCTTGAACAGAGTTTTGCGGCATATCGACGCAGCTGCTGAGCATACAAAGCAGCCATCTACAAGCACGACCTGAAGCATCAATTTGGCCTGTCCGCCAGTCATAGCATAAACATTGTGCTGATCAGCGGAGAATGGCCCTTAGATTGGTATCTGCGCCACCACAAGGTTAAAAAGAGGGCGCTCTTGCGAACAGGTCCGTAGCCGGCTATACTTGTAGCTCAGGATAAAGCTGGATTTTGACTCCCTCCAAGCTTGCTGATAGCACGGCTAGTATAGGCCTACATGGCATGGTATGCGCTTGTGCAATACAGCCGGACTGCCTGGATTCTGCCAATGTTGCGAGGTCCAAGGCGGAGAAGAGCACCGGAGTTGTAGTATCGTGACGGAAGAAGAAAGAGTGCCTATAATGGACTTGTCTCGGCAACGCCTGAGCAGGGCAAAGTAATGGGTTTGCTGACGGTAGCCCAGCCACTGGCAAAAGCAGTCGGACCAGTTGAGAGTGCTTTGTCGGCCGACGACTAAGCCACTACTAGACTAGCATGGGCAGGCAAGCAAAAGAGCCAATGGCCTGAGCTGGTGTCGGTATCGCACACTGGTGGCCAATTTTTGCCATGGATCTTCGGTGCCGACATACGGCGCACTGCTCGTGCTTGTAAATCCCAAGGGCCAAGGGGAGCATCAAGACGCTAAAGGCTCTTTGGCGAGATCATGTTGCTCGTAGCAATCCCGCTAGGACATGATGCCAAGGCAGGGACGGGAAGCTCATGGATATTAAGCCCCCTCCTCTCAAGCTTCCCAAGAGAGAGAGGCGCGCTTGTGCCTCCCTCCGAGCAGCTTGAATTATACATCATACTCCGTAGAGAGAGTAGCAGTACGGAGCACGGTAGCATTAGCCTGCGCTCTCGCTAAGTCATCGCAAGATGGCTAGCGCATTCTCCATTGGCCGGCCCCCCAACCCAGAATCGTCTTATCTAGGCAAGATCTCTGATGCGATTGTCTAATCGTATCAACCCTAGTCTCATGTAGCACCGTGCTCCGTATCCGCAGCAAGAGTGAGAGAGCTCTCAGGCCGATAGCACAGGCTCCATGTCCGGGCATACAGGTGCAAGTATAGACTCGAGCCTGGTCTCCGGAGTAAGAAGCGGTCCATGGTCCAAGGATGTCAGGCCACGCCCAATGCGTAGCAGGGAATAGAGACAACGCGCACCGGCGGCCAGAGACACACGGAGGGAGCGCGAGAGAGCGGTGGACGAGAGTCAAAAAGGGCACAGCAAAGCAAAGCTCTGTAGACGGCAGAGAAGGGCAGCGCCGGCCAAGCAAGCGCCGTCAGCACTCTGGGATTTGGTGGCCGGAAGCCCCGTCTGCCCGTTGTCCGCCCGTCCCCTGTCGACATGTATGGGTGGGCCGCAACTCTTGCTGCTAACGACCATCGTCCATCACCACCTCACCTTGACCCCATCGTCGAATCCTGGTGCTACGCTGATCCACCCACGCCGCGCTGGCACACCCCTCCGACCCTTGTCGAGACCCAGGCCCTGCGTTGGACGCCCAGCTCCACCCCAAATCGCAGGTCTGCACGTACAGGTACGAGTGCGAGCACCAAGTACCGTGCTCTTTTTTGCTGCGGGACTCACTCGGGAGACAGCTCCTGCAAGCTTGCTAGCAGTGCGCGCCCAACTGTGGAGCTGGCGCCGTGGCGGGAGAGACTTGCAGATGCTGGCAGGAAGAAGGTTCGTCGATTGCTGCAGCGTTTGGGCCTCCACAGGCGAAGGATGGCAAGATATCGCCCCTAGCCAGCAGGCCGCTGACGGGACAGAGGGCGAAGAGGGAGGACGGCGAGAGGGAAAAGA